AAGACTATAAAGAATATCTAAGAATTCTTAGAATTCTATAGATTTAATTAATAATTTATTAAAGATTACGTAAAGGTTATAATACTATTAATAAACCTTACTAGAAAGGATACGCCTTTTAAATAGATAAATAAGTATAGAATATTATTCTAGCTCCTTAAAATAGTATATATTATGGAACTAGTTCTTATTTATTTTAGAAGTAATAAACTACTATAATTTAAAACTAACGTAAGTAATCTTATATTAGGAGCATACATAAAATAAAAATAAAATAGTAAATAGCACCTAATAACCTATTACTTATATAAATTTAATAATATAGAAACACAGTATAATATATATAATAAAGAACTCTACACTATTATTAAAGCTTTAAAACACTAGAGAATCTATACTCTTAGCTATTTAATGCTAGAAATCTACATGGATTATAAGAACCTACTAAGGTTTATAATAATAAAAGAACTAATACTATAATAATAGAGATAATTATAAACTACTAGCTAGTATAAATTTAAAATTATCTATATAGCAGGAAAAGAAAACAGATAAGTAGACGCACTTAGTAGATAAAGTAATCTAGTAGAAGAAAAGGTTAAAACCTACTTAGTAATTCTTTATAAAAATAAAAACGGATCTCTTAAACTAATAGTAGAACTTAATTAACTTTTAGTTATAAACTAAGAAGTACCAAAATAACTATAAATAGAGATTATTAAATAATACTATAATAACCCTATATATGGGCACCTAGGTATTAGAAAAATAATAGAGCTTATCTAGCAAAACTACACCTTTAGGGGAATAAAGGAAGCTGTAACTAGCTATATCTAAAAATATATAGAATACTAAAGGAATAAACATAGTATATATCTTAAGTATAGAGAAATATAACTAATTAAGATACTAATAGTATCTTTTAAAGACATCGCTATAGACTTTATTATAGAAATACTAGACTTAATTAAACCAGCTATAAAAACCTTATATAATAGCATTTTAGTAATTATATATTACTTTATAAGCTACGTTAAATTAATTCCATATCTAAAGAATATATTAGCCAAAGAGCTAGCTTACCTTTTTTTAAGATAAGTAGGTTAGACACTATAGTATTCTAAAAATAATTATTAGTAATAGAGATAAACTCTTTATATTAAACTTTTAAATAATATTTATAGCACTTATTAGAATAAAATAAAAACTATCCACGGTATATTATCTATAAACGGATAGAAAAATAGAAAGAATAAATTAAACTATAGAAATATATCTATAAATATACTATAATAAATAGAAAAATAACTAGGTTTTACTACTACCTATAGCATAATTAGCACATAATAATAAGGTATTAATAGTAATAGGGCAAACACCTTATTATACTATATATAGAAAATATCTAAATCTCTTTAACTAATAACTACTAACGAATATTAACGTAAAAGAAGCTATAGATATAGTAGATAATATAGAAAAAATATATAATAAACTCTAAGAAAACCTTAAGAAAGCTTAATAGTAAGTAACTTTATACTTAAACTAAAAATAAAAAATAGTACCTTAGCTAAAGAAGGGGATAAAGCATATCTACTTATAAAAAATTTTTAAACCTAGAAGAAGAAACATAAGAAACTAGATTATATTAAAGTTAGACTATTTTATATTTCTAAATAGATATTACTAGTTAACTATAAACTAGAGTTACCGCCTAATATAAAAATACACCCTATATTCTATATATTATTATTAGAACTAGTAGACCCTAAGACACTAGTTAAAACTACCTTCTATTACTAACTTAAGGAAGAAACTAAATTTAAAGTTAAAATACTCCTAGGATACCACAAAGTGGGGAGAAAGAACTTCTAGGATAATAGATTTCTATAAGAATAGTTAGTTAAGTAGAAAGGCTACCCACACTTAGAAAGTATATAGGAACCTAAAAGTAAGTTAAGAAAGAACTACTAGTAGCTTTTTAAATAAGTAAGAAAAAAGATCTATAACTACTATAACTATACTAGAGTAACTAGAAATAGCTTTAGGGGAGATAAAAGCTACTCTATAATAATAATTAAGTAATATACCTATAGATATAGTATTATATCCCTAGAAGAGATATCTATTCTACCTAATCTAGAGTAGACTATAAGGTACTAGAATACCTAGTTAATATATCTACTATAGGATAGTTAACTATAGTTAAATTAACATCCTTACCCTTAGATAACATTTCTATAATAAGATATATTATCTTCTTATAAGCACGCTCTTTAGCCTAAGCTAATATTTTCTTATTATATAATATATATATAATTACTATAGCTAACTCTTTCTTATCTTCCTCTACTTTCTTCTTATACTCTTCGTAAGTCTTATCTAGGGAAGCCTAGCTTATATTTATACATAAATAATCTATATAAGTATATTTAGCACACTTTAAACTTAAGTTTAGTATAATATAATATATAGTATTCTTAAAGTTATAATTAACGTAGGATTCCTCTATAATAATATTAGCACTAAGAATTTCTTTATAAAGACGATATTTATAGATAGTAGAGTTAGTAGGTATAGTACTAATAATAGTAGAAGGGTAAGTAGGGTAAGTAGTAACTTATATAAGGAGATTATAAGATTTAGAATAAATCTTAGAAAGGGGAGAGGTAATATTAGAATCTAGAACCTAATAGGTAGTAGAATAGTCTATTATATAGTAAAGCCTCTAGATAAGTATATATTAACTATAGGTAATACCTATTTAAGAATTAGGGCGCTTTAGAAGGTTACGTAACTACTCTCTAGAGAGTACTTTCTAGAGAGCACTCTCTAGTAAGCACTCACTAGTAAGTAGCTATATATAATTAAGTATATAGAAATAGAAGAATTACTATTAATTCTTATATTTAACCTAAGTTTTAATCTATTATTTAGATTTACTTAGGCCTCCCTTATTAACTTATTATACTTTATAAAATACTTCTATATTAATAAGAACCCCTTCTTCCTCCCCTTAGTAAGTCTTACCTAAGAACTAACCTTAACCTATTTAGGACTAGCTACCCTTTCTAGATTTAATAGAAACCTATAGAATAATATATAGGAACTAGAAAGTAATCTTAACTACCCTAAGAAGTTAGAAGAATTTTAGTTAAACTAATCTCTTAAAGAAAACCTAGAGACATTAGACTAAGAGTTAGACTACCTTATAGTAAATTATAAAGAATACTACTATTAGAGAAGGTATAAGTAGTATCTTAAGAGACTACTTTACCCTCCTTAGAACTATTCTATAGACTAGTAGCCTTTAGCTCTACTTTTTCCTAATCTAGTTTAGCCTCTAGAAATACTAACTAATAATTCTTCTACTTATTAAGAAGCTCCTTTTATTTCTATAACTATAATACCTTTACCTAGGTAGTAGTAAGGGTATCTAGAATTTTTTCCTAGACCTTTTTAGCCTTAATAAGTTTAGCTTAAATTTTAGCTTAGGAGCGACTAGTGTTATACACTATAAATAATTAGTATAGATAGAATAATAGTAGTAGATAATATACTCTTAGCTACTAAAATCCTATTAATATTATAAGAACTATAGATATTTAAATAAATATAAGCTTTATAAGTAGGACACCTAGATATATTATATAGAGAAAGCTTATATAAAATCTTTAACTAATTATAGTAAGAATAAGGTATAGTAAGGAATCTATAATAACTAATTTTATTAGTAAGTATAAGTTATTTATTAGTTTTATAAGAAGGTATAGAGGGTAATAATAACCTAACTTATAATAGGGCTTACCCTACTAATATAGTACTACCCCTATAATAGATTAATCTTTAGGCTAAAGACTTAGAAGGGGGAGATAGTGTTATAGCTACTATACTATAATAGAATTATAGAACTTACGTTAATAATAGTAGTAACTAATTAGATTATATAGAAGAAGAATATAATTATAGGTTAGATACTAAGTATAATATAGGTATATAAGAAAGTTACGTAATTAGATCTATAGATCTATAGAATAGAGCTATAGAGCCTAGATTTATAGAATTTATAGGTAGAGCCTATAGAGCTACTATTAGATAGTAGTATATAGAGATAATAGATTACTATAGAGTAAGCCTTTATTATTAATCTATAATATAGTTCTCTATATCTAGTTTCCTTATAGAAGATTACTATTAAGTCTTTAGTAATATATTTTTATAGTAGTAATTAATTAACGTTTATACCCTATATAATCTATATAACCCTATACGCTACTTATCTCTCACCAGAACCCTAACAGGGCCACGGCTAGTAATAGAGTTCTAGAGGCCCTATTACACCCACCGTTATCTGGTTCGTAATAATCGATTCTAATTTAATTAAAAAGAACTTAATTACTTCTAGCTTACTATAAGATATTTATAAAAAGTAAAATTATAGATTTAAAGGTATAGCTATTATTAATAAATCTATAATTTTACTTTCTATTAATATATTATAGTAAGCTAGAAATAATTAAGTTCTTTCTAATTAATTCTAAATCGATTCTAATTTAATTTAGAAGAACTTAAATATTTCTAGTTTACTATAAGATATTTATAAAAAGTAAAATTATAGATTTAAAGGTATAGCTATTATTAATAAATCTATAATTTTACTTTTTATTAATATCTTATAGTAAGCTAGAAATATTTAAGTTCTTCTAAATTAATTCTAAATTAATTGAGAATGAATTAAGCTTACTTATCTAGCGCCTCGCACCGACATCTTGGCATGCCACCTCTTGGCGGGCCCATGGTCACATGGCCTGCCGCCTGTTGCATCACCCAATGGCATGCACCGCTTATCGATAAGCCCAACAACAGGGAAGCGCGACGGCGACACGTCGTACCCTTTACCATCTTCTCATCTAACGCAATCTCATTGATTTGGAAATGATTGGAACTCAACTCTAACTAGGAGTTCACACAATGTGTCGAGCACATGTCGCCGCGCACATTCACACATTCACTCCATCGTTGATCTCCACTCCACCCGGCAAAGTCTTCAACCCTGAAATTCTGTCAGTGTACTCTATTACCTCTTCAGAGATTTCGAACTTACAATTGTCGTTCCCAACATCTTCAACCGCTTTCTGCGCAATCTTGCACTTCATAGCCTCCTCGTCTGTCTGCCTCGTCAACTCCTTGCACTTGTCGTTATCGCATCTCGCATTAATCGCGCGCTGTAGACTATCACCCTTCCAACCGAACATATAGTCGCCGTGATTTCCATGTCCGGTCCTGCTTTCATTAATACAATGCATTCACCTCGACTTACACAACGGAAAACACTCACGCATCGCCCATGCTAAACACCAGCGGCTGACTTCCGTCCTCTGGCCACATTCCCTCCCCATTAAATTCTGTTGTGTCAAATATCACTTCGTACATCAACTGCGGCAGATGCACCGGATGCGTGTCGGGGCATTTACCGCGTTCAAGGGACGGTGTGTAGGGTCGAGTGACTATGGGATCGGCGTAAGGCTCGAAGGGGATTGTTGCGTATGCAACGTGGGACTGGAAGATATTAATACTTGAGCACATCATCAACGCTCAGGATACTTGCCTGGTGATCGGGAGAATCAAGGTTCTTGCCGTCCCAGCAGGTGGGAAATGTCACTGCCAAGTGAGGTAAGTGATTGGTGTCAGGCTAAAAGAAACAACTCGTTGGGAAAAAACGGTGGCGACAGGGAAAAAAGCTATTGTACCTTGCGTCCGGATGCCACCTTCGCACTGGTGGTCAGGAAGATGCGTCGTATCTTCGCCCGTACAAGGTGCTCCACCAAATGGTTGCTGGTCTTTGTATAAACACCGATGGCAGATGCCTCGAGATTCGCCAGTTGTGTTGCGCAACATTGGATTTCCTGCAAGCATGCGAAAGCCCTGTGCTAGATCAATACAGCCCCGACAGTCCACAGGAGGAAATATGTACCGGAGCGAATGCCGTCACATTGCTTACACCATCGTAAGTCGGGATATAGTAGACCGTATGACCGCCGTCTTGATGCAGCCCACCGTTGGAAACCTGCTTCACTCTTTTGTACGTTCCGTTACGAGCGCGGAAGTACAGCGCTGCCGTCCAGTAGTTGCTTGGGTACGTCAATGATGTGTTCAGGGATACGGCAGTAGCTAGGTTACCTGAAATCCTAGTCAAGGTGAGTCAATTGCCTCGGAACGTTGCCTTTCAAGTGGGGTGGGAATATCTTACTTCATTGAATGTACAGCTTGTACAGGTGGACTGTGTCGGCAAGTCATATTCGACAGGCTCCATGTCCGGCCTAAACGAGTCTCCGCCCCTGAAAACTGTCAGATTGAGCATGGAGGACAAACAGAGAAGAGACGAACACGATCTGATGCGTATGCGGTGTCCCGATCTGTCCCGGGTTTACCAGTGGGTCCAATCTCTCAACCGTTAGTTGTGAGCACGCGAAGCGCATCATATGGGCAACTTGCGCCTTCGATGCGCTCGCAAGCAAGAGTAATGATAGAACAGCACGATGCATACTGATCGGTAACAAGACCAGAAGTCGTGTAGGAAGACCGGAGTATAGCAAGGGGAACAGCCCTCGTCAGTGAAGTATGTCACGTAGCCCGGGCGTAAACGATGGATATGTCCAGGTACGACAATATTTTCTTATCGGTGTGGGGCATGTGTAACTGCCGTCAAACTTAGACATGCGATTTCATCTCGAGTTTGGAGTTCGTTACCAGGGAGAAATATAGGGTGGTGCTGTGGGGCAATTAATTTACGACACGCACGATAGAAGAGGTTCATTTACCGACTGGGATCTTCACACATGATAGACAAGGCGTGTAAAGGCATGACAAGCATGATGCAGGGTAGCAAGCGAGTTTCAATTCAAGTGCTGAGCTGAGTCTCTGGATAGCAGGTGATCTGATGATGGGATGCTCGGGGCCATAACAAGACTGACACAGACAGGATGTCCTCAATCATATAAGCCACAAGCTTCTCTTTCTTTTTTACCAAGCATGTCAGAATTCACCAATCAAAGTGTTAAGTTCTTTCTCAATTAGGCCAGATGCTCGTTGAATATTATAAACACCCTGCTACCTCTATACTAGGAAATCGAACGATGCCAGGCATCGCAGATGGACAACGCGAAACGAAACGTCTCAAAAGAACTTTACAAAGAGACTAAATAAAACATGAACATGACGACATGGCTGACATCCTAAGCCGCCTCAAGTTGCCCCACGGCCGTCGCACTCTGCAGTGTACACTATCCTTCATTCCTAAGACTTGACTCGCACAATGGGTCGAAAATAAGCAACGAAGGAGAGTTTTTCTCTGCAAAAACATCATGGCGTTTTGGTAACTGAGGAACCCTTATAGGGCTGCTACTCTAGTCACCACAAGAACCGATGCAAGCTGGGGAATGGCCTCGATACTTTCCCGGTGTTCATCTTTACACTCAACTTTTTTTTTTTGCGGATATCGTCAATCCATGATAATCCTGGATAGCGGTTGAATGGAATCCCGATTGCGACGTGCGACATTCGTGCTTCACACTGGAGGGCACCCAGGCTGTTGCGGTGAGTATCTGGATGCTCGGAAAGTGAGACTTGGCGGGTTCGATATATATTTGTAGTAAGACATGTTGATAGGTGTGTACGCGTCCACCACGGATATTTGTAGATTCCCGAGGTCTAACTGGATCCAATCGGAAGGTTGTAGTAAGTCTCCCGGAAGAGTCTATCGTTATTGGAAGACAGGGCATCGATAGAGTCGGTTTGGGAGAAGCGCTCGTGGAGCGCGTCACGAGAAAGTCGGCCCGCAGGCGGCTTCCACGTTCGAGTCGACCAGCCTTCGAAGATGCAATTATCCCAGATCACGCCCTCCCGATCATGTGGGTGTTCCTCAGGTTCAGGTATCACGCGAATTCTCCCGAGCAAGCCGTTTATGGCGCCGCGGCGCCCCATGTACGTCGTGGGGAACTCGTCAATCAGTTGCTGGTTTTCGGGAGAGATCTCGTCAAGCTGCTGACGCTCCCAGTGTGCCCAGTACCGTACCAGTTCCGGAGGGTACGAATGGCAGTGCTGTCGCATCAACCGTTTTGCGGGGGCCATTTTGAGCCGGAACGCATCGAGCAAGAACAATCGAATGGGATCGCTTGCGTTCGTGAAGTGGAAGACGTATCGAAGGTCTTCCGGCTCGAACAACGTGAACGACTCGCGGTTCAGGAGGATCTTGCGCAGATGATCAAGAAGAACATCGCTAACGATCGGGCAGTTCAAGGATTGAGAGCAGCAGTATGCCTCGAGGATGTTACCAATATTATACTCTCCGACATCTTCGTAGACGGCTTTTGAAAAATCTTTGCCCTGATCTGCGTCTTCTCTATCCAGGTACACCTCCAAGCGCTTTGGTCGCTCGGGGAACTCGCCACTGAAGTTCGGCGCAAAGCAACTAGTGAAGAGATCGAACGATTTGGGCGATACATCGACGACATATTCGCTCTCCAGGCCTTTTTCGGAGGTGCGGACGGCTGCGAACTTCTCGCGATGGACAAAACGCATGATCAAAGGCTGGTGCATGTGGCAACCGAAAGGAGTGCGCTGCTTTGAAAGCGCTTTTCCATAGCGGTCACTTGAGTGTTTGCCGAGATGATAGGGCTCATCATCTTCTGCGTCGTCTTCCGAGTCGCTATCTTCTGAATCGCTGGAGTTGTCAAGTTGAGGGTTAGTATGGAACTGTCTCCATGCTTCCCGACACTTCTTATCGTAGCAGAGTTCTGCTTTGCAGCACTCCACGCAACGATCATCCAACTCCAGGTCCGGCGGCTGCAGAATGAATGTGATGATCTGATCATCTGGATCCAATTCAATCTTTACCGGTAAGGGTGCAGCTGGTCCGTCCTCATCGTCCGCCTCGTCTTGGGTGGGCGTGTTTTGGCTTGCCTGTTCCTGCTGAAATTCGGCTTTCGTACGGCCCTTGATTCCATGACTCTCCAAGCCGGGAGTAGAACCTTCGAACCATACACTAGTGGTCTCAAAGACGGCCCTGTTGGCCTTGCCGAATCGCTTGCGAACACCTTCCAAAGATTTGACGGAAGTATCGCCAGCCTTATTGAACATCCTTTTGATGGTATCGTATTCTGATTCTCCATCGTTGGGCACCCATGGCTTGCGATAGATGTAAGCTTGGATGTGCGCATCCGTCAACCCGCTTGTGCGCGCTTTGACGTACTCCCAGTTGACGGGACAGTCCTGCTGGTTGATGTAGGATTTGGTAGGCGCGTATTGGCCTTTCTTCCACGACAAAAGCTTGGCAGGCGGTTGCACGGTGAATGCTAGCGTTTGTTAGTAACGTGAATGGATCTTGGGTAGAGTGAAACATACCTTCTGCAGGAGGAGTCGTAGGAACCCGACTGTCGTCGCTGTCGTCGCTCGGTCCCTCATCATCGTGGTCGTTCGCCGGCTCGTCCCCGTCTTCACCCTCTGACTCATAGTCCTCGTCAGTTTCTTGATTATCAGCCTCTGGGACTGGAGGCGTCTGGACAAAGGCTACTTCGTCCTGTGGCGAAGATACATCGACAGAGCCAACATTCGTCTTGGAATGTTTGGCACGCTTCCGTGGAAAGATTTGGGAACCGCTATTGAGCTGTCCGATTGGAGACTCCTTTTCGTCTTCTTCATCTGGACCGTGGATTGCGGCTCTACGCTTCCTGGATATTGGTGCCACTTCCGCATCCGGCGGGTGGTAATCATTTTGCCTAAGGCGTTTAGAGGCATGATTTGCCACGGTCTGCTCGGTATCTGACAGAGATTCGGAGGTAAACTCGTCAGTCATGGCTGGGCGCTTGCGGCCTGACTGGCCCGAGCTAGGCTGGGTATACGGACTACCAGCGCCATGCGGCGCTTGTTCAGATGGCGACACCATTAAGTGAGACAGTGTCTCAACTCAGTAGTTGAAGACTTGTTTCAGTTATCTGAAGTGTTTGGTGGTTGATGTGTTGAGACGTGGGGCGGAGGAGTTGTGGATGCTAAACAGAGCTCCTGTGCTTGGAGTATATGTAGACCTAAGTCGCAGGTGCAGGGACCACACAGTATGAATTTGGAAAAGGTTGGCCTCAGGTAAAAGTGGCTTGTTGGTTGATGCGAGAAAAGGTGGGTGTGTTGGGGACTCGTTGGCTTCGAAAAATGCGTAGTCTTTATGATGCGGGCGCAAGTACAGGCGAAAGCACGTGCACAGACACGGGCCTGCAGTGTGGTGGTGAAAGCACGTGCAGTTCTGTTGGTCCTTCCTTTCACCCTTGGATGCGGGTTCATCACGGGATGAGCTTACAAGCGCAAGCGCCGTTCATGTATTATGAAGTTTGCGCTGAAACCAAATTTTATAAATTGCGAGGTGGAGCCAAATTTGCATATTTGGCATGTTTCGAAGAAACTGAGTAACTCAAATATGAGTTCACCTTTCGTGGTCTCAGCCTTGAAAGAAAGATGTGATATGCAACAAGATTATTGCCCGGTCCATGACTGAGAGGATAACATCGCCCCAAGATATTGGGTGTTATGTACACAGCGCACTAGTATTGTATATACGAGATGATCAAGATTATACAACGCATTCTTGGGGCCTGTACCCAGACCTGAGCATCAAATGTGAGCCGGTAATGTTCTACGATCGATATATATATATGAGTTATGGTAGTCCCCAGGTTTTGCGATGCAGTACTTACACATAGTGCCCAGAGAGGCGGATCGCAAAGCGTTAATTCCATTGTTAACAAAAAGTTGGATGCTTCGAACAAAGCAGTTTGATGTCGGCCATTCATACCATGGGCTGTGTTTGCGGTAGAATTGTGTACCCATAGACGATTTCATCCTTGCATATCAACGGTTGGTTATCGACAAAAATGTTGCAATCATCACCACTTGCGGCTGCACTTGCGCTTGCTAGTGGTAACCTTCTCGGTGGCCTATGAATGAGAGTCTCCAGAGCCGTTGCTTGAGTTGGATGAGATGTATCATGGGTAGCTTCTTCCAAGCCCGCACGAAATAATGGCAAGGTACCAAGTTGGTAGATTTCACACGGTATAAAGGAGAAAGGGGTGATTTCACCATCGCATGGGACGAGGCAGGCTCGTGGTTTCTTATTTGTTTTAAGCCATAAACCGTAAAATAGCCGCTATCTTTGAAATGCATTTGAACATGTTTCCATTTCATCATTCCATCGCCGTTTTTGGACAGCTTGTGGTGTTTATGTGGAAGAAGCAAGGCAGCCAACGCTGAACAGCAATGTAGTTGTGCGACCGTGAAAGACATATGTTTTCCTATGGCGCATTGGAACGAGATAAAAAAACAGTGCGTGTGTCATAACATCTGGAGACTAGTAACTGCGACTTGGAGATTGACTCAAAGGCTAACAAACAGCATGAAAGCGGGTCAATGATGGACGAAACCTACCCTCCAATCTTACAGTCGGACGACGAAGAGGTAAGATTGAAAATTCCGCTGGGATGTACATCCATTCATCCTCGGCGCAAGTGGGAAGGAGTTGCAGGTGTGGCTGCCCAGATAAAGGAGGAAGCTAGAAGGATAGGTCGCTGTTTTCGGTTTAGCGCCGCCCGAAGAAGCAGTTAAGTACGAGATACACCACGTCACGCACCAGCAGCAGACGTAATGTCTTTCATCGACAATAAATCACCTCGTTGCCAGCAAAGTAGCAATCAGATCTCTCACTGATTATCTACTCTTAAGACAACAAAGCTTTCTCAAATGGAAACTGCGACAGGCGCTCGATTCCAGTCTCAGTGATGAGGACTTGGTCCTCAAGCTTTACACCATCAGTGCCTCTTTCCTCACTCAGATAAGCCTCAATCGATAGTGTCATCCCGGGCTCGATTATCCCGTCATAACCAAACTCGTCGAAGTCCCTTGCGCTGTAAAGGTATGGGAACTCGCAAGTCATGCCAACGCCATGCGCAATGGCAAAGTACCGGTGTTTCCAGTACTTCTGCGGTATTACCCAAGCGGCATCAGCGAACTCTTTGAAAGTCATATTTGGTCTCAACACACTGATGTTGTAGTTGAGCATCTCGTATGCATCCTTGTAAAGTTGCTTCTGCGAGGCAGATGGTTCGCCAGGACCAGCATGGAACGTTCGAGAGAAGTCCGAGTAGTACCCGTGACAGCCAACGACGTCTGTGTCTAGGCATATGAGGGTATTCTCTTCGATTACTGCATTGGAGGTCTCCTGGAACCAAGGGACTGAACGTTTGCCGGCATTGAGTAATCTTGTCTCGACATAGTCGCCGTCTCTCTCAATCACGGCTTTGTGAAGGATAGACCAAAGCTCGGCCTCCGTCTGTCCTGGCTTGATCGCATCTCGCAGCATGGCGACACCTCTTTCGGTGGCGCGTAAAGATTCCTTGATGCATTGGATTTTTTCAGAACACTTGATGGATTTTGCAAGCTCGACAGCCACTTGCGCGTCTACGATCTTGAAACCAAGCTCCGTCATGGTAATGCCGACGCCGGCGTTCATCCGCTCCAGGCCAACCGTCACGCCACTGTCGCGGCCAAGAAGCTCTTTAATCAAGTCTCCCATCTCCTTCGCCCAGTCGCGTTCCTTCTTCTCGATGTTCCTGTCCAGATTGAACTGCGCTCCTCTGGCAATGCGCACCTCATCGATTGTATCTTCGAATCCGATGACAAGATGCGCGCAGCCGGCAAACTCGAAGAGTATAGATCGCTCTTGCGTGAGTAGGAGATATCGTGCGGGTGCATTGCGACCGCTCCAGACCTGCATGTTACGCGTGCCTGTTGCATAGCGAATGTTTACTCCGTCACAGAGGACTACCGCGTCCATGCCGTGTTTAGCCATCTCAGTACGAATGCGAGACTGACGATAGGCCCGCAGAGCCTTATGATCGATATTATCATTCTGCGGAGCCCGGTTGATGAGTTCGTCTAAACCAACACTTTTTCGCTCTGCGTTCCAGTCGAAATAGTGACCCATGGTAGTAGTATATATGATGATAGAGTGAACCAAAATGAGATTTGTGAAAGCTAGAAGCTTGCGTTAGGTAGTTATAATAACCTACTGAGCTACAGAGGAGGTCACAATACGCCTTGCTTGAGTGAACCCGACAATAGTAGTCCTGGGAGTTGGGAGACCTACTGTGGTGGGTAAGTTAATACGAATACGATGGGGAATGCACCTTCAAAGGTTGGTGGAAGGAACGCTATCTTCTTGGTCTGCTCCTGATAGGCTTTTCCCCGCCATGGCTAGGATAGTCACGATGATGCGTGGTCCTGGCTTCTCCACACTAAGCTACACTAGGGTCCAGGATCCAGAGAGCACATCGCGAAAGATAGAGGACTACATGGAGGTTCGGATTCTCAGAGCCAACCTCCTAAAAGACCGTCTACACATGATCGCGGGGAACTTTGAACTCATAGTCTCGTCCAAACACCGCTTTCTCTCCTTCCCATGCGTCTATCCGTGCAGTCATAATCCACTCCGTAGTTGTCGCCCTCATCTTTGTCCACCCCTTGAAGCTGACTTTGATGTCGCCACGTTCAAACTCTCTATCGAAGCCCTGGTAGACTTCAGCAGACAGTGGATCGGCAGGGTGAACCCCCATGACCATCGGTGTCGTCCACCCAAAACGCCATCCAGTCGCATCCACTTCCCACTTTCCATCATCCCAGTCCACAACAAGCTCTGTGCGTCCGGTATCCCAGTCTTGCTTGACGTAGTTCTTGTGATCGGCAGGGCGTAGCTGAGTCTTTTTGAGAGAGCCGTTGATCGCCGGTCCAAACGGCTTAAGCTTAGAGTCTTGAGAGTCGTCGGTTCGTACCGGCAGGTCGATGTGACTGGATCCAGTATCGATTGTAAGGGTGGTAGCCTCAGGGGACGGCCAGACTATGGGAAAGTACGTAGAAGATAGTGCCAGACGAAGGCGACTGCCCACCCCTAGGCGCTGTCCGAAGTGATTCAATTTCAATTCTACGTCGTAGAAATTTCCTGGCTCGAGGGCCTTCAGATCTTCATGGCTGTCACGGTGAGTGAGGTTAAGTAGACCGTAAGATACGCGAGTTGCTGCGCCGTTGGGTAGCACTTCTGATAGCGTTGCGGCTATCAGGGCATCGGGCTTGTCGCTTGCGATACGAACGTTCAGAACAGCAGCCCCGAGCAGATCAAGAGGCTCTTTGAGTGGCTGAGTGTCAAATACGAGGCTACCGCCGGCTTCCAGGCGCTGATCGGATGGGCCCTCGCCCTCGACGCCGAAGATTAACCATCTTCCTCCAGCGAACCCAAGGGTTTGCGGGGAACAGATTCCGATCTTCTCAGAACTGGTGGAGGTTTCGTCGGTCAAGCGCCCTGGAGAAAGACCCATCCGGCGTGTAAGTGCCTTGTCGTCGGCCCATTTGTTTTCTGCAACCCAATGACCAGGACGGAACTTGTCGTGAGGGGCCGGTGGAGCGGGATCTTGCAGGTAACATCGAAGCTGGGGCTCATCCATAATACCCGTTTCGTCGATACCCTTCAGCCATTTGTCCCACCAACGGACTGTCTCTTGCAAGAAGCCAATTTGTGGGCCAGGCTTCGCAAAATTGGGGTATTTGTGACCCCAAGGACCCACGAGCCCTTTCTTGGGGCACTTTAGGTTCTCCAGCATCCTGAAGACTGTATTGGTATACGGGTCTTGCCACCCACTCACTAAGTAAGTTGCGGCCTCGATAGAACTGTAATCTTCGTTGATGGAACCATGCTTCCAGAAATCGTTCCGCCTTTGGTTCTCATGCCACTCCTTTGCAAAGAAGCCTCCAGATTCGAGGCGTTGTAGCCAAAGGTCTCGCCATTGGTCTCCCACGACTGCTGGATCAGGTGGGCAAGAATTAATCGCGAACATTGAAGCCGCCCAGGTGAAATTCTCCGTGAGCATGCAACCGCCCATAAAGTGAATATCGTCGTTGTATCGGTCATCGGTCGATGCAATAGAAACAATGGCCTTCAATTCTTTCGGCCTCCGTGCAGCAACCTGCAGCGAATTGAAGCCGCCCCAAGATATACCGATCATTCCGCAAGAGCCAGTGCACCATTTCTGTGCCGCGAGCCACTGCAAGACTTCAAGCGCATCGTCCTGCTCTTGTTTCAAGTACTCGCCCAAGATCAAGCCTTGAGAGTCGCCTGTGCCGCGCATGTCCACGCGCACGCAGGCATAGCCGCGGCCTGCGACGTAGGGCATGTTTGTCGCATCGCGCTCAGCTGTCATATCACGTTTACGATATGGCAGGTACTCCAGAATGGCAGGGACCGGATTGGACTCTGCGTTTTCCGGTAGCCATATCATGGCAGAGAGTACGGTCCCATCGCTCAGAGCGATGGGAGCGTGATGAATGATGCGAATTGGTAGGAGTTGCATCCTGAATGGCACTAAACTGTTCTCCCTTCAGCTGTTTGTACTTTTGAGGTCGTTCGTAATCACTTACGCAGGTTGCGATTATCGAGGAAAGTCTCACCAGGCACGAAGCGATTCGACCCGCGTTACTCTTTTGTAAAGCGACTCAGAAGAGGTGATTCTCAACGCAGGCATGACAATGTTGCCGGTCCGAAGTCGCAGCGCGCGCTTCGCGCGTTTGGACAGCGTGAGGTTACATGCGGGCTTTCGCGGCTTCAAAAGAATCGGAGACCCGTGTGAACGAATTTGTCAGATACAAGACACATAGTCATTATGTATCGTGAACAGTTTGGGCAAAGTCGAATGATTCAGTCCCATTCCTGCGCTCACCTCCGCCCTGCACGCTAGGCTCCAACCAGTCAAGGGCGACGCCAACCCCTGTTGCAGCCCGCCTCATCCCCCACTTTCGGAGCTCCCCCACCACTCACCACCTCCTTGTGATTCGCTTCGACGAGGCTACGGTATCTGATATGCCGGAAATTCATCGGCAGTCTCGAGCGACGGAAAAGTACGCCCTTTACACCCTTGAGATCCCGCCTAGGTGGGAACACTTGCTCGATGCAGTTGGAACCGCGCGACTTTATCTGTGGGAGCCGCGCCATAGCGCCTTGGAGAACACCCGATCTATTGCCGCTTCCGATTCCCATCAACAAGCATTTCGAAGCTCGACTTACTTAAGGACGCTCTCCCTGGTTGTACGAACCGTAGCTCTGGAACGTTTTACCACCTCTGAGGGACACCAAGGGCGCAATGTCGGCACCCGAGATCACGACCGTCCATGATCGAACATCTGGCGATGGGAAAGATGACAAGCAAACCCAGGCTGTCGATGTTGGAGATGTCGAGTCGGTCATTGAGAAGGGCACAGCGCCCGCCCTCTACAGCAAAGTATCTGTCTACCTAATGATGCTGTTCTCCGGTCTTGCATTGGGATCCGATGGTTACAACGCCGCTGTTATGAGCAATCTTAACCTTCTGTTGACGGTCATCTACCCCGATACACTGTCATCAGACATGAAGGCACGACTCTCGAACGCTTTCCTGATCGGAATGATAGTGGGCATGGTCGGGTTCGGTGTCGTAGTGGACCAACTCGGCCGCAAGACTGGTGCCGTTTTGACAACACTCATCCTCCTTCTTGGTATTGCGTTGAGCACTGGCGCTAGTGGAACATCTCCACTTGGTCTCTTCTGGATGCTTGTTGTTGCTCGCGGCATTGCCGGCGTGGGCGCTGGAGGAGAATACCCCGTAGCTGGTGAGTCTTTACAATTCCGCTTGTATTTGTAGGCTTGCTAAATATGCTAGGCGCTGGTGCTTTGGAAGCCTCCGATGAGGCGGGCCACTTCCGAAAGCGACGAGGATTCCTGTTTGCTATGATTGGCGATCTTGCAGCCGGTCTAGGATACTGCTTTGGTGCGTTGGTACCTCTGCTACTGCTTCTATGTGTCAACAAAGAAGTTGGCAAGTACCACATCGTTTGGAGGACTGCTCTCGCACTTGGTGCTATTCCCCCTCTCTCTATCTTCTATTTCCGCATGCGCATGAAGGTCTCAACTGCTTACCGCAAATCCGCGCTTCGAAAACAGAGGACGCCTTACGTACTGATCGCGAAGAAGTACTATCGACGACTTTTCGGTGCCGCTCTTGGTTGGTTCTTGTACAACTGGATCTCCATTCCGTTCGGCATTTTCGGATCCACTATCGTTTCGCGCATGAACCCCAACAACTCGCTCGTCCAAAACCTGGGCTGGGGAGTTGTCATTAACGCGTTTTATCTGCCTGGGCCGTTCGTTGGTGGTTATCTATCGGACAGGATTGGCCGCAGGAAGACGCAATGTCTTGGCTACACTCTCCAGGCAATCTTGGGTTTCATCCTTGGTGGCGCCGGTCAGCAGATTCAAACCGTGTTTCCACTTTTCATCGTCTTGTACGGCATCTTCCTCACCCTCGGCGAGGTCGGTCCCGGAAGGTAAGCGCAGGTCACACAAGTGACGCAGTTCGCCGCTGACATTCCACAGTACTGTGGTAATTACGGCTACCGAACCTTTCCCCACCTCTGTGCGTGGTCACACTATGGGCTTTATTTCAGCTTGCTCTAAGGCTGGAGCCGCCATTGGTACTGAGGTAAGCGGCTTCGCTATGGGGAAGGTCATGCAGAACACTTACACCGAACAGGTCTTTACTGCTATCATGGCTTCATATACCGATCCCAATAAGTCGAACCAGGTCGCCTTCTTAGTCGGATCAGCTTTCGCTGTTCTGGGTGCGTTGAACGCTTGGTTCGTCATTCAAGACGGCTCGAAAGTACTCGACAATGAGGACGAGATCTGGAAAGACTATCTGATTGCTAACGGATGGGATGCCAATTGGGGTGACCAGGAAACTGAGGACCCCAAGCATACCCGGAACCAAGCGCTTCTGCCCACCTCGTAAGTATGGCGGGGTGCATGAAGAGCCCACCCGTATACTGGCACTGCGACCGCATCAGGTATCAGATGCAGCAGCTCTGGAATGTCTTTAGTAGAGCGATGGATGGGTGCGAGACCAATGCGCCCAATATAATGTCCCAGAGCGACATGAATCCATGATCCAAAGCGACAACCCAAAGCGACAATATCCATCAATCTAGAGCGATAAGCATCAGGCACCCCAAGCGACAGACTTCTACTTTCGAAAGCGGCATTGTGACAGTAGGCAATTGACCATGCTGAGCCATGGCTGTGCGATCAGAATTGAAGAGCCATAGCGCCATGAGATACCACACTTAATACATCAATACCAAACACGCGTTTTAAACAAAAGTACTTCGAAGTGAATTGGGTATCTTAAAGGAAAGCTGACTGTCCAGTCTATATCTCCGCGCCTTCTCTACCTAACATAGGAAATCTCGTCCGCCGTGTTATCCTTACATTGAAATCGTGCACCACCATAATGGCAAGCGACTCAACGTGTAGGGGTTTCTTGTTGTCAACAATCGCAAAATCGAACCTCCGCATCAATTCCACAAACAGCTTCCGCACTTCCATATACGCAATGTGTGTACCCATACACTGGTATTTACCCGCGCCGAAGACGAGTGCAAGCGTCGACTTCATGCGTGTGAGCCTGACGCCATCCTCCTCTTCAGCGGCCTCCAACCACCGCTCCGGACGGAAGCAGTCCGCGTCAGGCCCGAATACTGCTTGAGAACGCAGCACGCCGGGTACGTTGGCGCCGACCTGTGTTCCTCCGGGTACTGCATAGCCGCATACGGTGTCGACGCCCTCAGGTGATAGCTTAGACGGCGACACCGAGGGCGGATGCATCCGCATTGCCTCGCGCAGCACAGCATCCAAGTAGGTCAAAGAGCGACTCTCAGCATCCGTCGCTGTTGGATAACTCAGCGCTCCCGAGGCTGTGGCGGCATCGATCTCCTGCTGAAGAGCCATGTAAGCCGGAGGACAAGTCAATAAGCAGAGCATGACCATGCGCGACCAATTGGAAGTCGTGTCCGAGCCAGCAATGATGTGAATGTACACTTGCTGCATCAGCTCATCTCTGGTCATTCCGCTCTGGATGAACTGTTGAAGCATATCATTTTTGGGCTTAGCATCCGGTGCTGTTCTTCGGTCGACCAGATTCTTTGCAAAGCCAAAGAGGATTCCGAACCCGACTTTGTCTCCCTCCTTGGGGACCAAGCACCTGAATGGCCACAACGTTCGCAGACCGGACATCCATGGTACTAAGCCCGCTACAGTGACCATTCGCAGAGAGAGGTCGTTAATTTGTGTCATTCGGTTGATGTCTTCGTCCTTTTGGAGGAATCCGAATGGTTCGCCAAAGGCAAACGCGCCGAGGCAGTCCAGCGCATAAAAATGCATCTTCTCGCCAAAATTCATGAATCGTGCAGAGGTCTCATTTCGACGACCTTCCGCATTTGCGTTGTTGGAAGTGCGGTTTGTCGCGTATTTCCTGTCGATGAGATCGATCAGTTTCGAAATCTGACGATCGATCACTGGCTGTACATCGGTGGAGTACTGATCATTTGGTCAGTTTGAATTTCTTCCGAAAAACCAGCAGTTTGGAAAGGGTTTCGAACTTACGGCAGTGCCCATCTTAGCTTTCAACGCCTTGTGTTTGACAGGATCGCGCTGCGAAGCAACATGCGGGTCGCCCTCGGTAACGCGTCCGGCATCGTATGCCGGGCCTTTGGTGTACTTGGAACGAATACCAGAGATTCTCCTCAGCTCATCCGGATCCGAGCAAAGCAGAAGATTGGGACCAATGCGAACAAGATCGCCATATTTGTTCCCTGCATCAACCATGGAGGGGAACAAATTCCCCAACCACGCATGTTTCAGCAACCACAGAATTGTGAAGTGTGCAGCTGGTGGACCGGGAATATGGGAAAGCCGTCGCCATGATCGGTATTCCGAAAGTGTGAGTAGAATGAAAGAAAAAATAAGGAAGGAGAGGAGACCTAGGGTTGATAACCTCCAGATGGAATCCTGCGTCGAAAACGAAGGAACAAAAGAGTGTGCTGCTGCCTCGTTGGCAAGGGTAAGAGATGTAAAAGATTGGTCAACCATAATGCCGGGACAATATGCTGTGTAACTGAGTACAGTAAGCCCTGGAGACGAGCGCCTGGTACTTGGGAAGAATCAATTGAAGACGGCAGTACTTTGCGATGCAGTCGGGTAACGAGCACCAGGTACTTGGGAAATAAGTCATTATCAATTGAGGACGGCAATACTCTGCGACCGATTTGCTTGTGATCATGATGACAAGGGTGTATGGAACCCACTCTATGCGCTCGATTCTGCCTCGCTTTTCCCAAAGCTGGTAGTCGACACCGTTACTATTTGCAGCTGTCAAGGGCACTTTGGCACTCGATTGCTGTCGCACCATGTGGTCTCGGGAATATACAAGAAGGTTTCAAGATATCCAGCAGGTTGCTAGCCAGATGGGGATCTATTCGTTCTGGTGCCTACCGTTTGAGGCATGGCGCCGAGGCCTTAGTCTGGCACGTGTTGGCGAAGTTTCATGATCGGCGGTTTGGTCGTTCCAGAATGTGGATCCATGCTGATTTGATTTTTGAGAAGTCGAGCTAAAGACGCGACCATGTCACGTCACTGATTTGAGTATATCGCGCGAACCAGGGGCACCGCCTCAACTAGCTTGGACCCCATATTCTTCCGTGCAACCGTCAGCACAGCTTCAGTGTATTTACTATGGGTCGGCACGGCACGCATCTGGTTATTGTACTAGACAGGGTGAGCTAAAAATGTAGGCCAATTACCTTCCATGGAAGAATGCGCCGTTGAGTGCAAGGCCGTGGAGATGGCGCAATGGAAGATAGGCTGTCTGGGAGCGCAGCTCGCAAGCAGACCGCCCCGGTAGCAGTCACCCTAGAACACGTGCACCTTGTTGAACATTTCGTGGATCAACACGCGCATCACTGCCCTTTGTACCACAGTAAAACTCCGGCTCCGACATCGACCGCATGCAAGACGGGGGCGGATCCGGTACCTGGCGCACACGCGAGAAGGATCAAGTCCGTAGAATTAAGCTCGTGGGGTATACGATTGCCCATCATGGATTCCAGCAAGACTTGGATCGGCATGTTTTGGACCCCAAACTAGCGCGAATGTTTACAATCCCGTAGATGAAGAGCGCGCTAGAAGACGCCTTGTGAAACTGCAATTGGGCGTTCTCGCACAGCCAAACAGCCTTCGAAGACGCGCTAAATCGTCTATTCCGGGTCGACGTTATCAAGGCCCCACAGGATATCGCGAAGATGTTACTGGACCTGGCATTCCCGCACGCGGCTGACATGTCCGCACGTACATGGGTCACACATGGTGCTCCAGTGTTACCATCATCGGTGAATTAATTTCCGGAACTCATTGGACCCAGCACGCGGGCTGTGCTGCACGTTGCACAACCCAGGTTGTCGGCGAATCTTGCCTTGCGCTCGGGACTGGCTCTATCGCAACGTGCTTCGACGCACGAGTGACAACTAGTACCTACGTAGGATGTAAGAAAGCGCCCGCATGCGTGGGAGCATAAAGCTCGCGGCTGCACCCCACTGTCATGCTCAGTGCTTGAATCCTTCGGGTCTTCTCACCATCAGCATAGACCAGGAGTTTCTTCCTTCGCATCTTGCACTTTTCTATTAAGTCCACGCGGACTCGCTGCATCTTTGCGCAAGTCAAACAACATGTCCAGTAACATGGCGACGGCGTCACCTTCACCGGCGGAGACTGCTGCACTCTACCAGACTACCAAGGAGCTCATCACAGAACATGCTTTCAAGGTAGGTACAAACAATCTCCACAAGCTTCGAGGATTGGGCTAACTATGTTCCGCTACAGATCGTTATTTGGCTCGGAGTCGGCATATGTGCCACCGTGTGCATCCTGCGGTTCTGCATCAGATCCTTGATTTTCCGGCGCCTCTTCGTTGAGGACTACCTCATGGTAGCCGCCATGGCAGTTCTCATCGCCATCGCTGCAGTCCTTCAGGTCTACCTGGGGGATCTCTACGAGCTGCTCCACGTTCAGAACATGTTGAAAGCTCCTGGACCGGACTTCATGAACCAGATGACTCGAGGACTCAAGGGAGACGCCATTGCAATCGTCCTGAGTATCATCGGCTTGTGGATGATCAAATTGAACTTCCTGCTCTTTTTCTACCGCATTGGGTATCAGATCAAAGCCTATCTGATTACTTGGTGGGTAGCGCTTGTGCTGGTGATGGCCTGCGGTGTCATCAATCTGGGTATGGTTCCTTACGACTGCATGCTGGGCGATGTTATGCACATCACCGTTACTTGCGCAATGGAGTCAAGGGTGTCAAAAATCTACACGCTCTACGTTGTCTCGGTTGTCATCGACGTGCTCTCTGATTTGATCAGTAAGTCATTTCCGCCACGACCCTGCTCCAACACGACTGACTCTACAACTACAGTTATGGCTTTCCCCATTCTGATCGTCTGGAAGACTGGACTGAACTGGCGCCAGAAGCTTGTTCTATCCAGCGTTTTCCTCCTTGTCGGCTTCACGATTGGCGTGACCATCGTCCGCGGCAGCATCTTCGGTGGCGTGTACAAGTCGGTAACGCAGACCAACCGCCAAGTCATCGACTCTTCGTGGATGCTTTTCTGGTGGTACATCGAGTTCATCGTCTCCTTCGTCATTGCTTGCCTCATCTCTTTCCGTTCGCTTTGGTCCAGCAAACGCGACGAGAACAACGCGAACTACCGCCAGCAGCTCGTTGTAAAGCAGCACAACATGGAGCTCCAGAAGAGCTCTAGGCCTTCAGGGTCAAATGGTAGCGGCAACAACAGCAGCACGAAGAGCAAGTGGAGGAGATTCCACGACGACTTGCTCACCACCTTCGCCGACCTCGAAGGTACCACCATCAACGATGATAGTTCTTTCCTACGCCTCCAGCCCCACCTTGCAACGATGGACCTGGACTTTTCGACATTTGGCAGGAACCCCAGTGTTGGCTCGACTAGCGAGATGACCAGGAAAGACTCGGCGAACGCGTCGACACTAGCCCCCAAATCGCCTCCGATGGCGTATTCACCAACAATGCATTAGAGTAGTCTACAGGCCGAAAGTTGCCATCGAGGTGCTCGGAGGGGTACACAGCCGCTAACCGGCGCTATTTCATGCTAGAACCTACCAAAAAAACATTATAATTAGCAAAAGTGATACCAGACAAGCTTTGAATGGATGACCCCCAAGTGCCCAATGCGCCGTCTGCCTTAGCGGTTGCACCCATGCCCTTGCGAAACGTTTTACAACTCCGACGAGCCGTTTCCCAACCCCGTGCTTTGGTGACCCCACAGATTTGGGGGCTGTGACCGAAGATTAGGGTGGTGGGACCGTCCGAGCAACGTTGATTTTAGCGTTGCTGCGCCTTCCTTCTGCACTCTATTGCTCCTGCCCAACTCAGCCCGAGCGCCCACGGCTCCTTCCGCCGCTGTATCAGTGCGGTTCCTGAGCATTATTTTCCGACCTGCAGCTCCGACAAGAGCGCTCCTACGCTACACCTCGTGAACCCGACACGGACTTACCCACTTGTCGCCAACACCGATCATGTCGGAATATATTACACCGCTGAACGTGTTTGCTGGCATCGTCGTCGTCATCGCCTCCAGTTTCATCATGCCTGAATTTCGAGAAATGGCCAAAGTTACCCTCTTTGGGTCGGGTAACAAAGGCGGTGCCACGTTCAGTCCCGAAAAAGATATTCCATCGCTGGCAGGCAAGGTCGTACTCATTACCGGAGCCGCGGGTGATCTAGGCCGGCAAACGGCCATCGAACTCGCAAAGTATGGTCGACCTGCGCGCATTTATGTTGCAGACCTGCCACGTGATGAAGCGCAGAAGAAAGCAGTCGTGGATCGCATCAGCCGGGAAGCCTACGATGATCAAGCGGGGGAAAACACGACCACGCCGAGTACCGAGATGCGCTTCATCGACTTGGATCTGACGTCTTTCGACAGCGTCCGAGCGTGCGCTGCGGAATTTGCGGCAAAGGAAGAGCGTCTGGATATCCTCGTTCTCAACGCAGGTATCATACGTGTCGCGAAGGGGACGACGAAGGAAGGATATGAGGTCCACTTCGGTCTCAACTATCTAGGCCATGCGCTGCTGGCGAAGTTGCTTGTCCCAAGCCTTGAGAACACTGCAAAGCAGGGTGCAGAACCGCGCGTGGTGGTCGTTTCGAGTGAGGGCCACGCCATGGCGCCTAAGGGTGGGATCCAATTCGATAAGCTGAAGAGCGAGTGCGCGTCCATGGTACGAAATTGCCCCTTCACCTTTGTCCGTCAGAGGTTATACTAACACATTGGCCTTGTAGGACTACTCGCAAAGGTACGGCCAGAGCAAATTAGCCCTCATTCACCTTGTGCGACAACTCGCAAAACATCACCCTGAATCCAAGGTTGCCGCGGTGCATCCAGGAAGGATTCTGACAGGCATGGCGGATGCACTGAAGAAAGAAAGCTTCCTCGTCAAAATCACAGCGCCTATCGCACCCTTCTTCTGTGTGCCGGTATCTGTCGGCATCATCAACCACCTGTGGGCGGCTACTAGTCCAAATGTAGTAAGTGGTACGTACTACGAGCCTGTAGGCGTACCTGGAAAGGAATCTGCGTTGGCGAAGGATGAAGCGCTCTCTGCAAAACTGTGGGAATGGACTGAGGAGCAATTCAGCGGTGTGAAGCCGTTGTAAGGAACGAAAGACTAATGTAAAAGTGCGCTGGCGCTGCTACGGGAGACAGACTGGACGACCAAGGAGTGACTTGGCTGCCATCACGAGCATCCAACGTCAATCTTGTACAATATCTTCCCGCGTATTAGCCATATATTGTATCCACTAGGAAAATCTTAGAGCCCCGTTATAGCCTCGTATGTATCCCTCGACCCTGTCAGATTGCATGCTTCGGCGATTTGATGCGATCATCTACCAGATAGATTACGTTTTGAAAACTTCTCTGATTCCGAATCATTCGTATCGTCTCTCTTCCTTTTCTTCCTAATCGCCAGCTCTCTTTGGACGATATTTCTTTCCACTTCGCTACCTCCGCCCGCCTTTTCGAGCATTTGGACAATATCACGGTGGAGACTCATTCCGGAAGGACAAAAATGCAGATCGCTCACGGTCGAGAGGAGCCAAGGAGAACTCCTCTCGTGGTTCACGCGATCCAAGGCGAGAAGCCAGGGCGAATCTCCGTCTTCGTCTACAAGATTAGGGTCCGCCCCGAGTTCAATGAGCTTCTGAACGGTAGCGTCATTGCCCCTGTTAACAGCGTAATGCAACGGTGAGCGTCCATGATAGTCTTGGTCGTTCACATCAGCGCCGGCCTCCACAAGAGCCTGGATGAGGGGGTCGAAGTTCCGCCGCTTACCCGGAATATGGATGGTCCATTCTGCGATGAATGAGAGTGCGGCCCTACCAGCTAGCTTCTTTACGTCGCTGGGTTGGTCAATTCCGTATGACCTGAGCATTTCGAGGGCAGATTGATCGTGGACCCGGTGAGTGACGTCGGCACCAGCTGCCAAGAGCATATCTGCGATTCGGTTCTTTCTAGAGTAAATCGCAACGAGGAGTGGAGTAACGCCGTTTTCATCCGCGAAGTCGGTACCAGCGTTGTGCTGAAGTAGGAGCTCGACGATGGTCTCGTGACCTCGTTTTGAGGCGAGTAGCAGAGGCGACTGATTGCCAAAGTCGAGAGCATTGACATTAGCGCCCTGCGTCAACAGGAAGCGTGCGATCACATGACGGCCTGCGAGTGCAGCAATGTGTAGTGCTGTACGCCCATCGTAGTCTTCGGCATCGATGTTAGCGCCGTGTTCGATAAGCAGCTCGACTGTGGTATGCCGCCCTTCAGAAGTTGCCTCCATAAGCGCTGTGACACCGGCAAAGTCTTTGGCTGCTAGGTCACAGTCCTCTTTCTCGAGAAGTTCTGCTACCACTTCCCTAAGCCCGAAGTGAGCGGCAAGCTGAAGCGCTGTTACACCCTTCAGGTCGATAAGCTTGAGACCTGCTGCCTCAACATTCTTCGGTCGCTTTAGAAAGTCCATGACGCCCGGATGTACGCATGGAAGATCACGAGCGTGGTTGCCCCAGTGGTCGATCGCGTACATATAGAATGCATGGTAATATCTCAAATCAACCGGAGCGTCTGCACTGCCCGTATCGTAAATCTTGAGTACCTCTTCATCAGTAGGAATCCAGTCTGCGCTCTCGACATCAGAGCATTCGAAGGGGTCTACTCCTTCCTCGCTTTCACGGAAGGAGAGATATGTGGTGCATACGGCTACTATATCACTCCTGGCGTTGGGTGACCATCTCTGTAAATTGCGTTGGAAAAACTCCTGAGCTGTATAATGAATCAGCCTGACAATGCAGCTAGACTCATCAACCACGATAAGACCTATGCACGCAGAGACGACGTCTTTGATGTCTGAAATGTTACTTGGATCAAGGTTTGGTTCCCCGATCTCCACGGCAAGCGCTACTCGCAACATTGCTATTGTCATGGGCGTCTTTGCGAAGGCAAGCCAAGCTAAAGCATCCATGGCGAGCTCTCTTTGGCCCTGTGGCTGCCCTTGAATTCGATCCATAGCAACTGTATAAGCGTAGTCGTAAGCTTCAGACGCAAGCACTGCTTTATTGTCTTTTACCGAGCGCGCGCGTAGCTTTTTCAATAGGATACGGACGGCTTTGGGTGATCTCGCTGTTTTGAGAGACTCAAGGTGAAGTTGTGCCAACAAGAACCTAGCCAGGTATTAGCAAATACATCGTTATAGTGGTGTCATCAGGAAGGGTACGTACATGCCGTCTACTGATGCAACAATACTGGATATGATTCGCTCTTGAAGACCTGGATCGCTCAATACAAAATTTGGTAGGTATGGCATCTGTTCCTGAAGATAGAGCCGTACATCCTCCGTGGTTGCGCGGATCTCCAGACGCGGGAGACATTCAAATAATGCCTCGATGCTGGGAACGCATCTCGATGTTGCCAAAAGATTCAGTGAACAGCTTTTCTGAAGGGCAAACATGGTCGTCATTAGCTGTTGCGTGACTTGACATTCGTCAAGCGCATCAATGAGGATGAAAACTCGCGGAAAAGACCCGATCACAGCGCTTATGGTGTCTAAAACCTCTTGCAAGATAAATTTATCTCGACCTTCTCGGTGCCGCTTATACAAGTCGATGACCGCTTCGGGCAACAGACGCATTTGGTCCACCAACTGCCTTAGGAGACTAACCAAGAGGTTCTCAAGCGTTTGTTCATTCTGGTAACTGTAATTGCAATACAGCATCGCAATCTTGGCATGGCTGGTGCATTCACGATTGACCCGTAGGTCTTGGGCAATAACTGAGGTGATATAGGTTTTCCCGGCTCCGGGAAGGCCAGGGCAGAATAGTGTCTGACTGTGGAGATTGGACCAGGTCTTGTAAGCTTCAGAACGGACAGCCCAATTGCCCATGCCAAGATGATTTGTTCTTGATTCTGGATTCTGGAAGAGTTGCTTGGACGGCGTCATCCACCGGAGTATCTCCTCGCGTTGAATGTCTACCTCCTTGCTTGTAGTTTGTTTCTGCAGGCGATCGAGTGCAGATGTAACGGTGTGCTGAGTCGTTTGGATTTCTGAGATGCCTTTTGTCATTTCTTGATAATGATCAACGTTTGCCTGCGCGTTGTCTCGAATCGATTGTGCAATCTTGTCGATTTGACGACTGATCTTCTGAGAACGGGCGTGCAAATTGTGTAGCAACCTGCCGGAATCGTTCTGCAGAGAAAGGGACAGAGAATTCATCTCTCGGTCAATAGTCGTCATCAGTTCCAGGACCTGCATCCTTTTAAAAGGCCACGTCAAGCGCACATGTACTTTATCAATTTTGGAAAGTTCCCTTTCCAATGGCTCCAGCGCTTTTGCAAGTCTGTGTAGAGGGTTATTGACGGATTCAAGTTTGCGTATAGATACAGCCCAGGTCGGATTAGCATTTGGATCGTTCAAGTCTTCCTTGAGTAGTTGAAGAACATGGCTGCAGCCTTCAAGCTGATCACAAAGACGTTCTCTTTCATCTCTCGCCCCGTGAGCGGTTCTTGCGTACGTAATGATGAAACCTGAAAGCTGAAGCACAGCAATGATGCTTGCGGCAGTCTCCATGGTGCGTACAAGAGCGACGTCGTTATGGCCGGGCTGAAGACATGTTCTTGTATTTTGTGACACCTGGGTTCAGCCATGGATGCAGGCAGCGAGGCGCAGCCGAATTTTCGCTTCCCCTTGCGATTCGCCTGATCTGGTCAAATACGAGACAATACAAACTCTCCTGTCATCTCATGCTGAGCATTGTCCTTTTCGACCTAGGGATGACAGTCGGAGTCGATGTATGAACAGTGTCGTCGTCCTAATGTAACGCCAAGACATTAGCATGTGAACAGGTGCGCATGACGCGTGGCTACCAACAACATTCTCGGAATTCTGCGCAATGCCACTCTACACCTACAATGCGTAATCTTCTTCACCACGACCGGTCTCCCGCTTCCACGCCCTCCGTACTGCCCGCTCCCGACGTCCGCGATACTTAACAGCCGAATGCGCGAGCGACCACCCACTGCGAGTCGCCACAAGGCTCAACCCCGTCCAGCATGACCTCCGTCTTCTCGTCGCTGGTGCGGCCTCCCAAACTGCTCAGCAAAGGTCTTGGACAGACTGCTTCAGATGTACTCGCCACTCTCCCCCTGTCGGCGCCTAATCCTGAAGCCGTCGACCGCGACCTCCGCGATCTCAATGCCGCATTGCAGACCCTCTCCGAGATCTTCCCGGACCTTCAGCCCGAGGTCTTCCGCGAAATGCTCTCTTCGCTAGGCCCTGAAAGCAGGGTGCAGGTAGTCACGGAACAACTGCTTCGCAACGGCGTGAAATGGGCGCGGGGGCGCTACCGGATGCCGACCGAGCAGGAGGAACAACGCGCCGTAGCGCACAAGTACAAGTACCGTAATGTGGATCCCGAGAAAGATACGCGCGGCAATCCACTGGCAAGAGAAGACAAGTTCCGGTCGAAGGGATACAAGGAGGCAGCGAAGGAGGCGCTCTACGGCGAGTTTAAAGGATTAAGCCACGCGACAGTCAAAGCGGTGCTCGCCGAGTACAACTGGAGTTACACGCAGGCGCGACCGACGCTCTTGGTTCTGTCGAGCCAGAGCTGGCGTTCAAGCATCACAAACTTCTTCATGCGGAGGAAGGCCCCGAGTGCGGATGATCATCCGCTCATCATGTGGCTCGCTCCGGATGCCAAAACAGGACGTGGGCGGAAGCCGCTGCTGGTCAAGACTAAAAGTCTAGAGCTGGACCAAGAGCTGTATGAGAGTTTGATAAGGCCGGAGTTGGAAAAGCAGCGGAAAGACCAGGTGCAGCAGGACCTCGAGTTGGCGCTGAAGTGGAATGAGGAAGAAGCCGAGGCAGAAGGGGAGATGTACGACTGCGAATGCTGCTTCATCCCGAACACGTTGCAGCAAATGTCCACATGCGATGTCGATGGGCACTACATCTGCTTCAGGTGCATACGGCATGCAATCAACGCTGCGCTGTACGATCAGGGATGGGCTCGCAACATCAACACAGAGCTCTGCACGCTCAAATGCATAGCTCCCATGACGGACAGCATGGACGATTGCACCGGATGCGTTCCTCTCGCTTTCGTCAAGCGCGCTCTCTTGGAAGAGCCTGACGGCGAAGACGCGGTACGGAAATTGAACGAGCGATTCACAAACGAAGCAATGCTCAAGTCACAACTTCCCCTCATCCGCTGCCCTTTTTGCCCCTACGCCGAGATCGACGACCTTGCACTTCCCTCTGCAAATCTAGTACGCAGCCTCCGTTTCAGGAGAGAATCCCTCCTCGCCTCTGTCTCCCTCTTTCAAGTACTCTGCTTCCAAGCCGTCCGCATCATCGCATTCGTCTTCATCCTATTCATTGGCCTTCTCATCATCATCAACACCGCCCTTCCCACGCCCCTCCCCATCTTTTCCTCCATTCAAATGGCGTTGAGACGCATCCACCTCAAACGCCGCGGTCTCCGCTTCCGCTGCCAGTCCCCGACGTGCGGCCGTTCTTCGTGCTTGAGCTGCTCCGGCCCCTGGCACGACCCGCACACCTGCTACTCCTCCCAACTCACCTCCCTCCGCCTCACCCTCGAACGCGCCACCACCGACGCTGTAAAGCGCACCTGCCCGCAGTGCAGCATGTCCTTCGTCAAGTCCGAGGGCTGCAACAAGCTCGTCTGCACGTGTGGCTACGCTATGTGCTATGTGTGCCGCGAGGGGCTGGCTGGCGTTGGATACCAACACTTTTGCCAGCATTTCAGGGCGGTTCCGGGGAGCAAGTGTATGGAGTGCGACAAGTGCGATTTGTACCGCGTGGAGGACGAGGCGATTTCCGTGCAGAAAGCGAAGGAACGGGCTGAGAGGGAGTGGTGGGAAAGGCAGGGTAGCGGGGCGCAGGTTGGACTGAAGGAACGGGCGGGGAGGCAGAGGGTTGGTGCGAATGAAACTTCGGGGCGGTGGCGATGGGTGAGGAGGGAGGACGTTACTGGGTGGATTGAAAATTTTGTCGAAAGTGTGGTCGTGTGAGAGAACTCTTGACGATGCTTGGGTGCTGGCGTTTAACTGGTCTGGTTCTTGGTATACCCCGTTCCTTTGTACATATATGACTATGTCTAGCTCTAGATGATGTAATAGTAATCCTCCAGATCCACGTTCTGCTGGTGTAGAGTATGTGCTATAACTTCTGATCCTGCTTGTGCGGTCTATCCTAACTCCCACACCAATTCCAGACGATGTTCAAATATTGATAGAGCCCCAGAGGCGTTGAGTATGCGTGGGATCACGTATCACACATAGACCGGCATAGGTTAGTGGACCAGATGTAAACGTTGCGACATGCATTCCTACAATTCGAGACGACCAATCAGAGCGCGTACATCGCTCATCCAACCTGCCCATCTCCCATTCACGGCGGTTCCTCTACCCACGACAAAGAATCGTCGTCAGTCAATCCTAGTGAAGATTCTTTAACAGAAAGCTCATCCGAGCACTGTCCCGCAGAAGGCCCAGATGGAGGCGGCGCCACCTTGTCCCACTCCGTCGACAAACTTCCCCCATTATCCAAGTCCTTGAAAATCGCCTGCATCATTCCCTGCTCTATCTTCTTCAACAACTCATGATCCATCCAGTTCTGACTCGTCAGCAGCCACAACCCATGGCTGCCCTTTCCCTCAGGAGCCTTCTGCAGCTTCAGCACGGAGAACTTGGGTACAGCTACCTTGGCGAAATTCCCATCAAAGCCCTTGTCTAGAAAGATAGCCGAGGACATCTAATCCACGAGGAGGGTCTCTATGGGGTGCCCGTTCTTTTCCTCGCCCGTATTGGTGATGGCCCAGGCGCGGTAGAGTTCGCTGGAAAACTGGATGGGGAGTGCGCCGCCCGCATCGAGCAAGGGGATGAACCGGTTCATACCTATGGTACGTAAAGGAGGGTCGGCGTTCACTTTAATCATGGCGCTTGGATTGAAGTGGGCAGCGCGATGCGCATTCTGAGCACCGTCGACGAGGGGGAGGTAGGACCTCAGGAACTGCAAAGCTGGGTGATGTTAGCATCGTACATCACTATGTGTCCAAATATGCGCTCACCAGGTGGAGCATCGTCCGGGATTGCCTCATAGTCCCCAAAATGCATGTAGGTGTCCCCTGCCTAACGCGACACTCCGAGTTTCGGAGCTCCTGCCTTCTCTTTCCCTTTGCCATGCGTACTGGGGCGCGGCGTCAACGATCCACTCGACTGTGCATCATCTTCGGTCATGGGAACGTCCGACTCGAGCTCTACTCTTTCTCTTCCCTTCTCCTCAGAACGAGGTGTTGCTGCTCCATTAGACTCTGCATCATCATCTTGCATAATAATATCTAGCTCGAACGTTGAAGGATCGGGGAGTTTGTCTGCCCTGACAACGCCCGGTCTGACAATGTCCGGATCAAGCTCCGCAAATTCGGGGCTATGGTCTCCCATGTTGACAGCCGCCTAAGAGGCCGTCGTGGAATGATGGTGGGGCGACTCGATGATAGGCTGATACACAGCGAGCGACAAAGCGAGGGATGCTGACGCGCGAGAGGCCTGCCACATGCGCCTTGTTAGCTTGATGGGGGATGAATGAGTCGTGCTTGTTTGCTTTGACGTACCTTTGATAGGAATAAGTTTGTGAGCGAGGGCGCAGCTGAAACTGTTGCCTTGTTGCGGGTCTTAGAAGGAGGCCGCGTTGAGGGCGGTGGAGTCGTATATAGCGGGCGTGGAGGGACAAGAGAGTTCCTTCCTCCCTCCTCCATGAGACTGGACTTGCTTTTTCCCTCTGATTTCGGTCAACGTGCCTGCCTGAACACGCGCCTCTCAAGAAAGCCACGACGTTATCGATCGAGCCATGAGCGTGGACGCCGTCTCGTCAGCCCCAAGATCGCGCAGCGTTTGTAACGCACAGTGACGAAGATGGCATCCGACAGGACGCCCAAGTACAACCATGTACATTGATCCGACGGTACGGCACGCTAAATATAGAACGCGTTGAGAGATAACGCGCATCCACGTGATTGGCATCACGATCCAACCGTGCCGAAACGTTCACCGAAGAAGCGCTGTACGACCCAGTATGCTTCATGAAAACACACCTTTTCAAAGAATGAGACCAGGCTCGCAACAAACTGTAGACCTCGAGATGTTCTCGGTCATGAGGACGACGAGACGGAGTGCAATTTCCCCGCCCTGCCAGGCTTCATGGATTGGCTGGCGGATCGAGGGTTGGCGCCCCCTTGAATAATGCACTTGCCCGACGGCACCACGCCTGTCACTCCCATCCTCACAGTGCTCTTGCACACGCCCTCCGGCATCGAAAATGCACTTCCATCACTGCTAACCACCTGGACTGACCGATTTGCAGACAGCAGAGCCGCACTGCGCACGCCAGAATGCGAAAGCCACCGGTCTGCCACAGCCACAGCACCCCGCCAATCGTTGGAGGGAGGCCGTTCATACGACGACTGGCCGCCCTCCATCCAAGACCTCGCGCGCAACACTGCGCCCTCCCTCCGAACTTCTTAGACAATATTGCTCGCTCTCCTACGCACCCACCATTCCTCACCGCTCTTGACTTGCGCAGTCGTCGTCGCTGTCGCACTCCCCTCCGTGCTCTGTCACCCTCATTGTCGTCCTCTCACTGTCCTTAGGCATCCACCATAGCATGTACACGCTCCTCGTGGTTGCGGTGCTACTCGCTCTCTTCTTTGACACTGCAGCAGCGTCGAGCCCCGTCATGGACCCGACGATGCCTGCCATGCCTGCGCCATTCGGGTCGTTGTATCCAGACCCAGATGGCATGCTATCTAACATATGCGACCTCTGCGCCATGCCCGTGGATGCCTGTTTCCATGCTTTGGTATCCACCTCTCGCTCACTGCATGGCCTTCTTGTCGCTGACTGCCGTAGACAACGTACCAGGTTCAACAAGTGACGCCCTTCACAGCGGAAACCTTCTATGAGCACCCAGAGTGGCCGCAGAATGATTCCTACGCCGTCACCGAATCGATGGTAGAACCCGCAGCTGCACCCGTACCCTTCTCCTACCCTTTCGCCGAGCAGTCCCGGCGTCCTCTTGTGGATGCGAACGTCCGTCGACTGGACGACAACGCCACTACCGTGAATCCCAGCACCGTACAGATGCATGTCGAGGACACCTACACACCGGGCGATCGATTGGTAGTGACTACCTCACGGCGACCAGGCCACAAGCGACAAGCACCGCGACCGTGTGGTTTCCCATGCGTTTTCGAAGGCTGTGGGAGGACATTCGATCGCTCTTGCGATCTCAAGTGAGACCTCCCACTCTCTTTGCGGATGGGCGTTGTGGGGTAGACGTGCCAATGTTGTGCATGTAGACTCGCTGTGCATCTTTACACCCAACAACTAGCAATACGCCCTCGTACAAGCGTCGGTACCGAAGCTAGTTGCAATCGCGCATGCTAACGTTCTATCAGACGTCATCAAAAGACCCACCTGATCCGTTCTGAGCGGCCTCACAAATGCTCTTTCTGTCACGAAGGCTTCTTGTACCCTAAAGACCGCACCCGACACGAGCGCACCCATGACGAATCTACTGCGTCTCAGAACCAACTCTTCCGCTGCCCAGTGCCTGGATGCGCCAATCCTGGCTTCTCTCGACGCGACAACTTGCTCCGTCACCAGAGGAAGCAGCACCCGCACATGGGCTCTCCACAAATGAGCCCTTAGTGATGCTTCTAGTCCTACACGTTCGTGCTTTGGTATGGGTGTCTATGCTATCCCAGTATGCGCCATAGCACATCAGGCATTGCGTCAAGTCTCGTCTTCCTCATCGTTTTGATTGCTGCATTTCAGCTGCTGCCACAAGATTGGACATTTCCGGCAAGCATTGGCGTTGATTTCGCGTTCGGCGCATGAGCCTTTTATTTTGCGCTACCTATTCTCGCTCTGATTTTGGCTCTTCACATGTGCTCCAGGGAGCACGTGAAGAAATATGGTTTGTTTTGGAGTATACCCCTCTTCGCGCCTGGTGGTGCTGGATAATACCTACGCCTGGTCGTCATGCTCGTCATGGCATGTGCCGCGTTTTCATGATTCACGGTTGGTTTCACGGTTGGTTCTTTTCCTTGCTGTTATCATATCAAAAGTGTTCTGCATACAGATTGGCTGTCTTCACTGACTTTACGGCATGATGCCACTTACGGTTTGCGCGCTTTGGCGTCGCTTTTCTCTTTCTTCATACCCTGAGCTGAGTTCGACCTCTGCGGAGCGGGTCCTACGAGTGAGGATGCTTTGGTGGACCTAAATATACTCATCCTCTTAATTACTTCTACGCTCAACTGGTGAACCTTTGCTGATCCCTTTCTTACGTCCACGTTGTATTTGATGACTGAAACGGCGGCACATGGCTGGCTACCGTATAGGCACACTTAAGATTCAAAAGCTACCGCCTACAACCATAACAGAGTCCGAGTATAACCCGAAGCAGTCAGAACAGCTCGCTCATCGGGAAGGCACCCTGAAGACGACGACACTATTGCAAAAGAAATAACACTCATCGTAAGCGTCAGCCACTCATGGTTTCTAAGACGAGCCCTCGTAACTGGACCTACCACCGGATGTAGTAGACGAGGTGAATGCTAGACCGCTTAGTGGCTCCTTACGTGGCTAGCCCGCTTAGTTCAGAATCGCGTGCAAGATCGAGTCTTTTCACAACCTCATTTTCACCCAGATACACCGAGTCAACATCTAGAAACATGTGGCCCTTCAAAGCACTGACCGAGGTTTTGGGCCTTCCGCTCAGCTATATGAATACTATCGGCGGCAAGCTTCTCAAGACCAACCCCCGCGACCTCGACCTCAACCTCGACCTCAAACTCGACCGCACAATGGCTCCGTCCCCGCACCCGATCATCCCATTCACGATGTACCCTTCCGAGTCCGGCCACCCCATTCGCTTCCTCGTCGGCCCGGCCCAGATGCCGTTCGATGTCCATAGCGACATCCTCGACGATTGGTCACCCGCGTTCTCTCCAAACCTACTTTCCGTCAAGTCGCCTCTAGGTATCCCGTCCATGACGCCAGAACACTTCGGAACCTTGACCAAGTGGCTCTACGATCGTGTCCCGCCTACGTTCAAGGCCGCCTCGGACCTGCTGCGGATTTGCGAGTTGTGGGTTGCGGCGTGTCAGCTCGGCCTCTGGGCTCAAGCCAACACGCTCATGCGGCTCGGCATGGAACTCATGCAGCCTCCGTCGTACATCTGCTCCAAGGATACCGTGCACTGGGTGTTCTCCAACACGCCCGCTTCAAGCCCACTCCGGGGCTACATCATCGCTATCTTTGCGCAGCGGAGCCAGTTCGTGTTGGACAACACGAGTCCATATGACGCAGAGATCTACCGCCTTACCGCTTCCTTCCATCGGAATCTTGAGCACGCGCGGAAGGTGCTTGACTGCAAGAAGGCGGGCGTTGCGTGGGGTAAGGACAGGAATGGGCTTTTCGTCTTCGCTCCCAAGATGGAGAAGGAGTGGAAAGAGGTGGGAGGTCTGCCGATGCCGGAGTATTTGGTGTGGGATAAGGTGGGGATGAACGTGCCGGATAGCTTCTTTGTGCAACCGGGCACAGGGGTGTATAGGGAGGGGCTTGCGGGGTGCTTGAAGTGGATATAGACTTTAAGCTTCGGGTATGGGCCGATTGATGGTGTTCGTTCATACTTCACCATTGGAGAAACGGTCAAGGCATCGGCATGTTAGGCGTTGAAGGGGGTATGAGGGTTTAGCATCATTCATGGCGTTTCAGGGGACTGAATGGGACGAACAGATACCCCTCAATGCGATGATTTTCCTACTCTCGACTTTCAGGATATTCAATACCTACGCATCGTGTGACTACGTATATTTGCTACTTCAAACATCAGTTTTCTCCCGATGCACATGTAGGGTATGCATGGCCTCAAGCAAATTGCTGCTATGATTAGCCTATACAGGCCTATATATTACTTTGGCTTTGGAAAAGAATAGCGCCACAAAAGAAAACTTGATTCTACCTCGATAAAAGCCTTGAACAGATCCTAGCTCCGGCCAAAAACAAAAGCTCTCGTCAACTATGGCTGCGTTGCGAAATGAGCAAAACGATCAACAACGATCAGAAGAGCTTGGCGAAGGCATGATTGGGCCACAAGAGCAGCAACTCCTTGACAAGGGAAATCACAGAAGGCTGCATAGATCGAGACCTTGAGGCCGATCGGGAATCCAGATGTACCTGTATGAAACATTCGAGATCATGGACTTATGGAAGAGGTGGAAGGATAATGGGAGACTGTAGTTTCATATGATGTTATTACAGTTGTCCCGCCATCTGGAATGTTAGCGGGACTGGTAGTAACACAAGATTCCCAGAGATAGTGCAATGAAAGCTTGCTTCTTGGGTGCGATATACATTTGCGAACATTATCATGCAGTTGATAATCAATTAGCAGTCATGCAGTTGTTCTGGAGGCAGATCTTCTTCTAGACTATTGCACTTCTTTAAGTCTCTGCTTTTATTTCCGTGAAATGACTATGTCCTCTGGACTAGAGACAATATGTCGGTACTTTGCAGAAGCGCGCGAGGCCTGCCCTTTAGCACATACAGATCTATTTGACCTCATCATTATTAAGATCTGAGTATTGTATATTAGTAAAAGTACGTCCGAGCCAGGTGGACCACGCTTCTTTAGGGTACTGCGGAAGTTGGAAAGGCTCGGGAGACGACCTTGCCGCTCAATTTTTTACAGATTGAATGATCCTCACATGCCCTTTGAATCGAGTAGATCTAGCGGGTCTCATCTATTAATAAACTGCCAGCTTCTTTAAAACACCATATCTGAGTCTGAGATGTACAAAACAATGCAGAATCGTCTGCCACTTGCGTACGGAATCTCAAGCGTCAATGATACATATATATTTGGTACTGTGAAATATATTATTAAACTAAACAGGTTATATACAGACGAAGCTCCGGTTCTATAATCCGAATTATCACTCTCTTAAGCTCACCCAAAGTAATGGTTTACCAGCGGGTCATACGACGCGTTTCCATAAGCGCTCCCACCGAAGTCAAGATAGCCTGCCACATACGGCTGAGGAACCTTAGACGTGATCTGAGCTTCATCTCCAAACACCCAAGCTGTTTGCATGCCCATAATCATGTGCGCAATGATATGGCAATGCATCATCCACACGCCAGGCTCCGAAACATTGACCCGCCATGCCCGCCACCCGGCTGTCGTGTTCGGCACGCCTTTCTCCGCATACCGATACTGCATCGTAGTATCTCTCACAGCTGGTGTCCAGCCATCCTCTTGGTAAAGCTTGTCCAGCTTCGCATTGTTTGCAGTGGCATTATAAGTCCCATTTCCGGAACCGAGATCCCAGAAGTGACGGCCGTGGGCATGGAACGGGTGAATGTCCCAACCACCGCTCGGACCGTTGTTATTCTCCCATACGATGTCTATGATCTCGCCGATCTTGGCGGGATACGCGAGCGTCTTGGGATCCCATCCGTAATTAGCGATCGCGGCTTCGTAGTTGGGGATCGCTTCTTGGCCCCGCTTGTATATTTCAGTTAGATAGGGATAAGTGATGTTACTCTCTTTCCAGATGTTTCCATTCTGTGCCCATTCGGTCGTACCGTTGACCTTCTGTTGCACTGTGATTACGACGGTGCGGTTAACTGCGCTTGCGGGAGGGAACGGATTGGACGTGGTCTCGTACGGGGTGAGGGAGTACTCCAGCCAGTTTGCGACATCTTGAGGAAGAGTGATTGGCTTTGTCTCTGGCAGAACGATCGTCGACGTAGAGTTGCTTTGGTTATAGCCACCCACTGCAGTATGATATGACAGCAATGCGTAGCCGGAGACATTCGCGGGTCTGTCCCGGTTCTCGTACTGTATCCAGAAGTCTGTGCGGTTCGACTTTTTCAGCTCTTCCGCTGACTTCGTCTTGAAAAGCACAGAGAAACGTTGCCCAGGAGCTACCTGCAGATGGCCAGTGTGAGCTTTCTTCGTAGTTGAACCGTCAGCTTCGATGATAGTCAGGTTGTCATGCCCCTCGATGCCCAGCGTGACTAGCGAGATGACTTGCTGACCGATGAATCTCAGCCTATACGTCCGCTCTGGTTCTACTTTTATAATATGTGGTAGACAGCTGGGGTCGGTGGCATTATCCGTTTGCGCCTTGCCGCTTTGTCCGTTTAGCAGTATCGCGTTCGTCTCTCCGCTCCAAACAAAGGGATTGGCGATGAGACCCTTCTCAATCGTGGCATCGGTCTTGTTGTAGTAGTCTTGCTGGAACAAAATGATGTCTTCGTCATACTGGTAGGGCTCTGGTTCGCAGGAATTCACGATCAGTGGCCCTGCTGCAGTGATTGTCTGGAAGCCGACGTGTGAATGGTAAAAGTACGTTCCAGCTTCTCCTACTTCTGGATGAATCTCATAATCAAAGAAGTGTCCCGGTGCGATGGGCCATTGGCTGGCCTGCGGAGTGCCATCCGAGTATGGTGCAACTCTTGCGGTCAGACCATGCCAGTGCTTGCTCAATTAGCGAATCAATCTAAAGAAGGACCGAAGCTCGTACGACGGTTATGTTTTGGTCAGGGATCTCGTTATACACTCTGATCCAAGTCGTCTTTCCCTCCTCTAGATACAATGCCGGTCCAGGAGAGGTGCCGTTGAGAAGTACTGAGTAGCGCGACTGACAGTCTATTGTGATGTTCGCCGCCGTTGCATAGAGGGCAGTATCGGGTGACCAAGATTTATCGTGCCGGACCAATTCGGCTGTTGCTGGCGACGACCATACAGCGAGCAGGGCCGAAGCGGCAATCACAAAGAGTGACATGGCTGACACATTGTTAAGTGCTTGCTGGGTGTTCCGCTCTTATACAGCCAGAAAGGGTCGCATAAGTTGGGGGCTTTTGTGATGACGGGCGGCCTTGCGGCTGTGCTCGTATGCCCCCAAATGGAAAAGGAGTATGTGACGTCTTAGTGCCCTGTCAGGGTGAGTTTTGTGGGGCCTGAAGAGTACAAAGGCTGCACTTCGGGCGCATTTGGACCGTGCTGGCGGTTTTTAGTGCTGACATTAGCCTACATTTTTACCGATCACAGTTAGCGATCAACAAGTTATTAAAAGGATGGTAAGGCTCAACATTTTGATTCGTTCAGGCGAACGAGAGGTATACTTTCGACTGCACTGCAGCGCTGATCAGCAACTGTAAACTGAATGCCCAGGTGTTAACATAATGGAGAGCCTTTTGATGCTGGTGAAAGTCGCGTAGAGGCTGTCTTTAGGCCTGGGGGAGCATTGATTTTGTACTCGAGAAAAAATCAAGGACATATGCTACGAGGGCCGTTCCACGTCGATCACTAATCTCAGAAATCGTTCCTGGCCCTGGAGAGCGTCGGCGGATATGCCAATGGCCGACATCCGAGACCAGCCGCAAAACAGCCGTAAGCGTATCAGGCCGAGACTAAGGGTGCCAAAGAGTCCACTGTTGATAACATTATGAAATGGGCCGAGCAAGAAGCTGGCACAACAGGCGAGGTTGTGTTCATCAATGGTGGGCTCTGCCGTTACGCTGTAGGTAAGCCGCCAAGTACTGCCGAATACGGCCGTAAAGTTTCGCAATGGATAGTTCAATAGCTTTAAGCATCGCTATATTAGCCAATGATGTGCGTTCGACATTCGGAGGGCTGATTGAGGTCGCGGTGGGCCTCTGCCTGGCGCTATCCGGACGTGATGCTTTACATGAGTTGTATGATATTGTAGGCTTTGTAGCAGAATATAAGCTTGAGCTAGGAGGTACAAACATCGATCCAGGGGGGTCGAATTTCGAAGGACGAGTAGTCGTCGACCGAGCAGGAACGGTGGCTGAGCTGGAAAGAGCCGCCACCAAAGTGATTTTGCTTTTACGTGACTTCGCACTCGTGCTCGAGATCGTGCTCTTGCTTTTTGAGCGTGCTGTATTTGCGGAAGAGGCGGAGGAAGTGGATGAGGAAGCTACTGTCGATGATAAAGATGCTGCAAGAATCCTGCTCGACGTAGACGGGCTGGCTATAAGAGTGGATAGAGCTTGACTTGAGCCAGTAGTGGTAGTTCCCGAGCTGGAAGAACAACAATTGATCTATCGGCAACTGATGTTGGGGCGCTTATGCTACTTGTTACTGTAGCTGGGAAGCTTTGACTCGCTGAGAAGGGAATCACGGTTGACTTGGCGGGGTCGGTATTTACAGAACTTGGAATTCATGAAGTCGGCGTTCGATATGCCGTACTTTGGATCCTCGAACAGGAGTTTCTTGCTCACACAGCATGCCAAGTGCAGCACGTTGAGGTCGTTCCCCTTACAGTCCATGTAGGCGCGCGGCGGCGGAGGTCGAGGGCTGCTTGACTGTAACTTGCCAGTACAGTCCATCGGCGGCGTTCGTAACTGAGCCTGAAGCGTTGGATTTCACCGATGGCGAGTCCTATCGCAGAACGTTGATTGCGGTGCGACGCCCTCTTGTGTCTGTCCAGTTATACGCTGCTCCGGGATTATAGTTAGTGATGCTGACGCTTTGAAGATACATGGCGTAGGGAGCCTTTGTAAGATCCGCATAGCTACCGGCCCATTGAACGACGCCGGGAAGTGTGTCTCGGTTTCCTCTAGACCATATGCCAAGCTATAGCTTACACGGGGTTTGAGGATATTGGTGCATGTTATTGTCCGCTTCGTACGAGTTGAGGATTCCGACGGGCCGCCCATCGATGGAGGGCATGATGCATGTGCGATCGGGATTCCAATCTATACAACATTCGATCTAAGAGAGGCCTGTCACAGATTCGTCGTGGAACGTCTGAGGCTGAAGGTGGAACCTCGGTTGTATAGGGCGGCCATCTCGGCTTACAGAGCGCATTCTGAAATCCGTAGCACCGTTGGAAGAACACATCCGTGCAGGCACGTGCGAGCAGGAGAAGAACAAGAGATGTTGGGGTGCGCGGCGGGGTGGACAAGAGGGAAGAGCTAAGCTGAGCAATGGGAAATGCCTGATCCGCGGAAGCTAATCTCGGGAGGTGCGTGATCACGTGCTTTCGCGTTCTTAGCCACATGTATTTCCAATACGGTCAATCCGGCATTCGTCCCACCAATCATGATCGCCAACGCCTACCGGGTGAAGCGCGCCGCATATTCGCGACGACAACAGGGCGCGCAAGGTCCTTGTCTTTTTGCCTGCTTCGATTTATAATCAGGCGATCTCAACTCTGCGTGCTATGTGCTGACGTCTCCAGAGGATCTGAACCTCCAGAATTTCGACCTCTGCCATGGTTTCCGCCGAGGACGTTATCACGCAGACAGCTAATTGTCTTTGCAAGGCGAACATCTTCACTACAAATGTACCGAAATCGAAGCTCCCGCTGAAAGGATGGGCCTGTCATTGCGAATCCTGCCGCCACGTTACCGGCGCACTGTGCACATTGGTCACTTCTTGGCCTGAAAAGCGAGCGAGTGTCGATGTTTCCGGACTGAAAGCGTATAGCTTCTCATCCAGATACGATCTTCTCTTCTGTTCCATTTGCTCCACGCCCATATTCTTCGCGAACAAGCAGGAAACAGATAAAGAGCTCGGTTTGCTCACGGGAACTCTCAGAAATACCCCAGGCGATGTCGTAAAGATCACGAACCATATTTTCGTCGGAGATACCCAAGATGGAGGCGCATCGATGTGGCTACGCAAGCCTAACGCTGATGGCACCGAGGCCAAGCGGTATAGGGAACGCGCAGAGACTGACAAGGGCGAGTCAGCTGAGGCGGTACTGTCTGATTGGCCACCACACAACAGTTTGACAGGTTCCGAGGCAAAGAAGGAAGGTCCGGTGCCTATCTGGTGCAAATGCAAGGGCGTGAGCCTGGTGTGGCAGCCAGGTAGCTATAACGGTATAAAGGATGATGAGCTGCCGTGGTTCGTTGACCCTGCTACGCACAAGGCTCTGGCAGGTTTCTGCGCTTGCGAGTCGTGCCGCTTGTTTGGAGGAGTAGATGTCTGGAACTGGGGGTTTGCGGAGTTGAAGGACATACGGTTCGCAAACAAGCAGCCGGGTTTCCCAGCTTCAAGCGATGCCCTCAGAGCGCTGGTCGATGCTAAGGATCCTTCCATTGGAACGCTCACCTATTTCGCATCTTCCTCCGACGCTCAGCGGTACTTCTGTAGCAACTGTTCGGCTTCCGTTTTCTATGCCTCGGATGATAGGACCTTCATGGTGGACGTTGCGCTCGGGGTTCTTGGGGCATCAGATGGTGCCAGAGCTGAAGGATACTTTTCCTGGGCTTACGGAGGTGCGATTAGCCACTTGGAGGAGAATTCTGGATATTGGAGGTATGATTTGTTTGATCGCGTCGCCAAAGAGGGTGAGAGATGGAGAATTGATCGGAATTATCCCAAGAACTGGAGGAGGCTGGCGCGTGAAAAAGCTGCAGAGAAGGCATAGAGTAGATACTTCGATCCTTTGGTCATAATTACACGCACTAGCCTTTGAGAGCCTGCTTCGGGTCCTTTCACTGTCCCATTACTCTGGGCTGAATGTTAGCTACATGCTTGTGCGTGATGGCGCTGGCCTCGAGATCTACGGCCTCGAAGAGTGATCCTATCCAGTAATCTCCAAACACGTGTTTTGTAAACGTCATGAACGAGCTGTGGTCTGCAACTGCTCGAATCTACCAAATTCAGTATACCACCTCGTTAAAACTTCCTAGTCTCAACGTCGTCTATTCCATCGAAGTATTCCAATTCCTGTAAAGCGACGGTCGCTTTCATGGTAAGGGAAATTGTTATCTTGACCCTGGTCGAAGGTGTGATCAATTACGGTGCACTTTTTGTGAACCTGCCAAAAGTTGAAGCTAAATGGTGAGCCAGAAATGAAAAATCGCTCTCTGTTCGTAGAGCAGCGTGCGCCTCTAGACCTTTGGCCAATGGCTTTTACGTCCGCCGTGTGAACACTTAGTGTGTGGAAGTAAGTTGTAGATCTAGCAGCGGTAAGGTCTAATGCCCCGTGCTTGCGGTTTTCTGCACGACTGAGTCTCAATCGCTTACCTGATAAGGCGGCCCAGTGTGGTGCAGGTTAAAAGGCTTAAAATACTTCTGGGTGGCGTGGGCTAAGACATAGGTCCAATCACTGTCATAAAAAAGGTTCGTAAAAGCAGACAGCATGGATGGTGGCTACCCGAGGGCTGTAGTGGACATATAGCTCTTTATGCAGGGCACTTATGCCTGCCATTTAACGCGTCGGCCAGTGGAAAAAAGGTCTCAGTAGTGTAAACACCGGGCAGTTGGCCCACACGAAGAGGGTAAGAAGGTAGGGTGCCATTCACTAGAAGTGTCTCAAAAAAGAAAAAGCAAAAGAGTTCGGGCCCGGGCACCCTACGTCTCTATCGCGAATCGAACTACACAATATTAGCACAACGTCCCATACTGGGACCTACCTAACTACCTAACGCGGAACGCTAAGCAACTAACTAGACTAAGGCATCGACCAACGCTCGTCGAGAGGCAAAAGCAACTGCAAATTGTTTGATATATATAGTAGAAGAGGGTTCCTTTGGGGTGAGGTAAACAAGATACTCGTGAGTGATTGTAACTATGTGGAAGGAGCGGGGCTCAGAAGCGAGCACTCCGCTTTGGGGAGGTGAAGGAGCCGGGAAATTTGAGCTTTAGACATGCTGCAAGGTGCGTGTGTGCAGGCGGAGAACGCGAGCGCTTGTTGGCCGTACCTTATTATCTGGGCTTCGAAAGAGATCATAGCAGTATCATCATATACGCAACGTTGCTCCAAAGGCTGTGACTGCAATACACTCTTCATTGATGCCTCTGTGATTGAAAACTACAGACTATGCTACGTTCACAGGATATAGCTTCCCATACATCAGCTTACGCAAGCGGCCCAACAACGCCTCCCTCTGCCATTCTGAAATCAAGTTCTCCCTCCGAAGCCGACCAACAGGCAAGCTTCTCTCCCACCACCTGACAGCGTCTTCCAAGTGCCCTTGCGCTTCGTCCCAGAATATGTTCTCATTCAGAAGCCGGATTTTGTCTAGTGGGGGGTTCTCGTCAGAGATCCCCCGAGCACAGAATTCGAGATACTCGTCTTCCGGCAATAGAAGCACTCCGTTGAACCCATATTGCTCTCCTGTCAGGTCGAGTATGAAGCGCTTGTGAGCTGTTGTGATGCGTATTACTGAGTGAACGTTCGCGTGAGGGTGATCTGTCTCGCCTCTTTGGAGCTTGAGCTCAAGAAAAGGTTTTGGAAGAACCATGATGACATCCGCTCTGATGTTCGGATTGACTGAAGCAAAAATGTGTCAGAAGGGGTCACAGCATATTGAAAAAGGGCAAGCTATAGAATGAGAGCCCAGCAAGACAGTGTTCACACCGCTATCTGTTTAGAATAGCTTGGTGTGTGTCTTGTAAGGAGATTCCTGCTTTGGGCCCGGGTCATCACTCACCAATGCTGAGAAGATAGACGAGCAATGGCAACATTACAATCCAGCTGACGTCGCAGCAGTTGTGCATGATAATTGCTCGTTGCAGGACTGGATGGTTGTGGGGAAGCGGATACGCTGCGCCAATCGTGCAAGGACTCTCCTCGTGGAGCCTAATCTTGAAAGTATGGTACGGCATCGTTGCGAGGGACTCGACAGTGGATATCTCGTATGACTGCGCGGCCGATGCTATGACCAAGAAAAGCCGGTACACGAGTGTGCATACGGCGCGGAGAAGACGTTGCTCGGGGTTCGGGCGTGATCTTGCCATCTTGGTGTGAGGTGTTCGTGACAAGGAATCGACGCAGAAGGTATGTGTAGCAGTGAGAGTGGCGTCCAAGCAAAAAGAAGTCGCGCTAATATTGGGTTGCTGGGGAGTGTGTGTGTGCGTTTAGGCTACCTCTGCCGTGCACTTGACCTCAGGACGGCTTCACTGCCTCAAATTTTGGTTTGCTCTCAACTCGGCTTTTCAGCTTCCCTACTCGCTTTGCACACGAGTATCAAGTCTCTCCCTTTCTATCAAGACGCTTTCTCCAACAATGGCAGCCTTTCCCTGCCCGCGTAGCATCTTCAGCATCCTCGAACGCGTCGAAGAAGGTCCCGCGTTGCGGTGGTTGCAGGACGCTTCTCGAACCGCAAATCTCATCGATACTGTATTCTCCGTTGAGAGAGAGGCGACGTACAATCATGTTCTCCGTAGCTTCGAGATCCTCAACGGGGTGCACGTTTTCACCCTTGAACCGGCAAGCGCACCAGCAGGTCGAGAGCCGTTCTGCGATGCCCAGGTAGAGGAAGCGGTCAAGCTACAAGCTCTATACTTCAGCCAGTGTACTCGTGCTGTAAAGCTTAGCACTCCTGTTTTAGCATACTTGCGCAGAGGTAAGTGGATATTTTTCTACGTAAAGAACGTAATTTGACAAGATGTACTAGATTGTTCTTTCCGCGTCCGCGAGTGCAATGTGCACATTAGACCAGAAGTCCACACATACTGCCGCAATCTAAACGTGCTCAATGGCGAACCCTTGCACTCTGTGCTCTTCATATCGCCCTCCTTTACCCCGTCGAGCGCATCCTTGATAGACCCTTTCAGAGACGCCGGCATGATCATCGACCCCTCAGCACACCAAATGGGCTTCCAGGAAACCATATCGTGCGCAGCTGAGTACATTCGTGACAAGTTCAACATATGGGAAGGACACTCCGTTGTACCCCTTGGGTCCCATCTCCGCGAGTTCCAAGTCGACTTCCTCAGGTATCACCGATCGCTCGACGAGTACAACTGCGAGTTCCGTCTCGAGGTCTCCATCCGCGTGATCTGCAATATCCTCTTCCGCCAGCTAGAAGACAAGGGCGGGGCAAGAGCAATTATGGATCTGGAGCAACGAGAGTGGGGACAATTCTTGGAAGGGCTGAGGCTACGGCTGGAGGAAGGATTGCGTAGGCTTCGAGCTCAGCTTGACGGGATAGACTTTTCAACGTTGAGCGAAGAGGATAGGCACGATCAGGAAGAAGAGCTGATGAGTTTGCATAACAAGGAGGGTTATATCCGGATGATGGCGCTGGTTCGCGACACCTTGTCCTGAGTTCGGATAAGCTGCAGAGATTCCTAGCGCTTTTGCTCTCATAGATAGCTCTTGAGTATAGCTTTTTGACATCTTGATATCCCTGAAATAAAATGCACATGCCGGTCGCATAGCAGTTGCTATGTCCGACGAACCATCGAAAGACCTTTGCAGAGCATCTATGTGGTGCTGAATGTGTATAATGGAGAGAAAATCGCGCTAAGCTAGTCTTGGGCTTCGGCGTCAGTCACTGTCTGTCGTGGGTTCACTTGAGGACGACTTTGAGAAGTCTCTCCACTTCCACAGCTACACCACCTGTGCACTCCTCTCTCCTTGTTGCACTCATCCTCAGTACCCACACACATCTGCTCGATACGCTTCGCCGCGCTGCAACGATGCCGTCTTCGCCTTCCGGTCTCAAGCTCACCACGGGGGACCCCGCTCTCTGCGCCCTCGCAGGATGTAATAAGACCGCCGAAGTGCTTTGCAGGAGGTGCATGAGCACGCCAGCTATCGGTACTGCTGTCCCTCTTCTTGCAGAGATCGCCTACTGCAGCGAGGGGCACCTCGAGCAAGATGCGGCTCAGCACGAAGAGATGTGCACTTGCCGACGCTGGCTGAGATATGTTGGCCGGCTCGGAGAGCTTCACTACCTCTTGTTCTCGATCGACTGTAAGGAGAAGTCTTTTCAAGCGCTTCACTACGCCAATTCCTCAAAGGACGGTACTGCGCTCGACATCGTATATGGAGACATGCAGCCTTGGGAACCGTTCTGCAGCTTCGATGTCGACAAGGACGTGGAGCTTTGCGCGTTATACAACAAACACTGTGATTATGCCATGGCCCTTGGTGCCGGATTGATGGCCTACTTGAACATGAGTAAGTTGATCGTGCAGCATATATAGATCTAAACGCTGACGAAGTGGTGGTACAGACAACGAAATGCGCGTCAAAGAGCGCCATAGCCTGGTCGATTCCCGAAAAATCGTACGTATTTGTTACGGGAGCGGCGAAGCGCAGAACAATGAGAACATGCGCCTTTCTGTGTTCTTTCTTGCGCCGCCTTTCTTCGCTCCGCGAGCGGACCCGTTCACTGAAGACGGAATCATCCTCGACCCCTCCGGCATGCAGTTCTACTTCAAGGAGACAATCGACACTGCCTTGGAATATCAATCTAAAAAGGGTCGGCATGCCGAGGACGACCAATCGCGATACCATGAGCCGTTGGGTTGTGCCTTCAAACGACACAGGGATCAGCTTCAGAAGGCATCCGGACCCGTTCTCGACATCCTTCTCAATACAGAAGCGCGGATCCGTGCTTCCTGGAATATCATGTACAATGAGCTACATTTGTTCGGTGGTGCAGAGGGGATCGACAACTCCGATGACGGACAGTGGGAAGAGTTCAAGGAAAGAATCATCAGGCTCTTAATGAATGCGCATCGCGGCATTCGTACTGAAATCGATTTGATCAACACGATTGATGGACTTCAACAAGACAAGATACATGAGATGAAGCGCAAATTGGTGGTTAGGGAGAACGGGGAAGGGTATGAGAGGATGGTGGCGCTCCTGGATGACATCGGCATGTAGAGTGATCGCAGGCATTCCGGAGATATACAGTAAGACTCAGCGTAGGCAATGAAAGTGTTAAATCGATCCAAGTAGCATGAAGAGCTAGCAATTGATGACTTCTCTTTCAGTGTAATGGATGATGACTCAATTTATGAAGCATCTCTTGTCGCTCAACTCAGAATTACAGCTCTCCATTGCACAAGGTGAGCACAAACGCAGCTTTGATCATTTGGGCGACTGCGATACCCTGCTGGAGTACTTGCAAGTAGATAAATAGGGGATGAGCAGCCAAGGAGCTTGCATCCGAACTCTATGAGCTAAGCTAAGTAAACTTGCGAGATACACTGCCTCGAGTCGGCTGTTGATGTGCAACTATAGTCGGAGAAGAGTACAGCATGGTCGTGTAGATGCCTGGAAATGGGTATGCGTGATATATGCCATTGTAGCTCGGATGTAAGCCGTAGATGTAGCGCCATAATTCGCAACAGGATTGCATCATTTGCAGGTCTGGCACTCTGTCATTCGCCTCAGCCTTACAGAGCCGCATGTCGAGTCCGTTGGCTTCAGCACTTCTAGGTGTGTTGTGGTGACCCGCTAATTTGCAATCGTCGTCACGTCCCCGCCTCGCCTACACCACCATCACCACAACATGCTCATTCTGGCCCGCCTCCGAGCTCCAAAAGCGACGCCGCCGCTTCAATCGAGCCATCAGCAGCTGATATGGGGTATGGCACATGCACTGCGTCTCTTTACGTTCGCTCGAGAGCTTGTTGTTTTATCTTTCTCACCGACTCCCATCCCCTACAGCGCTAGCCTTTCCAGCCTATGACTCGAGCTCTCGAGAGCAGAGGCCGCGACACAAACTAAACGTACGTGATTGCTTCGAAGACACGGCGGAGCCTTCTAGATGCTAGGCGTGGGCACGGGAGAGCGGGTTCACTCAAGCAAAGCGCGCTACGTCTCTGGACTCTTCGCCCCTCACCTCGCCCTCACAGCAACGCAGCGAACCTCTGGGGACGAAGTGGGAAGAAGCTGCAGGTATTTCACATCGACAATAGCGGTGGCAACAGGATGTGAGTGACGAACAAACATTTGAGATGTCTGACCAGATCTCACGACGAAGCTGACCCCGGGGCATGTAGATCGAACAGCCCTAGCGTGACTGATCCGCAAAACAAGTATACCAGCGCATATGGAGAACACAATGGGTTACCCCGGTGGTTTGGAAACATCCAATCTGCCTAGGTTTGCTCTTTGTCGGTGCTGCGACGACGACACCTTGTTTGCGACCACTCTACGCACCGCCAACGCCGGGTAGATTGAGCGCCGCTCTGAGCATCTAGAGGACGAAAACCAAGCTGCTGGAATCAGTGGGTTTCGCCCTCCTGAAAGAGGAGTGCAGCTGCCTCCAAGTTCGCGATCTTCCGAAACGCATCCGAAATGGCGTTGCACTTGCGAGCCTGCAACGACAGGAAGTAGTGACGCTCCACACTGTAGGTACACCCTTGCGAGTTTAGAAAAAGCTCTGGTATTCTTTAGCTGACGATAGCGACAGTTCGATATCGCCAGCAAGCCGAGGCTGTCACCGCGATCATCTCCTACCCCGCGAGAGCACATCACAAACACGAGCACAGCCTAGCTGAGACGGTGCAGTGATCTCAGTGACCACAGCATGCGCAGGCGACCACTCCGCTGCTACAGTCTTGAAAGCGCATCGTAATATGGTGGGAGAGCATGACTCCCAAGAGCCGAGGTAGAGGGAGCGGTCGACAGGATAAGGTGACGGACCAGAATCGAAAGTTTCTGAAAGCCCAAGAGACGCAATCGAAGCCTCGGCATATTTCAGAAGATAGGAAGCGCAATGAGTGGAGGTGGACGACATCCCACCAGAAATGAGCATCGAAGGCAGAAGATACCCCGAAGGATACCATTGTAGGTCGACAGTCGTTGACACCATTCAGTCAGAGGTAAGCATGCGATTGTCTAGATGCTCGCGGCGTTCAATGCTTCGCTGACTCAGTCACCAGTAAGATGGGACGTGTACTTCCTTCACACGGTTTTCCACATTGCACTCGAATGTGTCCGCCAGCTGAACGATCGAGCCGCAGCATCGGTAAGTTGGAAAAAAGTCGTGGTGTTAAGATACCGAGGACGATGGGCTTTGCGTTTGTTGGGGCACGAGATGTGTAGTCGAAGGCTTCTCGAACCCTCACATTGATCCTGACGCAGATCGTAGTCATCGTCAAGTCTCTGTTCAACAGTCGAAAACAATGATAGACATAGACGGGATATAGTCCCCTTACTCGGTCTCGTAGATCTTGACCAGCCTCTCCCAGCGCCACCCGATCGATCGACCGACCGATGGAGCGTTCAAAGAGCCAACCGTGGCCACGCCTCCCGAATCCAGCGAGCCTCTTGCTCAGGGCATGCCCGTCAACGGCGAGAAGATCAGTGCTGCAGATACGAGGGTGAAGGCTCGACAGTTGTTAGATGAGGATCATGAGGCGTTTCGACGACCCTTATCTCGGTCACGGGAAGGAGCAAGAAGACGAGCCGTACATCGATCGAACATCTACGTAGACAGACCGACAGACAGTGCCACGTCTGAAAGGCCAACTTCGACAGGTTGGGCGGTAGACGACCGCAAAGTCAAAAGACTTGGGACCGAACATACACACAAATGAAGAAGGCGAGGACCGTTGAGATCCGAACGTCGGGAAGGCTAGGACTGGGAGGAAGACCCCCTAGCTCACACTTGTGACCGCGCGGACACAGGCGGATTCCATGATTACTTCTGACATATGGGGAAAGAGTGCTCCCGTATAGCTCCAGGTTGGTGCTAACATACCCATGACGATATAGATTAATCCACGTGGCAGGTCCAGTTATACTACGAAGCCGAACGCGTACCGACCGGAACAAGACGACGTTGAATCGGGCGGGTAGGACGACCGCAACCTCGGATGACTTGGATTAGGTAATAACATACCAAGGATGGAGGCTCGTTCATACCGTAAAAGAGAACCCAATAGGCAGAAGCGGAATAATCGTGAGGAGGACAGGAGGACGGGATTACGAGGGACGCCGAGCTACGACGCCGAACGTGCGCAACGGCCAATACCGTACCGGAACCAGTCAAACGTACTGCCCTTCCGAACGAATCTGCTGTGAGCGAGCCGTCTGCAGACGCACTTTCCTCGTACGTACGATCCTTCAAACGGCGATCTACGGTCTGATAATTCATCGAAGAGGCATGGAAAAACCTCTCTGGTCGGGAAGGACGGATAGAAAAGGAAGAATCCGACCGGACATGATGAAAAATGGCGATACACCAGAGGAACGGACATGCATATCGTTCCTTTCGGCAGGGAGAATAGCGGCAGAGAGTCGCGGCAACGTTTAGGTCAGTCTTCCCTTTCTCGTCGACATGTTTTGCTTCTTTCTTGATGATGACCTTTTTCGGTGGCGAAAGCCGCCTGTGTGTTCCGATGTAGTTCATGTTGGAAACTTCGCAGTCTGATCTTTTGAGAAACTCTGAAAACTTTGTTTGTCGTCGCTTGAGACCAGATCCTAATAATTTTCAGGAACGAATCATTTCTCCGAAACCACAAAGAGACGCATTTGGTCCACTTGCATCCTGGAAGTCAGGGTACACCGGTTGCACATCCAAATGCATGGTTGAACGAGTACTGTCGTGGCAGAGCTTTGCAAAGGCTTCCCTGGATCATCAACGACCTGGCTGCACGGCGGAATAACGGTCAGTGCCCCCTGCGATCTTGACTACTGTTCTTTCCCTTGATGAAACGAAAATGGTCCGAATTTCTCATGATGACAACGTCGTTCTTCTGATGATGTAAAGATGATTCATTTTCCTTTCGCTGTTTCTGTCCAAGTCCGTGCTGATGTTTCCAAGAACAATTAGTTCCTCCGAAGGTGGGCTTTAGAGGCAAGCCGGCCAAGTTCCAAACTATGGTGTCTTTTTGGGCACAAGGTTCGCCCCGCATTCGAAGGAGCTACCCTCCATCAGCGACTGAATGAGATGTTCAGGAGGGCAACGGCGTTGGGCTTCTACGAAGAACAGCCTTCGCCTATCGGCTCATCAAGACTCAATTTCCGCGAGCGGCCATACAACTTGAAGACCATTTGATAGGCCCGTCGGCGACATGTTCTTCTATGACAGGCCTTCGAGCAGCGAAGGCTTGAGGTAATCCGAAAACACGTTGATTCGAAGATGCATTAGGTCGTATGCTACACGGAATGGGTCCACAACCTTAGCAGGACATTGCAAAGACTCTAACGGTCGGTGGTCAAGCTCGCATGTTTCAATGTGTTGCTGAAGCGAATATGCAGCCAACCGTCGCCATGCAGTGGACTCGGGAATTGTATGTGCCGATCTGTGACACTGATGGAGAGCCGGCTCAAAGCCAGCCAGGAAAGACCTACAATGTTCCAAGTTAGCATATTGCATCCACGTTGTTGCAAATCAGAGCAAAAGAACATGGGCTACCATCCCGCGTTGCACATCCTAGCCAACACAATTCTTTTTCCATCCTTATCCACACCAACTCTCTCACCCCAACCTCAAGGAAGTTGAAGAGGTTTAAGGCGAGTCGCACGAACAGCACAACAACACCGGAAACCTAATACCAAGCAACGCTTGAGAAGCTCCTCGATCAGCAGCCAGTACCTTAGGACGAGTCACTGCGCGTCGGCAGGACAGACACCCAACACCAGACAACTTGTCTGAACTTGACAGCGTGGCATACGTCTCTCGGAACATGACTCCACCAACAACACTTCCTCCCTAACGCTACGTCTAAATCATACCTCTCAAAGCCAGATCCCAAGCTCAAGGGTGTGACACCGCCACCGCACATCAGAGGGCCCGCATAAGAGTCTTTCGTGAACGTCAGGGGAGGATCTGTTCGTGAAGTGTCATGCGGGGCGTGTTGCACAGGAGAAGTGGATAGCCAGGAGCTCGCGGATAGGTCGGGGGGTAGGTTTCGCGTGCTTAGGGAGATGTGGTGTTGGGCCTTGTGGGCAGGATGAGAGAGGATGGGAGGGAAGAAAGATTTGATTTGAAGATTCGGACAAACGTTGTGGAGATGTTGGCGGAGTTCTCGATACCAACAGGCGGTATGGACGAGCGCGAAGACAACGAGGGAGAGGAGAAGTACCTTCATCAGGTAAGACGTGTTAACACTGACAAGAGCCAGATACACTCTCGCTTGTTATGTCGCTTTGATCGGTCTTTGGACTCTGTGTTCTCAGACGCATCGGCAGGCTGTGGCAGGGGTCAGCGGCTTTAACTTCTGGAAGACACGTAGATGTCAGTATCCACTCGCCACCTGGACGTAGCTGATAAGAAACCTTGACAGAGTCGACAACGCGGTTGCCAATCTGAGTCAGCAACTCAACTCATGCCTGGTTGGCTGCCGCCACGAAACAATACTAGCCGAGAGCCGTGGAATTAGACTTCTCTGCATGGGCTGAGGACGACTACAGCGTACGAGCGTCATCTCACGAAGAGAGGGCTAAGCAAGAGGAGTTAAGACAAGACATGACCCTTCCAGAGACATTGTCAAAGTATGACGATGCCGCAAGAAACGAAAGACGATAATAGAACACTTACTTTGACAGCAGGAAAGATCTAGACGTATTGTGATACTCTGCCTTTCTTCGCGACCAGGATCAATCCGGAAAGTTTTTTTGTCAGTGACCGTCTGGTTCTGTAATACCGTGAATTCCAACTTCTTCGAAAAATCTAAAATCTCTCGAAGAGGCTCCTTTGCTGGATTCACGACCTATCCGATGAGGGAAAATTCGGATCATCAGGAAGGTGACGGACTTAAAGCCACGCTTTTCTTGCGTTACTTGTAAGGTCGCATTCATTGCTGCAGCATTGGTCGTAAGTAATCTTGCAGAAATTACTTGCATCAGCTAATGAGGTTCGATGACGAGCTGTAGGAGTATATTTTGCGAGCCGGGAAGATTCAACCTTCTTCAAGAACGCGATGCTTCTGATACAGTAGCGTGTATATTTACAGGCGAAAGTTGTATGCCTTCACAACCCGTTGGACGCTTGAAGAAGGAACGTGTGGCTTGGATGCCTCAAGTACGCTTCACGTGAAGGGGGTGCGTCGAATCTCCTTCAACATCTTCAAGATTCTTCCCGCGGCTGTAGTCGTCGTGAGCAATCTCTTCGAGCGATAAGCCTCTTGTCTCCTTGAGAAATACGAAAGTGCCGATGGCGATGCATGCATCTGCGAGGCCCCAGAAGAGGAAGGTACCCCATCCCATGTCGTCGATCATATAGGGTGTGACTAGCGAGAAAATGAAGTTGAAGAGCCATTGAGAAGATACTCCAACTGCGACTCCAGGTTCTCGAATCCGTGTCGGAAAGATCTCAGAGATGTACGGCCATGGGAGAGGACCCCAGCTGAAGTTATATGCGATAACAAAGAGGTATATCAAGGCAACTGTTGCAATACCGCTAGGGGTTGTGTTTCCGTTAGAGGGAGCGGGGATGTTCTTCACTACGGCGGCACAGCTGATCTGGCATGCGGCCATGAAGACCGCGCCCCATATGAGGACCTGTCGGCGACCGACCCGTTCTGAGAGGAGGAAGACGAAAACCGAACATGCCACAACCTTAACGGCACCGAAGATGGCTGTCAGGAGGAGGTTCTTATCGCCAGCTCCTACGAGCAGCTTGAAGTACTGCGGACCAAAGTATGCAAAGGCGGTGGCCCCGGTGGCCTGCTGCGCAGCGAAAACGGCGAAGGCGGTGAAGATACGCTTGAAGTTTGGCCATTCGAGGAGTTCTGGAACGAAATATCAGCTTCTGTACATGCTCAAGATGAGTGGCGCCGCGGCTGTACCTTTGGCCTGGAAGCCTTCTGTCTCACGTGCCTCCATTTCGACGCCGGTGCGGATCTCCTTCATTTCGTCTGCCACCTCTTGGGAGTCGCTTGCGCGTACCCATCTCAAGCTTTCCCAAGCCTCCTCGTGCCTTCCCTTCTGTGTTAGCCACCTCGTCGACTCTTTAAGGGTGAGCATGCCAAGACCGAGGAGGGCAGCGGGAACGATTTGCAGGCCGACGGGGATTTGCCATTGCATTGACTTGTGGCTGGAGATGCCCTTGAGAACACCATAGTCGACCCAGTACGAGACGAATATGCCCTTGAATGCGTGTTAGCTGTCTTGTGCTGCGGGGTTGGTGGACTGGTGCTGGCCTGGCATGTGCGGGGACACCGACGGGGACGGCGCGACTCACTATGGTGTAATTGAGCTGGAAAAAGCTTCCTATCTGCCCGCGCAGGTGCTTGGGGGGTCATCTCAGAGCTGTACATGGGGACAACAACCGTCGCTGCACCCAGGCCTATGCCCGCAATGATGCGTCCGGCGTAGAACGCGCCCATGGCATGGGTATCGATGGTCTGAATGACGGCACCGACCACGAAGATGGCCGACGCCAGCGCGAGCGTCTTGCGACGGCCATAGCGGTTTGTGATGGGCCAGGCGACAAAGCAGGCGAGGAAGGCTCCCAGTTGCTGCAGGCCGACTGCGAGGCTGTTGACGCGAGTCTGATGAGCCGTGTCGTAGCGGAAGGAGGAGACGAAGGACTGCAGTGTCAGCACGCCGCCTACACGACGCTGTTAGCCGCGCGGAGGACGTTTTTCGCAAGGGCAGCGTACCGACACTAGGCGGCCGTGGGTCAGCAAGTGCACGCCATGGTGGTTGTGAGGGGAGGGCCGTGGTCGTTGGTGTGGTGTGGGGCGGGTTGGAAAGAGCGACCGCGAAATTTCCCCAGGACGCGCTCTGTCTGGTCGCTCTCCAAACGCTCACCCCACCCACCATCAACTCAAGGGCAACACTCACATTCCCGAGTCGTAGCCAAAGAGGAACCCACCGATGCAGACTACCGTCCCAAGCCAGTATGCTCGGATGTTACCCAGCGTCGAGGGTCGCATGCTGTGGGTTTACGCGCAGGGGTGAAAGGAAAGCCTGAGGAGCTGTCCAGGGCAGCGATGCTGTTTCTTAAAGCGCCGCACAACCTTCACGCTCATCCTCGGGCGCTGTGGGAGCGCATCACGCAATGCTCGCCCTGCATGCCGTCAACGTTGGGTTATGACGGTTCCGTAGAGCTGTCGAGCGTACCCTAGCAAAATGCGGGGGGGGATCTGCAGGGCACCGTCTCCACAGTGGTAGCGCTAGCATGGATGTCGAATACGAACGTCACTCAAATGCGGCTATCGGGTGGAGAGGCCTATGGTTGGCCAGACGAGATCCCGAATCGCATTGCTGCAAGAGCGGAGGAGGACTAGGGCAAAGACTTCTGAGCGTGTCCAATACGAATGCTTTTGGTATCATTTGGCTTGGACGAGGAACAAGGCTTCAGTGACGCCGAATCTCACCTGAGTGCGGCAACATCTTAACGGTTTTCTCCGCGTCTCGCGAGTAAAGCATAGTTATCACCAGAAGCAGAGCTGCGGTACGTGGAGATCACGAGAGGAGGGGCCTCAGAGAACGGCAGTCGGCGACAGAGCCCCCTGATTTGACAGCGAGACTTCACCTCCGTGGCGGATAACAGCGCACGCTGTATTTAGACCCTTTCAGTACCAATTTCGAAGAACAATTTCAGATTCGTCTTTGGAATTCTAGCATTACCCAATCCAACATGGCAGTGAAGAAGCGCCCCAACTTCCTAGTTATTCTAGCAGATGACCTGGGTTTTAGCGACATCGGCTGCTTCGGCGGGGAAATCGAAACTCCACATCTCGACAAGGTACACGGTTTCCAAAATCCCATCTCACTCCCAAAATAGTTTCCGGACTATGAGACATGTTGATTGGAAACGCTAAACTACTATCGACATTCCAGTCGCTAACCTACGCAGCTCGCAAAACAAGGCATCCGCTTCACGGATTTCCACGCCGCGGCAGCATGTTCACCGTCTCGAGCTATGCTCATGACCGGGACAGACCATCATATAGCAGGCTTGGGGAATCTCATCGAATGGACGAACATCTCAGGCCAAAATGACCCGAGTGGGAAGATGTCGACTGCTCCGCAGAGAGGCATGCCGGGATACGAGGGGTATTTGAATGAACGCGTCGTTGCTGGTATGTCCAACATGAGTAATCTCTTTAATTTTGAGGACTGCTCCCTTAGTGCATCGGCCAATCTCAATGGCTACCGCTGCAATCACTAGGAACGAGCGATTTCAGATCTTGAGCCCAAAGCTAATGTCACGTGTAGTGAGCGAGGTTCTTCAAGACGCCGGCTATGCAACCCTCATGTCGGGCAAATGGCACTTAGGGCTAACACCAGATCGGTCGCCGAAGGTAAGAGGGTTCGATAAATCTTTCGCGCATCTACCTGCCTGTAAGTCTGCACTTTGTTTTTCTACGACTTTCACCTCGTACTACAGATACCAGTACAATGCTTTCACTGGAGCGTTGATCAATTGGCAAGCGCACTTACCCCTCTTCTTATACCTGTGTTTTCGATTTCCTGCACTTGGAAGCCCATGGATCAGCACGTGATTTCCTATTCACTAACAACCTCTAGGCAGCAACCATTACGCCTACGAGCCCCAACTTGATAAAGCCGCCGGCGATAAGATACCAGACTTCATGACGATGTCTTTCATCGCGCTACACTCCGAAAACGGCGAGTACGTGCGCAAATTACCCAACAACTGGTATTCGAGCAATGGATACGGCGACAAGCTCATCCATTATTTGAAAGAGTGGCGTTCAGAAAACCCGAAGGATGAGAAGCCTTTTTTCGCGTATCTGCCTTTCACAGCACCGCACTGGCCTCTCCAGGCGCCGAAGGAGTTCATCGATAAGTACCGCGGCGTGTATGATGAAGGTCCGGATGTTCTACGCGAAAAGCGGTTGCAGCGTTTGAAAGATCTGGGAATGATTCCCCAAGATGTGACTCCGCATCCAGTTGTCGCAGATGAAGTCAAGCCATGGTCCGAGATGTCAGATTTTGAACGCAAGATGTCGAGTCGAGCGATGGAGTGCTTTTCCGGTATGGTGTCATGCATTGATTACAATGTTGGTCGAGTGCTTGAGCATCTAGAGGAAATTGGCGAGCTAGACAACACTTTCGTGTGCTTTATGAGCGATAACGGGGCAGAGGGTGCGGCTTATGAAAGCTATCCAATCGTGCAGGGCCAAATGATGGGACATTTGCAGAAGTACTACGATAACAGCTACGAAAATCTGGGCAATGGGAACAGCTTCATCTGGTATGGGCCACGGTGGGCGCAAGCAGCCACAGCGCCGAGTAGACTGTAAGCCCTCCTCCTGTCCACACCTCTGCCAACCTACTAAACCTTACAAAGCTACAAAGCCTATACCACCGAAGGCGGCGTCCGCGTTCCTTTCCTCGCCAAATTCCCCAAAGATACCCTCGATCCCACCCGCGCAAACAGCATAACCGACACATTCACCACCATCATGGACATCATGCCGACAATCCTCGACATGGCTGGCGCCACGCACCCCGCCCCCTCCTACCGCGGCCGAGAAATCGTGCACATGCGCGGAAAATCCATGCTGCCCTTCATCAGAGGCACCACCTCTTCCGTTCACGAAAAAGACTTCATCCAAGGTTGGGAGACCTGCGGCCGCGCCGCCGTGCGCAAGGGCGATTTCAAGATCGTGTTCATCCCTAAACCAAAAGGAACAGAAAAATGGCAGCTCTACAACCTTAAGTCTGATCCAGGAGAAGTTCATGATCTCGCGGAAAAAGAGGAGTACAAAGCGGTGTTTGAGGAGCTGATGGGGTTGTGGGAGCAGTATGTGCTGGAGACGGGGGTGGTGCCGTTGGCACCGGAGCTGGGGAAATGGTTGGCGGCCATGGATGAGCAAATGGTAGAGGATGCGTGGATTGAGTATGAATACTGGAAGGAGGGTGCGCGGGAGGAGCCAGAGAAATTTACGAAGAACCCGTGGCGGTATCAGCCTAAGACAGGGGAGATAAAGGTGTCGCAGATTTGAATATATGTAGGGGAGGCCAACAAGAGCAGGGTCTTACAAGGTCAACTTGATGCCCCTTGTCATCCTCCGCAACTTTCTATCACTCGCCTGCGTAACGTTATGCTTCCAAAGCTGAATCGTTTCCAGGTGACTGGGATACCCGGAATATCGTTCTGCAATTTGTATATTCTCCACCACAGGATTTCGCACCGTGGTCGGGCTCTCGGGAGCCATGCACTTGCTCTTGTACTCCTCCCACGTGAAGAAGTAATCGTCATACCCGAATTGCCATCCTGAGAGATCCAAGACGTATCGCGAGTTGTCTAAGGCAGTGATGCGGATGCAGTCATGCTCGTGCAGGATCTCTTCTTTGGCCCGTACGACCTGCTTTCGGATGAGCACGAGGCGTGGACGTGGATTCACGGTGATCCATTCGACAATTTGCACGCAGGAGAGGGCTGTTCAGGTGGTTGAGTCAGAATTAGTTTGGCTTCACAAGGTTTGTTTCCTTTGAAGGTACTTGCCTAGAAGACGCTGGCTGATCTTGTCGAAAGTGACATATACGCTGTCCAAGCAAGTGTTGTCCGTTATCAAAGCTCGTCCTAGCCTCGAAGGATACTTGTGCTGACGGTTGGTCCATCGCGTTTCGTAGAATTCTACGCCTGTTTCGTTTCGGAATAGCCAATGATCGCGGTAGAGAGACGGATTGAGCTGTTTTGCAGTCTGTTGTATGATAACTCTGTCGCAGAAGAGGAGCCACACGCGGGCAAAGTCTTTGGTCTGCTTGCGTATGGTGATAGAGATCGTGGACTCGCGGCGGGACTTGAGCTTCGTGAGAAATTGACCCATGTTGATCTGGGTGGAGTTGAGGTACAGTGACGGGCAGAGTGGGAATAATTTTCCCCGTGAACGTAAATATGTACCAATGGGTATGGAGAGCCCTTACGTTTGTTCACTGTTGGTGTGCGGTCCGAAATGGACTAGCGCCGCTACAGGTTGTTCACTCCAATGGTTGCGGACCTTCCCAATGATTGAAAAGCTCTTCCACAGCTGCGCAATAGCTCTCTCGAACTCACGACCAGTGGCCACTCAACCTGGTCAGCCGAACCTAAATTTACACCGGTGCCCTATCAAGCCCATACTTGTACCTGATCGGGTGCCCCACTTGCACTTCTGCACATCAACTCGTCAACCGACAACCTCAATTCCTATAACTTCAGTAATAACATGCGTAGCAAGCAGTTGCTCAACGAGCTCATTGAGCTCGCACGACAAGAGGCAACCGAGCAGTTCCAAGACGTGTGGCACCTTTCAGCGAACACAGAAGAGCAGGAGCCGGGCGTCCACCTTCAACTCGACTTTCGCGACCATGCCGACCGTGGCGGTCGCTACATAGGAGAGCTACGTAATGCCACAGGCTTGAACAGGAATAATCGCGAAGGCGAGTACAAGTTCTGGGACGAGTCGAACCTGAAGCTGTTCTGGAGGGTTGACGGAATGCCGACGGCCGCACGCGCTCTGCTCTACACTATGCGGAAGAAACATGAGATTTGTGAAACGCCTGACGTATGGATGGGATTTGTGGGCAGCATAGACGAGGGTAAGCAACCATTGTGTGTTATGAGGACATCAGCTAATCATTGTGTAGAACTCGGCCCCGCAAAGCCATGCCGTCTCCGCCTGCAGTCGATTCTTGGTCCGCTGAAGTTCTGGGATAAGCTTTCCGAGAAGTATTCGGGACCTGACGAGCTACTTGAGGGCACCGAGGGAGAATTGTCTGCAAGCTACTGCCAGCCCTTCTGGTCATTCGCAATCGAAGTCATACGCTGCGCACCGCATATGTTGAAGGCTGGGTATAAAACCAAGCGCAACGGCAAGTCAATAAAGCGCTGCTCGTGGGCTCGACTCCTTGTGCTCCTATTCTTGCCCCGAGAGGACCTGATGCAGGAGTTGGTTGGGGCTGGTCTAGCTCCGAAGAACCCGCCAGCTGGGTGGCATCAGCAGGCACGCGAGCAGATGAAGGAAGCGCTCATGCAACAAAACGGTGTTAAATTACGCGCCAGCATCCGCAATGGATGGGACGATCTCTGCCGTGAGCTTGATAAGCTTTACTTCGACAGTGACCTCTACACAGACTTTCCGATACCGCAGCCTCCACTCCGATCTGCTAGCGAGGACGAGCAAGTTTTGGAACGTTTACAGGACGAGAACCGAGATGTAGAGGACACTCAAGGTAAGGAAGCCGAAATCCCGAACGCTAACCAGGTGTCGAGCGCGGAGAGTATCACACCAACGACCCCCCATTACCCTCGTTATCAGCATCGACCTCCAGCAGCAGTGCAGGGAACTAAGAAACGGAACCTTACTACCAGCGAGAGCGAATATCACGATATTGCCAATGAAGAGAAGTCCCGGCAGCGCAAAAAGCAACGTGCTTTGCCCCGGCGACCCACCCGTTGGGACTTCTCGGATGACGATGATGAAGTGTCGCAGTATCATGTTCTGGCTAATTATCAATTGTCTAGGTCCCTAGAGCAGGACTTTCAAGATCATGCGACGAAGGGCATAGGGGAGACCAGCAGCAACCACGATGAGAAGACAGCCTCGCAAAAGGAGTCGCAGACCAAGGAGGCCCCTGTTGCGGAGGACCACAAGTCGAACGAGACACCCAAGGAGAAGGATATAGCTCGACCCAAGGAAACCTGAAGACCCACAATCAAGATACTGTCAGTCCTGTAGCACGGATGAGGAATAACCTGGCTCGAGGCAAGGCGTCCTAAGTCCGTCCCAAAGAGACCTGGCGCCAACTGGGTACTGTAGATTATATCGGGGAGAATGCGAAATTGATCATCCTAATCAGATGAGTCACAATCAAGCGCTGCCCACACTTGCATGCTTCACGCTTTCAATTGCTGTTAACCATAGACGAATGACCTTCTGCGAGTACGTTCGAAAGTGTATGATATACATCCTATAACTGATTGATGCGCGTCATTGCTTCCTTGAAGATGTTTCATGCTGATCCATACGCCGTGACTATTTCGATCTCCGCTCTATGTAACCAAGAGACTTATCAAGCCGTAATCTTCGTTCATGATCCAAGCTTCGTCTTGCCACCCGGACCTCCTGTCTCAAGGTACCACTGACTTGCCTTGCCTCTTGCGTCTGTTATCATCGCTATCCTTTCAAACAGCTTCGACATATTGTAATGGTCTTTCCCTTCCAAGCCTCAGCCACGAAGTGCTGCTACTACCTTCGCTCTCACCTTGGTAACAATACCTTGTCGCAGCTCATCTTGTTTCTCCTCAGGCAAGAGGTAGATATCATTCCAGGTCAAGTTGTATCGAGCCCAGTCAGCCTTGACCTCTTCCAGCGCTTCCTCGACTGCAATCCTCAGCGCTGGATTCCTATTATCCTCCTCCTCAACATGATGTGCCTTAGCAGCCTCGGTGGTGATTTCGGGGAACCGGCCTTCGAGGAGTAGCTTCCAGTAGCCCTTCTTGGTATAGAACCACTCCTCGATGCCGAATTGGTCCCCGGCGACGTCTAGAACAAAGCGTTGACTGTCTTTGCACGTGATGGTGATGAAGTCGTGTGCGAGGAAAGACAGAGGGCTCTTGCGCTGGTTTCCATCCTGATCAACGTCGAAGAGGATGAGCTTGGGATCGATGTACTGGCGGGACCAGGAAGCTTTGTCGAAGTCCGGGTCATCTGTGACTTGTTAGTGGTGAGTAAGAATTATATCAAGATTGACTGACCATCTAGTATCTTGCGAACCTGCGGGAGAAAACAGTAAACTGCCTTTGAGCAGTTCGAGGTAAAGAACGCTGCCAAGCGAAGGTCTTCGTCGAGGTCTTCGTTCCAGGTCTTCTCGTCGCTTGACTTCTTCTTCTTGTGCAGGATGCCGTGGAAGGCAGTGTTATTCTTGGTCTCCCAGTAAAGATCGTCCAACTTCAAATCATCCATATCGTGGAGCGTGATGCCAAAGATGACCTTTTCGGAGACTACCTGTAACCCTTCGACATACCCAATGGCAGCATCTCGGAAGGGTGCGAGCTTCGCCTTGAATTTTTCGTACCGAGAGATGGGGATAGAGGGTGGGGATGCAGATGAGAAGGATGTAGGGGAAGGAGAGTCAGACATGATACTTCCTTACCTGTTCTTCTTGAATTTGTCGGGTAGTTGCTGGTATGTCTGCCTTGAGGGTTGATTTTCGAAGACGCAGGTGTTGGGGGTCGTCTTGGATGTGTTGTGCTTGTTCTCAGGCTCTATATTGGCTTTTCACAGAGCCTCGAGTACGTCGAGACATCCTCTGGTTTATATACATAAAGAAGTATCGCAGGTGTACTGAGGGTGAATGCATTGTGCTCTGCTCTTTGTCCTTTGTTCACACGTCCCCTGGGACATGGTGACCATGACGGTTGATTCAGCTTTTCTCGATTATTGGAAAATACCATTTCACCGTAGGTACGCTTGGTTGAATTTAATGTAGTATATATGACGAATTCATGGGACATGTAGAGTTATCAGTAAGAGTCCGCCGTGGACATGGTACTCGGCGGATTTAAGAACGCGCCACCAGCAGCTTGACAATGCTTTGGTGGGCGAACGTGGCGTGTATAAAGAAAACCGACAAAGGATTGCCTGACCGCTATTACAAACTCAACCCTGAAGGTTTCTCACGTGAAGGGCTCGATGATGTGGATTCAGCTGTTTCATACAACAGCGGTCTTATAGACCACGACGATACAATTGCTAACGATTGCGTGCATTTGTCACTTTGAATGCTAACAAACATGAAAGGTACAAATTGCGGCCATGTGAGCAGGTCCCGTGGCCGTCTTCTGCGTTCATCGAAGAGTCAACTTACCCACGGATTTTCGAAGTCAACCATCATGGTGGCTTCGTCATCACCATTCGGTCTCTCCAAGGGTGCGCTAGAGCGGCGCATCAACAATCAAATTCCACGGAAACGCCACACTCCATATTCTGTCACTAAGAACTACACTCGCATCCCACCAAAGCAAGTTGCCCACCCCAAGCCCAAGCCGACACCTGTGAAGTCGAGCGCAAAGATAGACATATCTCGTGTACCACAGAATAGACCCGAGAGGAGAGGTACGGATCGCACGCACATCACCGGGACGAGCAGCCATGGAATCAACCAATGGTCCGCTCGTCGCATCCTCGCATCGCGCACGCACCCTTTCAACCCTTCGAAGACTCAATACAAAGTGCAGTGGGACACCACATGGGAGGATGCGAGAGAAATCACTGGTCTAGCAGCTACAGAATGGAAAGAAGCGGCGCATGGCGGTAGCACGTTTCGGTTCAGGGCACAAGATGGGGGTGAGTGGACAGTGCTAAAAGACGCGACTTCTCTAGAGAATGACAGCGAAGAATCTCAGTGGGAGATGTGGAGGGCGATCCGACGCAACGCTGTGAAAGAGCTGGAGAAAGACTGTTTCGCTGCACTGAAAGATAAGGAGTTTGTGTTTGCTAGCGAAGCGGAGGAGCTGGCAGTGAGACAAATCTTGAAAGAAAGATGGCCGGAAGATGATATCTCGGCAAGGAATGTCCTTCGGGCTGCTCGAACTCAACTGAGCAATGATCCGGAGTTGCTTGAAACAGAAATTTCATTCGGCGACGTCAAGATCCGCTTCGTAGTCCAGCTCGATCCGTCGATGGATACAGGAGATGACAAAGAAGGGTTGCATCAAGAGCAACGTACGGCATTCACCGTAGTAGAGATCGTCCGAGCCATGATACCCAAATTACTAGATGGTCTCGATGATGATGCATTTAGCAAGGGCAATGCACACCAAAGTTGGTCTCGGTGGTGTGCGGTGCTCAAGTCACTCATACGGAAAGCTCCATTCATGTTCAAGAGCGGCACATGGCTGCAGCTGTTTGCTTTTTTAGTGCTCGGGAGTGAAGACTTTCGAGGAGAGCTTGCATCGGTGGGCATCAAGGTGCAGGACGACTGGTGCCAACGAGCCCGCGAGTACGACATGCATATGTATTACGATCAGATAGTCGATGACCGCTCGACACACGAGATACAGGAGACCTTCCTTAATCTACGAGATTTCTTCCGGGACATAGGAACGGATAAGGAGCTGGCGCTAGAGTCTGGACTAGATGGGAATTCGACGACATCTGGATCCATGGTTTGCGGAGACCTAAAGCATGAAAGCATGGCATTCAATCAGCAGTCTTCAGCACCAGGATAGCTTGCGCTACAGGACCATTGAGCGCAGCAGAAACATAAACAGCGCTAATCAGAGATGTATAAATGGGTATCAATAGATCGCAGTAGAGCATGTCACCCGGTGTACCAGATATTGAAGAGTGTGTACAGTAGACGTGTTACTAATTATTGATTAAACAAAGAAGTTATTAATACTATTCTCGCGTTCGACATATCCACTCTATTCCACAGGAAGATAGCTGTTAGCTGACACTGTACGTAGCGGCCTTTCGAGACATGTGGAGCTTAGAAACTGCAACATCATCCTTCAATTCGAGAAGCATAGCAGTGAATAGACCAAAAAGCCAAACGCTATCTTTTCCCAACGATGGATCGAACTACAAACAGAAAAAAAAGATCTTCGAATCCATGAGGAAACGACTTCCGTATTCTGGCGGCGGGACCGCTGTGCCATCTGTTCTCATGATACGTTAGCACAGTTCTTTTGATGATAATACTGCTACCTTGGAAGACTATATACAACAAAAAGAAAGGGTGGTGGTGATAGAGAGGGCTTTGTTTGGTGGGGTGAGTGGTTGGCGGGCCACTGTGGGCTACGTCACCCTGGAAGTGAGAAGAACGGCAGGTGTGTTTACATTGGCAATGCAACGCCCGCTAGAGAAGATCCAGCGAAGGTACACTTTCTCCTCCCAGCTTGCGCAACTCTACTCCTCTACTGTTCTTGCGACTGCCTGCAAGACACCTAGCTAATCAGCGGTACAGGTACCGCAGCTCCCTTCCAGACCTACTACTTGAACACTATCCCCCGCACCATTTCCGACGTCTTAAACCGCCAACGACCCCTCTATACCTTTTCCGCACGCTCTTGATCTCGAAATACATGCCACGTACACAGACATATCGCATTCGCATCGCGAGGTCAAGCCGATCGCCAGCACGTCGGAAGGTCCCTTGACCGCTCTATTAACAACCGAAAGCGCAAGCTACTGCCCTGCTTCTACCACCGACTGAGGACCAAAGTTTGACTCGCTAGACCAGATCGATCTACACGTTTCTCGCAATAAGGCAGCTTGACTGACCTTACATATACTTGCGCAGTTCATACTTGCCATTTTGAACCTGTACCAGACCCGCAACTGCAGTAAAAGGGGAGCCATGGGGTCAGATCAGCAGCTAGCACGCCAGACACTTGCCCCATACTTGCAAGATGAACCGCCACGAATATGAACACAAGCAATTGAACCCGATAGAATTTGGAAAAAGGAGATATGGCAAGGCTAGAGGGGCAAGTTATCATACAAAGGGAATCGTGAGCAGGCGGTTGACGTATGGTTCAAAGAAGGACCTGCTTCTTTTGGCTCAATCTTAGTAGTTTTGGACGTGGAGCATGGGGTCCTGGAACATAAATTGGTGCAGAACACTATAGGCTCAGTTAGTCACAGGTCAGATAGACCAAATACTTAAGGTAACCTTTTCGTCACCAATGCAAACCATAATCACAAAACCATCACATCATACATCACATGATTGAAAGGCATAGAACGGAAAGAAAAGATCCATGTTCAACCGCCCAAAGGCGGGACTTCGTCCCCGTATCGCTACATGTCCGTAATCATGCTCGTACTCCGTCGTGCCCTCTACTCGTCGGCCTCGTCGTCGGCCTCATCCTCGTCCCACTCCTCGTCCCACTCCTCATCCTCGTCCTCATCCTCGTCCTCGTCGTCATCGTCATCGTCCTCGTCCTCATCATCATCATCGTCGTCGTCGTCGTCCTCCCCCACGATGCGCACCGCGAGCGGATCCCACGAGATCCACGGGCAGCGCCCGCACTTGAAGTGCCCGCAGGTGGTGTGCACCGGGGGGAGAACCGGCACGAGCACAGGGCACGGGCAGGCCACACCTGCCGTGATCTTGAAGGCGCTGTATCAACATGTCAGTCACTGTCTCATCGATTTTGACGGGCTACAGCTTCTAGGTTGTCGGCCTACTAGCTACAACGAGTCAGGATGGGTTACTTACGGGCCTTCGGTCTCGCCGGGCGGAGCGCGATCCAGGCACGCGCAGCACCGGAAGGTGCGCGGGGGCAGCAGGGGCGGCGGGGAGGGGATACTGCTGGGCAGCAGAGCCCGGAGGTGGTGGCGGCGGCGGAGGCGGCGGAGGCGTGGGCGGCCCCGGGCCAGGAGGAGGTGGTGGTGGAGGAGGAGGCGGCGGGGAAGCTCCTGCTCGCGGAGAATTGGGCGGCGGCGCCGCTGGGCCGTTGACGGCCGAGGAGGTGGAGGGCTCGGAAGCCATGGTGTCGGCGGTGGGAGGGCGTGCGGACAGGTTGATGACTACTATATATCAGCTGCTGGATACTCATTACCGTTCGAGGGCGAGCGAGCATGTACATACGGGGGCTGGTGAGGTGTTGCCAAAGAGAAAAAGAGAAGAAAGCTTCAGAGTTGCAGTATTTATATGGAGGGACCGTGCGCGGTGAAGACGACGGCCACAGAGCTTCCATTGGGTTTTGACGAAGCGAGTGAGGAAGGCACGTGGATTCTGTAAGCACATTGTATGATTGAGCTTTACAAGCATCCGTGGGCTCTTGTAACGCGCTGGATTCCCCATAATCCGTCAGTGACTCTCCAGCTATTTAGTAAGTACATTGATCTACTTCTCACCAGCGTTTTAGAACGTGGAGGGGAAAGCAACGCCATTGTGTGCAACGGAGTCAATCAGCCGCTACTAATATGCTCTGGGAACCGGTAACGCGTTGATACCTGAATACTGCCTCAGTGATGTCCAAGCTATCACCAGCGTGGACGCCTGTGCTTTTGGCTATATTTTCTATAGACAAGGAAGAAGTAAGCACCAGATGATAGCAACCCTTTAAATAGCCGCCATTCAATTGTACGAAGGCATGGAATGCGCTATGTGACACATAACGAGTCACTAACGCCCCATGGTTTGCGCTCATAACGCAGTTTCTTCACCGAGGCAGGGATGAAGCACATTTCGGACAAGCCAAAACGTTCAATTGACGCCATCTATATGCTCCTTGTGATGTATACGCTGTAAACGCCCAAATGCCTCACCACCACCACTCCCCTACTTCCCTGTTGGGGCCCATTTACTCTTCTCCCTGATTTTCGCGCCGTACGCATAGAACAATACGGGCACCGGCAAGAAAGCCACACAGATGAACGCCAGCAGACTACTCGCCCACGCCACACCTAACTTCGTGTACATAACGTGCGTGAAAAGCGGGAAGAAGGCGCCGAAGAAGCTGCGAATGAAGGTGTTGACGGCGATGGCGGAGTTGGCGTAGAAGCCGTAGCAGTCGATGAGGTACGACATGCCTTGCCTAAACGCGCAGGTACGAAGTCAGTCAAGTCAGAAAAGTGGGGATAGTACGAAGGGTTTATGTCTAAGACATATCGACTTCGTACCCGGGCAATACTTGCCAGAAGGGCACCATGCAGCCGATACCGATGAGAGCGGTTGCGAGGACGGAGGGGACCCAGGATATGTGTGGGTTGGATGTCCCTAAGAGAGTGGTCAGCTCTGAATTTTGGCAGCTTTTCTTTCGAGGGAGAATATGATCGGGTGCTCATATGAATAAGTTTGTTGCGTTTGTGATCTTCATCGAAGGATCTCGGGGTTAAAAATGTATAATCATCGCAGGAAGCAGGCTTAAAAAGGGATGACTTACATCCAAACCAGAAGAGCCCGACGGGCAGGCAGATGGCGCCCACAATCATGGGCGGAAGACGCTCTTCTGGAATCGATTTGCCGTGCTTGTTGAACGCGCGGGTGAAGTTCGTGGCGGTGCTGTAGGCTATCACGCCGGCGCCTAAGATGATTCCGACGATAAAGGCCGTGAAAGGAAGTTGGGACACACCGAGGGACCAGCCGCGTTGTTCGTGGTAGGCTACTGGGTACTGGAGGAGTGTCAGCTGATTTGTCTTCGATAGTGTTAAAGGCGATGGGGGCTTACGGCTTCGAAGAGTAGGTACACGATGCCATACAAGAAGGACATGTAGGCCGTTACGAGAGCCAAAATCGGCTCCTGCATGATCATGACGAACGGTCTAATCAGATAAACCGTCAGAACCCTCTCCATTGTGAGCTTCTCGTCATCTGCCTTCGCGTGATAGTCGTTGTTGCCCGACTTCTTGCGCAAAGCCGCAGCACGATATTGGAGAATCCTAGGCGCCGATGTCTCCGGCGCAAAGAAGAACGCAAGAGCGCCAACGACGCCAGCCATGATCAACGTGATCCAGGATGTCCATCTCCAGCCCAAGTATGACTGTGTAATGAAGCCACCAGCGATAGGGCCTGCTACTGGGCCAGCAAATCCTCCAGCTGCGAAGATACAGATAGCATACGATCGAGGGATGGGATCCCAGAGATCAGCTAAGATGCCGCCCACCACTGAAAGCGGCGCGGCGGCGAAGAACCCTCCGAGGAATCGGCCCACACATACGGTTGTTATGTTTTGCGCAACAGCGACGGGAATCTGGAATATGGCGAACAGGGCGTAGCCGCAGAGTAGGGGAGTACGACGTCCAAGGACCTCAGACATTGGACCGAATGCGATGGGACCGAATACAAAGCCCTAACATGCGTCAGTTTCCTACCATTGAGCGTTTTTGTGTGAGAAACGCACCAGCACGAAGAGCGCAACACCCAACGTAGCGACCACCTGTGTAACCTGGAACTTCTCCTCCACGACGCCGATATTGACCGAAAAGATGGAGCTGGCAAAGGTCACGGTGAAAACCAGAAGTCCAACAACCACGGTAATCCCCCATCTCCTACGCGTGGTCCAGTTCTTGGGGTGGTCCGGATCGTCTTGTCCATTGAACTCGACCAGGAACTCGTCCACGACCGGCGCATCGCCCTCCTTCTCCTGAGCCCTTTCCATGTCAGGGATGCTGTTGTTCGAGGCAGTGAGGTCCTCGACACTCTTCTGCGGGGTATCGGGATTCGTCGTCGGCGCGGCATCGACAGAGGTGCGGGTCGACAGCGCGTGAAGGCCGGGACCGGGATGTGCTATCTCGGCAGCCATTGTCTTTGGGATATCGTATATCTGTATGCAAGAGCGACTTGCCGGCCCAGGGGCGGGGCCCGGGTGGCTTTATGTTGGCGCATTGGCGAATATCGATGGTGGATGTAATGGAGGATAAGGTCGTTATTTCCGGCGTTGGTGGCAGGAGAGGTCAGAATGTCGACAGTTTCCGGCTTGGTCGCAGTGCTAGGGTGTCTGTAGATCGCCTCGGAAAATGGGAAGCGCGAGCCGAGAGCGTCACACTACAGCTTCATAGACCGCAATAATTCTCCTGATGTTTCCTCAATCTCATCTTGCAGAAGGAAGGGCGGAGGAGCCACATTTGGAATGGAATGTGGCTGTTGCTGGATGTGTGGCAGTGGACGTCGATGTCATGGTGCACTTCGGCCCTCGGTTTGCAAAATGCGCCAGCGACACGGCCCGCCCACGGCTTTGGGTGGGCACGCGGCATGCCTAAAATGCTTGTCGGAACCTGAGCACATCTCAGCCTTGCCTTGCACAGCTAACAGTGTGCCGTATTCTACGTCTCTCATTCGTCATGATCCTTCTTCCAACTCAGGAGCCACACCTCTCCCTCCGAGTACATTGAGATGTTTGTCAATGCCTCGTCTGGCCTCGACGGTACTCGCACGCATCAATCTCCATCTTGCACGCGAACCGTTTAGCGCGCATTTAAGATAACCGAGCTACGACTAACAAGTGCTTATGCTTCCTAGTTTGTTAGAGAAAACACCAAAAGGGCGGAGACAGTGTAGGCGGGTCTGACTGTATGCTCCAGAATTCGAGTCAAGACTCGCACCACTCGCTTTTGACTAATACATAACAATATATTCGCGCTCTCGGCCTCAACATGTGGCCGAAGGCATATTCAAAGAGCTGCAGAAACAAGGTGAAGAATGGAAGGCATAATGAATATTATCATACTGCATTGCTATGATATTCTAGGGTATTCATCTTTTCCGCCAGGACATACAACCATACGCGCCAAACTCCACAAACACGGGGCTTGCGATGACTTTCCCACCGATATGCCTTCTCCCTACGAAGTAAATCACTTTCTGGCCTCCAATCTTGTGTGTGGCAGCCGGTGCTGTGAAGTTGCCCTTGACCTTGCGTGGAAGCTCAACATCAGCAAGCCCCTCTGCTGAAACAAGCAGTTCGGCGCCACCTGCGGTTAGAACTCCTTTGCCTTCGAACTGTGCGTTGTCGCCGGTAGCAATCATGACCAGGTTGAACTGCGGCTGCGGTTCGTGCGAGCAGAGGAAAATCCGCATTCCCATGAAAGCGATATTGGAACGTGCCGTCTTCGTCGACTTTGAGAACTACATCATACCTGCCCATCCCGAGTGCTGACAACACCGACCAGTCCCTCGCTAGGACGTTTGGCAGTGCTATGGAGTAAGTAGCATTATCGGGGAGAGGATGTTTTACATATAACGTAAGATTGCTTCAACTATCCTGGGCTAACTCAGGGTACTTAACCGGCCACGCGCCTCTTGCCCTCCTCGAACCACTTCTCGATGTCCGCAACGAGTCCAACATCGATACGCACATCCACTATCTTGCCCTCTGTGTGCTCCGTCGCCCTCACTGCATGACGGCCGCACAGTTTCTGTCCAGGCGTATTCGTGCCGTCGAAGTCACCAATCACCACTTGTCCGGTGTCGGTGTCGATGAAGACGTTTTCGGGCCTGATGTCGCAGTGCACGAGACCGATACTGTGGATGTGGTTCATGCCGGATTTGATCGCGGACACGATATACTCAGGATTGAGTAGCTGTGGCGGTGCATTCGCTGGCCGTGAAGCCAATTGCTTCAGGAAACTCGTTCTCACCACCAAAGTCCAGAGATCCATGTGGAAGCGCCGATACACCGTAGCTATCACCCGCTGCTTCACGTCCGTCACTACGCCCATGTACTCGCAGATGTTGGGGTGTGGTGCGCTCTGGTACTTCTGCGCAGCCCAGATCTCGCGCTTTTGGGTCGCCTTGATGTCGACCTGGGCGGTTTCGTCTTCGAAGGTGTCGTACCGGATGAAGTTGTGGTATTTGATGAAGACGGATGGGCTGTCGAGAGGGCCGCGATAGCGGGTCATGCTTGGTGTGAGTTTTGTGAAGAGCGCGTCCGCATCGAGGATTCCGCATCGCGGAAGCTGTTCTGGGGGAGTGTTCCTGATTTCGGATTCTGGGCGCGTAGAGTAGCCCCACCAGATCTTGCCGTCCACGTTGTCTCGCAAGAGGTAACGGGTTTTGCGTGCGTTTGTGGCGTGTGTGTGGACGAGTGTGATAGCCATTCTGGCGGTCGATCTAGCTTGATGATGAATGGACCGTGGAATGGGCGCAGCTGCCAAATCGAGTCTCAGATGTCAGAGGATAGAATGATGCTGTAGACTGTATGAGAGAGACTGGGGGTTCGTAAGTGCAAAGCCAACGACAGTTGCGTTGTAGAAGATTTGAGTGAAAGCAGCACAGAAAGCAAAAAGCGCGCTAGTGGGGACAACAGTCAAGTCGAAATTGCTACCTAGACCTATAGCTACCTGTGCTTCACCCTGAAAACCTAATTCAAGCTCACGACTACCTTCTTGGCCGAGACCCCCTTCTTCTGCAAGTCGATCGCACCTTGTATCGCTTCTAGTCCTTCTCCTGCCACCAGGGGCTCTGGTGCCGCTCTGAACTTGCCAGTTGCGAGGGCCTCGGGCAGATATTTCGCATACACAGCTTCTCCAACCGGTGAGTGAGCCAATGAGCCCCAGATGAAGCTCGTTGTAATGCCTCGTAGTTTCGACTTGATGGTGATTGATATCATCGACGTAACGTAACAGTAAATGGTCTGCAGAAGGGCGAACCGCTTCGGCTGCGATGGAATCGGAAATGTTGCCATTGCCATGTGTTTGTCACCCTTACTGCGACCCAATACGTCCAAACATCGGAACATTGAGTTCTCCCCGATGGCTATAGCTCCTGCAGATATTCTTCCCTTCATGGCCTCGACAATAGCGTCCACGACTTTGGGGTCGTTGTAGTCGAAAACTTCGCTGGCACCGAGCGACTTCAGCAGGTTGAAGTTGCGGGGTGAAGATGTAGAAATAACATCGTAGCCAGCAGCCACCGCGAGTTGGATCGCATTGAGGCCCACACTCGTCGAACCTCCCCATACAAGAAGCGTCTTTCCAGTTGGTTTTGCTTCCAGTTGAGGATATTCCAGATTCAACTGGCTCTTCTCGAAGAGCCCAGCCGCGGCAGTCGTTAAAGTCAGTGGAAGTACTGTTGCAGATTCAAATGACATGTTCTCCGGGATCGTGGCGGTATTCCTCTCTAGCAAAATTGTATACTGCTGAAAGCCTCCATATGCAGAGTTGTTGATATCCTTCTCCACACTGTGCGCTTGGCCTGTAACACGGTCGCCAACTTTGATGCGAGTTACTTGCTCTCCAACCTGGACTACTTCTCCAGCGACATCGCTTCCAAAGACGAAAGGGTACTTGATCCAACCGAATGCCATGGCCGTGCCATTCGTTTGGAGTATCCAGTTGATGGGATTAATCGCCACAGCTCGATTGCGAACAACAATTTCACCAGGTCCAGGTTTGGTATATGGCGCTTCTCTGACTTGGAGTTGTTGCTTCGGACCTGGCATCCACGCTGCGGAGTTGTTAGGCATAATGGTTGGAGACTTTTGATTGGTCGGATGGAGCTGTGCTGAATGTGACATCGAGCTTCCAAATTTTTCGGGACGGCTGATATGGGAAATAATGGACAATATAACTGTAATGGTGCGATATCGCTTCTTGGCCTGTGAATACGACACGATATATAGATAATTGTAGGGTTCTCAAGCCTTTGGCGTAGTTTACATTGGGTGACAGATGCATGGAAGATGCGCGGAGGGTTGCACCAATCAGAACAAAGCGGACGTCCGCTTAGACCCACTTGCCCACCACTTCGTCATCGACCACTTCCACATACATCAAGCACAACGGTGCTTGCGATCTTCCCGACGGCCGTCCGACTGTCCTGGGCGATGTAGCGGAGGAACTTTATACACCGTTTGATGTCATGCCGCCTTGAAGGTCGAAGGCTAGAGCTCGCAAAACTAGGAAAAGCTTATGGCGGACATGGCAACTTCATCCGTCTCCTCGGGCCGGTTGCTAACAAGAGCCAAAGGAAGGGACAAGCCACAACTGTCCTGCGACTTCTGTAGGAAAAGAAAGTGAGCATCATACACACTCATGCCCCAAGAATCGAATTTGACAAACGTATAGACTGCGCTGCGATCGCAAACAACCCTGCCAGAGCTGCATCAGGCTAGGGCAGGCTTCAGCATGCAGCTTTCCCATTATTACACCTGCAAGAACAACAGGCAACGGTGTAGGTAATTTCCCGGATCAATCCAGGTTTCAGGAACGAATTAATCACCTCGAAACGCTCGTTCGATTGTTAGCCGAAAAACAACAAGATGAGCCACCTGCGCCGACGCCAGAGAGCACAGTAACCTCAAATACTAGCCTCTCTACGGAAGATGAATCTACGCCTGCGAGTGACTATGGACATATGCGTTTGCAAAAGAACATGTCTTCTTACGTTGAGAGTGACCATTGGACAGCTATCCTCGAAGAGATTCACGACTTGAAAGACATGGCAGACGAAGAAGCTACGTATGTCTATGATTCGGTAGAAGAGGAGACCCAAAGACTACCCGGAGCCGACTTGTTCTTCCTACACACTTATCCCGCCACTAAGATGGAGCTCATAGCTGCTTTGCCTCCTCGACATGTTGTCGACAGCATTATAGCTCAATATTTCAAGACAGCTGACATGCCCATTACTCTCATTATCCATCGTCGTGTCTTCTTTAAGCAGTACGAAAGCTTCTGGCAAGATCCGCTCAATACGCCTACCATGTGGATGACCATACTCTACGGCATGATGTTTATAGTGGCATACGGTACACTGAACATCAATGCTGGAGGCAACCCAGTCGACGAAGGCACTCTACCGGAGTATCAGAACATCGTCCTGACAGCTCGAGAAAAAATGATTCAGTGTCTGAGACTAGGTAACTACATGAAGGGAACGCCTCATACCATCGAAGCGTTGCTCACTTTACTCCAAACTGAGTACATTCAGGGAGAAGAGGCACAGCACGGATGCTGGCAGTTGATTGGGACCATCATTCGCGTCGCACTCAAGATGGGCTATCACCGAGATGGATCACACTTTCCAGAAATATCACCCTTTGAAGCGGAGATGCGTCGACGTACTTGGTATATGCTGATACAATTCGACATTGCCTCTGCGTCCCAAGTCGGACTGCCACGAACTATCAAAGAAGCGCAGTGTGACGCTGCTGAGCCCCACAACCTGCTCGATGATGACTTCGACGACACTATTACCGTACTGCCGCCAGCAAGGCCATTCAATGAACACACACTGTCGCAATTTCTGATCTATAAAAGCAGAGTAGTCACCGTCTACGGTATGATTTGCGACTTCACAACCTCATCTAAGCAGCGCGACTACGACGAAGTAACCAGACTAGACAAACTACTCCGCACGGCATACACGCAAAAGCCTCCTGTTCTCGAGATCAAGCCGCTCCACCGTTCTATCATGGATGGCACAGAACTAATCACGCGACGTCTATACATCGCAATGAGTTTCTACCATGCACAAATGACACTGCATCGCAAGTTCATGATCCTCGCGAAAAACAACAGCAAATATAGCGCGTCACATACAACTTGCCTGGAGGCAGCTTTCGCAGCATTGCAGCTCCAAACCGAGCTGTTTGAGCATACTCAGACGGGACGTATGCTTTATTCTGACCGCTGGAGGATACTTTACTTGATTCAATCGGAGTTCTTGCTCGCGACTATCATCCTTTGCTATAATCTTGATGACGACGTCACGAATGCGCGACGTATCAAATTCTCGCTCTCTACGTCTCAACTGATCGAGAAGATTGTTGTCGCGCTAAATTCCGCGCAAGATATCTGGAGGAAGCAGCAGGACTTTTCGAAGGAGGCGCAGACGGCAGTAAAAGCTATAGACATTGTCCTCTCTAAAGCACATCATAAGACGGTCATTGGTCCAAGCGCCACCCCTGTCTGGACTTCTCCCCAAGCCAAACCCGCAAATGTTACCGAATCGAAAGAAACAGGCATCACTGCTTCCATGCCGGCGATCGCCGAACCGATGCCTCAAAGTCTTCCCAGCTCCAACTTGAGGCAATCGGCATCCCAGGTCAACCCTTCTCAGACTATATTGTCAACCCAAGAGGCGGATCTTACCGAAGGTCCTTGGAATGAGTTCTTTGATTTCGATCAATCATGGGACATCTGGATGCAGCTCTAGATTTGAAGGAGCTTACCTTAGATATATAGGAGAAGAACTTCACCGTATACGTGGTCGTACACGATTTCTATTTACTATATCTAGATATTGCTTCTTACACACTGGAACCCCCTGGCCGTTCGCATTACGCAAGATTCCCTATCTTCATCCAATTCCTTCCCGAGTTTCATTAGGCAATTCGTGATGGAGTGTTGGTGCCAGTCGTTCATGAGACGGAATGTCTTTTTCTTGAAATTGGTCAGTCTCTCCTGAAGTGGTGCCAATAGAGGAACATCGAGAAGAACCCATGTGAGATGCCTTCAAGCAAACTTATCATTAGGTCGACCCTCCAAATATCTATCTAATGGAGTATTACTGTGCATTAGTAGCATCTTGAATACATAGAAAAACTTACCTCATTTTCCTGAGTCCCCTCATCACATACGTGAAAAGCTCGTCTACGGATACTTCCACATGTTGCTTCGTATTTGCAGTCTATAAATTGCACGATAGAGAAATATTGACGCTGTGCGCGTTACCGGACATGATCTGTAGAAAAAATTTCTTCTATGCCTGCCTCTGCTCTCGTCAGATGGGCCCCGCTATTGGTGGCATCACTGGTGTCGACCGGTTGAGAAACATTGGCAAAGTCGACGCACTGGTATCCCTCGAGATCCTAGTCGCACTACGTTTAGGTCCGCTCGGCGCATGGTGAGTTCAAGACGACTCGTCGCAAAGCTCCCCTCCGGTGAGCCAACTCGCCCGCTCTCGATAACAAGCCGTGCGCCCACCCTCGACGCCTTTCGACTGGACTCGACTCACCCGAACATATTCTTCCCTTCTTCTACTTAGGCTCAGTCGGTAATTGGAGCCAGTACTTATTGCATGTTTATTTATCTAACAAATCTAGAGCTTGAGTACGCGCGCCGCCAACATGGGGTTGGCAGACAGAATAGCAAGGAAGCTGGCCAGAAAGCGACCAAGCGGTAGGCTTTCACGGCTTGAGAAGACAGCTTACCGCCGGGCACAGTCCTTAGAGAGCAATCACGCAAGCATTGCCGCGATATGGTCGGAGTTTGGAGTCGCACCTCCACCTGGTGCTCTACGGCGGCGTCCTGATAGTCCTATCCCGGCAACCTTCTACGATCACAGCACACGCAAGATTAAAAAGTCGAGGACACGACACCGTACAACGGGTAGGGGCGCATATCTCACACCGGGTCAGCACAAGGGTGAGCGAATTGTGCCCTTCAACCCTGCACGTTCCATCCAGAACCAGATTGGTGAGTAGCTCTCCAAGTGCACGGATATCCTAGAGTCCATAAGTGCTGATGCGTAGAAGATGGTGAACAGCCAGAACTGGTTAGCAATAGTGAATTGCGAGGAACGGAAATCAATGTCGCTCGTAGCACCGATGCCTATTTGTCAACGGAAGCGGAAGAATTTCATGCTCAGCTGGCAGCGAGGGTTCAAGATGACGGTAAGCAGCTCGTGGTATCGTAGGGGCCCCGTAAAACCTATCTGACAAGCCGTAGAAGATTTGGAGTATATGCCTACGAACAGAGACGTCCCGGCCCCTGCGCAAAACGACCATCGCGAGCAGGCAGGTCATGGTCAGCAGTCGTTGGACTTTCGTCCACAACGATGTATAAACATCGCGACAATCAATCGAAACCCTGCGAAACTGGGTCAATCAAACGCTATGAGGAAGCAACTCGCCAAAATGGACAAAGCTGCTGATGAATACGGTGAGAAACCTAGCAGTAATCTGGTGGCTATCCCGCACATGGTGACTGACTACCATCAGATGACAAGGAGAATATTCGTATGAACAACCGTCGGGCGTCCTCTGCTACTCAAAGCAGACGACCCAAACGGGGAGATGCAGGGGAAGCGGCACTGACCGAGCTTTCTCCAAGCAGTACCAATCGTCAGCGAGGTACACGCCAGTTTGTTTGCTCACACCAATCATCAGCTCTCCAGAGCGAGGAGTCAGCTGCTCGAAAGACTGGTGAGTCTTCCAGTGACTGGAAATGCTCACTTCAAGAAAATCTAACAGACTGCAGACCAGGCCGGTTTCATTGATGCGCGGAGGAGCGACATTAATCACCATACCCGGCTGTTAACAGTAACGGAATTCATGATGGAGCGTGGTCTCCCCCAGACGCTTGACAGCTTACGCAAAATCCCCGAGACTCATTCGATTCAGCCTCTACAACTATCGAACATACACGATAATGTCCTTCACAACGATGTAACTGACTTCCTCTTCAACGCCTGTGAAATGACGGAGTCGCTCGTTCACCAAGTCCGATCGACCGACTACACATTCGCCGACGACACCTCTCGTATCACAGCAGAATCTCTGGATCTCCCCACGGCGCACGATGCACTTCGATATTGCTCGCAGCTCTTTCAAGAAGCTGAAGGTTCTCTCTACGACCATTCTCAATACCATGTCCTGCACAGCATCACGATCAAGATGAATCAGGAGCTTGTGCGTGGCGAGTTCTACGATCTCGCAGGTGCTTACGAGTGCTCCATCCCACAATATAACATCCACATGCCGGTGACTCAGATCTTTGAGTTCTTGGAGTGGTCCAAGGAATATCGGACTGGAGTCTTATTTAACGTTTCTCGGCTCCATAGCGAGCCCGGTATCCGGGACAAGCTGTGGCACCGTATCCTTCACGCTGCGCCACACGTCTGCCGCTCCAAAGAGATCTTGCTGGTGCTGTTGCTCGCGCCAAAGGAGGATCTGGTCGAAGAAGTCCGCTCGTTCTTCTACGTTGACACTGAGTGGTATAACCGAACGAAGAACAATTGCCTGCGAGATTTCTGCGACGTTTCTGGTATGAGCATTGGTAGAGTGGAGGAGCTGTTCAATGCTACCACGAATGAGTTCCATTAGATGGACAAGAAAGGGTAGTTGGACAGACGGTGAAGGTGTAACGGCATGCCCGGTTCCTGGAAGATGAAAAGCCGATATTGGCTACTTCGGTATCAAAAGGCCTAGTTCTTCCCTGGAAGAGTATTTGGAAATCGTTCGGAGTTCTTTATGTTGCTTTGATGTTGTTTCTTAGACGTCTACAACTACCAAAGCTTCCTTGGAGTCTCTAGACTGTTGGAACAACGAGCGGTAAATGATATACAAAGTTTCCGTCCTTTGAACAAATCCATGACAGTGATAGGAAATGATATGGAATTAACATCCAATCGAAATACTCTTCAAGGAGGCAATCGACCATTACCGGGTTCATGATCTCTCCATATTACGGTTGTGCTTCCATAGAACAAACCCAAGCCGAATATCAAGCCTGAACACTTTCTGTCCTCGTCACGCCTTGTTGCTCACAGACTCCGTAGAGGCGTTGCACTACAGTCCTCAAATCCTGCTCAAAACAAAAGCGCTACTCTGCTGAAAACCCTTGTCACTCAAACCAAAGCAAATGAAGTCCACAACACTGGGCTTGGGCACATTGTAACAGCCGCTTAGCAAAAGAAAACGGCCACCCTGTCCAATTAGCTAGCTACGTACGTAATAAAAAAGCCAGAAACACATAGATCACGACGATCAGCAATTCACTTCGTCGTCTCACTTTCAACAAACTTCTGCGATTGCCGAGATGCCCATCCATTCTTTGAAGAAGCATCCCACCAGTAGCTTCATGGCCTCTGCATCAGTCTCCATTGCGCAATACGCAAAGCCACACAACCTACATATACCGCGTAAATCTAAAAATCTAAAATCTCCCGCGGTCCACATTCATCTCACCAGCTAAACACCAGCACACCCCACATCTTCTCCCCATCCTCGCGGCCCGCCTCAATTTTCAGTACAGTAGCAACAACAATGAAACTCTCCGAGGATTTAAAAGCTTAGAAATTATCCACGCGAAATATTGCCACATTAACTTGTGCACTTGACTCTCAACTGCATCGTTTCCAGATGGTATGTTCTAAAGTGCGCATCTGACTCCATGGATAATCCTGCTTCCTCCCGCGCGCACTCACCCCCTGCGCTATCATACTAAGTACTACCGCACTAGTGTTGAATCCTATTTCCCACCCCTTCGCTTGAGCTGTTCACACTCTGCGCCTATGATACTGTTGCTACTAGTCGGATTTTCTCTCCGCACCCATCGCAGTTGAGCTTTTTCTGGACAAGATGAGATCGATATTTGGACATTTTGAACCCTATAGTTCAAAACTAGCAATCTTATCCACAGGGAGCAGGCGAGAAGAGAGCATATTTCTACACATATAAACATTGCGCCGAGGTGATCAGTTGTTCATTATTCTTCTTCACCCGTCATTCATGCTTTACAGGTTCACAAAAATATGATCAACTTTTTCTCCTTTCGCACACAGAATGGTGTAGTAAGTTTTGGATCATCGCAGGATCTCCTTAGCCCAGTATCACGGCCAAGCCCTCTTTTCAACAAGGAAATGATTACACCTTTTGATTTCCGAGGAACAGCATCTTATCCCGAAATCCTCGACAGAACGCGAATCGCTACCATACATCTCCACCTACGCCCAAGGGTAGAAGGCCCTGACGAAATCCAGATCACCAGCACTCGGTATGAAGTTGCGCGTCAAAGACACCCCCGGTTCACCGTTCGGCCCATTCCCCCTCTTCACCATCGCGCACTCGGCCGGATTTTGTGGACATTTTGTTGGGTCATACATGGAAGTTAAGGCATCATCCACACCCGCTGTGCTGTCATACATCATGACGGATTGCGCATCGAAGGCTCCGAAGGGGTGAGAGTTATATCGTGACTGGGTGCCAGCGTTGTCGATGAACGCTGCCCCCGCGAAGTCATAGCGCACTGCAAAGAGGATTTCGTTGCAAAGCTTGTATCGTATCTCCCAGTCTTGTATGAATTGGTTGGCTGGATCATCTAGGGCGCGGTTCAAACTGGGCCAAAAGTCGCGGACTTTTTCGCAGCGGTAGATGAGGTACTGGTCTCCTGAAGCACGGAGCGTTAAGAAGACTTTGACCACATCATGAACGTTGATACTTACGATCAGGTCGCTGGAACTCGTGGTCGAGACCGAGGACTGCCGTATGTCAGTAACATTGTGGAAATGGAGGTAGTAGGAGACGCGCACCATGACCCAACTACACCGGTTATTCATATGCCTAGACAATCAAGTATCGGGTCGATATTCTCACCTCGTGGACAATTTTGTAGATATGTGGTGGTGCAATATCTGACAAATGCATATGATGGCGGTTGTGGACATCATCGATGGGATTCGACGCAGGTAGATATCCAAGAGTGGTGCTCTGGTCCCGCGAATTAAGCCAGTGAATGGCCAGAACATCATGTTGCACTTCGGGATCCCAAACATAGCGGTATTGTGACCCGGGGAGGCGTGTGTAACTGGTACAGCAGAATTTCTGTTGGCCTTGTTGTCCCTGGATCTCTGCGAAGACAAGATTGTGACCGGTCGCAGCGGATGCGGGTCCTCCGAGGGCATTGATCCAAACCTGCATGGCGCGTTCCAAGTTGCTTTGCAGTCGACCTTTGGACAAGGCGTCTACGTAGCAGTACCTGTTGGGGTGCGCAGATCAGTGTCTATTGCGATGATCACTTCAGAGTCCTAACAGTACCTCACCACGTTGCGACCGCCCTGGCCCTAGACCAAGTGTCAGCAGCAGACAATTGCGTCGTGCCCTAAAGGGTCAACGAAGTAGCAGATTATGGACACTTACAGGGAGAACGGGCCAGGTGGTCCTAAACCGGTTCGTGATGACCTCATAGCCGCGAGCGCCGAGAGAGTCATGTTCGGAGGTGTTCAGACCGACGAGGGCTGCGAGAACGTGTGGCACGAAACTCAGCGCAGTCAAGAGGAAAGCGAGGAGGTGCATTTCAGGCGATTAGGCAAGCAGTCGCGTGCTGGCGGTAGGAGCGCGGGATTGAAAGAGAATCGCGGCCGCGGCACGATGCAGAAGATGAGCAAAGGGAAGAGCAAGGAACGTCGAGCAACCGCATACTGCGAGGTGAGCAAGTTGTGCCGAGGGCAGCCGTGCACGGAAAGAGCGCGGTGAACAGGGCAAGTGCGACTTCGCTCGTGGTGAAGACGTAAGGCGGACCATGTGGATGTATTGCAATAACAGCTGTGGAAGAACGAAGAGAATCGGTGGTATACAAATGTCTATATGCCATACATGTACAAGTGACAATTCTCTGCAAGCCCTGATATCATACAACAAATATACTATACTCTTCTTCACCTTCTTCTCTTCTCATCCTCTCCTCCTATCGCCTCTGCCACGCCTGGCCTCATCTCACCCAAGCTCTGCGTCTCATCCACTGGCTGGCTTGTAGGCGAGAAAGGCTTGGACGCACGCGCCGCGAAGGGGTTTGCGTTGGCATCAGATGCAAATTGCATCATGAATTGTTGCGCCTGAGGGCTCTGCTCGTCCAGCTCCGTACCACTCCTTCCTGAGCCCAAATTTCTCAGAAGATTTTCTGAGTTTCCTTCGAAGTTTGCTCGTGAGGGAGGCCTGTCTTCTAGCGAGCCATTGGCAACCTGTACCTCTGCACCGATAGATCGTTTCAGTTTAATGTGAATGCGACCATTGTTGGTGACGGATGCGAATTGAGGAAGAATGTTGACCTTCGCGCCGCCTTCGGTGCGGACATCGATATCGTAGGCAGGATCCTCGTTCGCGCGGAACCGACCGCTCCTCTCGCCCGTGGATACGAATTCGTCGTTGGTAACGAAACCTGCAACACCGAGCTTCGCTGTGGTCTGTCTGCTTGCATTGCGAGACTCTATTACACGGGCCTGGACTGGTGCACGCTTGTCTTGTGGCCCGAGGATGGGGTGGTTGGTCAAGTATGCGTTTGTGCGGAGGTATCCCAGACCGGCAGAGGGATGCGTAGAGAGGGGTGCAACGTCGTCGTCAAAACGGTACCTGACGGTATCGTCGCTCCTGGCGTCCGCAGAGAAGGTTGTGTCTTTGAGCTTGATGGTCGGGATACGGAGAAATGGTACGATCAGGCGCTGAACTAGGCGTGATTGTAGAGGGTTGACAGCGGCTTCGCTTCGAAGCTTCTTGATGCCTGCGTCGATTTCATCCTCGGAAATGTCAGCCCACTTTTTAGCTTGTTCGGTGATGAACTCTGGGTCTTCTTGCTGTGCAAGGTGGGCATCGAGATCTAGAGGATTCTCGGGCGTTTGGCTCCTTGAGGCTACCTGGCGTGAGGTGTAGATTTCGTTCTTCACATAGTGACGTAGATACTTATTGAACTCTTTCTTCCGAGAGGAAAGCTGTTCGGTCATGTATCTTGTGAACTCGTCGGCGCTCATTCCGGGAAGCCATGGGCCTTCGTGCTTCCACCGGCGAGCGCTGTGGCGGGCCATGTCGGGTTGCGGTAGGTTGAATGGAACAAAAGTGTGTTCATCCTTTTTCCCCTTGCGCTTGGCAGCATTCTCAAGCACGCTCTTCTTGATGGCTTCCAGGACCACGCCGGCTTCGTCGAGGCCTTCGTCCAACTCATACGCCGTTACGTCTGACCGACGCTCGAAGGCACCGGCCGCCGGCAATCCTAAAGCTTCGTCTCGCATGGCAGCCATGCCCTTCATCATGGGCACTGATAGCTCCTCGAACTTCTGCCTTGTCCGTACATGGTCTGCCGCCGAATCGAAATCGGTCACATGCTCGATGGTGTCCAGCTGCTTCACCTTGACCACGGGGCTGCTAGTCTGCACTATATGGGCTCGCGAGGGAAGCGGCCTCTTCAAACCCCAATCTCCTCGTGCCAGCGACCTTGGTGTCGTCGCAATCGCTTGATGCGTTGGGTATGGGAGAGTCGCGGTATCGGAAACTTTCTGGGTGCCGGCGCCGACACTTTCGGAGACCTGGGGGCGCGGGAGGGGGTTTGGGAGAGAGAAGAGACGCGAATTGCGCAGCAAATTGGCTGTCGGCGACAAACTCTGCCGTCGGAGGGCCATGGCGATGCGACAGCCGCGGGCGGGGCGACAATGGCGGCTGAAGTGATCCACTGATGGCGCTGCTGTTCGCGACCTCAAAGTTCGAGCAACATACCCGCGGCGAAACTTGCCGCCGGCTTGGCGTTCATGTGTGCACGCTCCACTTTCACAAGCAATCGAGTAGACAGCGAACAGTTCGCGGGTTCCAGTTTCTTCTGAATTTCGAATGGCCTCAGTACATACTTGTTCTACAGTGATTGGCCTCTCACATCCTGTGCATGCCTTCCCGTATTCCCGACGAGTTCCTTCTACCCTGACCAACCCTAACAAGTGCGTCTGCGCTATGCATTCGCCGAGTGCTTTGCCGTGCTATGGATCTGTGGTGCTTCCGTCTTACAGGATCTCTCATAACAGCGCGTATTTCGTCTACGCTCTCGGCTCGGGGGCGTGGAGATGCTTTCACGTGTTACCGTGTTAATGATTCACCCGGGTAGAGCCTTATCCCAGTCTTGTTCGTCGTCTTCGTCATCGCTGTCCTTTGCTTGTTCTGCATCTCGAGCAGACTTCGGCACATGTCCCTCGATAGCCATATGTGACTGGCCAGAGCTCTGTTGCGGCAAAGAAGGTGGCATCGGTGGAAATTTGGTCACCCGTTCCTTGATCTTGTCCGTGATGAGGTCCTTGTTGGCCTTGCTCAGCCGGCCCGGCTTCTCGCCGCGTTCGATGGCAAGGTCCGCGAGCGCATCGTCGCGCGCTGCCCATGCTGCCGCGGCATCCTCCTCTTCTGTGTCTTGTGGCGCTGGTGTCACTTCCTTCTTCAACCGGAGTGGCAGGGTCTTGTGATGTTCTTCGGCGTTCTCCACCATGAGCTCGATGTCGGTCCCGTAGTCACCCTGTCGCAGCCATGCAGGCTCTTCGTTCAGCTGCACCTTGACAAAGAGTGCCCGTCGCGCGCAGTCGTCAGAGCACCACATCTCCAACTTCTTCCTGTCCACAATCTGAACGCCCTTTGAGGTCTCCACGAATTGCTTTCTGGCCGTAGATGGCGCTTTGCCCTTCGGCCGCGGACACAGCGTGTAGCCACACTTGTCAGCGATGTTGCGCTCCTCGATCAAGGCATCGTAGTCGGAAGGCTGAAAGGCGACAACAGCCTGGCGAAAGCGCTGCGCATCGGAAGGTGACGGACGGGTCGAGTCTGCATCGGCTTGGGAGGGGAAGTCCATGAGCTCCATTACGGAGCGCAGAATGTCGAGCTCCACTCGCTTGCGCTGCTCCAGGACGTTCGCGTGGTGCACCGCGGTTTCGAGGTGGCGCCCGTTGACGGCACGCGCCGCGGGCGGAGCATTCGCAGCGACTGCAGACTTCTTGAGAATCGACTTGGGCGGCATGGCGGCGTCGAAGTGTGGAGTGCGCGCACTCGCCGGATGAAGGTGTTGGCCGCGGCGGTTGAAGCGGAACTGTCGCCAAGCTCAGGGCAGCGCGGGGCGTCTCAGCGTGGCTTTGCATGACGAAGACTCCGCCCTCACCACCGAGCACAAGCTCTCCCACTCTCCCATCCGCCAGATAGCGCGCACCCACGCTTCCATGGGCAGCTCCAGCGCCTGGTAAGAGCCCCTGCTGCCTTCCTCTCCCTCTGGCCCATCTCCGCAGCCCCCGCAGTGCCTAGCTTACGTCGCCGTGGTCGGCTAGCGCTTGCATACGTCCACTGACAGCCGCCTGCATCGCAGCCTCTGAACAGCCTCAACACCCCCGCCTGCCCCCGACCCACGCCAGAGCTTCCTCTACAGCTCTGAGCACCTATAGACCAGCTCCTCCACCGCCGCACCGCCCGTGGTCATCTCCACGATGCCGCCCTTCAAAGTCAAGGCGGTGTACGAGTACGATTCGCCCCACCCTGGCGATCTGCTCTTTCCCAATGGCCAGATCATAACTGTCACCGAGGAGGAGGATGACGATTGGTATGTGGGCGAATACGTCGACGACAGCGGTATCAAGCACGAAGGAATCTTCCCCAAGAACTTCGTGGAGAAGGTTGAGCCGGCGCGACCGCCGCGACCTAATCGTAAATCGTACGTACCCGAGCAGCCTGCCGCCCAGGTAGCTCCTCCAACGCCCGAGGTACCACAGCAAGAAGCTGGGCCGGTGCCAGAGGAGCAACCAGACCCAGATTCTCCCAAGGCCCAGGCGCCGCCGCCTGTCAAGATCCCAGATCAGACCAAGTCGCAGCCGTCACCCCTTTCTCCAACCTCCGCACACAGCGCGAAGGCTCAGGAAATGCCGCAAGACCCTCCGCCAGCTCCTAAGCCAGCTCCAGCCGAGCCAAACACTGCTGCCCCATCGAAGAAAGCACCTCCGCCAATTGCTAAGAAATCGGACGCTTTCCGTGATCGATTGGCCATGTTTAACCAAGGCACTACGGCGCCGCAGCCGTTCAAGCCTTCTGCCGCCCCTTCCAGCTTCATCAAGAAGCCTTTTCAGGCTGCAGCTCCGAGGCCTGATGCATACATTCCTCCGCCCCGCGATATCCCCCAAGTGAAGACATACCGCCGGGAGGAAGACCCGGAAATTGCTGAACGCCAAGCGAGAGATCAGGAAATTGCCGAGCGTGCAGGTTTGTCTGGCCAGAGCCCCACTGCCGGGAACGAAGGCGAAGAAGAAGATCAGCCGAAGGTTCTGAGTCTAAAAGAGCGCATGGCTCTTCTACAAAAACAGCAGCAGGAACAGGCAGAGCGTGCAGCTACATCTCACAGAGAGAGGAAACAGAGACCTCCTGTAAAGAAGAGAACAGAATCACATGGTCAAATGGATGATCATGATGGAGCTAGCCTCGAGAAGGTGGCCAGCGGTGAGCCGAGAGAGCGCGGGTCTATTGATAATGCTCGGCCGCCACGTTCTTCCACTGGGCTCAAATCGCCCGACATTCATGCTAATCGTGAACTTCTGAGTGACGCCAATGATGCCGACCAGTCCGGCGCCGGCGAGACGGAGGATGCCGAGGGTACATCAACAAGCGTCGAGGACGATGATGAGCGCTCTAGACACAAAATGCCGTCAAGAGCTACCACCGCGCCTACCAAAGAGCCAGACGTTGGCGACGAACAGGATGTCGAGGAAGAAGAGGAAGAGGAGGAAGACGAAGTGGATGCCGAGACTCGGAGAAAACAGGAGCTGCGCGAGAGAATGGCACGATTGGGCGGTGGCTTCAATCCGATGATGGGCGGAATGAATCCCTTTGGTGCTCCAATGGGAGCTCCTCTGCCACCTAAAAAGAAAAAGGCTTCCGAGAAGAAGTCGACCGACGACAGCGAGCAGCCAAATCTTCCGCAGCAGCGTGTACCCATGTTTCCTGGCATGCTGCCGGTCAGGAGCCCTGAAATTGAGAATAAGCAGCTTTCTGTAGAAAAGGAAGATGATAATCCCCACCCCATCACCAGCTCACATGAGCCAGAGGAGGTACCTGACGTCGAAGACGTGACACCACAACAGTTGCTGCGAACGCCGACCGCTGAGCAGCCGCCTCCCATCCCATCTGAGAGTAAGTTCATGATACCACGCAAGCCTGTTAACAGTTGTTGCGCCCACCAGACTCTCAGCGCTTTTCAGCTGTCTTCTTCCGAGACTGTGTCAAAGACCTATGTTGCTTCTGATGGGCTCTCGGAATATGTCATGACTGTTAGCGTCTGTAGTATGTCGAAGAGGATTTACAACGCTCACGTCTTCTCTTTACGAACTACTTGCTTACAATACCCTAGGGCGACCTGTGCCGCCTCTTGTTCCTGGTGGTGACCACACAATTGATCGTGCGGTTCCTCCACCTGTCCCTGCGTCATGTTAGTACATTCACCGTTTCTTGTACCGAAAATCTCGACTGATGATCGCAGCTCGACCTCTACCTCCTCATCCCCCAATTCGGTCGCCTAGCCCCGGCTCAGAATCTGGTGATGAAATCTCAGATGCTCCTCCTCAATCAGCGACATCTCCTAGAACACCGTCAGCCCTGCCACCATCAAAACGGAGCTCTTACCTTGCATCAGATGAGCTGTCAGGAGATTCTCCTGATAAGCGTGTGGTGCCGCCAATCCCAATGGGCAGCCCACCATTCTCCCCTTCAGGGGCTGGTCGACCGCCCCCACCTCCGCCACCCACTGGTGCTCCTCCCTCTCGACAGCCGACCATGGATAGCATCGTAAGGAAGGTCGACCGTGAAGGCGAGACCGACTATGAGGGCGATTACGATACCGATATTGCGTCCGGCGCTACGCATAAGGATGCTCTGAAGTCGCATGTTAGGGAGGCTAGCATTGGTGACAGCACATTAGCTGGCGATGACACCCCCGTTCGCTCTCCCGTCACGCCTTCAGCACCTCCACCTTTGCCTCCGTCGTTGCCTCGTGCTGTACCACCTCCGCCGCCGCCGCAGCCTCCTAACAGAGCTTCGATGGATGCCCCCCGAGGAGCACCACCGCTACCGCCGGTTCCGCCGCCGACTCGTGATGTCTATGACGATGATGATTATGATCCGTACAAGTACAACGCGTCACCTCCACGGGCGGCGCCACCTCCAACACCCCGGGCAGCACCGCCACCGCCGCAGGCTCGCCCACCGCCCCGTCGATGCCCCCAGTACCTCCTCCTGTTCCGCAACAGCAGGACGTGGAGTCGGAGGATGAAGACGAGTTGTATGCTCCCCCTTCGAGGAAATCACACGATCGACCTCCTCCTCCACCGCCGCAGGCTCCTCCGCCTCAGCATGCACCTTTGCCCCCTCTGGTAGACCGGACAGCACCCGCTCCTCCTCATGATCGTGCTGCACCACCTCCGCCGCCGCCTGAGGCGTCCCAGCAGCCGCGGCCTTCGATGGGTCGAAAGTCCTTGGATGTCAACCGATCAATGCAGGGAGGCCGCACCTCAATGGACCAGCCTCGCCCATCAGCGAGCCAAGAGTTCATTGCAAGCGATCTCGACTTGGGTGCATCCAGCCACTGGTGGACTCAGCCGAATATGCCGCCTCCTTCAGTCCAAGGGCGCAACGACATCCTTTACGAGATGGATGAATCTCAATCAGGCAACTCCTTTGAGAAAGCTGTCTTCGTCTTGTATATGGACTATTCCCAGACCATCATCACAGCTCGCTTCCAAGCGAACGATGTGTCAAATGTACACCTCGAGCAGCGCCACGACCCACCGCCTAGTCGTTTGCGTCAAGACCAACTCGAAGCAGCCCACGAGCGCTTCGGCATGCGCATAGCCAAAGACGTCGAGTCAAAGCAGAACACCGTTGTCGGCAACGGCACGCCGCATGGGCTGATTGAGGAGCTTCTCCGCCCATACAGCGACGCTCTTAAGCCCGTCGGTACGCGCGCCTTCGGCGCCCTCGTCTACGCTAACCTCGCCAACGCGAGCACTCAGCAGTACGATGAGATCCGGCCCGGCGATATCATCTCCCTGCGCAAAGCGCGCTTCCAAGGAAAGCACGGCGCCATGCATGCCAAATATTCCGTCGACGTGGGGAAGCCGGATCATGTTGGTGTGGTGGTCGAGTGGGATGGGAAGAAGAGGAAGGTTAGAGTGTGGGAGCAAGGGAGGGAGAGTAAGAAGGTGAAACCGGAGAGTTTTAGGATGGAGGATTTGCGCTCAGGGGAAGTCAGGGTTTGGCGCGTCATGGCGAGAAGCTGGGTCGGGTGGAGCTAGGCAAACAAGTGATGTGGAGTTCCATCGCACAATGTGAGCTGCGAGTCTAAGACAGTGTAGATGGGTTGTGTGAAGACAGTGTAGTCATAGGGATTCTTGGCGTAGTGTATACAAATTTCGTCCACGCAAGCTTCGCCTCTGGTCGTGCGTTCCTCATTATGAAATTGTTGTTTCTGTGTAGCCCTTTGCAGCGATCCAGCTCAACACGGATGCGTACGCCTGTAACTTAGCGTGCTCGCTCTCATCTTGTCCTCCGTGTCCGTGGCTGTCACCTTCCACGGTCGTTTTCTTTGGTGTTCCATTGGATACACGTGGGGTCGCGGAGTGTCAAGATTGTCGATGTTCGCTTGCTGGGCGCTGATGAACATGATCTTTGGCTGAGAGCGTGAAGTGCGTTGTGTGCCCAAGGTATTGGACCGTCTGAGCGCAGGTTGAGAAAGACGAGGTACTGGGTGAGTGGTCTACCTTGGAGCCATATTTCAACGTATATGTGCAGTCGCCAGGGTATTGTAAATCTGTTGTAGGCTGCAGGCCGTGACGAAGGTTCAGGTTGTGGCTGGCTGGAGTTGATGAAGGTGAGAGACAAATGGAACCCTCTATGGCAGAGTTGCATTCATGACATGCCATAGGTGAGTTGGACAGTGGTATTATTAGTGTGTTATACTCCGCGATGCTGATCTGTGGTAAAGCTTCAATTTTGCTGCATGAGTGGTCTCCTGATTCTAATAACGAAGATTACAGCGTGTCCAGACCGGGAGGTCAATTTCTTTGTCCCTTTAACCATTCGAAAGCAACACGTGTACCTAGGTAGTTACGGCCCAGTACATGATTGGCAAACGTAGCCACCGAAATGAATAATGGTAGGGCCGTCAAAGAAGCCAGCACCTAGAAATGGCTCTCTAGATATACCTATGTACTGCCAGATTATGCAGTGCCATTGAGAACACATGGAGATAGGTCGCTGTGCAGTAAGCTAGAAACGGAACTAGGAAGGTGCCCGCTCCACTACCTAAATCTCGGTCAGGCCTATCATACCATCTCCATGCCTTCAACAACACATCAATACACTATCGAGTTGCGAACATCCTTCTACAACGATACAGGAAACCATCTCAGGACCAGTTTCCGTCGTCAAAGAGCGCCCACCAATGCTTTAATTAGGACACCGTCAATCCTCTTTCATTACATCGAACAACATCCTGACGGGAAACCATAGCGTCAGGCCTCTCCTAGAACACACCTACGATGCCCCATGACACCTTCCAATGTCGACTCCGCTTCTTGGTCGCTTTCAGACATGCGCCGCAAAACTTCCGGTTTGACAGTTCAAACGTCTTCGATCGTCCGTTTCAGCGGCGTTTCCAACAATACCGGATAGTCACCATACACATCGGCACGATATTTGATCGTCAAGGTCCACCACAAGCGCGACCTCAAATGAGCTAGAGTACTGCTTGGAACATCGTGAATAGCTCGCTGCGGGTGCTCTCTGCTTCTGGTGCGGATACTGTCAAGCCGGACCTTGTTTGACAAAACGCCTCCACGAATATCTATGTTTAGCGAAGCTTATACTTCCTTTCTCTGTTCTATAATAGAGCGTAGTAGGTATGTGAAGTGTTCTCTGCTTTTTTCAACCTCAGTTTCGTAGCCGTACCATTTTCGATACCCATTCCTTCTGCATCGATCTCCACAAGCATCACCATGCAGCCCTCCGTATTATCTTCCTTGTCGGCCCAACTCTAGCATCTTCAAGCCTCGAGGTGCGAGCAGCGAACAGCACCTCAAACAACACCTGCAACCCACAGCAAACCAAAGTCCTAGCTGACGGCATCCAGCGAAACATTGACGTCCAAATGAAAGAAATGCAATCGTATGGGTTCTCTCATCCTATCTGTCCTCATTCAAGGCCACACTCACCATCCTAGTCATCAAACCCTACAATACCTTGACACCACAGCAAACACCACCCTTCGCGCCGTAAATTCCACCTCTGGTAACGATCCCGTGTACGACGTCCAGCAATCTGAGGTCGAAAAACTGCAGCAACAAGCCATCGAGATATGGACGGAGAACCATAGGATCGCGCAAGAAATGGGGAGTCCGAGTAGTTTGCAGAAGGGGCTAGCTAATAGGGCAATCAAGCAGAATATGAAGAAGGTGCAGCTGATGAGGTTGGTGGCGGGGAAGAATGATACGGAGGTTCTTAAAGGGTTGTTGAAGGGAACGGAGGATGGCATAAAGCTGAATGAAGAGGCGCTGAAGGTGACGAAGAGCGGGACGGGGTACAAGAAATAGACGGGAAACAAAAAATTGCCGTGTCCATATACATAGACCCTTGCCCTCCGCGTCACATATCAGCACCTTCATGCACAACCGCATGGCAAGAATAGTCCGCGCCCTTAACATACCGCCGTTTCTGGAGGACCGACTCGCTAGATATCCAATATCTATATGTAGGATTCGACTCTTGCTAAGGCCTGTATCAGCAGATTATCCGTACGCTGTCTAATGCCGAAGTTTTGCGTGCAACCAGTTACTCGAAACTGGGAGAAAAGCAACTTATAGCCAGCCAAAATTGCAGGAGGAAGCTACAAATATCCGTCATAGTGTTGCCGGGTAGAGCTCGCAAGTATCGAGGTATTTCTAATCCTAAGCACATATCCACACGCGTGGAAGGTGTTGCTTCGCAGCGACTCAGCCCGAAGTTGAACTTCTGTAGCCCACTGACCTTTCCACAAATCCAACCGCGTCCAGTACTATCCCCTTGTCAGCACCACGCCCAGTTTCACTATCCCATGCCACACTTATACGTACAGTGCTGACTCGCCCCCTTTTCCACATTCCAGCCTCCAGTCTCTTCCCGCTTGTCGTTGCAGTTCTTGATCACAGACTCGACCTGCGTCCTCGTGAAGTTGTCTTGCACCCATTGCCAAACTGCGGGACAAGATTCTGCGACTTTGTCATTGGTCGTTACCCCATGGAGATCCGTCCAACCGGTCTCATTGGGCATTGAATTGGCGATGGCGATGAAGTAGATGGGTATATTGGCGGGTTCGGCGGGTTCGGCCGCAACGTGGCTCGGTGCCGAGGAACGGATTGGGCGTGGTGGGGGAAACATGGCGTGGAGGTCGGCGTTAGGGTGGGGTGGTGACGGGATAGAGGACTTGCGAAGGAACGATATAGAAGCGCGGTGGTGCCGCTTCACCCACGTGGGTGGGCTATTCTGGAAAGGCAAACGCTAGGCGCCCACCTAGGAGGCATGAGTGCGAGTTGTATTGCCATGGCTGCGTTGGGCTAGGGATTTGAATCTAGTACAGCATCTGATAGAGCGAATCTAGTCGAGTCACATCAAGCTCATTCATGATTTTGATCCCAATGGCAAAAGGTCGAAGTTGGTGTTCAATAGCAGCTGGAGGTATGGAAGTGCCTCTGAAGAGCTTTTGAGTCACTGCGGTGCCCTACGATGTAAAACTTAGTGCTCACACATCGAAGTGCTTTCACAATCGTCTTGATATTGTATAGCATGTCGTGACATTTAGCACACTGGCTCTGGTGCTGAAAACTCGACATAACCGATGAAATTCGCAACGAGTACTCCTGTGAGGATGAGATGTGGAATGATTGATAGCGTAGCATTATTCAAGTGGTTCGATATTACTCAAGTGAATGGTCCAGTTCCTTTTTTGCTTGAGTGTTGTTGTTGTGCACACTAGCGTACTTTCCCGAGCTCTCCCACTTGAACACTCTTTACAGCATCATCTCACCATACACCCGTCACACATCTCTCACAGACCTCTTGCAACTTATTTAAGTCCTTCCTGGCTAGATCATTCTCGTATATCATCCTCATCGCCCAGTAAAGTACCGCAACCCCCGCGCCATCATGAGTTGGCTTCCGGACGAGGTAGATTACGGCTACGGCTCCGTCGATGAAGCCGACCTCGAGCGCAGGCCTTGTGGTCTGCATCCAAAGACCCCTCCACCGCAGCCACCGGTTGCAGCCACTGAGCTCAAGATCTCAGGAGTGAAGATGTTCCGCAACGCCATAGCTCTAGCAAGCTCCACCTTGGAGTGGAAGATGGGCATACAGGAAGGCCATTTCGCCTTCACAGACTGGAATTCCCTAGCCAAAGCTAAGGGATTGAAGCTCAATTGCCCTCGCGAAGTGCTGAACCACTGCATCGACCGCATCGACCGAGGCACGCATCCACATTTCGATACCTTAAGCTGGAACATCGACCCCTTCTTCAAGAAGATCAAGATCAACCACGCCACCACGCGCGCCGGTTTGCCTCACGTTTCCCTCCCAGTTATTGTGCGCATCCAGCCACTCGCCGACCTCAGAGCGCATCCGTCTGAATCATGGACAGATCTGAGTGCCGAGGAAGCCCAATTCCGGTCGCAACTGTGGAGAAGCATGGTCACAAAGTCATCATACATCTTCAATACGAAGATACTGCTCTTGGTTCTCCTCTGCGCGCCCAAGATCAAGTTCAAGTTCGTACGGCTCGCCGAATCTTTCTTCGTTTCCGACAACGACAGCTGGTATGAGACGGTGGTGGAAAACGTCTTAGCGAGCTATGCAGAGATGCATGAGCAAGATACGTGGAGGGTGAGAGAAAATTTTGGGGAGGTGACAGCGCTGCTGCATGGGCAGGATAAAGATATGGAGCTAGAGTATTGAAGGTCATGTCCACCAGCCTACAAGATAGATCAGCGTGGATGCACTTGGGGACCTTGATATGGACACTCTTGGTGATTAGAGTACAGGATATCGTGGGTCGCAGACATAATGGGGTTCTACACATCGTGGGTATCCCCACATGTTAGTAAAGGTGTAGAACACATCTTGGATTGCGATACCAGTCACTACACGCCTACGTTGTCTGCCGACGAGCGACCCTAAGTTCATACGGCGGTGGGGCATCATCACTCACGAACCTTCCAATCTGTCCTGTCATATCACCAGTCACTGTCTCCCTGATCGAATTTTCTGATCTTCTTTCCCATCTATGCCTGTAAACTGCATTCTGATTCCTTACAGCCAAGAACTACTTCACTTCAATTTGTGTTCGAGCTGGACTCAACATCGTCTTTGAGTGGACGCATTCTCCCTTCTTCTTGTCGCCATCTCTGTCTATTCTCTTTCTAAGAGTGCAATAGGTCGCCAAGAGGATGGCAATGAACACGAGTGAGATAAAACCAACGATAATCGTTGGCAAACGGCTGCAAATTTCGTCAGACGATCCCAAAAAATATTAGATGTTGTTGATGCTTCTTAGATACTCAATCGCGGACAGTTGCTATAGCGTTCTGCAAATGCAGTTCAACAAACGTTCAGCACTTATATATAATAACGGAGATCACGCGCGCATATGCACACGGGCATGCTCTTGGCCCGAAAATACGCGGGTATAGCCCAGACTCAGCTTGACACCAGCGAATGAAAGGTCATGCATAGGACCCGGTGAACTGCTTGATGCGCTCGGTGGAACGAATATTGAGGCCTATTGTGCCCGAGGAGGTGGCACTGTTTCGCTGCAAGACTGGTTGGATGCCTGAACCTCCATAGAGCAGCGCCGTTACGCGTCGGATTGCCTTATAGTCTTTAAGACTGTTCCCACTGCTTTCACTGGGCCTTTTAGAAACCAAGACGGAAAACATCTGCACGTCCGGTACTTTCTCAGGCCAAGCGGTACACACAATCAAAATCCGTGGCAAAAATGATACTCTACTAGGTTACGCAAGGGTAGAGGAAAAGCAGGAAGAAAAAACCTGATGGAGCATCAAGGAACATGTGAATACTGCATTACGTTCGGGACTGTGCTTTTCTAGCGCGCTTCGTTGTCAGATAGGAATGTTCCGGCCCCTACCCGATGATGCAAGACGTTCGACCGCCTAAGAACGAGGCGAAGAAAACGGGCTTTGGTTTGCCTGGACGTAGGGATTTGTTCGAGCATAAGCGCTTAGAAGGGTACGCAAACGTCAACATGGATGCGCATAGCATAGTACGCTACTTTACGCAAGTTTGTGGGTACAAATGTATCGCGCAAGGTGGGTTTCACTATTCAAATCGAACGACAGGTGGCTGAGTGTGGCTATTCAAAACCCATTATTTTAGTATGGGGGCTTCTCAGCTCTCGTTATCGCGTTGCCAGCAAGAAGTAGGATCCAGATGAAACAATACGAGCTATCAAGAAACATGGGCGCAAATATTCACCTCCCATTAGCTTTACCCTTCGTCGACCTAGGGGGCAGTACTTGGACATACCTGAATAGATTCCAAGTCTCCTTCCAAAACAATCTGGAGCAAGTAGGGGCCTTTGTTGCTCGTGAAAGTTTGATCATGAACTTCAGTTAGAGACTGCTACATGTCAATCGGAGAATGTGTCATATAGCGGATCTGGGTGATAAGTCTTTCCTCCATCGCTTCGAGGCAAAAAGCCATGCGTGAGCTACGGGTAATGGCTTCGGACGGTACTCGGATGTACCGGTTCTCAAAGAGGTGGCTAAGTACTCGAATAAACAGCTTGATTGAAACAGCTTCTACTACCGTCCAGACCGGTTACAAGAGAGTAACAAGGGTTAGATCGATCTGCATAGCATGACTCGTGTCCTAAACCTCTCCAATCCTGTCAAGCCTAGTTGAATCTGGTCCGTACTCGAGCAGTAGAACATGAACTTCAGATAGCGCCATTGTGCACTCAAAAAGCACTGAGTATCTAGCCTTCTATCATTGCAGGATTGATTCCGAGAGTTAGGGGAGCGTAAGGTGTTATTATTCCGCATGCACAGCCAGGTATGTCGGGTACTCTCCACAAGGTATCCCAGTACTACTCGTCGGTACTTCCATTCCAGTCCTCTTAATCCTGGGAAACCTCGGCCTAGCTTTTATTGTTCCTACGCTATTCAGCTGGCAGATTGTTCCAAATTCGAATTTCAGTGTGTACGGAGGACTTGACGCTTCAAGCGCAACGGGCAAGTCTTCAGGACACACGGCATAATCTCAGAAGTGGATATCGCTCGAACGGGGTCCATTGCAGTGACCGTACTTGAGACGCTGCCTTCCTTTGAAGCGCTCATAGGTGCAAGTAAATAGTGGCACGTGGGACCTTGTGACCTATCTTTGCACTACATATAATTACGATATCGTACCTACCTAGGTACCTAGCTAATCATGTGCGCTGCGCGACATTCAGGACGTTCGATATGAGAAGTGTACGGTGACCATCATGCTAGTGCGAGTTAGGCTGGAGGAATGTCTTACCTGGGCAGCCGCCCGAGCTCAATATCACGCTCCAGCTTGCTCTCAGCACCGAAAACAGCCTCCACTGCAATTGGCGCCAACACACATACACCGTAAGCAACTTGCACATACAGCGCCTCGTTGTGCATATAATGGACGGTCTGGTTTGTGGTGGTTCAGATGAGATCAAGAACATCTGGAGGAGGGACCATCGCGTGAGCATGTGACTGGCTGGAGCCCGCCAAGGACGGTTAGCGGCGCTAACTACGCGAGCGTGAATGTTTTTACCTCGCACCTCGAACTTAGGGATGTCTCCACTCACCTACACTATATAAACACCTCAACCACTTCAACGCCACAACGCCATCAAGATTCATCAACACATCCCTGTCACTTGTTGATACCGATTGCGCGCACTTGCATACGGCCCCTGGACTAGTGAATAGGGCTGCAGGCCGCATTGTTACTATGTCACCTGCCCCAATTACCCAGGATGCAGGCGCGGCTGCCTCGCCCTCCCCACCACAGACTCAAAAATCTCCACCCCAACAGCAAAGTAAGTACAGATCCAGTGAAAAGCGCTCAATGTGTTAATATGGTGCAGCCACTCAGGTGCCAAGCTTCGATGATATGTTCCACCAAAAGTTCATGGACATCATTCAGATTTGGAAGGACGACCCACGCTCTGCTCAGCTGACCTCAAGGGACCGCAAAGACTTCATTGATTCAGCCTACCGCGATACTGACCGTGAGGTCTTCGGTGGTCGTCAGTTGTCAGATCAAGAAATCAAGCTTCGCGCGCTCACCAAGGTCTTCTACAAAGTTCTTTCGGAAGAGCCGTGGTCAGAAGACTGGATCCGACCTCATGACGTGGAGCGCAAGCTCTCTAGGTTCGAGATGCACAAGGAGTCCGTCAAGCTCGCCGCTGAACACGGCATCTTCACCCCAAAGGAAGCTATCATAGCGGCCCGCAAAGCATTACAACTTCAGAAGAACGTTTCACAGGACAAAGAAGGCAATCCTGACAAGAGTAATCTACGTGGTCCATTCGATGATATTGAGATCATCTATATTCCCGGCACTGTATCTTCGACCGCTACCAACAAGATCGATAGAGATAACATCTACCCCGTGTCAGTCGCTAGCGTTGCGCACATCCTGCACAATCACATTTGCCGCGACATGACTAGGCCTTTCGCCATGGCTCAGAAGTTCGTCACTGTGACAGATACTGATGAGCTGACCAAGATGCGCCAGTTCGCCTGTGACGTGTGCGATTTTGCGCCACATCTTCTCGACAACGACAATATCAGTCTTCTTGTCGTGCTACTCATCCTGACTCGTTCGGAGATCTGTAGGCGCTTCGAGAACAACGGTATTCGCATCGAGGGTTCCACTGTCAGTCACCGTAGAGCCGAGTGCATGAAGCAGAAGCTGGGTTGGAAGAATCCCGAGGAGCGCAAGCCGTTCGATAACGTTGCGATCGAGCTCCAGACTCGGGTTAAGAATGCCTGCTTCCCTGCGCCCCGTCTTCAGACTTCGCGTGGTCCCAACAAGCTCAGGACGGGCCGCAAATCCTCTACTCCCGGAACGACTGGCACCCCTCCGCTCGGTTACTTTCCACCTCCCCAGCCTCGAGCTCCCATGTCGTCAACCCTGGCCAATTATGGCATAAACGTCCCAGATCCATCTACAGTATCTCCGTACGCCACGAGCCACCAACAATGGATGAATGGCGCGGACTCTGTGCCTTCAAAGGTAACTCCTGTCCGTACAACCCCCAAGACAGGCCCAGGCAGCAGCGCGGCTGAGCCGATGGACGTCGATTAGCCTCGTCTGGCAGATTACGGTCGTATTTTCCCTAAAGGATTCATTGCATCACAACGGCGTCGGACTACATTTGCTTCTGTTTGTTCTTCTAATGTCAATGCGATTAAGCATGATGGCGCATACAGCAATAGGCGCTAAGGGGCCATCTTTTCTTTCGCTTCATGCTATGGCGTGGGCGGCGCTTTATGGGGCTTAGGCCTGCTTTCTTAACCTGCATACCAACCAGTCATAGGGCGTAGCTTGAGTGTTCTTTCAATTCAATTTTGCGAAATCTGTACAATCCAAGCATAATGCAGTTACCTGACGTGACAATTGGCCGAATGAAGGGGTAAAACGCGTCACGCCGATCTCCGCGCGCCGGTCGTGCACCGCTTCGACCCGTTCTGGCTAGGATGACCAGCCATCGAATTTCATACTTAACACATTGCACGACACATGCATGCTACAATGACCAGTGCTAATCCAGCGGCTATACAAAGGCTTCCTCATACTCCTACATCCTTCTAATCCTTCAAGTGCTAACTCCGAGGCCTTCACCATTGTCGTCGGCCGATGATCCGAGTCGTGTCCCAAACCGCATAGCACACATTATTTCCTACCACCTTCCACAAATGTCACTCTGACCAGCGAGGCTTGTGAAAATGTTCACTACATCCTCATACGGGACGGTCCTGACATGCAGTGGATACCGGTCAGGCGCAGCGTGATGGACATCGCCGCTAACGAGCGTTCGCCTTCTGCCTGCAGGAGCTTGCTGTCGTGTATCCACTTTCCCTGTCGAATAACGCGACATATCCTCAGAAGCGACCATATGATAGCCGTCCTTATGGCGCATGTCCCGATGTCTGTTGTCCTCACACAATCCCCCTTTTTCGGTGCTTGGCTCGAGTGGTGTAGCAAGAGAATGAGTTAGTGCGTGACATTTTCGTAGCTGTACATGGTTTAATCACCTCTGAAAGTCATCGATGAATCGGACGTAATATGGAAGAACTAGATTCGATGTCTGAACAAGTACGTTTCATAGATAGGTTTACCAGTAGTGTTCCAAAGATGAACCGTTCCTCGGTGAGGCAGACCTTTGCTGGAGGCCATCCCTCGCGTTTCTTCTGTCTCTAATTACTATACGCAAAACGGTCTTCCGATTACTCATAATGATCCAATAACCTACTCCTAGTCCACAACGGTCAAGAGAAAGCACCTTGTTGTCCCCGTATCTGCGCAACTCTCGAGGTCGAATGTGGATTAACACTGAGTGAAACTGTTTGAAGTGACTTCCAAGTGTTTGGCAATCCAATATCGTAGGCTAAACCCAATTCGGACACGTGCAGCACGGCCAAAAAACGTGGCGGATCACTCCTTCCGGGCCACAGGATCTCCCTACTCATCACATTCCAGTGAACCGCTCACAATACCATGCAGTATATATCTATAACATAGATGCATGCGAAAGCATGCATGCAAGAGTCGTCGTTCGGTCAGTGCTCCCAAGCTCCCCGGTACCCCTCGCATCGCGACCCGTCACCGCCATTTCAGGTGACCCTAGGCTCCCGGATCCACAACTTGCGTCCGCAAACTCATACGACACGTCCTACGCAACTTCTGCACGGAGTACCTTTGTCGATGTCCGCCTTCAGGAACGACATTCCTAAACTCTTGACTACCTTTCGAGCCTTATCCCTCGGCTGATCCAAACCGCACTTTCGCGAGCATGCCATCGACATCTTCACGCTCATCGACGCGATTTATATTCTTAGATGGCCGAATTCCCAAACGGCGTCCTTGTAGCTAGACATGCTGTCAATTTTTTCGTCCAAGTCTCGCCATGCGAAAAGGTCCCCTTCGCGGTCTCCTTCTCGACCGCGTCAGCCTGATGCACCTCGCGACAAACTAAAGGTCGCGCCGGACGAGCGATTTCAGAGCCTGGATTTCTGGGTCATCAAAGACCAAACGAAGGTGAGTGTCTCGAGACCAAAGCTGGATCGTTCTACTTGATGGTACCTACCTGATGAGAAGGCTGAAGGCTGAGTCACGTGTTTTGACGCGTCCCGAATAGTGCCGATGGCTGGATTCCACACTGACTGACATGTGCGATCATAGGTATCGAAGCGCATTGTCCCGTATATGACAGCAGAAATCCCGGAGGAGCAACAGCTACAATCGTTAAGAGAGACTAAACCATGGGTGGAAGATTTCATCGATTGTGAAGACAATGAAGACGAAGACGGTACAAGCGACGATGCAGAGTGAGTGATGCACAATGGCCATCTAAACCCAATGAAAAAAACCCGTTGATTACCAGACGCTCCGGAAAATGGTCTATCACAGCCACCCTCTGCTATTGAACTGGCTGTTTGCTGAATGAGGCTAATTGTCACGTCATAGGCAATTATCTAATACTGAGGCCGTATTCTGGAACGATCCTGAGGTCACGACGAAGGAATTGCGCGACGTGACACGCTCATGGTTCCACATGCTGCTCCGCTACACATTCCGCGCCAAGCTCCGAGACGGTTGGAAGACACCGTCTCCCGCATTCGACCTTGAGGACTTCGACGACGAGCATTTTACATCGCAGCTGGACGAAAAGCAAGTGCGGAGCTTAACACGGCGCGCGAACTTATTCAATGAGTACAAAGAGACCTATAAGGAGACGAAAGGGCGCATCGGTTGGACACGCTTCTGCGTACGCATAAAGTCATTCACACAGCTTGTAGGTCTGCAAACTGAGTCTATCAAAGTCGAACAGATTCTTCAGGAGTTGGAAAAAAGCTTGCCGGAACTGAAGAACGCAAGGAAGCTACAATCGCAAAGTCTTCTCATTGAACGCCTGAAGGCCGACGCACAATCGGAACGAGCACTTCGAGAAAAGATTGCAGCCGACGCCGCGTCAGTCAACACACTTCGTGAACAATTCGAATCCAAGAAGGCTGAATCAGAGCGCCAACTTCGTCAGCAACTTGAAACCAAGAAAGCCGAATCAGAACGCCTCTTACGCAAACAACTCGAAGCTAAGGGGGCAGAAGCAGAGCGCAAGCTGCGCAAGCAACTCGAAGCCAAAACAGCTGAAGCTGAGCGGAAGCTCCGTGAACAGCTTGAAGCCAAGACCGCGGAGTCGGAGCGCGCACTCCGCGAACGTCTTGCAACAAACGCCGAATCGGAACGCAAGCTGCGCGAGAATCTGCAAGCCAAGTCAGATGCGGAACGAAAGCTACGTGAAAATCTACAAGCTAAATCCGATGCAGAACGGAAGCATCGCATTCATGATTCTCTCGTCTCATGCCGCGAGCTGATGGAGAAATTGGTTGGTGGCGAACTGCCTGCTGCAAAGCAAGGGAATTTCAAAGGTCAACAGTACAAACAGCGTTGGAAGGATCTGTTCCATACCCAATGGCTGAATTGTAAAGCAAAAAAGCCAGCAGGGCATCCGCTTGTGGGCTTGGTTGCCCAGCAGAAATACTACGTAGTGGGGAAGGATCTGTATGGGACGATAAGTGAGCGTCTGCACAACCATAAGGAGTATCGTGATAAAGAGGTGGACGCGGACGTGCTGCGGATGGTGCACGCTATTTTACCCGCTGCCTACTCGAGCCCAACAAGTACGGAGAAGGAGCGAGACTGGAATATCGCTACGGAGAAGAAGAGGTGGGGTCTGACATAGAGCGGCGATATCGCTGGACTATGGATACTCTGTGCGCCTTTGGGTCAGCGTTATCGAACGGTTTGACCCTGACGTGATGCGAGTGGGCGGGCACATCCCACCACCTGCCTCTCTATTTCCGCCAATGGAGGAGCCGCGTCCACAGTAGGAGCCTTCCGGGGTCAAAAAGAGGTGGGAGAAAGCACAATCTGCAAGAAGGAAAACAAAACGCCAGCTGCATGCGTACTCTCAGGATGTGTGTCAATATCGGTCTTTACAGAATCACTCAGCAACTGGGAGGATTCATTGTACTGTACATGGACCTCAGACATCCTTGGTATCGCACTCTGGTTGCCTTTGCGATCATACAAAGCTCTTTCTGTTAAATTTTCATGATTCACGACTTACACGACGTGCATACGGCTAGGCGGCGCACTACGGAGTTTCAATATCAAGCACGATGTATTCAAAGACCCTGAGTGTCAATGCTGTTATTGTATGGTCTTTTCCTTCTTCGTAACTATTCAGTCTTCTACGTCCCTACCTAAACTGATGTAAGGCCAACTGCATCTTATTGATTCTCCAAGCCTTTGAGATATATTTTTTCGGTCCCTAACCCACGCGCCTTTGTGTTGAATTTGATGAGCTAGCCACACCTCATCGATTAGTAACATCCTCAAGCCTGTCCAACAAGCAGAATGCACCCTTCAAATCTACGCTTCCGGTTGTGGAACGAATCACTTCACACCTTCAAAAGCGCACCATACCAGTCTGCACGCATACACATACCTCCAGAGTAGGAAAGATTCGAGTCTCTTCCCCATACATGTTACAATCCAAAATAGGTCTGCAATGTAACCGATCTTCGCGATCTCCCTCGGCTAGACGCGCAGAGGCTACCACAAAAGATCTTTCTTCGCCCAGGCCTATCAAAAGGTGCACCTACTGCAGATACAGTCAAACGTTGAATCCCATGTTGCGTCTCTACTGTTGTACAATGAGTATGCATGCGACTTGCCAGTAGCCGTCACCAACTCTTTCTCAAGCATCTGGATCTACACAAAATTGGAATGGACTACCTTGAAGGGACTAGACCTTGAAATGTGATTGCCGCACTAATGATTGGCTCGCCTGGAACTCAGCCCCAGAACCTGCTCTAGCGTGACTTAAGCGGGGCGGCTCGTGGATTTCTTGAATCTCTAAGCGTCGCTCCATCGCCTTTTTCGATGTACTGCAGCCATCGGTCTCTTTGCTAAACCTGCGAAGCACTACAACATCCCAAGAGGCCGAAAGTCCGGCATTGCGGCCAATCGGGCCTTCGGACACCATCAAACTAGCGATCAGAACGCGTTGCAACCGGGAGCACAGCACAACCACGACTGGTCAAGAGATGAACAGTATAGGAAAGGACCAGATGTCAGAATCCATTGATGGGCGAGTCCGCCTCTGTGCCCGCTGCAAGAGCCTCGATATTGCAGGAGTGCGCTCTTCGACACATCCAAGACAGTCTCTGGGACTGGTCACAACCTGGCATACGGATACCTGTGATCTTTGTAGATTCATGTATAACCTTTTGTCGCGCGATGCCTCCATTTCTCGTACAGAAAAGCAACCATATTTTCTATTTTCCATAAAGACCAGCCATAAAGACGTGTCCGATAGACTTCTACAAATTCTGGATCGCAGACTCATCGTGCTATCGATCTCAGAGAACGGACCTCCCACTGGCAGTGTACCATACATAGCCGCGCATATAGATGAGCCGCCATCATGGTTGAAATACATCCAGCCCTCGATCGATTTCGAACAGCCGAAAGAGTGGTTGAAAATCTGCAGAGAACTGCATGCCGACAACTGCAGTGGCGATAGAAACAGCATGGTCTATAATCTGAAGCTAATCGACTGTATTACTGGCGAAATAGTCCCAGCAAGCGACAATGATCCTTACGTGGCCCTTAGTTATGTGTGGGGTAACGGAGATGCATGTACGCGAGACTCCCATGCATATCCGAGGACTGTACAAGATGCCATGATTGCGACACGGGAGCTTGGATATCGATGGCTGTGGGTTGACAAATATTGCATCGACCAGGATAATTCCAACAAGGTCCGCAATCAGCTGCAACAAATGGATATGATATACCAGCAGGCCACTGTCACCATCATCGCAGCTGCAGGAACGAATGCACATTATGGCCTTCCGGGAGTCAACGAAAGCTATCGTAAACCAGCATCACCCGTTCGTGTCCATAATGAACGCTTGTACGCGATACCCAAGCCTGAGCGACGGTTTGACAATTGCAGGTGGATCACAAGAGCATGGACTTACCAAGAAGGCTTATTGTCAACGAGACGACTGATATTCACCGACGAGCAGCTGTACTTCGAGTGCAATGGATGTTACTGTGCTGAAATGATACAGATATCCTTGGACTCGTTCAAGAAGCTCCACGCTCCTGATAAACCATACTTTCACAGGCGCTACCGCGGAGAGGGAAGCCGCATGGGCACCTTTCCCCTCAATGGCTATGGTGTCGGCCCCTGGGACATCTATACTCGGATCCACGAATACTCTGAGAGGTCACTATCCCATGACTCCGATATTCTCAATGGGATATTGGGAATATTCCGAGCGTTTGAGAAGATTCAAAATCCCATGCGGCATCTGTATGGAATTCCTTTCCCGAAGGCAACAGCCTGCCCCAATCAAGTCAAGAAGTTCGATAATTCGGACCAAATTCTGCCCACATTTTCTGAGAGCCTTCAATGGAAGTTGGAGGTACCTTCGAAGCGGCGTCAAGGTTTTCCAAGCTGGTCATGGACGGGATGGTATGGCAGAATCATCTGGCCCGCCCTTTTCACAGTTGTTAAGATTGTCCGCAAATCCAGCAAAATGGAACGCCCTCGCAATCCGGAAGAAACCGAGCGAGCCCTTGACTTGTCAGTCGAGCTTCTCAATGGTAATGAGATGAAGTGGACAGAGTTCCAGGAGAATTACGAATTGCTCCTTGCTTCCAACGCACTCGGTGGCTTTATATCGATCGAGGCAAATGCAACACCTGTCTCTTTAATCCCAGGTGTGACGGACAGCGGGCCCCAAAGCCCTCAATTTCGTCTAAATCTTGCCGAGGGAACTCATCCAATTTTGGCTTCGATAACCACCGTGGAAGATTTGCAGCCTCACGATACGTTCCTCGCGATCCACTTCCACCGTACAGTGAAAGGAGACCAAGGCCGAAGCGGAAAGTCGGCGACTGCGAGTGATACCCAACATCTTTTGATAGTGCAACAGCTGGGAAGCCATTGGGAGCGCGTAGCTATTGGTTCTTATGTTATTGATTCCAAGAACGAAGTGCCCTCAACGAGGCAACGGATACGGTTGGGTTGATATTTCCTAAATTCTGCATTGTTGGTAGGTAATAAAGCGACCGTGTCCCCGCCGATTAGTAGACGTTTCTGCCATGTCTCGAAAAAAAACAGCTATTGTGAACGGAGTACCAGATGTGTCGTGATGTTCTCTGTACGCGAGGTTTGTGAAGGATGCCGATGTTTGAGCCGCATAGAGAGCCCCTGTCGATTACTCCAGAGTCGGGGAATTTCGCACACTTGAGCGAACTACGATCGAAGGCTGTGTGCGCAAATTGACGCGTTTTGTGGCTCGTGCATGACGGTTCAGCTGGAACCCTTCGATTGACGTCTAAAATAAGGGTGTTTTGTGCGCATAGCCTTCCACCTCGAAACCGACGGGGGACACTATCGTACCCTACGCCAATCAATTAAGTGGAGAATACACACTTCTTGGCATCATCTGCATAGCGTGTGCAACGATTCGTCAATGCCCTGCGCCCTTCGCTTGTTGTAGTTAGATAGCGATGCAGTCGATGGTCAGCTGGGCTGAGTTCGCTTGGCAACCGTGTGGGCCAGAGCTCTTGAAATAATCCAGTCAATCCGTCTACCCTTCATCCCTCACAGCTTGGAACCTTTTCTGTACCATTGCAAACGACTGAACCACTGGAGGTTAATGTTCCTGGCTGTTGACACGCAGCCACCATAACGCACGCACACACACACAACCTAGATGCTCCTTTCAACGTGGGGAGGCACGGGTCGGGGAGGATGTGGAGGAGACGTTTTGATGGATGCCTCGGGGTGGGACTGTAACTGTGAGTACAATCCCCGTTCATCCTTCAGCTGTATTCGAGGTTGGAGAAGAGAGATTTCAATCTCGCGTCCTTTACGTGTAACTGGATCTGGTGGTGATTTTGAGGGGATTCTGTTGTTGTCTCTGAGTTCCTTTCATGGTTGCCTTGCGTGTTCCGTTGCGAATGCTCTTTTTCGTTCGCAACGGCGCGCAGGGAATATTGTGGAGTCGGTCTTTGGCATCTACGGAACACATGCAGAGTCAAGCACAGATTCGCTACTGTTGAGAGCGGATTTCGATCTCTTTTATCGCGACTCTCGAGGAGGCTGTGCTGCGCCACACAAGCATGTACTGACGAGCTTCACAGTGACTCACACTGAGGGCATCCGCCACACCAATAACATTACTGCCGCAACCCTGCGCCACAACATAGAGCATACGGGGCGCTCCGTCCACCTTCTTGAAGACCAAGTAATGGGGTTGTGGAGGACTGCTGGCCTCGGATGATTGGCTCTGGACATCGACTATTCCTTCTCAACCACACTCTTCGATAGCGATGGTACTCGCCCAAGCCACAATCGCCGACCACGTGCACCTACACTGAATCTCGCACTTATGCTTCGACGTCTTCAAGAGAAGACGAACGCCTCGGAGCTCGACGTTGTCGACGCCTACCCGACCTCTCAGTGGCGAATTCGATGAAAAAATTCGACGCGAACTGATTGAACAGCCTCTCAAGCCATAAAGGCCTCTGCAAGGGCTATCACTCTCAACCGAATAAGTCTTGTTTTGCAGATTTATTCCTTTACGATCAGTCTGATGACGGGGGTCATCTAAGATAGAGAGGAGGAGGGTACTGTAATGTGGAAGATTCATTACGAAGGTTCTTCTTTCATATAGGCGTTTCAGTTGCCGTACCAGGCCTGGCTTTTGTATTTACTTGATTGGGAACCATTCATGAAGGTTGCGCTAATTACCGGATCAGTAGTTGAAGTAATATGCAGAGGAATCATTGAAGCTATCTTCTGTCCTGTTTTTGTTGAATGCTGCAGTCGGAAACGGCATGCTGCCATTCTGCATTGCGATTGGTCGGAGTTGTTTGTTGCCTCGTTAATTGCTCGAGTTGCGCAGCACGCTTTTTGACTGACTATCTACCACAACGTTGTCCAAGGCTGACTGAAACCCAGACATCATCTTGCTGGCCGCTTAGCCAGCTCGTATCCCCGTCAATTACGATGTATATAAGCGACGAACGACCTCTGGCTTTGCCCGCAGGAGTCAACCTGCGCAACAAAAATCAGCCCCGGATTGCTCTTCCTCCACGCTGGTCGGGGTGGGAACTTCTCAGACAATATCTTCGTCTGTGATGCTGAACAGAGCCATCAATGTATGTATCTCAAAACAAGACTATGTTGTCATCCCACATTTCGGCCGACACGAGATCATGGCCTTGTGTGCCAGCCCGCCAGAGCCACTCTGCGTAGTCCGATCGCTCCCAGTGACAACCAGGAATTTCTATAGCAGCATGAGGTCATATGTCCTTGACGCTGGTACGCCAAATGTCATCACAGTTGTCTTCTCACTAACGTAAAGTGGGGCCCCATACTCACCCATCATCGCGTACACCTCGATTGGGAACTCTGTCATCTTACTCAACAATACGGAGCTTATGTTAAACATGATAGGCAGGATCCACACTATCGTGATACTGAAGGTGTTAAATCTGACCGTCACCGTAACCTCTAAGCTTCACTACTCCTTCAGTAGCATGCGCATCAAGACTACTCAGGACATCGAGAAGTTGGAGAAGGACTTGTTCAAAACCACAGCGTGTATGAGAAACGGATACTAAACGACTACGAGTAACAATACAGTAAGATCACTATGTTCTGTATCCCCTAAAGTTCCTGTGTACATCTCGCCGCGACTTGCAAAACCACGCAATAATCTCCAAATTTAGATGCAATGACTTCACCCTTGAAGAACACAAACAGCTCCAGACTACAGTGTTTGCGGTTGTCATTCGCTAACGTCTTCTACATCCACCCAGGAAGGTCAAACTTCAAAAGGCCCATGGTATGAGCATACTCTGAATGTACCGCACCTTGGTACCACTTCATGTGAAGGAATAGTACAACAGCTTTCCTTATCCACTTTCGCGCAATAGTTACTACATTAAGTAGTTGCTCTCACTGAATTTTACAAGGCTCACCACAAAGAGAACATGGGACCCGTTTGCTCGTAGCGTTATATCTGCCAATCCCATCATATCCCCTTCCTCATGAAGGTGCGTTTCCACATCATCACGTAGTATTACCTCAAGACCACCGCACCCACCACCTCAAACGTCATTCTGACCAGTCACCACGTCACCCATCATCTTGAGCACTAACTACTGTCCCAACACACTGCACCGTCTGTTTTAACTCGAACACACCGCTCCTCTCCATCTTCCTTTCGATGATGACATACTTTCTGTGTCTAGACTTATCACGTTACTAGGAGAATTCCAATCACCCAAACTGAAAGATGGTGGACCGGGACTTTGGGAAAGGAGTCGGACTGAGAGCGCAAAAAGAGCCTGAACCACGGCTACATGTTACCATTTGGGACTGATTGCATGACAGGTGGAGTGGGATGGGCAGGACGATGCTGACTGTAGAATGCAGCATCATTTCCACCAGACTGATAAAGTCAACAGACACCTTTGCCCTAGTACAGCTTGATATTGTTGTTTATTCTCCTATTTTGTTTTCGTCTCTTAGGCTCGAGTAGGCAGAGAAGCAAGCTGAGCGCTGCCATCTGTACATCATCGGAGCATTCTACCTGCTCTTTCGCCGCCCCGTCCGGAGCCGTTGGACTCTCCGCCTTCGCTTCGCAGAGCTTGGGTATCACATCTTCCCGCTTTTGCTCCTTCCTGCAGCTCCGACCGTGCCCTCACACATTGTGCTCCCTTTTGTGGATGCGTTTCCGTCAGGACTCAGTCGCTCACTCTTCCTCCTGGATAAACGGGTTCGCGATTTCTTCACTGCCGTCAAGGGGCGAAATGACGACGAGTAGGGTGCCACGGGCGACAATCAGGCCAAGCTTGCGATAGCGGGTGTTTCCTTCCTCATCTGTTCACGTTTAGCAAAGGCTTGACAAAGCAGGAAGGAACGTACCGATTACGGCTTCCTTGACCTCGTCCAAGACAAGGTTCATGAGCTGGTCGTAACCTTTCAAAGTACCAATGACTACACAGTGTCAGTACGACGGCTTCACCAGCAGCACAGGTTTCGATTCCGCCAATGGTCCTCGACATACCTTCTCTGCCACCACTGAACTTGACGGTGAGCTCCTTGTCCATGTACTTTCCGAGGTCGAGGATGTTCTCCTTCTTGGGACGCTCCGCTTGGCCGCCTGCTCCCCCGCCATGTGCACCGCGCCCGCCTCCGCGCCCTCCTCGATCGCCTCCACGGCCACCACCGCCGCGGCCCCGGAATGCGCCGCGCTCAGACATATCAGGTCGGACTCGGGTCGGAAGGAGAAATCAAGGCAGGCTGTTGTCTCACGACGCGCGGTGACGATGGTCTCAATGGTGGAGGAATTAGAGCTGGCCTGAGCTCCGCCGGAGATTCGGCGTTCTCTTTCCGACGCGGCGACACGTGACGTTCCGCCGCACACGGGTCGGGCAGGGTTACGTGAGCAGGGGAGGAGATTCAGGAAATGCCGCAGGAGGAGGCCGCGGTCAGTGCAGCTGATCCCGCCCATGCATCGCTCGCTCCCCTGTGATTGGCCAGGGACGGCTGCCCTCGGACGCCGACCCGACGCAGCGCCCGTGGCAGACTGTCAGCCGCCCACGCAGGCCCACCCAGCAGTCTCCGCCGCCTCGTCGGCGCATCGCGCCCAGAACAGAGACGCACAACGGCTTCGGATTGCGAGCACGACGCCGGCCGCTGGAGATGGGGGCGCCTTGTGGCCGTCTTATTCCCTGCGCCCCCTGCGCGCGCCGCCTCTCCATCCGGGCTAGAGTGGCCCGCACACGTCGCCCGCACATCGAAGATCCGCAGGGCCAGAACCCGCCCAAAATGCAAGCCAGGGCGCGAGTGATTGGGCGGGGCCGCTGGCCTCCTCCGCCCTAGCCTCTTGCTCCCGTCCGGCGAGGGCCTCGACGAGCACGCCCATGCCAACCGCGCCCTGCTTCGTTGTGGCTGTTTCCGACCCCCGGCCCTGTTGCAGTCGCAGCGCAGTGCGCAGCGGCCTCCCGTCCCCAGACTCCTCCAGCGCTCCGTCTCCTCACTCTTCGCTCAAACACATCCTTCTGTCAGGGAGCGCTGCCGTGACATGCTGCCCTAGCAGCCTCGACGCCGCCGCTGCTGTGCGCTCTGTGCCTGCTCCAACGCTGGCGCACGCGTGGACCTCCGCTGTCTCCGCTTAGCCTCCTTCCACCCTCCCCTCCTCCCCTCCTCCAAGCTCCAGCACACCCGCCTCCGACACCTCAGCGCACCGCCGCAACCACCAGCGCAAACATGTCTGCCGCCGACACACCCGCTGCGGCCACAATGCACCAGCACCACCACGCTCCCTCGCTTTCGGGCGATCTCAAGCGCAAGCGGAGTCCTTCACACGACCACGTTCATCCCGCTGCCGCGCAAAAGGCTGCCAAGACGTCGAGCAACCACCTACAGATCAACTACCTCGCCCGCCAATGCGAGAACGACCTGCCGCTTCTTACCAACGATGACACCCTGCCCAACATCTTGTCTCTGCTCAGCGACTACCAGGGCGTGCTGGACCGCCACGAGAGCATGGCCTGCAACCTCGGCGCCCGCCCGCTTGGTCCTATCTTGATCAAGAGATTTGAGCGTTTGTTCGACGGCCCGCCACGCGTCTTGAAGAGCCATGGCAGGGACGGTACTACAGTGACGTGGCTGGATGTGGTCGAGTTTGCGCGCAACAAGCCCGAGCAATTCCAGCTAGGACAGATGAGCGAGGGCATAAGAGTTTGTCAATTCTACACCAAGCAGTGTCGCGTCCAGATATCGGAAGAGGACTTTGTACTCATTTCCTCGGGCATTCCGCAGAAGATGATCCCACCGCAACCCATCATCGAAGACGAAGAGAAGGAACTGGGCACACTCGAGATTTTGGAGCGCAATTTGGGGCAGATCTGTCAATTGGCCGATCAAGGTAAGCTTTTGCTGTCTCTCTTCGCGCCAGCCTGGTCCTTCGCAAAATGCACAAACCATTTGATGCGGGCCACTATCCGCGGTCCATTTCCTACGTGCCGACTTAGCCGTTCAATGCTCTTAGTGCATCGATCGCTGACCTGAAACAGTCGCTGCCCGAACGCGCCAACTCAATCATAGGCTCAAGGGGCGGAAACAAGCTATTCTTGATCGCAGAGCCACCGCTAGTCCCGCTCCGCCTATCCGCCCCTCAAGTCCTTCCAATGTCGCGCTAATGAACGGAGCATCCCAAGTGGCCGCGAACCACACACATGCTAATCCGTCAACCCAATCTTCTCCTGGCGGGTTCGTGGCAGTTAATTCTCGCCCTCGCGCCGAGAATGGCGCTTCGAGGGACACCAGACATGAACTCATGTCCAAATTCCATACCACGACCGAGCGGCGGACACCGTCTCAGCCTTCAAATGGTTCCGTCGATGCTCGACGGCCGTCGATGGGCTCCCATAGTCTCTCACACTCTGCGCCACCACCACCACCCCATGTACCCAAACCCCCAAAACCAGCCGACTTGGGACCTTCTGCTCTTGCCCAACAGCGACCGTCACATATGTCCGACTCAGAACTCCATCAGGTCATGAACTCGCCCGTGCCAATACCGAACACACCAACTAGTCTCCTCCCCGCAGCCAGCCAGCGTGCCCAGCAACCCCAAGACAAAGACGACGGTGGGCCCTTCAAAGCGGAAATGGTCCACCGCATGGAGAGCCTTGCCAAAGGCGAGCGTATCCTTCCACCATGTGATCGCTGTCGCAGACTGCACATGGATTGCCTCAAGAACCTGACTGCGTGTATGGGCTGCACCCGGAAGCATGCAAAATGCTCATGGCGTGAAGTGCGCGGAAACGAGATCCGTGGCTCCTACTCGCACCCCCCTTCGACTGGCATAATCAGCAGCATGCACAGCGAGAGCGATGAAGGCGAAGTTGGCTCCGGTCATGGTAACGGCATGCATGTTGAGAGGGCGAGTACAGGGAGTCCAGCGGGCATGTTGAGTCCACAGCGAGGTGGGCTGACACCCTCACATGTTGGTCCGTCGCCGGCGCCGCAACCACAACATCTGCCCCCCGAACACCGCATACCTTCATCGCGCAACTCGCCACCGCCCCACGAGAGGGAGCCTAGTCGAGGCGTAGAAGCGCAACTCCAAGAGGCTGCAAAAAGTGGTCTTGCGCACGCAAGCGCGAGGTTAGCCGGGCCTCCTGAAAGTAGTAAACCGCCCGAGTATCAAGCTATGGTCGCTTGACTCGCACCATAGTCATGGTAGTGCAATGTTCGCGCAAGTCCTAGCATTATTACCATAATTCCCATACGCTGGGTATGCCACTGGTGCGAGCCACTTCCGCACGGCGAAAAAAAGTTCTCTTCTTGTACTTACGTTTGCGAGTGAGCGCGGTGGAAAGTTATCTTGTCCCTCAGATTGCAGGTTTCCCTTCTTTGTAAGGCGGGTGCGCATGACCGCCGGCGTTGGTCTACGGTTGGGAATGATATCCAGGGCCTGGACGCTTGTCATTTATCAACTTTTTGTCGAGACATGTTCTTTCTAGAGAAATATTGAAAATTCGTCCCAAAACCTCGCCACCCGTCGCTCAACTTGTGTTTCATGCCACTCAAACCTGTGCAACCTTTCATAAATGTAGGAATGTTAAAGGGTTATCAATCTACACTGCGAGCGCAAAAGTCCGGTGGTATCTATCAGCAATACCATCTGAAGGTAGGTGCAGTTGATATTCCATCACGACCATGCAGAATAGGCATGTTCAGTCAAAATCATGTCCAACCCAGTATCCATTATAAATCGATATGGGGGTGGCTAGATTTGCCCGCCTAGCACGATTGCTGACAACGTTCGCGACTTCCCTTCTTTCAGGACTGCAAACATTCGGACAGTCAGGAACCCTCCACGAACCTCCCAACTTTCCCTCTATCTTTCTCACTTACCTACCACCAACGACCTGTGTGCACAACGATCGGTCCCACGCCATAAGATCTCACAATGCAGATACGTACACAATGGCCGTATCTTTCACAAAGAACTCTATGGTTTATAGGACGAGTTGAAGATCTTCCCAAAGTCAACACAGCTCTCACAACCGACTCTCCTGCCTACGAAGGAAAATTCGAAGTCGTCTGGTACTGGCTACCAGATTTATTGCTCACCTCATACAAGCTTTCGTAACGCAGAAAGGTTCGAATTGTAAGAATGGCTGACACCTTAGTTCCAAATCCTGCCCTTTCGAGTCTCCTCGCCCACGTCATTGACAACACCGACCTTCGAAATATCACGGCGCTGATCCAGCAGGATATTGCTCAGGCCTCACTCATTGGGGGTACAGAGCCCACGGTGCACACCAGCCCTTTCGTCGATTTGGTAGACACGCGTGTCTCCAAACACGGCATGGCGTTCCCGGGTCGAACTCGCATACTGTACCGTACATTCCGTGTTAGTATACTTGAAGCTGTTTGCGAACTAGATATTGAAGACTTCCAACAGCTCATCAACGAGGCTAGGAAGGGTTGGGAGTCCGCGGCTATGATCGAGCGGTGGTTTCTAGAGTGCGCAATCGCTGCGAGCGAACTCAAGCCGGTACTCACAGCCCGATTGACGCAGTATCTGCAACAACCGCGTTACGAAGCGCATGACCGAGCGTCCGAGTCTACACCCGCAGACCTCAATCAGTCATTGCAATCTCCTCATCTGGAGATGACACTGCTCTTTCGAAAGCTGGCGGGCGGTGCGCTTGGCCGACGTCCGACCGAAGATGAAATCGTTTGTATCCTCCAACAACTCGTTCTCATTGGGACTGATACCTGCTCAGCGATCGAGAAGGTGCTAGGTGACTTCTTCCGCCTACGTTCCGCGATGAATCGGACCCATGCCGAGAACCATTCGCGCTTCCTCATTGATCGCATCTGTTATGCGAGCATCAAGCCCTTCGACGCAATGCTCAGCGATCCGCAGTCCGCCATTTCTTTGCCTGTGCGTGGGCTCCTGCAGACTATGCGGCCTGAGCACTTCGTGCGGCAAGTGCTGAGGGCGACCTTTCCTTATCCTCCAGGTGTGCAACGCCCAGGGGTCTTCTCCCACGCCGAGTACGTTAGGCACATGCCTGAGACGTCCCTATGTGTGTATCGCTCCATTATGCATGCCGCAGTGTCTCCTAGCGTCGACATTGACGGAAGCATCCGACAAGTCGTAGAAGCGCGTTTCGATGACAACTGGAAGGCTAACAGCCGTGTAGCATCCCCAGCACCGTTTTTTCCACCGGGTTGGCGTCTCCCCAATGCCGTGTGGCGCACTCATGTTCGAAACGACTTCCAGCACGCCCTCGATGAGGCCCTCGCGAGCAACGATCATTTCGAGCAAGAGTTCGATATCACGGAAGACGTGCCACTCGTGGCTATTGGTGATAAGCTCGTCCCTTCTGACTACTCGTCTTCCACGCACGCGTACGCGGCCGACGACCTGTGCACAGTCTGCATGGAGAAGTTCGCGGAGACGCTTGACATCCGTTGCATGAAGTTGCGCTTTTGCGGACACCTCTTCCACGAGGCCTGCCTCGACGATTTGATCAACGTGGCCACACAAAACGACTACATCCAATGCCCGTATTGCCGCTGTAACATCTGTGAACCGCGGCCTGTGCGCGGGGTGCCTGACGAGGCAGCAACTGACAATGAGGCGGAGGACAGCTAAACTGATTCTGACGATGGCGACATATCTGGTATTGTCGATTGGCCCTTCGACCGGCTTCCGCTATAGAATATAGGCTGCGATTCGGAGCGTCGGGATTTCATTTCTCTAATTTAATCATTCTTCCTCGAAACAATGCTTATACATTGCTTTGTACAATTCACAATACTTCTCGCAACCCTTATCGCTTCCTCCATGCAATGACCCTTCATTACCGTTCTCTCTTCAAATTCTAAGCCAAGAACCATGAAAGAATTGATTTGGATATAACAGTGCTCCTTTTGAAGGAATGTTCTCAGTCAACGTGTTCATGGAACACCGCATCTCACACAATGGTATCGACGCCACATGTCCGCCACAAGATTTACTCGGTCAGCGTGAGATGAACGAGGAGGAATGTGGGAGAAATGCATATATCGATATATCGTGTATTATCATGCGGCTATAAATCACCGCATTCGTCAAAGAATAATTAACGTTATACCGCCTGCCGTTATAGCCATGTAGCCGTTACTCGTATCATATTCTCGTCTCGTGCTCGTCACGCTCTGAGACTGTGGGATTAGTACACCGTGTCCCCCTTCTTGATCGCATCCCAGTCCGTGGCACTGCCTTGGCCGGATCCTTCATGCACTCCAGGTACAGTACCACTTGCATCCGTTCCGCCGCGACCATCACCGTACTTCTCCACATTCGTGGGAAGACCTGTATGCGGCTCTGTCACGGTGTGGTGACCTCCAGCAACATCGCTGGCTGGGTGAGCACCGTACACACCTGGCTTCGTCTGCCTGCTACCTGTTAGAGATGTGACCCCTTCATCAAGTAAGGGTAGGTATAGCTTACTGGTCTCCAGAAACGAGGTTAGGATCACCGATAGGCCCGTCAATGCCGATGTGTTCGCGCTTTCCTACGTGCGGATCTGCCTCGCGCGCTGGGTGGCCTACGGGCGGTTCCTTGTGCAGGACGTTACGCCCTTTTTTCTCGGCTAGGTGTCTCCCTTCTTCGTGTTCGTAGGCTGCGGCGCCGGCACCTGCTGCTCCTACGCCGGCAGCGCCAGCAGCGTATTCCTTGGAATGGCGGGGAGAATCGCGGGAGGCGCGAGGGCTATTCTCATCACTGTCACCGGTTCGGTCTTTGTCTTTCTTGTTGAGGAAGGTGAGGAAGCGGTGTTTCTTCTCCTTGGGGCTGCCCTCCTCTTCAGGCGTGGCCTCACGCTCCTTCTGCGCTTCCTTTTCCTTCGCAGCGAGCAGCTTGTCGTGCTCCTTCTGTTGCTTTTCCATCTCTTTGGCATGTTCCTTCTCTTTTATGCTCCGCCTCCTTGGTGTGTTTCTTCTCCTCCGCCGCGACGAGCTTGTCATGGTGTTTTTGGTCGTGCGCCTGCTTCTTCTCCAACGCCTTCTGTTGGTCGTCGAAAGCTTTCTGTTGCTCTTTAAGCTGGCGCTCTTGCTCCTTCTGAGCGTCGTGCTGGGAGAGGCCGTATGCGCCTGCACCTGCTGCACCTACGCCAGCAGCGGTGCCAAGGGCGGCGTTGCGCTTTGTGTGGTCCTCCTTCGGATCTTGAGGGCGGGGAACTTGGGTGGCGTCTTGAGGCTGGTAGCCTTGGGTGACGGAGGGCTGCTGGGCTTGAGGGTGGGAGCGGTCGCGGGTAGCGGCGTAAGCTCCTGCTCCTAGGGCTCCTGCTCCTCCAACAACAGCGGCATCGCGGCCGTAGTGGTGCTGACTTTGAGGTGCACCAGCTTGCTGAGTGGACGCATCCTGAAGCATACCGCTTTGCGGGGCAGACGTGGTAGGATCGTAACGCTGGCTATCCAGACCGTGCGTTCCAGACGTAGGATTTTGCTGGTGATCGTCGTGTCCTCGAGTGGCAGCATATGCTCCTGCGCCTAAAGCTCCAGCTCCTCCGACCGCGGCGGCGTCACGCCCATAATGGTGCTGGCTCTGGGGCGCACTAGCTTGCTGGGTAGACGTGGCTGGATCGTAGCGCTGGTTGTCCAGGGGGGACACACCAGCAGTAGGGCCTCGGGCCGTGGATGACTGCTGGTAACCCTGGGTAGCAGAGGGGGTGTTGGGCTTGATCATTCCCGCGAGTGGCAGCATACGCTCCGGCACCCAAGGCTCCAGCTCCACCGACAGCGGCGGCGTCACGACCGTAGTGGTGCTGAGCCTGGGGAGCTCCGGCTTGCTGAGTAGAAGCAGCAGGATCATAACTCTGGCCATCAAGGTCACGTCCTCCAGGCACAGCACGCTGGTGTTCCAGCTGATGGTCACGATTCGCAGCGTGCATTCCAGCACCAGCAGCTCCAAGCCCACCAACGGCGGCGGCATCACGACCGTAATGGTGTTGTTGGTCATGGGGTGACGTAGCAGATGTCGATGTTCCAGCAGTTGATCGGGGATCATGAGCACCATGGACCGAAGGGTCGTAACGCTGATCATCCATAGAAGCGCCGGGTTGCGTGCTTGGATGCTCGCCATAGGACTTTGCAGCTTCGTAAGCTCCGTAGCCTGCGGCTCCTGCACCTCCCGCGACGGCAGCATCGCGGCCGTAATGGTGCTGCTTGGAGGCTTCCTCTGGCGCTTTGGGATCTAGCCTACTGGCTTCTTCCTTTGAAAGGCCCTTCTGCTTCTGCGGATCTGGCAGCACGCGCGGGTCCATAACATTGGCAACATCGCTCTTGTGAGGACCAACAGTTGAGGGTGCAGGGTCCTCAACGGTCGGAGCAGCGTGATGGTGCTTCTGTACAGCAGGATCGGGCTGAACTCGCGGGTCAAGGACATTCACAACATTGCTCTTGTGGGGCCCGACTGTAGAGGAGGCGGGACCGGAATCCGGCTCGGCATCTCGCTGGCTGGCGTACAGGCCTGCGGTTGTTGCAGCGCCTGCGCCTACGAGGGCGGCGTCGCGACCGTAGTGGTGCTGGGAGTCGGGATTCACATCTTGCCCAGCTAAGGGGTATTCCTTGTTGGACAGTTCACGTCCTTTGGATGCTTGTTCGGTAGAGGGCTGAGTGGACGGCTGAGAAGATCCAATCGCACCGCCAGTAAGTGCAGCATTGCGTGTATCACGGTTCTCCGATGCAACGGGGTCGTATCTCTGCTCCGCGAATCCACCCCTTGGAACAGTGTCGACTCGAGGATCCACCTTAGTGTGGGTGTAAGGGTTGGGCTCGTTATACAAGGATTTGTCACCAACATCTGAAGAGCCTGTCTGGTGGTGCTTTCCAGCTGCGTAAGCGCCTGCGCCGGCAGCTCCCAAACCTCCCGCAATCGCGGCATCTCGTCCATAATGATGCTCCGATGTGGGCTGTTCCGCCGAGCGAGCCTGTGGTTCGTCCAGAGAACCCGTGTGGCGCAATCCAGGCTCCGCAGCGAAGGCAGATGGAGTAGTCTCCGTGGTCGGCTTGCTCTGGATGTACGAAGGCGCATTCGACTCTTCGAGCGGTGTCGGGCTAGGAAATCCTCCAGGAATGTGGAGCTTAGGATCTATCCTGTTCGCAGTATCTGTCGAATGAGGTCCTGAGGTGAACAATAGGCTGTTTTTGCCGTCCTGGGGCGATGCAGGCGTAGAATCACAAGGGTCTCCCTCATACTTGTGGCCGTGTCCGGCATGGTCATGGGTCCAGCCGTGTTCATCAACTGCTGCTCTCGCAGCAGCCAGTGCTTCAGGATTTGCAGACTGAGAGGGGTTCGTCAACTGAGATGGCTGGGCCTCATGGCGCTTCGCTGCCTCGTGAGCACCCACTCCGGCCGCTCCTAAGCCTCCGGCAACCGCGGCGTCTCGTCCATGATGATGCTCCGGTACAGGCTGCTCTACTGAATGAGGCTGGAGATTCGCTTCAATCCTTCCCTCGTTCTGGGGAATGACCGAGGACGCCGATGCAGCCTCAGCAGCGCCAGCGAGACCTTGGCGGCTCTGGCCGTCGTGAAGTCCCGCTTCCCTCTCCTTGGTACCCGGTTCCCGTTCGTTGGTAGTCTTAGCCGTCTGTGAAGCTTGATGCGCAACACCCCCAGCAAGGGGAAAAGACCGACCAGAGTCTGGCGGTATGTCCGACTCCTGCCTCTGGAGGTTGATATGCGGAGGTTGGCGAGCGGAACTGTAGCTTGGATCCTCAGGATGGCTCCGCGAGGCATGTTCTGCCAGAGCCCCTGCACCCAATGCACCGGTGCCAGCCGCCGCACCTTGTCCAAGGTGTGATTCATGGTCACGAGCCCTTGTACCTGACAGGTCTCCACCTGCTCCTGGCTGATTGCTTCCAATTGCTTCGCGTTGCTTCTGCTCGAAAAGATTGTCATTCGGCCGTGCGGCGTGAGTATCACTTGAGCCTTGCGGGAAGCCAATGACACCGGACTTGATGCTCGCGGTGCTCGTGTCCTCATGTGGACCCGGCCGATACTGGTTCGGATGCAGACTGGGCGTGGCACTTGGGGCTGATGAATCACCTGCGCTGGTGGAAGTGGCTTGCGGTACGTGTGGGGTATTAGAAAAGTGAGGTGCGTCGCCGGTGGTCTTGGAGTCGCCGGGCGTGTCGCCTTTGGCAAATTGGTCGTAAATGGGGTGGTACCTAATAGCGTGAGGATCAGTTTTGGGACTCCAAGTGGGATTGACTGTTTGGGACTGACTCTCCCGACGCTCCCTGAGTAGACTGATGTGCACCTGTGAGGTGACTGCCCTCGCCAGTCAAGCCTCCAGTCTTGGAGCGGTCGAATTCAGCAGCGGTAGGGGTATCGTGTCGGCCTTGCGCAGCATCACTCTCCTTGCTCTGACCGTGAGACCTGTGATAGTCAGTCAGTACACCATGCATTGTTTTCTCGAAGCAAACTCACAGGACGTTCTTGATCTTCTCCATATTGCCTGCTTTGGGATATCACGAGTTACCGAAAGCAGTAGGAGCAAGGAAGGGTATCACGTAGTTGTTACTGGAAACAGAACGGGATGGATGCAAATGTTGGCAAAGGTCAATTAATACAGTGGAGGTTGTGCAATCATACAGGGCAGTCGCGACCGGAGACGGCCATTGATGTCATAGACGTGAGGTTAGCTGCAAGTAGCCGCACCCCGCTAAGTAGCCATTGGGGCACGACAAAGAGCGCCCACGCCCGAAACTGCCAAAAGCCACGTCCAAACTGGTTTCGAGCGGCCTAGAGGCGTCAAGTGCAATGCTACTCGAGCTTCGCGGATCGCCATGATCCTGGCGGTGAATCGAGTGGGGTCGATGCAAGTTGCGCTGGCGGTTTCGCAGGCGTTCACAGCTTCGAAGCCCGGCAGGACTTCAACACTGACAGCTGGGCACGAACAGGTAATCGGCGCTAAGCTGGGCACCTGATATAATGCGTTTGTGGCGTGGGATGCCATCTCGCCGTGCAGCTGGTGGAGGCATCACGAGCGATGACGCACGCACAGGGATCGCCGAGCTACCCCACACCGCAACGCAAGCCGGGCGCCACCAGGTCATAGTATCACAGGTTGCTGCAGAGATAGTCCCGCATCGCGATTGACATGTTGCTGTGGTGAAGACTCCAGAGGTCAGAAAGAAGGCAGAGGGCCTCCAGAACTGGTACTGCCGGAGACCGGACCGGGCGCTGCGTCCGAAGCGCCTCCGGCTGCATCTCCGGGGCACGTGACCGTCTCGAGCATGGAAGCGATGCTGCTGGAGGCGCTCCAAGAGCCGCGCGCTCCCACGTCGCTGGGACCCGGCGAGCAGCGAAGACGGATGGCTGCTTCTGTGCGCTCAACACTATTCTGACCGCGCTGCTCGCGCCGACAGACCCTCCGACGGGCGGCGGACCCTGGTCTTGGTCTTGGAGGAGGTACCGACGAGGCCTCGAAAAAATCGCGCACCTGGAGCGAGTGAGGCGGCCGTCTTGTCCCCAACGTTGCAGGCCTAGGCCCAGGGTGCAGTGCTCCCACGCGCCGAGTCGGATGGGAGCTGCAGGCTAACGTCAATCTTGCCTTGCGGCGCCAGGGCACGTTGCCATTATGTACAGTAGAGATGCCCAGACGCGGTGCGTCTCAACTGCGAAGGCTGCTCGGCCGGAGGGAGACATGACGAGAGCCTGACTGACGAGCCTTGGCGCATTTACTGCCTGATGATACAAAGAACCGGTGACCCCCTCCATACACGACCTGTTGTTGCTCCACAGCTCGCCTTCGCGCCTCCACGTTCGCCGTCATCCTGATCAAGTCACCTTCTGGCTACAATAACTAAGGGAACGCATCAACGCAGACTACCTTATTGGCTACAATAACGCGACGCTTGCCTGCCGACCCGCCGCGTGCTTGCCATGCCCACCCAGTGAAAGCGCATTCATACCACCGTTACCCACCATACCCACTTGTTCCTAATCCAAGTCCGGCACGCTGCCCACGCCCAACTGCGAACCCTCTTGCCTTCTCCGCTCCACACATTCACATCATACCGCTCGCGACTTCCCCATACTCTCACTCCTCGAATGCGCCATCCGTCCTCGCGAGCAGAACCAAGCGCCAGAAGCAGGAAGGCGCCGTGGACAACATCGGCAGCAGGGACAAGGTCGCTTTGAGGTCCACACGCCCACCACGTCCACTTAGCACTCCGCTGTCAGTCTTGGTACGCACCCACCACTAAGCACGCTGGTTTGTCGACCAATCTCCCACGATTAACCCAATTGATACCACATTCACCAACACTTCCCACACCACACAATGCCTCTCCGGTCGCGCCTGCGTCGCGCCTTCACCCGCGGGTCCCACGAAGACCCACAACTTGTAAAGGGCAAGAAGTCGAAGAACTACGACCCCAATGTCTACCAGCCCGGCGAGAAGATGCCGCCGCTCAAGTACCGCCGGCCCGTCGCTCCAGAACACAAAGCACACCTCGAGTCGTTCGACTGGGGTAAGGCCTGGCGGAGAAAGAGCACTTCGAGCATATACTCGCCCATGGGCTCCCGCATGCCCTCCCGAAAGAGCAGCTTCCAGTCGTTCCGAACACGAAAAAGTGTACGCAGCGTACACGGAAGACGCAGTCAGAGTAAACCTCGCGGCGGTGACGACTACAGGGAAAATGACAGCGGTATCGGGGCTAGCTTGAGCGGCGACCACCAGTTGATAGAGGACAGCGATGACGAGGGCGACATAACAAATGGTGAGTTCGTGCGCTTCTTCAAAATGCTACACAGTTCTAATTTGTATAGTCGGCCTCTCAAGAAACCCCACCGAAGATCCCAAGCGCCCCCGCAAATCCTCCAGCATTCACCGCCGCTCCATGTCCATCGCCTCCAACAGCGGCTCCCGCCCACCCACCGCCGACCGCGTCCGGCGCCCCAGCGTCAGCAGCCCCTCAGGCGAAACCCCTTTCGACCCAGAAGACCTCGAGGCCGCCCTCCAAAAAACAACCCTAGACACCACAAAAGAAGAGTCCGACCGCAGCGGTGAAATCAGCCCGAACAACCCCGCAGACCCGCCGCAGAGTCCTACTCTACCTGAACCTGAACACGGCTCGGAGTTCTATGACAGGCTGAGGCCGAGGGAAAGGATGATTGCTTTCGACGACGACCATACCTTTGAAAGTATTTCTGACCCGCCCCGGAGCGGCACGTACTGAACTCACTCTTTTTCTCAGAATCTTCAAGCGAAACCGCACGCCCGCGTTTGCGTTGGACGAACACGAGTTGAGGGACGAACTGTAAATAATGATTGGAATGGTTTGCGTGCATTCTGCATTGGATTGGGTTGGCTCCCTCCGTATATTTTTGCATTAGCCGACGGCGTTACATGGAAAGGCCATGGGGTGCGGATCTGGAATCCTAGATCTCACGATTGTTTTGGAGTCGTAGGTGGTTGTCTACATGACGTATCTTATATTTTGCTTTTGGGCGCACAGATGGGCGGGTTCATAGGGTGAGACCGACTGGGACGGTGTAGTCGGCTACATTGTAGATGTGTAGTAAGACCGGAATTAAAGCATCACACGTATCACATCGTTTTTCAAGCCCTTTGCCTGCCGTCGAGGCATTCTCAGTGACTAAGTGCCGGGTAAATCTCCAACGTACACAGCAAATCCTCTACGTTACTTCCTTCCTCTCACAACGTAGTAAAGAAGTACCATAGTCTTCCTCTTGAGGAGGTTGTTGTGCAACGATTGATGGGATGAAGCTCGCGCTCTTGGCGGTTCTGCGTGGAAGGTCTAACGAATGGTCGTACCGTTCGTTGCTTTCTGCCCAAAAAAAAAAAAAGGCTTTTACGCCCGCCCTTCATCTGCCGAAACTACAGCATGTCGATGTGAAGAAATCGGCTGGGTTGTCTGGTAGCGTTGCGGCGCGCATAGCGGCGTGGCGACACTGCTGGATGGCGGGATGGAGAAACTGCAGCACACATGGATAGAAGCATACAAAATAATTCGCTCGTTTGCGAGTTGCGGGACTGCGTGGAAATAGCTGGGGAGCATGGCAGCTTTCGGCGCGTTGGCACTCGTCTGCTCTGGTTGTAGCCTTGTTCTGCGTAAGTGTAAGAGCTGCCGAAGTCACTTTAGGGGATGCTCTGGTCTGTGTATGCGGGAGGTGTATCGCATGCGCCTCTATTCACGGCGGAGGTAAGTATTGGTTTGATGGTTGGGAGGGTGCGGTGGAATGAAAACGACGGTTTGGTGAGACTGTCGAATTGGGTTCCGGTGTGGCGGAGTGATCATGGAATGCTGGGATTCTGGGGCTGAGGACTGAGCGGGTGAGCATGTGTGATGATAAAAGAGAGTCGTAATGGCTTAATTTGTGAGATTAGAGTACCGTGAGGTGGAGGGTTGGTGGAGTGCTTTTGCCTGGGAACACGTTAGAAACAGCATACGCTGGTGTAGGATTGGAAGTCGCTGATACGCCACAGGCAACGTGGAAGAGATGGAAGAGACGGCCATTGTGAAGCAAGTCAAAGTGGGATGGGAAGAGGTAGTTTTTACACGTATATACGTGTGGGTATCTTGTCTGCAGGAGGTCTCTCGCGATCACACATGAAGATCACATAGCACAGTGGTCTGCGTATCTGCAGCGCCGAGGATACCGATCAGGACAACACTGCTAGATAAAACGACTACGGCGCTCCCATGTGCTGATTGCACATACGACCCTTTGCTTACCTCTAGACGAATTCAGAGACACATCAAACTGCTTTAATAAATGTCAGCCGCATCCGCGCGAGTTCAGGATGCAGGTACCCGCCCAACGTCCCGCCAGCCATAACCGGACCCAGCTGCAGGCGCTCTGATCCGACCTCCCGAGACAGGGGAAAGAAAACAATACATTATACGGTACGCTATGGAGAGCGAGACGCTGGTGCGAGACACCTCCGCAAATAGCGACCACAGTTCATAAGACGACCCGAGGAGCCGCCGAAGCCGTTGATCTGTAGCACAAGCAGTTGTCGGTAGGTTTTTCGGTGTATGGCCGGGTGATCTTTAGCAAGACCCGCGGGTCTAGAGCTGTGTGAGAGACTCTGGGGGAGATGGAAGCTGTGGAAAGAAAGACGAGACTGGGTCGGCAGCCTGGGCAGCGGACATGCAGGCTTGAAGAGGGGTCATTGTAGGCTGACTGATAGTCGTAGCCATTGGGCACTGAAATTCCGCCGAATGGGCGAACGAGAAGCGTAACAGCCAGGCATGAGGCTCATGGTGCGGTTTCAGACCTACTTGGAAAATGATATTGCTTGCGGTGGGAGTGATCAGCGGGCTCGCATCGAGGATGTCGTTGTTGTTCGAGGTGGAGATGTTCGCGGCGTACATAGGGCTATCGAAGATCTATGGCTAAGAGGCAAGCCGAATTTCCAGCCATTGGAGCGTAGATCGTGCATGTGCGAGCCCTCATTGCGGATGGCTATCAGCCGTCAGCGTGCGTCCGTCCAATCAGTGTTGACGGTGGATGAAGCCATGTTGTATTGCACAGTAGTGCGCGCTTAGAGAAGCTGTCAGGTGCTGAAGAGGAAGTAGATTCCACTGCGGAAAGGCTGACTCTGCTGGAGTGCATGGAAAACATGTTTCTAATGCGACTATTGGGGTCGCGTGGGCGATGGGCGATGGGCGATGGGCGATGGGCGATGGGGGCGTACAAAGGGGCGGCAACGGCGGTGGGCCTCATGCGTGTCTTTCAGCGGGGAGAAATCACGATAGTCGACGAGGAGGGAAGGCTGTTCCTGAGGAAGATGCCGTCACTGGTTTGGGGCGTCGGCATAATGGTGCGGAAGCTGAGGGGATATGTCACCGCGGGCCTCTCGTATCTCTGCGACATAAAGTCAGCCTTCAGGAACAAGCACCTCCTGCGTGACCAGCCGGCGCCTAAAGAGGCCACACTAAAACAATGGGGCTGCCTGAAAAGGATATCAGATCCATTCACAGACGGCACAGATGCTGCTGTCCGTCATATGCGCAGCTGCCGTTGCTGACCGCGTCGCGGACATGAGATGACTTGCTGCCTCAACCATGTACCTGTCGCAGGTCACACGCCAAAGATCGAGTTCAAACGACGGCACACCGTGCCGTCGTCCGACCGTCCTGCCATCGCGATGGGTAGTGGCACTTGGCCTCTTCAGGCAGCGGAATGCGGCAAAAAAAGCTGTGATGCCGGAGTCTACGCCGAAAGCTTGTCCTCGAGATCCATCAACGAGCAGATCTCGCTGTTTCGGCTTCGTCCCAGTGAGAGGAATCCGACGGAGCTCCGCGCAACAGGGGTATGAGCAGCGACGAAAGGCTCGACGCCGGTCTGACGCAGTAACGCTCTCAGTCCTGTGCTCGAAGCGGAGACGCGCTTCTGTCGTGATCAGGGACCGCCCGCAACGGGACGCACCTACCATTGTGCCCACAACATCTCTGGATGTCTTCGTCCAGCCAGGTCTGATATCCAAGGTCCGCAAGCCCACTCGCCTCCACAGCGTTGCGGTTCATCATCGCACAAGCACAGTGCATACATTAGCTCGATACGCGGCACACGGTTCATCAGCGTGCCCTTGCTGACCAGATGAGATTGGTCTTTCTGAGGACATTGTCAACGGTGAGTGCGAGCCAGAAGAGATGCCTGCTGCATAGCGCTCTTGGATTGATGATCGCGACCTTGATCGGAAGGTGAGTTTCAAAGTAAGCGCGATGTTCGAAATTGCTAAACTTGGTCGAGCGCTGACGATGTTCTTGGCTGCTCCGGCTCAATCTCGCGAACTTGCGTATGCCATTCTCTGAGTATCCAAGCGGAAAATTTTCGGAACCGATGTCATGTTGAGTCTCACCGTTCTGTCACATCGCCACGCATCGCATGGACCGCTGGAATGAGGGTGTCAAAGTCCAGCGTGGCAGCCAGTGACTTGCCTCCGCGTGTTCATCGCCAATTCCTTTGGCTCCTGGCAACAGCCGCGCGCTTGAAGGCGGTCTCCCTTTCTCGACGGCGCGAGCTTAACGCGGTGCAAACTCTGGAGTGGAGCCCTGACAGCTGTCGCGAGACTAACCCGAAGACCGATATCTCATCATTCCCTTGAGTGATAGTCAGTGAGCCATCCGGATGGAGCCCTCTGTTCATCGACGTACAAGCTGCAAGTTGGCACTGGCTTCGCGTCCTCCATAGTCGGTTGCCGGTCAGGGCGCTCATAGATACGCTGACAACCACGAGCGTAACGCTTTGTTTGGATTTGTTCAAGCCCGCAGGATCTGAGTCCAAGAACCGAGAATACAGTTTCCACGTATCCAGGTAACCACTCTTCAGCCAGGAAGGCGAGACCTGTCTGAACCAGTTCGTGCAAGCGCTTCTCTTTCGGCACTGTATCGTAGTACACGAGCTTGCCTTCGCTCATTGTTTCTTGGCTGCATATCATGAAAGTGGGACTGCTAAGAGATGCCCAATCCACTGTCGACGCTCTTATGCGAGTGATTTGCCTGTGGGGTCGCCTATACCTGCTACGATCGCAGTTACGTTGCACAACGGTGTATTGAATAACCGACGATGCGGAGATTCAGCATCTCGGTCGCGCCTGACGCCTCTGTATGCAGCCGTTGAGCTAACCAGAAGTATCCGGACTGCGTGTTCACCTGCGCATGCTGAAACAGCAGATCTCGAATCGCGGGTTCGATGGCGGGTACCCGCCTCATCTGGATCGGCTGGTGGAAGATGATGTGGGTAACCATCAAATACGCGAAGGCCTAAGCACCCACAAGCATCTCAAGGACGATTCCAGAGCTTATACCGAATCGTGCGTGGAACGTATATCAGCGTGGCTGAGGTCAGTTCTCGCAAGATGGGCAACTCCCAAGCGCCGATGTCGGTCGGATGCCAACGAAATCCATTGTGCTTCATTCCCTGCAGCAGAATGTCAACATTCGAAACAGCCAATCATGGGTACTGCGTCCAGTGGCTTGTCCATGGCCCGGAGAATTCTTTGGCCCCAGTCAAGTACATGTGGTACCATATGCTGTGCGACCAGAGGGACGAATCGCGCCACAACTCGCAAACAAACAACCATCCCTCTTGTGTAGAAAGAAAGAGGTTCATAATAGTGTGTAAGACCAAAGGCAGAGGTACATGATATTGACTACCATGCATTTGGGTAGTCGGTACAGAACACTGGATCATGTAACAGCCAGAGCAATGCGATGATGATCAGGCCATGTTGATTAACCCCGTGTCGGCTCGACATGTGGTTGAAGTGCATTCTTTAGGATATTGGAGAGATGTGCATCTTAACCGAACAAGTCGGAGTAACCATTGACGGTGCTGGGGGGGGGGAATCTGCAGGTCCGCGGGACCTGCAGAAGCTGGTGGGTCGTTGAGCAGCCAGATGCTTGAGTCTGGTGAAGATGCGCAACAGGGAAAAGCCTGGTACCGCGATCGATGTGGCTGTTCGGCGGGGGGCTGACCTCATGGTAGGGTTCTAACGTATCATTCCACGGGGGTGAGGCGTTAGCCAGAGGCTGAGGTTACAGTCGCGGTCGACCGATGAACATCAGGTCAAACCCCCCCATTTCAGTTCCCGTCGTTCTGGCTACTGTCTGGCAGCCTGCAAGGCCTTCGCGCTTGTGTCGCTCAAGATTCAGGCTTGTGACGACTTGATGGATCTCTGTAGCTTTTAATCTGCCGTGAGGTCGCCGTGTACCTTTCCTCTTGTCTGCACTCTTCTAGTAGTGTAGGTCGTTTGTGAATGTACTGCCCCTTGCAGTCGCTTCGCAGTCCAGGTCGCTACCCGTTCGCCTCTCTATTCCTTCCTTGAATCCGCCACGCCGGACGAGCTACTCGCGCGAGGCTCAACCCATTCCATCGCCCTGCCGCAGTCGCGTTCATGAACGCGCCGTCATATTGTAATATGTTCCACGGAGGTTAGTGTCCTTCAGTGCCACCACGGCATCGTGTCCCCAGCCTATTGTATACTCTTATTCAAAAGCGCAAGCTGCACCCCTTCCCAAAGTGCCTTATCGATCTGACATCAAGAGTATGCTTGTGAACGATTCGGCCGTTTCTCCGTATGTGTATGATGTCGATATGCCCGCCACTGGAAGAGTACATCTGCTGACGATCCTATCCTTCTAGTAGAGCCAGAATTCGAGTCCGTGAAGATGTCGAGCGCAACAACTGCCAGTTTCGAAGACGTCCATTCTCAAGAGGAGTATCATGCTTCACCGTCGACAATGCCAACCTCAGGTCTCTTGACTCCACCAATCCTGTATAACATTGATACCCGGAGAGATTCGATTGCGTCGGCACACACTTCAATGTCTTTCGGGAGCTGTTTATCGGACTACTCTATGCCAGTAACTCCAACACATGGAGAAAGCCCAATCCCCGCCAGGGGCGTCACTGAGGTCATGCCATACGAACTAGGCCAGGACATGCAGGACCAATCTTTCCACGGGCTTCCTATGGAGTCGAAGTCGTTTCCAGGTGCAGATGACCATTTGTATGGATCGTGGGCCCTCAGTACACCGGAAACATCGATGAGTCTCCCCAGTGCGAGCCACAACACGCAAGCCTCTGGATGTTTCTTTGAGACGCATGCGGCGCCCCATCTCAGCTTCGAGATGCCTATCACTTCTTCTGTGAACTCTTCATGGGAAGGTTGGTCCACCACCGCAGACGCGGGCTCCAGCCGACACTGGAACAATCACGCATCCACTTTCAGTATGCCCGAAGGCGGAGTCCAACCATTCTGGACCGAGCAGATGCAGATTGAGCAGACACCACACATGATGATGCTACCGCCTTCAGGGAGCATGCCAGATGTTGAGGACGAGTATGTCCATGTGGAGCCGGTTGCAAGCGCAGCAAACGCCGAAAACAGTTTCGTCCAAGTCGCACCACCATACTTCTCTGACTCGGAATCATTTGAGGATCTAGGGCGGCCTTTCGCGCAATCACCGCAAGAGGTTTTCTTCAAGAAGGAGACCTCCACACCGTCGGTGAAACAAGAGTCGGACATCGAAGATCATGGGGACCGACCAACACGTTCGATACACATGACGTCGACTGGGGGCAAGACCGTCAAGAAAGAGCAAAGGCACTATTCTGATCTAGCGCGGAAGAAAAGTCACAGGAAGCCGAGGTCGGCCAAAGGGGTACGGAATGGGCCCGAGGATGAGCTTTTCCTGATGCTGCCGGATGGAACCAGAACCATCTTGAATCAAGATGGTGTCCACTTTGACTGGGATGGGAAAAGTTTGACGGCCAAACGAACCGGTATCAAGAAGGAGAAGCACCCCTGCCCGTATTGCATCAAGTCATTCGCGAGGCAAGAACATCTGCAGCGCCACATAAGGACTCATGATGGCAAGAAGGACCACGCCTGCCCGCTCCCGTTCTGCGGTAAGACTTTCAACAGGAACGACAATTGCGTAGCGCATTACGCTACGCATGTGGAGAAACCGGGTCGCAAGCCTGGAAGAAACAAGAAGTGGCCGTTGGTGGAGGTTCAAGCCCACTTCCGGGACCAGAAGATGAAGGACAAGATCCGGCATATGTACATCAAGGACATGGAGAAGGATCTGGAAAAGCGATGAGCCTAAGTTGGTTTGTATAAATGATTGTTCGGTACGTCAGGTGTTGGAGTATGGTTTGGCGCTCAGTACATTGTTCCTGTCGATCTATTAATACGTTTTCTTCGCGTTGTACTTTAGAAGCTACTGCTGCGCGCTGATAATGAGGTAATGCGATATGGAATCGCGGCTAAAAGCCTTTGGACGTCTGCAATGATTCCCCAAGTACCTCGCATCGTGAGTGCCGATTCAGAGGTCAATGGGAGCCACTTGTGGAAAGGTCCGCCCACTCATTCGCAGCGGATGGCGGAGGTTGTATGACCTGAGGTGAAATTCAGGAGCGAGCAAGAAGCGCCAAGCCGCCTATTCTCGTCGCAGGGTCTAGGGCTAGATGCAAATCACATGCGCTCTACTTGCACATCATTGCAACCTCGTTGAAGAGGGCACTGTGTATTCGACTTGTTCGATAGTTCCTTGAAAAATCATCGGTGTCCTCATCCAGTTCGCCGAGTCGCTGTTTATGTCAGGCTTAAAAGGGTACCGCGTCACGCGCAATTCGCCACATGCGGCCCTTGTGATCCAAGCAGCAGTGCTGCCAGATCTTCAACAACAACTGCAACGATGCTATACGCATCTCGTCCGATTGAGGCCTATTCGTGCGACGCATCGTCATCGCGTGTCTATCATCGTTTACTGAGCTTCCGACACGTCTCCGAGTTCCGCTCGCCTCCACTACCATAGGTACCTAAGCTGTGCGCTGGGCAGAAGCACCTCCGCGTTTCACTCGATGTCTACTCGTCTCGATGGTCAGCATCGGAACGTATAATCCGGCCAGCGGAAATTTGAAAGCCTCGTGTTGATAGGCGGCCACTGGGTGTGGCGGTGTCGCACTGTGCGGAGGCGCAGACTGTAACTCGCACCTGAGCCAGGCATCAACAAACGTCAAAACGCATGCACCTCACGGCCACTTCTCGCGCCCTTCACACTCCCCCCTTTCTGTTCGAATCGCTTATCCTCATCCATTCTCACTCCGCGCGGTTTGCTCGCCTCTACCCGCCTGTGCAGCGACTCTATTCGCGAAATCTAAGGGCGTTGATCCTCTCGCGCTTCGGAAAGTTTTAGCTTACGCAAGCACGCACCGTGGGGACTGCCGAAGCGACTCTTCTGGGGTCGCGGAGGTCGTGGGAGTTGCCCAGTTGAGAGTCAGCTTGTTAACGCAGTCTTTGGGCGACGCCGAGACCCTGCACTACCCTGCACTTGACCGCCCCTAATCGGTGTCCGGAGCGCGCTATACTCAAGATAGCACAAGACCTTCACGATGCGGACAGGAACCCCACACTTAGACCTTGCGCAGTTCATGCGTAACGATCTCATAAGGTCCGCTGTTCCGGTCGTACTTTATCTCAGCATTTCAGAGCTGCTTCCCTTGACCTTCGTATTCGTTCGCCTTGCTTTCATCCTACTCAAACACGCCATCAACAAGATGCAAAACCAAAGCAATGCACCTTTTCCTTTCATGGAGCTACCACCAGAGCTACGGGACATGGTCTATGAAAACCTATTGGAGGATCCTCATTACCCACCGCCTCGACCATGCCCCAAGACTCGCGGCCCCAGCTGGCTACCAAGCATGCCTCAAATCGGGTCTACAGATGCTGAGACTACGCGCCACAAGAGCAACCTTCTGTTCCTAGCCAACAAACAGATCTATTCCGAGTACATGGATATCATGTGCAAGAAGACTACATTCCACATGACGGTCGCTCCGCACAACTACACGCCACCTGCCACACCCGCCGAAGAAGAGAAAGATATCTGGCAGATTTCGCCCCAGGTACTCAAGCAAATGAAGAGATGCGACATTAAACTCGTCACTACGAGTACCATGCTCGGGGTTTCGGACCCGCGCAACATGAAACCGGAAGAATGGGCGCTGGCCCGCCAGATGCGTCGTCAACTCTCCGAAGTTGAAAACATATCTGAGCTCAACCTGCACGTCAAAGCTATCGGCGACCCTCTATGGAACCCGCTTTGGGTCTGGTACCATGCAACCCAAGCACTCAGGGGAATGGGCTCCGCAGAAAACGACAATGACTGGGCGAAGGTTGAGGTTGTCGGCGCCGAGATCCAGCCCTCTAAGCTCGACCAAAGTGCAGAGATCAAAGGCATCACATCAACTAGTCCGGCATCATCTGGGCCCAAGTTCAACCGCATTACCTTTTCCCTCGACATGTGGTCGCCGGGCGAAAACTACCTCATGCGCGACCCAGCAAGCAACAACCAATGGGCATGGTGGTGTCTAAAGGGCCACTGCGTAGGCCAAGTTGGCTCAGAGTTGACGGTCCGCCAGTTCTGCAGCTGGCTGTATGATTGTCCGACGTGCTACTCCGAAGAGAACGAAGACGAGTGATTTTCTACCGTGGCGGCGTACTGGATTGGGTTACTGATGCGGAGGCACAATATAGCGGAGTCAAGATGTGGGGCGTATGCGAATGATCTTCAAGACGATACGATGTATGCATAGGTCGGACTTTGGTGCTAGGGCAATGTGCAATTGGCGAATTAGCGGACTCCCGCTTTCTCGTATGACCCAAACCTGTGGTTTTTACTCAAAAGAACAATGGCGCATAGCAGGCTGTGTTCTGACTTTGAATGTCGATCTACCTACTTCCTGATTCTCGACTTGACGTGCATACGACATCCTACACCTGCAGTACATTCAACCTTTGCGTAACCATCGGCCTTGCATTTTCCCTGCCCTCACGATCTCACTATTGAAAATGTGTGGCTCCACTTCCCACTCCCCATCACACCGCATCGACTTGATACATACGCCCGACCAGGCGATCCTTCACCACGTGGAGTTCGGCTCGTCTACGTATGCAATGCAGGGCTCATTGTCCGTAGCAAAGTCCGTGCGAAGTGCGGCTGTGTCTGGATACGGTAATCTGCTAGCCAACGAACACCGCGCCGCACCGGACAATTATTTCTACGTGCAGTGGGTACCCACTACGGCGCTTGTGAGTGAATGGTACGCTAGAATATGCAGTGGACTGTATGTAGCGTGGATGTGAAGGATTAGGCGCGGAGTTGAGGTCGAGCTAGCGGGTCGCGTGAGAATGCAGTAAGAATATTCATGCAGTGACTGGACACCTCTAGTCAGTCGAAAATTATTCTATTAGAGAAAAAGACAGTGTTTGCTGACTGCAGTAGCTCTGTAACTGTACATTGAATACAGGTGTGATCTGACGCTGGATCAAAAGAAGACAAGCATGTTGTCAGCGAGAGCATATCACGATGCGCAACCCTAAGCAGTCCGTCTCGACTCAACGCTCAGAGCTCTCCAGTCTACTGCAAAACGCGCACAAGCCCGCGGCCGAGACGAAGGGTTTCATGAGTATTGATTTAACTCAAATTTTGCTGAGATGCATTCGACCTAAAACGAAGCACACACGAAGTCCGAAGTGGGGAACGTACCCTTGGTGGGGGCGCATTAAGCTTCTTACATCCACGCGATCGCTCGATGCACAAGTTTAGTGTTCAATGAGCAACTGTGCGCTGCCCTGTCATCTTTTTGAATAGCCTCATTTCTGACGTACATATCAGTATTGCATCATGATGTTGCATCTTGCTCATTACGATATTCGATAAGTCATTACGAGACATGTACAGGAACGCCAATGCCAGATCGCTTACATCCCATGGTAGTACATCATAACAGTAACTCATCCAGTCTTCGCCTTGATAGGCGCCATACCATACCAGCCGATTACCCCCATCCCCAAGAATGCCGCCACGCAACTGAACACCAACGCCACGATGCCCCTCGCGGTGAACCCAGCAGGTAGTGGGCCCGGGAAGCTTATCTCACCCTTCAGATCAAGCACATCCACCGTATTGCCAGCAGCGTTACCCTCCATCATCACATTGCCTGCCTTGCAAGCTTGTTGATGATCCTGAGGAATTTTACCAGAAAGCTGTTTCTGGATGTCGAGTGGCGCCTCGATGATCGTAGCTATGAGCCCAGATGCCACATGCCATTCGATGTGGCAGTGGAACAGCCATACGCCTGGGTTGTCAGAGCGGAAGCGCAGGACGATGTTGCCGTTAGGGCGGACGAGGATGGTGTCGCGACGCATGGGGGTTTCAGGGAAGGCGGAGTGGTTAGATGCATCATAGAAGCCTGCGTCATCGTCGCTGCGGTGGACAACCTGGAAGACGTGGCCGTGTAAGTGGAAGGGATGCTTTCCTGGGTCGTCGTTGTTGAGAACGATCTCGACCACTTGGTTGTGGTCGAGGACGAATTGGTTCGTGTGGGAACCGTAGACCTCGGGATTGGTTGCGTTTGAGCCGGTTGAGAGGACGGTGTAGAGAGTTGGGACTTTTGGGGAGACGTAGGTCTGGTCGTTGAAGAAGGCGCTGTGGTTGTGTTAATCATGCAGATCCAAGGCTGCCATATAGCTCAGTGCTTGACTTACTAGTTCGCTCCGTCATCGAGATTGTCCATCTTCATGTCGAGTTGGATCTGGTGATCGACGTGATCGTACAGCTTCTCCTTGTCCTGAGGCACAAGACTGAAGTCATCGAACGGCTCGAAACTATCGATCTCTTTTGGTACCGGTTTCTCTTTCGTATCATCGTACACGAGCCAGCCTGTCACATTGGGGTTCAGACCGTCAGGGACTGTGTCAAAGAGATCCTAGGGTTGTCAGCACTAATGCTTCGTCAAGTTGTCGAACTTAAAAGGTGTATGAAGCCAAGTGTAGTCGTGGGAGGTGGTCGGCGAATGTTCTTACCTGGTCCATACTCCCAATGAATGCAAAGTTCGCATTGGTATCATTCTTCGCAGTAACAATGACACTCCAGCGCTGCGCGACCGTCACATAGATCATCTCGGCATCGGCAGGCTCGGTGTAGATGCCATCCACTTCAACTACTTGCATCGTGTGATCTTCAAACCATACATATTGGGCAGCGAAAGCGCCCATATTGATGATGCGGAACTTGTATCTCCTACCAGGCTCAATCTTGACGGAAAGGTTCTGCGTCTCGTTGACTAGCGCGGAGTCTGGCACTGGTTCTGCACCTGAAGGGTTTGCGATACTGATGAAGCTCGCGAGGAGATCCGGCATATGGTCATGATACCAGTCCGAGAAAGTGAGTACGATTTCTTCGTCATAGAGGTCCTTGTGTGGGTCTTCTGGGTCATGAACGATGAACGCTCCACGGAGGCCGTCCGGATATTGTCCACGAACATGCGAATGGTACCAATAAGTTCCGGGTTGGTCAACCTACATCCTCAGCGCATGCTCGTGAGCATTTGTGGGTATAAACTTACTGTGAAGTTGTACGTGAAGCTGCTACCAGGTATGATCGCACATTGTGTGACCTGCGTCGGACCGTCCATATGTGTTGTCCCATTCTGATACAAGCCGTGAAAGTGCAAGCTTGTGGATTCATTCCCCAACGAGTTCTTCACATTAATGACAACTTGATCGCCTTTGGTGACATTCAAGGTGGGGAGCGGCCACTGGCCATTGATACCAATGACAGAGCGCTCTTGCAACCCATCAGGGTTCGCAGACACCCATGATACCTCGAAATCGTACGTCTTAGTAGCGCATTGTGCCACGGAAAGGAGAAGAGAACCTAGGAAAAGAGGTTTCAAAATCGTTTTCGCCATTTAGGGAGAATAGAGCTCAAGCGCTCGACAAGGCCTTCTGGAAGACCACAGGCGAGTACCCCACGATATGGATCGACTCAATATCGTAGACGTCGGTGGCCTGCGACACGGCTTAGGGCAGCTGATGGATGAGATTAGATTGATAAAGCCCAACGATTCGGGCGCGGCTGGATCTGATAAATCACGCGGGTCCCTGTTCTCCTCGTCGTCCATTCGGCGCCGAACACGGAGGCAAACGCTTTGGCTTGCTTTACCAGAGATCGACCCGTAGCGATTCGTCGACTCGGCGCCGCCAGGAGACAATGGTGAAGCGGGGCCCTGCCATCCGTGCAACTTCATCTTCCGCTTGTGCATATTTTTCATGACTACCAACGAAGTGCGGCCGAGCGCTTGCCGCGCAAGGAAAGCTTTAACGAAGCTTTTAGCCGTCAGAGCAAGCAGGCGTTGTGTTAGTCTGTTTTATCAGATGTTGCTGATCTGATAACAGGCCAAAGGTCAAGTCTGGACTGATCGACAGAGCGGCTGGGGTAGACGGCGCATGCACTAGTGAATCAAGGCGTCGTTTAGCCTGTGCGATGGTTGCTTGTTCACACTGTTCGAAGCTTGGCGACAGCGATCGACGCAAAGCTTTCTCCATCGACGGACACTGGAGACGCGGGAAGCCTGAGAGTGGAATGCTAATCAGATCGTCTGACAAGCGAACTCCTCGTCTGAAGCGCTAAACCAATGGCTGTAGGAAGGCCCATCTGCGAGGCAAGCGGGGCACGTTCCGCGGTGAAGAAATTAAAACCCTGCATTTAGCAGGTGTGGCATGTTTCTCGTATTGACCTCGGGATCGGCCAAAGCACGGGTGCATTGTAGTTGCCGACCTCGCTTGCACCTGCTTATCAGATCAATTGGTCTCCGTACTTGCATCTGATAAAGTCCAACTTCCTCTTACCCTTGCCTCCAGGCTCTGAGGATTCAAATCCCACGGACGAGGTCGAAATCTTCAATCAGTTGCTCCGTGAGCGCTCGGCACTATGGTCAACGTCTTCGCTGTCCCAGGTAAGTTGTGTACTTGCGATAACGAACATTTGCATTGCCATTCTCCCGAAGATACCCGCATCGGCGTCGCTAACGTGATGATACAGTGTTCTTCATCTGCTTTCGGGAATGTCTCGAATGCAGCATCATCGTCTCTGTCCTTCTTGCTTTCCTCAAGCAGACGCTAGGTCCTGATCACGATGCCCAGATACGCAAAAAGCTTGTGCGTCAGGTATGTGACACATCACGCTGAAGCTCGAAATTGTTGCGATGATCTAACATCACAGATCTGGTTTGGTATCGCTCTCGGCGTCTTCATCTGCCTTATCATAGGCGCAGGCGTAATCGGCACCTTTTACACTGTCGGCCGCAATGCCTTTGATTCAGCAGAGTACATTTATGAAGGCGTCTTTGCGTTGGTCGCAGCCGTTATCATCACACTGATGGGTGCTGCACTCCTTCGTGTCAGTAAACTGCAGGACAAGTGGAAAGTCAAGATTGCCAAGGCATTGGAACAGAAAGATAGCATGGGTTTCGGGAAGGGAAAGTTCAAGGTCTGGGGCGAGAAGTATGCCATGTTCCTCCTACCCTTTGTGACTGTTCTGCGCGAGGGCGTCGAGGCGGTACTGTAAGTCGTAATTCCGCTCTATAATACTGATGCCTTAATCTAACTAATGGATCGAAGATTTATAGCAGGCGTTGGTGTCGGTCTGCCCGCGACGTCTTTCCCTCTCGCCGTAATATGCGGCCTCGGAGCTGGCGCCTTGATCGGTTACCTCATCTACCTAGGCGGACACAGAACCTCGCTGCAGATCTTCCTTGTAGCATCGACATGCTTCCTATACCTTGTGGCCGCAGGCCTTTTCTCCAAAGGTGTCTGGGATCTCGAAATGAATGCATGGGTAAAGCTCGCAGGTGAAGGTGCCGCTGAAGCAGGCGCTGGCCCGGGCAGCTACGACATCCGCCAAAGCGTGTGGCACGTCAACTGCTGCTCGCCTGGCGAGAACGGCGATGGCGGTTGGGGTATCTTCAACTCGCTCTTTGGGTGGCAGAACAGTGCGACGTATGGCTCAGTCATTTCGTATAACTTATACTGGCTGGTTGTCATCGTTGGATTCCTGGTCATGGGCTTCAAAGAGAGAAACGGTCGTTATCCATTCCAGAAGTCAGCGCCAATGGCTCCAGGAGATGCTACGAGCGAGAGCAGCAGTGGCGTGGTTGGGAAGATCGATGCACCTGGTGCCCCTCGCGCTGAAGTTCGGGAAATCCATACATGAATGGGAGCGTGAGAATCAGAATACTGTATATTGAGTTGTACCTAAATGGTACGAGTGCAGAGACTGGATGTGGAATACCCCTTTCTCCTGGTCGTGCCACGGATGCGAATGATATCCTGCAGGAGATAACGCCCTTTACCATCGGATCCGATCACGTTTCCTTTGAGAATGAGTAACCGTGTGAACTGCAATGTTTCTAAAAGTTCATCAGTAGGCAAATTAGCAATGTCAACCTTCCCGAGCCCGCTTTCGCACACATTCTCACATATACTGACCATACCCATCTCCATCTTTTGCTGGTGCGCATAATTGTACCAACTCGGTACCAAGTAGCTACGCGATGAGCCTCGGTTCTCCCTTTCAGCCAGCTCCGGTACCCTCTGCACTGCCCTCTCGGCTTCAGAGCATCACCTCAAACCATTCGATTGGCTCCGCGTCCAAAAGGTTATCAGAGCGATGGCGGCCCCCCCTCTGGTTGGTCCCATGCCCATGGCTACTGGCAGTGGATCCCTGAGCCACCTAATTAGCTCGGATACGCGATTGGGTAGAGTCAGGCTAACTCAGCTTCATCCGTCGAGGATCTGATCACTTTTGGGATTCTATTACAAGCACCCTCGATGACTCCTAGTTAAGCTGACTCAACTTCATCTAGATTGCACAGCTTTCCGATGCAGCCTGTACCCACTCCAATGAGCAGAGTGTCTGCTGTGGATAGCGATGATGCGTCTCATTCAATGGTTAGTACAGTGCCTAGCTCTGCAACTGCTGCGGCACCTTCCATCCGGCAAGCCGTAAAGAAGGTACAGAACCTCAAAAACCTGAATTGTGCATTTGCCCCGGAGTTTACTTTCGATGCGACTCCAAGGTCTTTTACGGAGGTCCAAAAGAAGACGAACCGCGATATCGCCAAGATGTTCATCACGAATATGCAGGTTCAAGTATTAAATCTTCTGAAAAAAAAACCCAGTCGTAAAAGGGAATGCAGAAATCAAGTAAATCGATGCTCTGGACGTCCGTCTCTAAGGACAGGAAGTAAGAGTCCGGCAACTTCAAGGTGAGCGGTCCATCAAAGGAATGGAACCCAGTTCAGGCAGGGCATCAGCTGATGAACCTCGAGCTCCCAATGACGATGATACTAGACTGCATTTTTGATCCTCGGAACTTCCAGACTGAAGACGTGTGCAACATCCAAGTCCATGGTGACCCTCTGGTGGAGTTGTTCCTGAACATCGCATGGGTCCAAATCATAAAGGAGGTGCGCGATCTTTGGCGCGAACTTCGCAAGTACGAGGATAAGCTCTTGGGCAAGCTACTCGATCTCCTCGTGGTGCTGTACCACGATAAAGCCATAAAATAAAGCCAATTGCTAATTACCTAGACAGTTGGCATGATTGGAGGGGAGTGGTGCAAGGCTACGGGCAGCACGGGTGTGGACGACCAAGGCAATTTTGCTAGGCCTTATATTCACAAGGATGCTCGGTTCCTGGGTAGGCATGGAGCTTCGCAGTTACAGTATCGTGCGGGAAGCAAACTGAAAGAGGTTCCAGAGCTTAAGGGTATGGTAGGTGAGACCGAACGGTACTTCATGCAGCGGCTGAAGGCGATGGAGCACAATATCAAAGCGCTTTGCGAGGATCGCGGCTCCCCAACGATGCTTGATATAGAGGGCTTGGAGGACATGAAGGGTCTCAAGGCCGAAGAGTAGATGAGGCATGACACAACAGGCGAAGCGCGGGCGCTCTAGCCAAAGCAAGATAATTCATAGTCAAAAAGGTTGAAAAGAAAGATCAGGTCATCATGACGGTGAACTTTGACGAATGTATGACCAACAGTCGGAGCTCTTACGAGCCAAATGTACATCTCTCATCTTTCCATAGCTGTGATCACAGCCTCGATGGAATGAGGTTGAAGGCCGGAGAATGACGTTGGTTCGTATACGCTATCGAAAAAGAGTAGTAGCTGTATGGTTTGGCAAGCCTAGCCGCGTCGGCTGAGATAAGGGTAGCTATTGTAAATCCGGCCTCAGAGTTGTCTGAAGTTGATTTTTTCTCATATTCTTGCGAATATGACGAAGGGAAAGTGAAAGTGAAGGAACAAGGTTTGGTCTCAGATCAGCTGACAAAAGGTTTCAAAACTGAAAAGTGACTTGGGATGGGAGTGAGTAATAGTGAAAGACCCAGAGAGCTCTCGTGCCACGTGCGCGTTCGAATGACGTGCAGTGCTAAGTATACAAAGCCGAAGTACTCATCAGATTTGTACGCAACTCAACCCAGGTGGCTGATCTCAACTGACATCCCAGCTTATCCATCGACACCACGCCATGGAGCCCCACCTCAGCGATCAACCATCTGGTCCCCAACAGGCCGAAAACCAGGCTTCACAAGCCGCCCACAGCTCAGCCCGCATGTCCTTCGCCACGCTGACCGTATCCATCTTCTCCAACCCCTCGTACCTCAACCAGAACATCTTCACGTGTGGCTCCACACGTCCAAATGATGACCCACGCGTCGAAGCCTACTTGACCGTCATCCGTACTACATACCTCCTCCACTATTGCAAGCACTGGATCGGACTGCGGAAACATGCTGAGGAACGTTTCGTCTACGAAATGAACACACTTGCCCAAGCCTATCACCCGCGCTTTGGTCGCCAGGCCGTTACGCCCTTTCACGGACTTGAACGGTGGCTTAACGGATGGGCGAGGTGGCTCGCGGAGACCCCTGATAGGCCGATGGCTCGACCGGCTGTGAATGGAAAGAGGGGTATTATGTCTTTATGTGGAGTAGAGGTGCATGGGCGGCACAAGGATACGGAGGCGATGAGGGCGCTCAAGAAGGCGGTTCGGTGGGATAGTAGGACAACAATACAGAAGGAACTCTGGCAGTCAAAGGTGGCGGAGATGGAGAAGAGCGTGAAGGCGGAGTGGGAGGATCGCTCCCAGCAGGATTTCAAGGCGGTGGAGGAGGCTTTGGGATTGGGCGAAGAGCATGGTCATAGTTCGCCTCCGCGAGGTGGTCGGCTGGTGGAAGGAGATAAGACTGATCTTCTAGACGATGATCCCATGGCACTAGAAGATGGGCTGTGGAAGGAGAACCAGGACGGTGTGAGCCGTGGTTGGCCTGCGTCTGAAGTCGTCGATTTTGGGCCACCTTCAGGTGGTAGCAAGGAGGAAGAAGTGGAGATGGAAGGAGCAGATGGTCCTGTGACGGATGAGTTAATGGAGGAGCAGAACGATGCTGCGTGTACTCGCGAGGATCCGTTGTATCCAGGCTTGGAGAATGTTGATGATGGGCATCGCACCGGCACTTCTCCTTCATCCCGAGTTACTGAGGAGCGGGCAAGTCGCTCTCTCATGCAAGAAGCGCGCTTCAGGGGTCCTTCCCGATTCACCAACTCCCACGAGAACACTAGCCGCGGCAGTACTGGAGTGCAGACTTGGTTGCACGAGCTATCGTAATTGGAAACTCCCAACGGTGATGTGAGGGAGCAGAAAGACTCATGGTGGCGTGCGGACCTGAGTGAGACATTGTTCTTCTCAGATGGGAAACAGCGTCCTTGGTCAGCAAATGGTTCTTCGCGAGGGTCGCTGTGTAGGGCGTCTTGGTGTTAGCAGCTTGATAGATACCCTTTGAACGAGTGCCCTGTCAAAGCCCCGTCGAAGAAGTAGTCTGAGTGAAAGCGAACAGCAGAAAGTATGCAATGCGTGACCGTGAGCAGCGTGGTTTGTTGCTGGACGGCAATGCGGCAACGAATGGGAAGGGGCATTGAACTGAAGACGGCAAGACCCGACTAGGCAGATTTCCCGCATGCAGGAGGAGCATCCCACCGAACAGAAGGCAGGCGCGCTGCAACAAGGAGCAGGCGCAACTTCTCCTGCTTCACCATGCGAGCTTGCATGTGCTTGTGCCGAAAGTCTAGCTGTGGATGCTCTGATACTGAAGAGCAATGCGAAGAAGCCACGGCGGTCCAGGTCGCAGTCGGCCTGCAGAATGGTACGATGTCACCATGCCGTGCCAGTGGCTTTGGACCGTGGCCAACGGCTGCAACTGCAGAATCGAAAAGCATTGGTGGGGAGTGAAGTTGCGAGAGGGCAGCACACAAACTCTTGATAGCATGCTGTGCCACTTACGAGAGAGCGACGTGACGCGTCCTGCAGGGCGGCGAGTGCTCGAATGCGGCATGCGCAGAAGTGAGCGGTTCGGACGATTGGCACTGGCGGGAGGACGTCCGGCCAGAGGCGAGAGGTCGGTGAGAGGTCCACGGTCGGATGTTATGGGCGAGCAGGCGTCGGCCAACCCGGCCACCCCCCACACTGACAGCCTGCAGCTGCAATGCGCCGCCGGGCGTTTGGTGGATGCACAGGCGCTCATGTCGGTGTCGGTGTCGCATCTCGCACAGCTGTCCTCTTGCCACTGTCCTGCATTGCCTTGGCCTTGACTATGGTCTCGGAGCTTCAAGACACCAGCCATCGACATCATGTACGAGCATCCAATCTCCACACGCATCTGGTAGTGTAGACGCCGGACTATGCTGCGACAGAGCCTGTTGGTGATCGGCCTTCTAGCGCGAGGTACCGACAGCGGGCCGCATCGTCCAGGGCAAGCAATTTTTGATACCCACACGCGATCCAGACTCCCCACGAAAGACTCGACTGCCCCAGACCCCGAGGGACTCTCGCATCTCCTAAGCGTCCGCTGTCCCCCGTCTGACTCTCCTTCCGACTCGTGAATTGTACAAAATCGCTCCTGCCCCCGCCGCCTCCGCCGCCTCCGCCCCTCTTCAGACTTCGACCCCGAAACACGGCTGGACCTCCAACGCCGCTGCCTCTGCAAGCCAGCCTACAAAGCATACAGCAGCCCATTCCAAGTCTGCTGTGCGCTTCTCCGCCCCGCTTCTTCACAATGGTCACCTCTATGGCTACCAGCACATACCGCACCCGCGCAGGGCTCGATTCCGCAGGGCCGCTCGCATCCTACCTCTTGCGCCTGATGTCCATAAAGCAGACGAATCTCTGCTTATCCGCCGACGTGGAGACCTCGGCTGAACTACTCGATTTGGCGGAGGAGTGCGGAGACTCCATCTGCATCCTAAAGACACACTGCGACATTGTCACAGACTGGAGCGACCGCACCGCGAGGGCGCTCAAGGAGATTGCACGACGCAAGTTGTTTGTGATTTTTGAGGATCGCAAATTCGCAGATATTGGCGGTATGTTGCGCCATCTATCCAAAGCTAATGGGATCCCGTGCTGATGTACAATGCGCAGAGACGGTACAGAAGCAGTATACCTCCGGCGTCTACCGCATCGCTAGTTGGGCCGAGATCACAAATGCACACGTCCTCCCCGGTCCCGCCATTGTCACTGCCCTCCACAAAGCCGCCGACGCTACCATCGCCAAGTACAACACGGGCGTGCACACCGACATTTATTCCGACGCACCGCGACGCAAGCCTGGCGAGGACGACGACGAGGACGAACCTGAGCAGCACACAAGAAAAAACAGCGTTGCTGTAGTCACTCCTCCGATAAATGGCGACGATGAAGACAAGCGGCTAGGCATCAAGCCATTGGACAGGAAACAGAGCGTTGTCAGTATCGGTACTTCGATCTCTCAACGTACGGAGAGCATTTCCCCTCGCCCAGACCCGACCTTCCATCCCGAAGAGACTCTCAGTATCGATAGAATCGCCATGTTGGCTCGCCTTGGCGAACCTCCGTTCCTCCGCTCGCTCCTCTTGCTTGCCGAAATGAGCTCGGAAGGTCATCTAATGACTCCTGAGTACCAACAGAAGACCCTGGATATTGCGCGCAGCAACCGAGACTTTGTCATGGGGTTCATTGCACAGCGTAGTTTAAACTCGGAACCAGAGGACAACTTCCTTACCATGACCCCAGGTTGTCAGCTACCACCACCAGGTCAAGAAGGCCAGAAGCTTGGAGACGGTTTGGGCCAGCAGTACAACACCCCACGAAAATTGATCTTCGAGCAAGGGTGCGACGTAATCATCGTTGGACGCGGTATCGTACGAGCATCGGATCGATCGTTTGAGGCAGCACGCTATCGGGCCGAGGGATGGCGGGCGTACGAGGAGAGAGTGGGGGTCAGACAGGGATAAAAGATATGCCTCGATATTCCCACCCTGCCTTTCTCTTTGGACCTCACTTTCGCGGGGTATCGACAGTGCTAATGCGCGAATGACTTTGACAAGTCTGAGTATGCAAAGTTTCTTTGCTGCTCGGCTATTCAAGTAACACCATCTGCAGAGATCCTAGCGATATAGCTGGATTACGTCCAGCATTGAGGGATCTGGAGCCGGCTGGCGGAGCATCGACGACTCCTATAATTAGAATTTTTAACGCAACGAACTGGTGTGGAGTTGACGGTCATCATGGCATAATACACCGGGGTATTTTCGAGCATCGGGCTATCTCAATCGGTCACTAAAGCATTTGTCTTCTTCATAATGGTTTGCGAGCATACGCACTGGGTTATGCATAGCGACGGCAGTTTAGTCCTATCATGAATGCACGAAACGTACGGATGTTTCTTCTCGCTGCGTGTCACACCACCGTCTCTAGTTTGCGATCTTACAACACGTCTTCGAACCGTCTGATTAGCGGATAACATGTTTATCAAGTAAAGCTCTTGTGAAGTCCGACCAATATCTTGCCCCTCAATCTTTATACACAGACCGGCTGTACCCGTGTGGAAACCGACCGTCGTTCACTTCGATTTCGTACTTTTCGCTCACCTGCGCTTTCTTCGGCAAACCTCTCAGCTCTGGTTCGCCGAGGAAAGGTTCACCGAGAAACACGTCACTCATGGCAACCCACCTTCACTCCTCAATCTTCAGTGCATAGCGTACAAAGAGCACCTTCCACCTACTCACGTCTTCTTCTCTTTACCAGCTTCGAGCTACCACATTACTTGCGCCGTTTTGAAGGAGCTCCTTCTAACGTATTCAGCTCACCCAACCCCGACAAACTCCCAATCCATCAACATGCCTCCCAAGAAGGACGAGACCGCCGCCCCCACCGGCGAGGCCATCACTGGTTTCACGGGGAAGGAGACAAAGATGATCGCCGCCGCTTTCGTTGCTGGAACCGGTCCTGACAAGGTGAGTCCATCCTCACCATACCGTGTCGCATACTGACCACATCCACACAGTACGACTACGAGCTCTTCGCCACTCTCACCGGCAACACCCTCAGCTCAATCAAGAAGATGTGGCCGCCCGTCAAGCGCAAGGTCATCGAGGCGCATCCCTCCTTCGGCACCTTCCTCGGCACAGCCACTACTGCAAGCGGTAGCAATGGTGAGGGCGCGGGCGAGACTAAAGCTAAGGCTGCGCCCAAGGCCAAGGCCAACAACGGCAAGAAGCGCAAGGCGACGTCCACGGAGCCCGATGACGATGAGCTTGTTCCAGAGGGAGTGAACGGGGATGCTGGCAAGAAGAAGCCGGCTGCCAAGGGTCGCAAGAAGAAGGCCGGTAGCGCTGATGCTGAGGAGAGCCAGAAGAAGCCGGCGGCGAAGAGGGGAAGGAAGAAGGTCAAGAGTGAGGAGGTTGCGGGTATGTCCACCCTGTAACCGCTCCAGCAAGTATATTCCTGACCATGAAGCAGACGAAGCAGATGACGAGACCAAGGAGGAGGCTGCCGACGAGGAGGCTGCCAACGGGGTGGCTCAGGAAGAAAGCTGAGGTCGCTTCTTCGCACTGTCTTCTTGAGCAGCCGGACAGAACACGCCGTAGCCCGTCGTCAGCGGTCTTAGTGTTCAATTTTTCGATATCACTTTCGTCGCTGATCCTCTTCTTCATTCAGATGTTGAGTGATCAGCTCGGGCACATGAGTCTTTAGCATTCACGTTAAGGGTCGAATATGATACCATGGTATTCTTGATTGGGCGCTCATGGATCTTTGTTGGTGCTTCTCGAGAGCTCTGCCGAGGGTAAGGCTTGCCGTGAGCAAAATCTGCTGGATTCTTAGCAATACATACATCTCCAAGCATACTAGTCCACTGGTGTACATTGACTGCGTGTCGTGTTCGAATGTGCTACTTGGCATCCTCCACATAAACTCTTCCAGCAGTATTCGCACCTCCTTCCACATAGAATTCCCAAGTATTGGTCTGCCAGTCGCGAAAAGCAACGCGCCACGGCGCCCCGCATACGCGCGACAGCAACGCCAACTCATGTGATCGGAGAGCCCGCTTGCCGACTCCGACAACCTTACCGCGGCGCCATTCCGCGCTCTTACCAACAAACCCTCTTCGCACCACAAACCCCCCGAAGCTTCCAAAGCATCTAGCCACCATGGCTATAACGTCCCTCGCCGTACCTTTCGACGGATCATGAAGCCCTGCTCCTTAGCTGCTATTCTACCCTTCATCACTGCATCTGCGAGTCTAAATTTCTCGCTCAACCCACTCCGCGGCATCCAGCAATTCCCCCTCTCCTTCTATTTGAACACCGCGAAGGACGCAGGCAACATGACCCGCCGTGCGCCCGTAATTGCCATCTCCCACGGCGGTGGCCCGATGCCCATTCTCGGTGACCCCTCCCAAGCCGCCCTCACGCACAGCATGAAGACTCGCGTGCCAAAGATACTGAAGCTCGGCACGCCGGAGCGGCCGCGCGCTATTGTGTTGGTTACCGCGCACTGGAGTGAAAAGGTGGTGGGGATTAGTTCCGGGGAAAAACACGAGCTGTATTATGACTATGGTGGGTTTCCGGATGAGGCGTACAGTCTTAGATACGACGCGCCGGGCTCTCCAGAAATCGCCGAGCTTGTTCGTCGGCAGCTCGAGGAGGCAGGATTGAAATCGAAGAAGGATGGGAAGAGAGGTACGTAGTTCCACTCTGTTCTCCAATAGCAGTGAAATGGGAGGATGGGTACTAATGATCGGGAGAATAGGTTGGGACCACGGCGTGTTCGTCCCCATGACACTAATCCATCCCGAAGCTAGCATCCCGATCGTACAACTGAGCGTTCTCACCTCCGAGGATCCAGCCACGCACTACTCCATCGGACGCGCGCTTGCCCCTCTTCGCGAGCAAAACATCGCCATCGTCGGTTCCGGCTTCGCTTCTTTACACAACCTGCGTGCGATGTTCAGTGGGCAGACGAGGACGCCGGCGTTCAAGGCACTGAACGAGGAGTGGAGTAAGACTTTGGGAGATGCTGTTGCTACAGAAGATGTAGAGGAGCAGAAGAAGAGGTTCGAAGGGTGGAGAAAATGGACAGGCAGTTACGAGATGCATCCTAGGGGTGGAGCGGAGCACTTTTTGCCGCTGATTGTTTGCGCGGGCGCAGGGGCTGGAAGTGGGGATAAAGCGAAGAGTTACGGGGATGAGATGATGGGGTTGAAGATGTGGAGTTATTACTGGGACGACGAGGAGCAAAGCGTGTTGTAGAAATTATGATGGTTTAATATGTGGTCTTGCAATCTCTGCTGCGTACGGAGTACAGTTCTCGAAGAATCAAAGTGCAGCAGGTTGGGTCGATATAGAAAAGGCACAGATGATGCAGAGACACCTGCGGAAGCGAAACGAATTGAGCCATACTTTGGGACTTGCTGTGCAGCTCGAGCCCATGGCAGACGTCACAGTAGGCTGTACGAACGCTTGCGATACCTCGGGCACGCTACTTGCATCCGGATCTACCCAAACCCCACAGTCAAGGCTGAAAAAGGTCATTGTATGTGTCACAATGGTTGTGACCCTTTCGAGAGACCTGGTCGTTGATGGTGAGGAGGGGAAGGAATGGAGAGAGTAAAAGATTGCAAGATTCTGGAGCCAGACGCGCAGATTTAAGATCCTCTGGCATTCAATGGAATGGTTAAACTAAGCGAGCATAGGTCAATGTAAATTCACGCCTCTTGCGAGGGAAAATAGCATAAGCGTGGTCTGGCGTCACGGCCTAGACGTGCAGTGTGGCTTAACATCACAGGCCACGTGAACGACGAGGCTGTGTGGATGCTTGATGTGCCCTTTGCGGTATTGTCACGGACGTCTGTTCCACTCAACTGGAGCGGGTCCTGGGTAAGGCTGTGCGGACGAACATTGCGTCTCGCTGCCTTAGTCGTTTGGTTCTTGTTTCCGGGCGTCTATCGTAGCTGCCTGTTTGGCGGACACCTACTGCGCTCGTAAATTCTTCACCCATGCAGTCTGCCACTTCGCGCCAACAACCACATACCACTGCCGAAGAGGCTGCTACACGCAATCGAAAATTCGCTGAAGCACTGGTGGAGTCCACTTATCCTGGGCGACACCAGTCTGCTACGATCCTGCCCACCCCCACGAACCCCACACGGGCACAGCAAAGGATCGGCTCAGGCCTTCTCCCAATCGACAAATATCGAAGTGACTCTGTGGCGTTTGGTCGAAGTTACGACGATGTCCCGGTCGCTTCCAGGGACATGGTCCTTGCAGCGACCTCCTCACATGATGTGACCAATTTCACGGCAATATCTTCTTCTCCGAGCCTTGAGCGCCATTCCCCTGCTATACACCAATATCATCAGGCTCGACTGTCTACCTCTATAGCGCTTGCAGCCCCGTTGCTGTTCCCTCCTGACAGCCAAGGACCACCAGACATCGTGTCTTCGCTGTTTCTTTGAATGCTTCATAGCATCGCATGCATCAAACTGAATGTTTCAGCCATGTGCCTTGTTACACAGATGATGCTCTTGCATTGGTGCCTATGCGCATTCTGAGGCTGTGTCGCGCCTGCAGCTACTATCTTTGGTCACCTTTTATCGATTATTGTTTCAGCAGGGTCACGATCGAGCAATTTGAATCACCTGCTGTTTAACGCATAGTGTACAAGACGGAATATCGTATGGTAGATTGCGGCGTAGTCTTGGGGGCCGAAGCGGTTCGTCCATATCTTGTCTGGAACCCTGGAACCGGCCAATAGCAACGCAGAAAGAAGCCTAGCGCCTACACCACCTATTCACGATGAGCATGCACTTCGCGTGTAGCCTAGACGCCTCTGTTGCTCGCCAATGAGCTTGTTGCTTGGTGAGTGCTCAGCCATTGACTGCCAGTACACGGGCTATACCCTCCTATGCGAGCACGCACCGCCTCTTCTTCAGTGAAGTACTATAACCTCTCATTGTTAATCGGATAGTTGCGGCTTCCGACTCTTCCCCTCGATATTCTGCTTTAAATACATCCAGCAAGCGCTTTAGCCCTATTATCCACGACCAAAGATGAAGAGAACCAGGGGTGAGGTGATCGGAGACTCTAGGAAGAGGGCGAGGCACGAAGGCATAGAGATCAAGCACATCAAATACAACAAGAGGAGGACCGATGTGCCTTCCTTGCTTAGAGGCCAGTATGACACCATCCAAATTCTGGGCGACATGAAGTACTTGGATTATCAAGATTCTCCGCTCAAGCCATGGCAGTCGGACATCAAGAGGAAGGCTTTACACCTGACACACATGGCCGCAAGGTGTCGGGCCGACCTTCAAAACGAAGCTGGCTGGAGAGATGCAATCGAGTCAAAGATCTTCGAACGATTTGACGTCGAGGTTGCCTGGTAAGTCGTGCATACGCATTTGGGAGTGCGATGAGCTGACGATAATAGCAAAAAATGTCGAGGAAGATTATGGAGATCTGAAATCGAGGTAGAGTCCGACAGCAGTAATAGTCTCACCACGTCGTTGAGGGATCGCCAAAAGAAGAGGGAGGTTTGCACGTGCGATCCATCGCAGCGCGCCGATGAGCAGTACGTTGCCTGCTGCAATTCTACAAGCAGGGGCCAGCCACTAACACGAGATACAGTTCGTCGATGGACCCAGGCATAAGCAATCTATTCTCATTTCGTGTGGATACAGCAGCTTTGGATCGCAATAGCAACCGCAAACACAGGCCCGACAGAATTCATGGTCTACGCAGGACAGAAAACATTGATACCCATCTCCAGTCTCTATACACGCACAACGATCGACTCGCGGCTAATACGATAGTGGAAGACGTCGTTGAGACTTCGTTGCACCCCAACAATGGAGGCTCTCAACTCTTATTCCCATTCCTGGTCGTCGAGGCTAAGAGCGAGAAAGGAGTCGCGAGCTTTGAGCAAATGGAGTTGCAGACTTGCTTTCCTATTCAAAATTCTCTACAATTACAGTTGGAGCTCCTCGAAACACAAGGCAACACCATGGGCGTCCCAGGCGGACCTCTGGTTTGGTATTTGGCGTATCGTGGAGAAGACTGGCGGTTGTATGCAGGTCATGTCGAAGTGCAAGATGGGAAGCCCAAAGTCGTAAGTCTGGCGGTGCCTCCTTTTGGACTCTCCCAAAGCTAACGTTTCTCAGTTTATCAACTACCTCTGGGGAGGCAGTATCAACGGGGTCAACGAATCTCTCCAGCTAGTACTCATCGTTGACTACATTGTGGATTGGGCCAGAGATACGTACAGACCAAACATTTTGCGACAACTGAAGTCGCTCGCTTCTTCAGCTTTCGATGACCGAGCCACTGTCGATCCTGACGTTGTTTCTCTGAACGGAGAAATTGAGAATTGGATGGACGAACAGTGCAGTGATGATAGTCCATCCGAAGAGCCACAATCACCACCGCAACTGCTGTTAATGGACGCACCTTCTGATGAATCGATTGATAACATTCTCGACCCCCTTGAGCAGCAATTTAAGAATACGCACGGGTTAGTGAAAGATGTCAGACGGATCAATTCGCGTCTAAGAGGTCTCCTGATCACACGCGACAACCTTGACACACTTTTTCGATGCTTCAAGACACCGAAACAAGTCTGGAGTTTTTCGAGACGAATTCTTGTACTCCTCAGGCGCCAGGGTGTCGTTGTCAATGGAGCCGCCCTAGGCGCTATCGAGGAACGTTGGACTGGGCGGCCCTGCGACCCATCTGCACGCCCAATCGATGCGTCCAGGATACATGTGCAACTGCAAGTATCCTACTACGTGAACCCAGTCTGGGAGATATTTCGAGAACTCACGTATCTGGCTGTGGAAGATGATGCTCTCGAGTTACTAGTTCAGCGCGCTGCGTACAAGAGACGAGGCCCGATTACGCCTCCTGATTGTCGGAAGGATAGAGTCCTTGCCGCGCTTGATAGCCTTCTCGATAGAAGCGTTCTGGAAGATTTCATGTCCGCACTTTGTCGTCGCACATATATGCTCGGCTTCGATGAGCCTTCTACCGTCATCATCATAGACGACTACAACGTTCCAGAGGAGAGGCAAGAAGTAAGGCCGGTATTTCAACAGGCTAAAGATACCAATGCCGAAAAGCCAGGGATATGGATGCAAAGTGTGGTCCGCATGGTCTTCGATACTGTTCAATTTCAGACCGAGAATCACACTATGCCAGACCGACAGTTGCTAGAGTCCATTCGGGATTCAACGCATGTTAGCCTAGAGGAAAGAATGCTCTCACAACCCGGGGATTGTCTTTTCAAGGATCAGAAAGCGTTCCTGGTTCATTCAAACGTCCCAAGCACTAGGCACCTTCCAGATCTCGCGCGCCGCAAATACTGTCTCTATATCTTAGTCGACCAGGAAGCTGACATGACTGAGTTCTCCGTTATTTCAAAGCTCCTCTCCACGCTTCAACGACGGGAGGTTTATAGCACAGTACGAAGAGCAAGGGTTCCATGCTTGGGAAGTGTGAAGCAATGGCATGACAACCGAGGCGACTTCTCCCATCCTTATAGCAGCCCGACAGATGGCCAACCATTGATGTCCGAATCCCAATTCCAAGGCGAGGTGTGTGATTGGATCAAGTCGTTCGCGCGTCCAACATCGGATAGGGCTGAAGATCTGGCTGAACTGTTGAATGGCTGGTATCTCTCTGCGGGTGCAGTTGCGGCTCTTAGAACGCGTCGTAGGTACAACGTGCAGGAAAGGACTTGGTCGACTCGGCTAGATGCCTCACGAATACGCACACTTTGGGAGAAGACCGAGTCGCCTCCGGGTCGCTCTGAGGCGGTGTTGACTTTGATTCCCGGGGCGCCTAATGTCTTCGTAAATGCGCGGTCAGTGAGTATCTCGCAGCAATTGTGAAGATTTACTGTTCATAGAGGGTCATTGACGGAGTATTTCGCTTTGCTCGTTGTTGATTCAGATATTCATGCATGTTGGCGTACTCTCTGTTCTTCCTCTATGTGTACATCAATCCATCCATTTTCTTTCATCTCATTTTCATCCTCATCTGCGCTGCTCCTCTACAACCTCGACTTCGGCTTCGTGACATCCTCCTCGCGCCCTTGCAAATTCGGGTGTGGCGTCTTCACTGGCCTCGTCACAACGTAAAACGCGAAGCCCTCGGACTTGGTTGAGAACTATCCCTCGTCAGCCATATCCCCTCTTCGCTCTAGGCTACTAAAAAAGAGAAACGTACCTGGACCTTGGAGTTCACGGGGAAGAAAGCATAGTCGCCAGGCACGAGGTGGTGCGTTACGCCAGTGGCCTCATCCTAGATACACGTCAGTGGGCTGGTGGGAATTGGTAAGCGAGGGCAAAGTGAGCTTACGAGAATGTCGACTTGTCCCTGGAGGACGTACTTGGCCTCTTCGAAGGTGTAGTGTGCGGGGCGGGCAGGTCCGGCGACGATCTTGTAGAAGCCGGATGTTACGTGCGTGGGGCCGTCTGAGGTTTTTGTCCGTGTGGTGTGAAAGTCTGCTACTGTTGCGTTCTCGCCATTGGGAAGAGGGATGTGCTCGAAGCCGGCGCCCTTGACGATGGTGAGAGGGACGAGGTTGGACATGGTTATGGCTAGATGCGATGTGATCGGTCGGTTGATTACTAGTACCGGGTTTGGTGGAGTTGCGGAAGAAGTGAAGTACGTTCAATTCAAGCCTTCCAAAATTCAGGGCACAGGATATACTTATAGCGCTCTCCGTTGAGGGTACTGCGGGGTTAGTTCGGGGTTGTGGGGACGCGACGATGTCTTTTATCGTGCTCGGGACCGCTACCGGTGAGGATATCGGGTGCGGATCCGATCAATGGTCCACAGTGCTAGGAGCCCAACATGACCTTCTAGAAGCTAGAGACGTATAAAGGCGGACAAACACGGTACGACAGGCTCTGATAGCGATCGCAGGCGTGCTATGCCCGCATGTACATCTAATCACGTACATACGCAACAGTGCCAGGCAACAGTGCCAGGCAACATCACAAAGGATCTTCACTATTGACGGCGGCTGGACTACTCCGAATGGTCTGTCACAGTTTGCTGCAAATTCAGAACCGTAAGAAGCAATCATCTCCTGGTGTTGTTTCCTCAGTTTCCTTAAGAAGGTCGGAACGAGGTAAGGGCCCCCGCGCTAACCACTTTGGCGGGGAAGCTTTCCTTAGCTAGGGTATGTAAACCGGCCTTGCCTTCCGTTGCTCGTGCTAACTTGCCGGACTGCAATTCTTTCTCATTCAGACACCAATGCTTTCCAGAACTTCCAAATTATGATTACTGCACATTTATACCTAGCCGTGTCGAGTAGTTATTGCAACCTATCCTCCGCGTCCGGGCCGTCCCATCGTGACGTGCGAAGTGAAAATCAGATTGACTGACTATTGCCCGAGTCTCTCCGTGTATTCACTTCAGCCTCCTTCCCTTTCAATATCGAGACCAGCTCAAACCCTTCGACATCAGCATCTCCGGGCGGCTGCGGAAGTTCCTTCTCAGGAGGAACGTCCGCCTCGTCCGTGTCTCTCGCACAATACCGCTCAACAAGCTTCACTATATTCCGCAAAACACGAGATGAGAAGATTCCCTGCCCATGATCATAACCCTCCAACCAGTACAGTTCTAATCCTTCGCCGCTCCACTCGTTCCGCTCCCAAGATTTCCGGTCTGCCCACGACCACTGTAGATCTGGTTTCGACTCCACGGATGCAGGATCTGGCTGAGGCGCTCCTTTCGTGATATATGCGGCGATGGCTTCCGCATTCACGAGGCAGTCATCACTTCCGATTACGATGGTCGTAGGGACTCTGAGAAGGTCTTCTTGCCAGAGTATGTGGCTGCGCCAGCAGAACCGTTTCGCGAGTGTGAACGCGATGTCCGGCTCTGTCATTGCAGCCCACGCGATCTCTATCTCATTGGGATGCACTGGTGCTCGACTCGTTGCATTGTACGCTAAGTCCGGGATGTGGAGCAGGATGGCGACGGGGTCCATGAGGACAATACGTGCCATGCGGCTTGCGAGGAAGGGGTTTTCTAGGAACAACTTCGTGAAAAAGGTGCCGTAGGAGTTACCGATGAAAACGAACGATTCAATGTTCTGCTGCGTGATTATGTCGCCGATTTCGCGCACTTGATCGGCGGGAAGGAGCCCTGCTTCTGTTATGCGAGACGATATGGGAAGGACCTCGATGGCGAGGATGCCAATGTCCTTTGGTAGCATGAGGAAGAAGGGTATGTAGATGGCAAGGCCGATACCGAGGCCGTGGACGAAGACTATCGGACGGTGCGTAGTAGATTTGTGCGGGCGGTAAAAGTAGCTGAAGTTCGGAGAGGCTGACTGTTTGGGCGCGAAAAGCGTGAGTGGACGGAGTGGAAAGGTCTTCAAGAACTTGACGCGCGGTTGACGGTAGAAGCTGAAGCCTGATGCGAGTAGGATCATTGATGAGAAGAAGTCTATGGTGCCAATCATCTGAGAACTAGTCAGTAGCCGTCCTGTGGTTTGGAACAGCAGGATTACCATGTAGTAGGTCAGACTTCGATGCGAGACTGAAAACTTCCGGAAGTTCAGTCGGACACAGCTTACAGGTCCCCATCCAGGCCTAATATTCCTCCCCAGCGTCTCCTCAACCGTCTCGACATATCCTTCTAGCTCCTCGTCGTCTTCTCCCGGCGGACCTTCTCTGTCAAATAATGCCCATAGTAACCACTCTTTCACGTTTTCCCTTCTCAAATCTTCCAAATTTGCCCCACACATCCATTTTTTGACATAGAGCTCAATATCCGAGGTCACGGCTAGACTCCTATCGAACAAGTCTTGTCGATGTTCTCGATTCAATGGCGGAGGAAACAACGCTTTCTTTTTGCGTAGATAAGAGCAGTACGGTAGAAACCAGAAGAGGTAGAACAGGATTTCGATCGCACCGAGAACTTCTATCGCGATGGAAACAGGGTGCGCAATCAACCTGACACCGCCAATGGACAATACCAGGTAGAAGTATGCGAGGCAAACGAGGCCAAGGTAGCTGAAGAAGTATATGACTGCTTTGACGAGGACATACTCGAAAGTGGATCTACCGAGCAGCATGGTTTAGACAGACGTCCTTCCGGTGGATAAAGTCATGAGGCGGACGCAGGAGTCTCGGACCCGGTGTATAGGTGGTTGACTTTGAGATTGGGCTGGAGCGGGCGCGTACATGGCGTTGTGGACGTCTTGGTGAACGTGTTTCGTCTATGATAAGCTAGAGTGGGATGGTGAGGGGGCTGATGTTTGAAAATAGTGACGATGGTCCTGATTCGTCGGTGGGGGCTTCTGATTTGCATTCACATCCCCATTTGGTTTCGGTTTGACTGATGCGACATTTGAGACGTGGCATCGGAGAGTTATTCGGTTCCTATTGCGTGGTGCAGGGTGTAGCGCCTTTCCGCTTTGAGATGTGGATGCGGGGACGGGGATTTTGGCGATAAAAACCCAAGGTTTCAGTTCGGTTCGTTTGACATGTGTGACAATGTGCCACTGCTTCGGCTTGCTCGACCACTAACTTCTCTCACTACGAACGCAAATGTTCTGTACCCTCGCCGGTCTAAGTTCGAAAGACTTGTGGCCAGTAAGGCACGGACATGCCTTAAACTAGAAGGAAAATTACCTGGAACCATTAGAGACAGTGCAAGAATAAGCAGCTCTGCATCCGAAAGTACTTTATGACTTCGTATGGCTCTTCTCGTCTGGACAGTAAGAAAACTAGTGACCGTAAACTCAAGTAATGTCGTGGCGTCATATTGGACTGAAGATGTACGGCTATTTCATAATCTGGCCTTCTCTTCCTCGAAGTCATTTAGATCTAGTCGAGTCCTATTTCGAGGACTCTCGCCGAATTCCTTCGCCCCTCGCTCTTCCAGCTCAACCTCATTCTTCCACTTCCACGCTCTATCCTTCTCTTCGCCGTTACTCTTCCCATACAGCACATTCAGCAAATACTTTCCCGCATTTGGCATGAACTTATATGAATGGAAACTTCCACCGACTGCAATGTACAGATTCTTCAATCGATCGTCTGGATGTCGTGACAGTACCCAGTCTTCGGTCGGCGTGACGGCATCATAGCACATCCGCCAGCGATCGGGGCTTCGTGTCTTGGTCCATTCTGGGATACTGTTCTTGATGACTCTTTCGCTCTGCTGAATGAGCCTTGCTGGGACTTGCATCTGGTTCTTCTTACTTGGTGCGCTGATGCGCCGCCCAGCTGCGGTGGTGGTGGTATTGGTGAACTCGGTCTTGAGGTCGTTGACCTTCAAAGTCGGTATGTGATAGTAAGGTGGGATGATGTCAACTTCACCACCAATTACTACAATGGGGAGCTTGGTCTCCATCAGATGGTTCGCTTCTTCTTCGCTGAGATCGTAGTACGCTGATAAGCGGCCGACAGCTGTAACTTGCCGCTCGATTCGATCCTTGTCCGCAATCTTGAGTATGTCTTCGAGCGGTGAGAGCAGGCTGCTTGTCCAGGCTCCGGCTGCAAGGACGACTTTGTCTGCCTTCAATATTGTTCCATCTTGCAACCTCGCACCTTCCAAGCCCGTGCCATCATCTCGGAACAGGATTTCTTCCACCTCACCGGTGACTCGTTTCGCGCCCTGACTTTCCGCAACCCTCAAATACGCCTTCGTCGCTTTGGCGGCATTTACCCACCCCCGCCTCGGGGTTGAAATACCCCTCTTCCCTAACTTCTCGCCGTCTAGACCTTTTAGAATCTCATGGTCCTTGATCAATTCATCCGCGTGGACATCTTTTACGACATTGGATCCCCTGTTTCCAAAGGTCTTGTGAACACCGTCTCGAAAATGCCGATTTTGCTCAGGACCATCGAACACCGTCCAGCCTGCTTTATGGAAGTGGCCCTGAACTTCCATGTTCCAGAACCAGAAATGAATAGCTTCATTGGCCAGATTACAGTATAATGGTGAAGTGTAGTCGGTCCGGATAATCCGGTTGATGTCTATTGCCGCAGCGTTTTGGTCTTGTACAGGGCCGTCCGGCGACCAGCGGTCGACTATTGTGATCTTAGAGGCGTCGGTGTAGGCTTTTGAGGCGTGCACGGCAAGGGAGGTGCCGAAGGTACCCGCGCCAATAATCAAGAGGCTTGGTTCATGCTCTTCCTGCGCCATTACCAATAAGCCTTTCTCTTCTTAAGATCTTTGCGTCCTTCTACTACATTTTCAAAGGTGAGGACAATCGATTTTAAAAATCTTTGCTTCGAATTGGCTAGCCCCGCATCATGGTGCGGATCCGGCGTGCGGAGGCGATCGATCTTCGATCCACGTCGAGTACACGGACATCGCTCCGCGAGTTATGGATCGACCTCCACACTTTCTACTCAACAATGAAGATGACCGGCATGTAGGTTGCCCAAGTATAGAGACACTAGACATCCACTCATATAGACTAACACTTATTTGTTCAGATTCATCTCATCGTCCTGCTCAATCTTCGTGGTTTTGAGCTCCTTGTGCTAAACGAGGCACTTGCTCAGCTACCAAAACAGGCCGTGCTTGCCTTATACGGGCGCGCGCGAAGTCTCGACTTTCTCAACCACCGCACATGCCGCGATCAATTAGCAATCTATGTTACTCAATCAAGAAGGTCGAGTACCAATGTAGTGTAATCACCTACACACGGCAAAGCGCACAAGCGAAGACATCGCGACCGTTCACCGAGAGAGATACACTTCTTTACTCTTAGAGAACACGCATGTCGCTTCTCGTGGAGGCTTTTCACTTTGCTCGGTGAGACCGATTGTCATGCGGTTTTAGTGCGAATAGATGTCCTCACAGGCTCTTGAGTGAACTTTAGTATGTGCAAACTTAAACATGTTCGCCCTGACCCTTTCTTGTGCTGCACTCTCCAATGAAGTTAGTGATACACACGCACTCACTCTAAATGAACAATCATCAACGACCTTAGGTCTTCGAGACAGCTAATACCTGTGTTTCCTTTTCGACCACAAAATCACTTCAGACTATGAGCGCACATGTTTTGTCACATAAATCGCGCTCATTGTATGAACAGGAACTCATCTAACGCAAGGCGCAACCGCCCTCACCAACGCCTCTCCGCCCAGTTGCCCTCTATCGCACCAACCAGCCGTGAAACCCACAGAGACTCCTGACAGTAATTCAACAGATCTTTTCCGGCGCTATCGCTCTATGAAACCCCAAATAAGAGAACATATAAAGGAAGACAACAACTCAGGGATCAAGAATAGACATCTTCACATTCTCCTCGTTCTCCCCTTCACCAGCCCACCCCCGCCACCCTCCCCTCCCTCCCCGGCTTTTCCTCATCTCCACAGATACCCTAAACCATGTCCCTTGCCCTCACCGGATCCGCAAACGGATTCACTGGCTCCTCAAACGCTGCAGCCACACAACTCCAACCCTCCGAGTCTGATCTTCCGTGCACTTCATCCGCCCATCTCTGGTTACCCACACATCCTGACTGGTTCTCCCTGTCCTCCACCGGCGCATCGGCTGGGAGAGGTGTGCTCACCGCGGCTTCGAGATGCTCGTGGTCGCTGCCGCCGTGGACAGGAGATTCCCTCCTCAGTTGTTGGAGGCGTACATTGGCAGCATGCGTTTGCTGCGCGACGCGGGTGGCGTTGGCGGCGCGATGGATGCCAAGGACTGTAAGAACCACATATATAAACGCCCTAGATCGTTAGTTCTCTGCGTTTGTGGCTGTAGATCTGCTGTGAGAGGAGCACTTACCCACATCCGCACGTAATCACAATCACCGCCCTAGCTTCCAAACATCCGATCCTAGTCCATCCTTGCTTCCTGATCTGTGCTCCTCTTGCTCTATCAACGAAGCACACATTCCAATCATCCAATGGCTTCTGCGGCCTCTTCCAATTCGCTGGCTTCTGCGGCCCGTACCAATCCACAATCAAGGAGCCGTTGAAATAAAGGTACCACAGCAAATCCAACATCTGACAGAATCCCGCATACAAGGCCATGCGCAGACTCATGGGGAAGGCGCTGAAGTGCCTGTAGACCACGATGCCGGCCATGAAGAGCGTGCAGATGGGCAGGATGAGACTGTAGAGGACTATGAAACTGTTTTTCTTCATTAATTGATTCCCCATCCCCTTATAGTGTGATAACGTACGCCTTACTGTCTGAAGAGCCGAAGTTCCCCACCCATTCCGTCCTCTTTCCAGCAGCCTTGTCATACTGCGTATATACGACAAAAGGAGGACGCATTGCCCGCTCTACGTAATCGAGATCATGTGCATGTGGGCTCTGGCAGGTCTCGGTCCAAATCCTATACTGTAGCAGGCTGGCGAGAATGTATGCTCCGAGCCAGAGCTGGGCGGCGGCGAGGATGAGGGACAGGCATTGGAAGTGGGCTGCGAAGCGGGATATACCTAAGGTATGAGGGTCAGTACCTTTTGCTCAGCTGCATGTCGGAGCTCTCTGGGTCAACTCAAGAGACCATGTATAGTTCAGAGAGATGATGCTTTAGCAGGGGAATGCATGACTAGAAAGAACCTGTAGCACCCAGCGATATCACTTACCTGTCCACTGCGTCGACCCAGCCGCGGTCCAGTGCCTCTTCAGGCAGGAAGGTCGTTGAGTCACTGGAGGCGGCATCGTGAATATGGAGGGTGTGTGCGTTTGGGTTTGGACGCTGTATACTGTATCCTGGACGCACTTAACGTAGAATGGAAGTTTGCTTCTCCAAAAGTTTGTGTTTGTGCAAGCTGCCGCTACAGTGCGCAGCGTGTGTGGTAATAGGGTCCGCCCTGAGCAGGCGAGCTTAGGTACCGTGGATGGCGGTGGATCGTTGGGATCCCACATGGGACGGTCTACCCCGCGAAGATGCACGCGTGAAGATGTGATGAACATGAACAAGGGAAATAGTCAATAACTACGGGGAAGCTGGTCTCGCTGCTACATACGTGATATTCAATATAAGCACTCAGAAACATACACAGCGCCCAAACCAAATACAAATTCAGCATATCCACTTCATTCACAGGCGGCTGCGGGGCAAATTGGGAAAGTAGCGGTCGGGCAGCCGGTTGCCGTACTCGTCATAGCGGTAGTCTTCCTTCTCCTCGACCCAGACCTGTGGCACGTTAGACTCTCTCATCCAGCCTTTTCGTTTCCTGGGCGGGGTGGGGATGTGACTTACCTCACGCTCATACTCGGGATTCGGCGGCACTATTTGAATGTCACGATTCAGCAGCTCTTCGTCTCCGAAGCCAGGATCGCCCTCGAACTTACGTCGGTAGTTCGCTGCACCGGAGGGCTGAGGCGCCCCGTATTCAGCGTAGTCGTTGTATCTGCTGTACTGGCCGGAAGGAGGCCCGCGCGACTCACTCTGCATCCAGGTGTCACGTTCTGGGAGGCGGTCTTCAAACGATTCCGGGCGGCGGCCTAGAGGCTCGTTGATGCGGCGCTCCTCGTAACGCTTCTCCTCATAGCGGTCGGGTCCGCGCTCGTAATAGCGGGCCTCGACGTGGCGCGGGTCGCGGGGATCTCGCTCAACGTGGAGGCCACGCTCCACGTGGCGGTCGTCGTGGTGGCGATGGTCCTGGTGGTGGGCCTCGTAGTGAGACTCGTAGCGGGGATCGCGACCTTGCTCGACGTAGACTTCGCGCTCGTCATAGCGGCGAGGACGGCCGTGCTCATCTACCCACGTTTCGCGCAGATCGTAGTGACCTGGTCCGCGTTGTTCGTGCTCGACGTAGTGCTCCTCGACTTTGCCAGGTCGGCGGCGCACAGTGTCATGCTCGGTCCACTCCTCACGCTCCTCGATCACTCTTCTTGGGCCATGGTCGTCCCGCTCGACCCAGACTTCCCTCTCATGCCTGTGCGGGCCCTCGTGTCTGACGTCGATATCGATGTCGACGTGCTTGTCCACATGCACATCGTGGCGTGAGTCATGGCGGTCATGCTTCTCATGCTTCTCATGCTTGTCGTGCTTGTCCTTCGATTTCTTGGTGCCTTCTGGTTCCAGCGCCGTGAGGTAGCCGATCACCTCAGTCAAACTGGCATGCGCGATCGAGACTTCCTTCTCTCTGTTCTCGAGCTTCTCTTTCTCGCTGAGGAGCCAGTACACACGGTGTCGCAAGCCAACGCGGCGGCCCTCCTCAACATCGCTTCCCACGCGCTCAGTGTGCGGCGTGATATTCTCGAGGGCACCGCGCACATCGCGCATAGCGCCGTATACCCATTTGGCCTTCTCGGGATTCGCTTCGAGCGCATCGTGAACCTCTTTAACGGCGAGCAAGCGGCGGACTTCATCGAGGTCCTATGGAAAAGTACTCTATTAGCAGCTGTGACATTGGCGAGGTGAACGGACTTCTTACAGATCGCACGCGGCCAATCAAGCGCACATAAACAGCGTTCGCAGGGCCAACATCGCGCAGACGCTTCGCCTTGTACAGGAATTCTCCAAGCTTGTAGGCACCTCCGAGGGCTGCCGCAGCACCGCCGGCGGACAGCAGCTTCCCCAGATCGTTGTTTCCTCTGGCCATGGTAGCGGAGAGACGCGGTCAAACGCAGCTGCGAGGGCGGCCGGTGGTCGTTGGACGAGAGGCTGCCTCGGTGGGCTCAATTCTGAGAGCTGTAGCTTGTGAAGCTTCGAGTATTGTGTCGCAGCATGCCGCGCACGCTAGGGGACGCTGGCGGTGGTGTTGTGGTGGTGATGGAGCTGTTGTTGTCAGCTAAACTTGGGGGCTGGGGATGAGCTCTAACCGCATGAAGAATCTCGTAAACTCCATTCGGCGAGCGGCATACGGGGTGCTCCAGGACTTCAACGACATCACTACCGACACGAACATCAAAAGTGATCCAACATCAACAGTTGATATAATCTAGTCTACTCCAATTGCATGGGTCCTTGATGTTCACCTTCCATACTTCGCGATGAACGCCCTTACTTTCGGATCACTCAAACTCAATTCGTTTGTCTCGGCACTCAGCAGCTGCTCGGTTGCATCGTCCAATTTTCTGTCCATCTCTTCCAGCTCCTTCTCTAGCTTCGTGTCCATCAAGTTGACTTGCTGGAAGGGAGTGTGCTTGTACAGCGGACCGAAAATCGATCTCAAATCAGCATTCGCTATACTGAGCCGGTCGGCGAGCTCAGCTTGAGTCGATGTCGTAGCGCAACTGTAATGATCCTGTAGCTTTTTTGACCGTTCAAGCTGAACCTTGGTCAAGGATTCTTGTAGAGCTTCGATGCTGTCTTGGTTGAACGAGATGCTGGCGTGTCGAAGCGCATCCTGCAGAGCCGGTGGCAGGTCCAGAGCTTTCGTTGGCTTCAACTTCAGCGCAGGCGAGAAGATGGAGTTTCGGCCGGACTTTGTTCGACGAATCTCTGGTCTTGATACATCTTTGCTCGTATCCAGCATTCGCTTCGCCGCAGCTTGGCTAATGTGAGCAAATGCTTGTTGAAATTCGTCGACGTTTCTAGTGTGGTCATTGACGGTGTCGAGGCGTTTGGCCATGTAGTCCAAGGTGGTGACTACGTAGTTGAGCCAGGCACTTCGAGCTTGGATAGTGTCTCGCTCTTTCCGACTTCTCATGTCCATCATTGGCTTACGCAGCTCATGATCCACCACCATCTCGGCCACAGAGGCAATTTCGGTATGCAGATCTTCAAGCTCAGCCTTTAAAGCTGCCTTTCGCTCTTCCAGCTCTTCTTCGGATGTAGTGGGAAGGCTCTCAAAGGAATAGTCAGTCAAGCTGGTGAGGTACACGGTGTCTACCTTGGCTTTGATCTCTGCTGTGCGGTACGAGATGATGGCTTTGCACCATTGCTCGATGGACTTTTCATCCTCGCCGACTTCAGGCTCAGTAACGATTTGAGAGACGATACCCGGCAATCGACTCAGTATCTGGTCGTCTGAGGCGAGCCGCTCTGTGAGGTAGCTTTTGAGGGTAGATTTCACGGCGTCGATGTCGCGCTGGATATCAGCGAGCTGTTCGCTAATTGTGGTAGACACATCGTTGACCTATAATGTTCAGCACATCGGATCTCAAGTGGTCAAATCCACTTACAGTTACATCAAGCCTCGCCTTCTCTTGATGCTCCTTGCGTCTCTTTTCGCTGCGTTGATGCTCAACATCCCAATTCGGCCTATCAAGAGCCTTCAGTTTCATGAGCGCATCTTTCTGTGTCTCGAGCACTCTGCACTGCTCTTCAATTGCTGCAGTCGACGTCTGCAATGACAGTATCGCCGAAGCTACCTCACGGTCCATGAACGGACGGACAGGTTCTTCTTCCGCCTCATACTGATGCAAAATACCCTTCTTCTTCAACGTTTGATAACTGACGCGTGTGAGTTGAATGACTAGCACTAATTCGAATACACTCACAGTTCCAGCTCTTCAGTTGTCAGAAGCGTATCCTCGTGCAAATACTCTTCAACCCATGCCGCAGCCTCCCTCTTTATGTCATCGTCTTCGAATGCCAGAAGAACGTTGTCGAGATCCAAATGCGCATCGAGACCCCTCTCCTCCAAAACATTCAATAAGTGATGTGCCGCCTGCTCTTCAGCCATGGCGGGAGAAGCTTCGTGGTGTTGTTGATTCGAATGTTTGGCGGTGAGCACCAAACAAGTTAGCTTGCTGTACCCACTCCGGCGCGCCGGACCTGCGGTTCGCGCAGTCGCGCTTTCCCACGGTGCCACGGCCTGACGCGTAGCGCGACTATGCAACGCTGCAACACTCTTGTACCTCCACGTCTCTCTCAGTCTACAAACAGCATGTCGCCTTCTGCCATAGAGCCCGTAATCACGCCCTCGCACGCCCCAGAATCCGCCAAGGAAACGCCCACAAGTGGCTCCTCATGCACAACACCCCACCCCACGCACGAAGAATACCAATATCTGAACCTAATTCGCGACATCCTCGACAATGGCGAGCACCGCCCCGACCGCACCGGAACCGGCACATACTCCATCTTCGCCCCGGCACAAATGAAATTCGCCCTTTCCCGCCCCTCCCCGACCCCTCACAACCGCCCGAGCTCATCCTCCCCCTCCTCACCACAAAGCGCGTCTTCCTGCGCGCCGTGATCGGAGAGTTGCTCTGGTTCGTTGCTGGCACCACATCGTCTAAACCCCTCTCAGACGCTGGCATAAAGATTTGGGACGGCAATGGCAGCCGCGAATTCCTTGACAGCGTGGGGCTGTCGCACCACGAGGAGGGAGACCTAGGGCCTGTATATGGCTTCCAATGGCGGCACTTCGGCGCAGAGTATAAGGGACATGATGCAGATTACACGGACCAGGGCGTCGACCAGCTCGCCGAGGTCATCGACAAGCTGAAGAACAAGCCATACGACCGCCGCATCATCCTCAGCGCGTGGAACCCTGCAGACCTTAAGAAGATGGCGCTCCCGCCGTGCCACATGTTTGCGCAGTTCTACGTATCGTTTCCGAGGGCGAAGGAGGGCGAGGAGAAGAAGAGGGGCGTGCTGCATAGTATCCTTTACCAGAGGAGTTGCGATATGGGACTCGGCGTGCCGTTTAATATCGCAAGTTATGCACTTCTCACGCATATGTTGGCGCATGCTTGCGATCTTACGCCTGGGACGTTCACGCATACCATGGGCGATGCGCACGTCTATGCTGATCATGTCGATGCGCTGAAGGTGCAGCTCGAGAGAGAGCCGAGGGAATTCCCGACATTGAAGATCAGCAAGGAGATTGGGTGCTCAATCGATGGATGGAAAGCGGAAGATATTGAGGTGCTGGGATATAAGCCGCATGCGACGATCGCGATGAAGATGAGTGTATGATTATATGAATATTGATAAACGGATGGGTAGGGTCAAGGATTGGAAACTTGTATACATTGGGATTTAGGACCGCAGTCTTGCTACATATTGCGTCTATGTTTGCATTTTTCAGGAGTATTATACCAATACATAATGTATGCCATTTCATCGCAATCTGAAAGGCTCGCGAGGTCGGGCGTAAAGAGGGTGGCTTGCTTCGCGTGCAACCAAACAACTCCATAGGCCGCCCTGCGTAAACGACAGTAGAGCCCTTGCCTATGCACCTTCATCATTGGGTGTTGGAAGCACTATCAATAAAGACGTATCGTAGGTGGGAAACTTGAAGAGGGACGGAAAGACCGCAGGATGTGCAGTTCAGCGAATGGCAACAGTGGCAGAAGCGAACAAGCGCTGCGCTATGCTGCAACAGTTCTGCATGTTTTGCCGGGCGAAACCTTATACTCCATTCGGTTGATAGAGTAATTTACACTACTACGTAGATCTGGTATGCTGTCTGTTTTTTCTCTCGACTGGTTTGTAATTTGCTCTACTGCTACCCGCTTGTCCTTACATCTGTTAATAGTCTTTCCTCTGTCGGAACGGTCTGAACTCGCGTTGAGACTGATCACGACAGGAGTGCCGCCCGTCGCTTCACCAATAACCCCACGTTCACTAATAGCGGCTCCACCGCAATCTTCTGTCTCAATAAAACAGGGTTGCAACTGACCCTCAAGCTTACCGGCCAAAAAGGCCTCGAATTTAAAGACAACTACGGCGGAGGCAACACCTACACGCCGAAAGATCCTCATTACGGTTCTGAAATCGAAGACCACACCACCATCGCCCTCGACACATCTGACGCGAATGTTCCAAAGTCTAGAAGGGCCCACGTAAGCGAAATCTCTTTCGAGAAGGTGCCGAACTCGGTAGGGAGCGGAAGGCCACTGCTACGGATCCCTCGACTGAATATACAAGTGCGAGTGCAAGAGCAAAGGTCACTGCTACCAGGACCGTAGGCGCAGGGTGGAGCATGTGCTACTAGATTATTACTATTGTGGTAATTGTTTTGTCGACATCTCTTTCCTAAGTTTCAGGATGTTGCAGCGGAGCTTATGTGGACAGGATTACGGAAGAAATTCGGTAGAGCATGTCTATAACCAACCTAATACTAGAGATATCTGGGCAAGGACGTTTGCGCAGAGATTATATACTTGAACATCCAATATCGTACTGCTCGGCCTCTCAAAGAAGCGTGAAGAGGATAAGAAATCGTAGTTTATCGCAAAGAAAAACAGATGCTCACCCACATGCCTGCAAAGCTAGATAAAGCCTTTTCCATGTTAGCCAGGTTCAAGTGGCCCTGTGTAACCCATTGACGTGAAAGAGCCTAGCGCTCGCTTACGTGAGGCATGATCCCAAGACTGCAAGGTGGTACGAGGTACTTCAAGCGCCAAACTGTGCCTCGAAGTTCGAAATCGCGGTTCTTTCCAAAAGTTCACTCAGAAAAAAAGCCATCCATGCCGTAACAGGAATCACGATGTCAGCAGCGTCCGTCCACCCCTTCTACCGCATCTGGTTCACCATCATCGACCCCTTCATCCTCGTCCTCACAGTTCTCGCCTGCATCTTCTCCCCCTCTACCTTACTGGAAACATCCATCCCCCCCTCTTTCGCCACCTACGATCCTCTATCCCACAGCCCGCTCCTTTATCAAGCTGCAGCGCTGTATGCATTCATGGCTATCATCTTTGGAGTCATTCTGCGCGCGTCTGACGACTTGAAGGTGTGGAGAATCGTCCAGTTTGCGACGTTAGTCGTTGATATTGGGCTTTTGGCAACGATGTGGGCGATGTTGAAGCAGCAGGGGAGGCTTGATGTGGGCAAGTGGCGGGGCGGGGATTGGTTCAATGCGGGGTTTACAGTATGGGTTGCCTTGATTAGAGTGGCTTTTTTGGGGTGTCTGGGTATTGATGATACGGGAGGAAATAAGGTGAAGAGAGGCTAGGAGATGTATTGGACTGGGGAAAGTTCGCTGCAGCCTTTGACTTCCGGGATACGGACAGCGCGATAGTAGCTCGAGGCATCTGCAAGTCATTCTAGAGAATCTTCGACATTCTATCACGGAATCTAAGATTGAGCTTTCAAAACGGTGGCGGGCCGAACGACAAGATGTCCCAACGATTCCCAGAGCTGTGGGCCTGGACGACGCCTCGCGACGAGATTCGCCGTCAACGCAGCAAGTGGCACATGGCTGCGGGTTATCTGCGACCTACTCCGGGGATAGCGCGGATTCCGAGGACTATGGGAATAAGGTACCTTTTGATGCGAGGGAGTTCTGGGACAATGTCATCACGAAGTGGATCCGGCGATGAAGGATGAACTCTGCGACATCCTTTTTCTTCTTCAGCGGGATCTGCCCACTATGCAAGAGCTCCCACCGGAAAAGCCATCGTTCCTCATCGAGACACCGCCGAAGGCGATGCCATTGATACCTCCACCTATATATCTTCCCGGCTTGAAGGCCAGCATGCATTTGTTCGACGCCATACGATGGGCGTATCCTATCGTGTGTTCACAGAACTACGTTGCACTCGGGTGTCTGGGCATCACGAAACGAGTACTCAACTGGCCACTCAATGTGGGGCTGTGGGTGTTCGATGTTGAGAAGCGGTTCCGTGACGCAAGATATCGACGAATTGACGCCATCTATAGTTGGTTCGAGAAACAACGTCGACTTCAGTTACGGCAGCAAGCAAACGCGTAACAACTAGCGACATCTCATACGGTTTGGGGACTAAACTGGGGAAAAGTAACCTTCTCTCTGGAGTTATCGTATTCGAACGGCATGAGATGTATTTTCAAGGCTTATACAAGATAGAGACATCGAATAGCCTAGACTTCCTTTGATCTGGAAACGTGGTAAAACGGGAGTTAATTATTGAAGCACTTCCTTCCTTTAGCTGCATGCGATGTTCTGATTGCGGCGTATCGTGGCCCCAGTGCTTACTATGGGAAAGCTCTTTTGGAGGACGTATCCATCTAAGCTAAAGACGTGACCTCGAATGACATCACAGAATGTTCCAATCCTGCGGCGAAGCCAATTTGAGGGCATACCTGCCATTGAACGTCGAAGTTTGGTTGAAGAGGCACGGGTTTTAACCATCCAACAAACAGCTTTCCGAGATCGCAAAGCTCAACAACGCTTTCGTGGTGGCCATACGCAAACTTTGTGTTTTCAAGACAAACTAACTTGCATGCATAGTAATAAGAATGAACTACTACCTTTTCCAAATTAAGGCGTTCCATCACTGCATCCACGCCCGGGACGAACATCCCCACGTACCTCTCGCGCCTCGGAAGCATACAAACCGACTCAACTCAACACCATGAGCTTCAAACTACTCGTGAAAGTTCTTATTCTGGATGGCAGACTCTTTTATGCAAAGGTTCATACATGCTTTCTTGACTTCGTACTCTTCGTACTCCACGCAGTCATCTCGTCTCACCATGTTATCGAACGCAGAATGAACTGGTTTCGCTGCTTTATGAAACGCATTTGCGGATGGTTCTAGCTGTTATGTTCGATGCCTCGATGCGTCGAACTTTTGAGTTATTGCGTTGTACAGTCTGTTGCATATCATAGTCGCGAAATCTTTTATCAAGGTCTCAAAAGATTGTGAGGGATAGATAGCAGATAGGACGGCTTTCATGGGACGTGTTATGGGGTCCTTTGGGGTGCAGTTGTAAGAGAGCAGGAATCTGAGAATCAAGATACAGAACCTGCATCGCCTTGGCGAGGGCTCTTGTGTATTCCACGTTCGCTGCACGGCAGAGCACTACAACAAGCTTATAATGGCCTTTTAGAGAGTTTGTCTTCATATCCCTATATGGCTAGCTTCATTAAACCAGGGACAACAGTATGTCACATTTTTCCTGCTGTTCGTTTGAGGAGTACAATTATACAAATACATCAATGAGTGAATCGAAAAGATTGTGTTCCTAGTCGTGCGAGATCCACAGATCCATAAACACAGTGGCGTGAACACAAATGAGTGGATTAGCGCCCAGATCATAACGACACATTTGGCTCGAGGCTTCAGTGTCTCAAGGATAAAGAGGCAAGACCGTGCTACACAGCCGAGCATATTGCGTTGCCACGCAGAATGTGATAACATGCAGAAAGCGAACGACCTCCCAATAGGATGATGCGAGGAGGGACTCGCTAAATCCCAATATGATGGTTGAATTGTGCCCCATCCAGTAGTTGGAGCTTAGCGACCAGAGAAGAATATAAAAAAAGACGCGAGCGATTTAGCGACGCCCGACAGAGTAGACAGTTTCAGCTTGGGCGACAGCCACTCACAAATGATGACGCAGAAGCGGAAGGACCGGATGCACAACCACCTCATCGGGTGTGAAGGAACCGTGTTGCAATATGGCTTTGCGGCAAGACAGGTCTCACCCTGGTGGATAGGGCAATCACGGGTAGAAACGTGCTCTGAAGGTGGACAAGTGGTTTTAAGGGGCTGTGATACCAGCCATGATCAGGTCTGGTCGTTTCGTACTCGATGCACAGTTGTGGTGCACCTCTTGCGGGATGAGCTGTTGGGAAGGCGCACATTCCGGGGAACATCGGGGTGTTCAATGGTCATATGCTGGAAGTGTTGCGATTTCTTTGATGCAAGCCATCCCCTAGTCTTAGCCGCGAGAGCGCGAGGGGAGTGAGACCTGTTATTGTCTTGCACAGCTGTATGGTCTTCAACTTCTGGTAGGTAGGCATCATAGTCCGGGGAAGTCTCCGCGATGAAATTTGGAAGAGAGATCAGCTCGTTAGCCATTTGGGGAATCTCCTTGAAAGGATCGTCCAAACAAGCGTTGAAGGTGTCGGGTTCAAAAAGGGGCGGTGCATCGGCCATGGTAACGCTGTTCCGGTTGTTCGGCGCCGATGCCACCATACCGTTGCTTGTAGGTCCCGTCACAGTCTGGTGAGCACTGTGACTTCCGAATGAGGGGTCGAAACCAAAGTCCATAGGCGAAGGTAGTATTGGAGGGATGATTGGTGGTGCGCTGTACAAAAGCGGAGAAGCCAATCCAGAAGATGGCATCATGTTGGCGAAAGCATTTGCTTGTGCCGAAGGAAGTCCGCTATGGAAGAGTTTAAGCAAGAAGTCTTCCAAGCGGCCTCCGAAGTTGTGGGTCTCCAGTTGCGCTCTCATCGTGCTTGTTGTTTGAGCGTCCCACGTAAGATTGCTGTGAAGGATGTGCAGTTGAGGGCATAGGATGCCGTATACCTGTTTCCAGTGGGCTGATATGTCGCGATGTTTAAGGAGATTTCGGATGGTTCTGTTGTATGTCCAAGACGTGTCGCCTTCGACCATGTGCGTAGCAACATGGTCGCAATGATGTTTCCAGGTTTTCAAGAGCCCGCCTCTACAGTTCTCGAAGCCACATGCGTAGATACGAGGTAATTGCCGAACCTCTTTGCAGTCACGGGGAAATTTCTTGCCTTCGTGGCCTTTCTTGAGGTGATTTCTGAAGTCAAGACCGCGGGAGAACACTTCAGCGCAGCCTCTGACCTGGCATATCCATTGAAGACCGGTCCCATCATGATAATCCTCCTCGTGGCGCTTCCAATCTTGCTTTGTCTTGATGATCTTCTGCATGCCTAATTCTAGGCAGAAGGTACAGATAAACTGCTTTGGAGCCAGGTCTGCGCTGTTAGGTTCATTGAGAGGTTCGTGCAAGGCTCCTTGGCCTATGGATGACTGAAGCTGGCCTGGATCACTGGAGGCGATGTGCATAGGCCACACAGGAAGTTCGGTCGAGTATAATGGGGAGCAACCGGGTACATCATCGTGAGAGATCGGAAAGCATGGTTTCCAGTCGCTGCAGATCGAGCTCGCTACAGGAGTAGACCGTCCGGACGGATACAGTGTGGAAGCATTCGAACAGTACGTAGTTCTCTGGGCTTCGAAAGGACGTTGGTCTAATTCTTCACAATTAGCAAGATGGCCCAACTGCAGGGAGAAGCACTTGAACCTTCTGCACTCCCTGCATGGCCATGTTCTGCCAACCTTTCTGCCAACGTGTCATTGATCTTTTGTTGTAAGAACCGAAGTTGAGAAGCGTCCAGCTCAACAAGAACCGAGCACCAATATTGATCGTCCATTCTCCGTCAACGTTCAGGGTCCGATGCAGGTCAAAGAGAGCAATCAAGCTTTGCAATCGATGATAACAATAATAATAAATGGTCTTCTGATCACCAACTTCGTCAAAGGGGCGTATAGAGGCTCTTGCTGGAAAAGGAATGGCTGCCGCTGATCGAAGGCGATTTCCGATTGGCGGTTGGGCGCTAGAAGCCAGGATTCGCGGGTGCAGGCGCTGAAAGGGGAGTGACTAAGGAGCGACGAAGAACAAAAATGAACACCAAAATAAAGACCGTGGACCGGAATGAGTGAGTTGGTGTCTGCATCTTGCTCGCGTGGCCTCGTAGGTTATAACATCTAGGATCGAGGGCCCTAGTTTGCTCTGAGACAAGCGTGGGCGTAATTCTCAGGTGGGACACAGCCCGGTGACCATGACGCCCCAAGATCTCGTACTGAACGCAATTGCGATACCAGATGTACGTAGTCCTGCGCCAGCATTGCTCTGTAAGAAAATACAAAGACGCAGATCACTAATGAGCCATGCGTCTGCGAAAGCAGGGGAATCGGACAGGTCTTCCAGTCTATCACAGCAGCGAACGGTGAATACTGAAGGAAGTAAAACCAATTTCTTGGCACCCACCTTCATAGATTGGTTTGGGTCCATGTGCAAAACCTTGCCACTCGCTCATGAGCAGCTATCATGAAGCGCGAAGGTAGAGAAATGAGGATCGAGAGGAACCTCATGACTCTCGATAATGCATGAAACTACAGCATGCCGCAGAGACGCTAGTCGCTAAAGAGCACCATGCAGCAGGACGTTAACGCAACCAGGTCAACTCTGCAGAATTGGATTTCCTTGATTTTGTAGGTGGTAGCATAGCCAGGGGTGGGATCTGGTTCACCGGTGTCATAAGTCGCTTTACGTAGCCCACATAAAGGCTCCCTTGGTATTAGCTTCGCGTCGACCGGGAAAGATTGAGCAACAAGTAATGTCGTGCTTCTCGGTACTGACTGCAGTATAGCGATCGTACTCAGCGACAGGGCGAAACAGGCGGTGTAACTAAACGGGAGATAGCGGAGTGTGGGGACGTTGTCAACCCCCGTTTACCACGTGGAAGCCCGGGATTCAGAGAAGTCAGAACCCTCATTCTTGGACGTCATGTGTTGGGTGATCGACTCTCAATTGTAGTGATGTTTCGTTAGCAGTACCGCAAACAAAGGGGCGTGGAACAACGTGCAGCACCGTGGAAGCGAATGCATACGTAGAAAGATACTGAAAGTGCCTCGCGAGTCGTTCTCGCTAGACCGAATGTGTCTCAAGATGCCTGGTGATCTTCTTGGTGTGATTTTGTTGAGGTTTGAGATTGGTGCCTGCGTCGTGTGGCGTGTCAGCATATCGTTGCCTTCTTTTTCATCTGCCGTAACCTGGGGTTCAGTTAAGGCTGTAGATCTCACATTATGAGCGGTGAGGGACACACTAAAAAGCCAATATGTATTGATCGCATCCTCGATGACATTCTTTTCGTTGGGAGGCCACAAGGCTCGCCCCCACAACATCCGTCCCGAGCCGAGCCAGCTAGGCGCCGCAATCGTATTCATGCGGCGCGGTCACACAGACTGCGACCAACGAGAGATTGCGCCATCCGAAAACTGTCCGTGCTCGACAAGTGAGGCGGAGCACTGCAGAAGGGTAGGGCGGTAAGACAGTGCATGTACATGGGTAGGAGTCATGGGGGAGAGGGCAGGAAAGCTGTTGTTGAGTTGTTCCTCGAAGGGAACGTGCTAGTCCCTTTCTGTATAACATTATTTGCCCTTCGATCGCGTCGAAGTTTCAACTTCAGCCTAGCAGGAGACACTAAATGCACCGCAGAGTTATTGACCAGATGTGTTATTCTTTACGCCTTGTTTACGCGAAGATCGTTCTAATCGAACGTGTGGGGTCAAGATATTACACATCCTGTGTTTATTCGAAGGTCACCGCGAAAGCAAAGGCTCGATCTGTTTGGTCACGCATCGATCTTGAGAAGCTGCTGCTCGATGCTGAGGCTTACATTCTACATGGATTTAGACGACCGAAATATTCAACTATCCGAAGCTTATCCGCGTTTCCCAGATCCAAAGCCCATTCCGGAACCTCAGCAAACAACATCTATCCCTTCGCGTACCAACGGGTTTACCTGTCGACACTCACCACTAAGATCTCCACCTCCTGATGCACAGTAGCCTTGTCCACCTTCCAGACAACGCGCCAACCACGGCCTTCCTTCGTCTTCACCGCGTCCCAAGCTCCCGCTTCAGCTCTTGGCCTTAGGATCTTCTTCTCGCCCTCTTGTTGGATGATCCAGCTCAGTGTGTCGCAGCGAAGACCTTGCGGACAATCGCGATCCCCGAAGATAGTAGACCAGCCCATGACGATGAAGTCATTCGGCGCGGGGAGAACGTACTCTGCGACGAAGTAGATGTCGAGCCAGTTGGTGCTGTCTGGATAAACGCTGCGTAAAGTTAGCGAAATTGATTTTTAGGTCTGTAACACGAGAGACGCTGAGACGTACCCAGCGAGGCTGTAGCGGGAGCCTTCCGAATCGCCGAACTTTGAGAGATAGACGATCACGGGGTCGGACGGAGGATGGATTGTGAAGTTCTCAAGGCCGAAGGAAGGTGCTAGGTGGATTGTCGACTGGGGAGTGTGGTTCTGAGGCACGCCGTCGATAGTGCACTCGGTGAGGCCAACAATGGGACGGTCTTTGAACATGGGCGGGTTTCCTGAGCTGTGGGAGCTGTCAATCAAACTCTGAAATCTCTGCGGGAGGGGCAACTCACACTGAGTTCACGTGGAGGGCCCATTTGGCTTCGAGCGGGTGAATAACAACAGCTGGAACCGCCTCATACTGAGCTGCTGAAGCCGCACGCACAGCGTCAATGGCCACCATACCGAGCGACAGGATGGTGATCTTCTTCATGCTGGCGAAGTCGGACTGGTTATGCCGTCGAGAATAGGTCAAAGTAAATTAAGTAACTTCAAGAATCGAAACAATTTTGATCGTGCGAGATGAGTTGACAGAGAAGTCAAGGGAAGGTGCCAGTGATACACCGCTGTGTTTGACTAAGCTGTAATTTTGTTCGACTCGAGACGCTTCTATCAAGTCGTTTGCTTTGGCGTTACCGTTCGGTTATGTCACTTCGAATAAGGTAATTTCTTCACGCGAAGCTCACCGCTTTCTCGGTGCTTCGCTCGAGGTCAAAGCAGAGCAGTCTCTAAGTTGTAGTCAGCAAAACTTCATTCGCAACTTATGATGTACGATCAGCCTTATGAAAAAGAGATTGTAAACCGCTAGCCTGCGTTCTGGAAGCTTACAACAGGCGTCGCTGGGTTGAGTCTGCAGTGTGGCGTAGGAAACTGGAATGCGACGGCCATGGGTTCAACCACGCGTGTGAGGGTCAATCTGTCGCGATTGCCACCATCACATTCCTGTGAAGAGAAGAGAGTGGCCCCTTACAATTTGGTTCAAGATAATGGTATAATCTCCTCACGCCATATCCAATGCCCGTAGACAAAACCTCAGATCAAGCCCCCAATAACGCCGTGCTTCGAAAATGAATAATGGCACCATCCGCCCATCCTTACGAGAGATGCCCAAAGATAAGTTTTAGTTGAGAGGCCAGATCATTATGTCTTGGTATCCCTTGCATGCGCCACGCGCTACCCACGCACGGCCACACAGCAATCCAGCCAGGGGACCATACTATGAGTACTATCGGTATGCGTAGCGCTCAACATTGAGTAATACATTGTACTCAACTCCTGCCCTTGTGCATGACTAGATTAGTCTAGGCTTTTTGGGGCCGGTTGATGCGGATGCTGGATCGAGCTTCGTCTCTCTTAGAGGAATGTGGTCCCCTGAGCAGCATCCGATAGAGTTCAATGGCTCATTGCAGCAAGTCCAAACTTGGGTTTTCTGGGTGCCTTGCGTAGACGTCTTTGTGCGCCCAACATGAAAATAACAAGTTGTTTCCGGCTGGATCTGTTTGTTGCACTGCATACAGACCGAGCTGGCTTTCGGCTCAGGCTTGATCCTGACAGACAAGGCTGGCTGTGTTGGATTCTGATCAGCGGTGGCGCCATAGGTCGAGGAGGACGGTCCGCCAACGGCCTTGGCTTTCGATGAGCCGCTAGGTTGCTCAAGGAGCACCTCCAGGTCGCTCAGACTGTCATCAGTATCGGGTTCAAGGCTGTCTATGCCATATTTTACAGGAGCCTTCGGATGAGGAGTTCTGGGCGATCCATAGCTGCGCTTGACGGGAGACTTCCTTGGAACTGCTGCTGAGGATGACGATGGATTCCCTAACTCTGACTTCACCCGTGGCAGTCTAGCCCTCCTTTGATAGTCCCTAATGGTGTTCTGAGCCCAAATCGAATGGGGCGCCAGACCGCGCGCAACTGCTCCGGAAAGTGCAGGCGAGGACTTGCAAAGCTCGAGCAAGAGGTCGGCGACTTTTTGAGGAGGGCTGCTGTTGATGATCTGGCGAAGATGGGCCGCGGAGACTGAAGGTAGAGGTTGGGGGTTGTTGGTGGCAGTTTGAGATCGTGAAGTACTCGAGGATGCGCCGTTTGTCCTGATTGGCGTTGCGCCTTGCTCTTTATTGAGGTAGGTTGGAAGTCGCTGTTGCCCTGTATGACGCTGGTGTTGTTGAGGCTTAGGCGGAGGCTCCGGCGAAGGCGAGGAGAAGGTGAGATCGACCGTCTCGACCTCATTGCCGGCTAGCCTGCCGTGCGTGTTGCGTTGAAACGACATGGTGGCTCGTGGCCAGACGTCCCAGACGGAAGGGAGGTTGCGCAACGGCACCCCCACGGATGCGAGCGGAAGTGGGGTTGAGAGTGTGGAGGATCGGGTCGGCAAGCTAGCGCGTCCGTGCAAGGCTCAACGGAACGCGTGGCAGGAGCCAGGTCACGTGCCCTTCTCTCACCCCTGGACGCGACCTGGACTCGATGGACCAAATGCTCCCGCTCAGTGCTGGACCTGATACACGCAGTCGCGCTCAGATGGCGTTCGAACGGGCAAAGCCGCTGTCGTGGTCACGACTCGCCGCATCAGCACGGTGCCAAGCGCCTTCCTCATGCGTTCGAGGGTGTCTGGCGGCACAGGTGAAATTCAGGCCACCTCCGTCAGTCCTAGAGATTGCAGAATCATCATCCCAGCGGCCCACTCGACTGTATCCGCGCTATCTCCAGACACACAGACGGACGGGTGGAGGTACCTGATGGATCCCAGGTGCATCCCGCAGGCGCACCTGGAAGCTCACGAGGGGCTCGATGAGTGCAGTCTTCTCGCAGCGCGTGGGCGTTCCGGCGGCAGCAGACACCTCACAATGGTCGCCTCAGAATACGAGCGCATACCCATGGAACCTGCCTATTCCTGCGAACTGCATCGACGGACGCGCTTCATGTCGCTCCCTAGAGCAAGCGATTTTCCGAGCCCTAGCCTGTGCGCGAGGACTGTGCGCGTCAGCAACGATGTCGCCACAGCGGTTACAAGGAGGCGCACCAATACAGTCCTGCAATGCTGTCTATCGCGGCCGCGTATACTGCTCTCCATTGAGCCCAGGGAGCCTGCCGTTGCGCGACGGCACCGGCTGCCGTCATCGGCAGCTGAAGGGTGCGACACCGAGGCTCTCGGAGGCTCCCCTCGTTCTGGCCCTGTCGCCGGATCAATGTCACTTGCGCGCACACCATCACCCTTGGAGCATCCGAAGAACCAACGACAGGCTCCAGGTCCCCTTGCAGCAGCAGGCCTAGCGTCGACATCTGCCGCAAGTGCTCAGTTGCGCTGCTGTGATAGGTGTGCCGCCACGCCGTCCGCCAGGGCCTGCGAATAGTGCCCCCGTCGCTTGGCTCACTCCCATTTCCGCCTTCTTCCGCTCTCACGGCCTCACCAGCCCGTTGCCTCGTTCGAGAGCGTCAAGGCCGCCGCCGTGGCTCTCGCGACGCTCTTGCGCCATCGACCTTGGAGCTCTGAGCTTTCCGCGGGTCGCCAGACCATGCGAGCATCAAACGCGCTAGGACTCGGCGCGCGCTGCGAAATCATCAGCCTTGCCCCAGACTTGGGTTCAGACAAGGATCATGGCCCTGTTGACGCCGGGGGCCGCGAGCTACCATGCGAACAAAGACGCAATTTAGCTTCTTCTACGGGCTTTCTAGAAGATTGCCCTCCCGCGCTCCCCGCTGCTCTGATGATGTGATATAACAGCCTGGTCGCACCAACAGGAGCTTGCACCCATCTACCGGAAACACGTTCATCCACTCCTTCACCCCTATATCCCCATCGCGGTGCGCGCATGCCACTCCAGCCCTTCTCTAGGCCGAGCATAGCGTTTGACTCGCTTTTTAGCACCCCCACAGCCAGCTAGACCACCCAGGCAGCACTGGCAAGGAATGTGTAGCTCCATTACTCCAGTCCACGCCCATCGGTAGACCATCACTGTCGCGCTCGCCAACATGGACGACAATCTAGATATCCCAGAGGACTCGATGCGGCACATCGAGGCGCTGTTGGCGAGACATCGTCCAGACATGATTCACAGGATGTTCCAGCAGGCAATGGAAAGCCGTACGTTTCGCTCGCAGGCCACGCGCCTCAAGTAGCTGACCCAGCCCAGGACGCAGCTCCGTCGCATCCTCTCACACAGCGTCTTCGATATCGACGACCGCCTCATCCGGCTCGTCATTTCGCTCTCCAGCGCCGTCATTTCGCACGTCAACAACGACTTCGTATCATTCGCGCTTGTCCATGCAATCTAACCACTCAACGTCCACACTGTCTTCTACCATGTCTAGCATTGCCCCCTCCATCGCCTCATCATCGTCATCCATGTCCTCGCGTTCCCGAGCGACGCCCAGACGGACAGAGCCTCGTTCTTACCCATCTTCTTTAGATCCTACACGACCCACGTTGGACCCAACGCGCCCCGTGCCAACAGTCCTCACACCAGCATCCGAAATGGAAAGTCCTATTGATCCGAAGCAGGAGTCTGCGTATACGCCCACAGACGAGGATATGAGTATCGCGTCGTTTCCAACGGATAGGGGAGCAAGCCAGTCAGGCGATTCCTTCATGTTCTGCACGTATTGCGCCGAAGCGAAAACACTGAAGACGTTCAAGGCAAAGTCGGACTGGAAAAAGCACGAGATGAGGATGCACGAAACAGGCGAGGATTGGCCGTGCCTTGTGAACGGTTGTAACCGGATATTCGATCGCCAAAAAGACTTTGTAAAGCATCACCAACGGTACCACTCCGGACGACCGCTACCATCTCTGACAGACATCGGCATCCAGTTACTACCAAGGAGGGTTTTCGGATGTGGTTTCGACAAGTGTAAAGAGGTTAGCATAGGATGGGACGAGCGCTGCGATCATGTTGCCAAACACATGAAGAATGGTTCAACCTTTGATCAGTGGAAATACTCGAACGTCATCCGTAATCTAATCCGTCAAGAGGCGTTGCACGACACGTGGAAAGAGATGATTGCATGTCTGAACGAACGGTTGCGGGAAAGCCGATCCCAAATCAGCTGGTGTCCGGACAACACGCGAATACTACGCCAAAAATTGCAGTGCTGTGATTTGCGACCCAGTCGAGAGGAGGTTCTGATAACAGCGCTAAGTTTGCGATCCGATATATCGTTAGATCCGAGCCAACAACAACCGCCACTAGGTTTTGTCGTTCCCAGCAGGGACTCGGTGCCTAATGTCGACGGACTGTCTCGGGAACAACGCATGCACATCCTCATCGGGAACCCGAACGCGACCATCTCACGGAGCCGCCTTGCTGCTGTCAATGCTGCGCTGCTTAGGGCAAGCAATGCATCGCCTCACGATGGAAACTTCGATTGTGGCTCTTCACCTTTCGACGATGGGCCCGGCCCCGAACCTGACACAAGCTCGCGTCGCATAAGCTACATGGACATTGACACGTCTGAACCGTATCTCGATATGTCTCAGCAAAGCATACAGCAACCCATACCTACATTACAGATGCCCAATCCTGGTCACCAACATCAGCAACCACCGCCGCAACCGCAGTCGCAACCGCAACCGCAGCAGGCTATGATGGAAACCGAACATGCACAAGCACATGAATTCGTGGATCCAGCAAAATCATCGAATCCATTGAATCTGTTTTATCCTAGCTACTTCGATGCGCCTCCTCAGATCGAAGAGAGTAATTACTACGAACGACCGTCGCTCGGGCAGATGATTTCCAAGCCACTGCAAAGGATTGGAAGTCGGTTGAGCAGACATGGTACACCTGGGTCACGTCCAGTGTCGTCGCAACCCGACCACCGTATGATGCACGGGGACATGACTCCCGAGTTCCAGATCCAGAGCCCTGTTCAGATGGAAAGGGGATTCCCTCACCACCACCACCATGCATCAAGCATGCACGTGCAACAGTACCCGGCGGGCGCAGGCAGCCAGCATCAGCATGGGCAACAACAGCAACACCACGACCAGCAACTTCTCTTTACGTCACCTATCTGAATTGATTCTACTGCGTGCATTTTTCTTGTCCGATATCCAGCATGACGGGTTCCTCGCATATAGAGTTTTTCATTTGTCCCGTTAGTTTCCATTCTTGATACCCGTGCTTTTCGCACACCTGTCTAGAAGCATGTACGATACCACACGCCCGCATAGATAATTGGCCAAGCGCCGAAAAAGGATATAGACACGTATCACGACTCCCATGCTGGTGCCATGCCCATGGCATCAATATTCGGCAGGCAGCGCCACTCGTCGACGCCGAGGACGAGTGGGCGCGCGAAGGGCCATTGTCTCGTCACGGAGTTTGACAGTGGACGAGTTGCTTTTTCGGGCCTAGGCGGTGCCACGGCACGAACAGACACGTGCCCACCCACGCGCACTCCGTCTCGCTGGCTCGCTGGCTCGCTGCTGCCACCAGCGAACCCTGCCTGACTCAACCACGCAGACTTTCCTCTTGGATGCCTTTATCCGTCCCGTATTTGCTGGGCTAACGCTGCAGTGCGTGCAGCGCTATTGCTGCATGGGGGCTGTCAACCGCCGCCGTCGCGCACACCCACCCAAGTGTCGTGGGCGCCAGGAACATGCATCCTGCGCGCGAATCCGGTCGTCCAACTCTTGCTCAAACGGTGGCCTCGTGCGCACCTCCCCCTTGCCCTTTCTGTTCCTGCGACACGCGACCAAGGTGCGCGATGCGGGAATAATCCGGTGGAATCACGCCCATTCGTCTCCCTCGCTTATCTTGCACGGCGGAGTTACCGGGTGCGGTTTCGCATAGAGCTGGCTGACCGACTGAGGACCTGTGTATCGCACGGCAGCGGCACGGCGCCCCAGGGACAGGACGAGATGCTGTCTGGAAGACCTTGGCTCCGGCGCGGAGGCAGGTGCTCGGAGGCCACATGTCTTGTTCAAGGCCGTGAAGCAATACCAAGGGCAAAGCTTAACATGTGGGTCTGGTCGCGCTGCCAGATAAGGCATGCGTTACGGGCGCGACATGGTCGCGCTGACACGCGTCCTGCCTTTGCCGTGTGCGGCATGTCACCAACGTTCCTGCCATGTATCCATGTATCCATGTATCCATGTACCGCCGGAAGAACTTGCTGCTGGACGTAATAATAGAAGCATGTACTATGTACCGCCGCCGTTGCTTGCTCTTAGCGAGCGTCCTATTACTGTACTGGCGCTCGACGAGGAAGGCGTGTAAGCGTCTCGACGGTGGTACCTTGGGACGGGCGTAACCCGATGGAGCAGGAGCATCAGGACGGTGTCCTGGATCGCGGGTGTGATCCGCACTTGCATACCACACGGGTAGGCAAGAGCAGGATATGTGATTTGTATGGTACGCAGTAGCAGCAGTGTATCTCGCGTATCTATATTGAGTACATCGGATCCGCGGATGGACTCATCTCGGAGGGTTTTGTTAGACCGACCGATGGGTTCTACACGTGCAGCCTGGACATCGTGGTTACTCTTTGTTTGAGACACATGCTGATGCCGAGGTGTCATCGTTTGAAGAATCCTCGCAGGGAGCTGGGGTGGAGCATATTGCTGTCCAGCTTGTTATGCTCCTCACATCTGGAACGTGGACGGTCCAGAGGGTGAATGCATCAATGACGCTCTCACGTAATGGATATTGAAAGCTGCCGTTTGTTCGTCTACCAAGCGTCGTACCGATGCTTGGCAGTATCTACACATTGCTCTCCGAAGCTGTGGGCTGACACTCGATCAAGGCAGGTAAGATCCGGGTACATGCGGCACAGCTTACCGCGTCATAGATCAAAGTCACAGCAGCAGCAACTTCAATGCAAGCGCGCGGTAGACGGCAGGTGGTAGACTTCCACGGGCTTACTGCTTGTTGGGTCGAGACAGTATGCACGAGCATGGCGTATACATGAGGATTGCAGCATGCCACACTAGTAGTAGACGGCCCGGTGAATGAGCTTGGCAGAAGTGCTTCTGAACGATGACCTGGCAATGCTAGTCTCGCATTCAGAGTGGTCCAAAATGTGCTCACACGGCCGTTCCGATGTCAGATTCTCGTATTCAAACTTGGGCATACCGAGAAGAAAATACATCGCAAGATCGGTGCTTTGCAAAAGTTCTGCCTCCACTTTTCCATGGCTCTAGATCTTGGGGATTCGTCCTTGTCCTTGTCCTTCATTGAGTGTCCTGGCTGCGTGAGCACTAATATTTCCGGAGGGGATGTCGCCTGAGACCTCGTGTAGGTCGTCTATGTTCAGGATGGATCTAGTACCTACAGATTTCGAATGCTTCGTTCGACTTATTTCGATAGGATCAAACCTGATTCAGTGAACTTCAAAGTGAAGTCCGCCTGTCCCAGTTTTATCAGATAGCACGAAATTCCATCATACATTTCTCTGGATTTCGTGAAAGAGGCGCCGTTCGGCATTAAAGCATTTGTGAGGTCCTCGAAAGGATTTTGACGTACGGACCATCTGGCTACTTTTCATCGGTCAGAAAGTTTGAATCTTCTACTTCCATTGCTCTGGGTCTGGGAAGCCTTGCGTGACTGCCTCACAGAACCGACTTGTATTCAGGAAGGCGTTGCAGAATTAGAAAAGCAGATTCGTGGACTCGTAGTTTACACGGCTATGTAAAATATCCAACAAACCGAGTGAATAAGGCTGTCTTTCCTCTTCCGGGAGCATACACTTGTCTATCATCTCGGTGAAGCCTTCTCTGATTTTCAGGAACATAGTTGTTGTTGAAGCAGGGGCCTGTATATGCTCGGCAGGAGCTTCTTAGCGTTGATTATAGGTAATTCAAGCCGCTTCGATAATGCATCACTCTTACACCCCTGACTTTTATTAATAGTCACGTTGAAACATTTTACAAATCGCAAGGCAGAGGGCCACGCGACCTGCTTAGAAAGATTCTTTAACCCTATATGCTCGGTATTTGGACGAATCGGATTTTTTTAAAAAATGGCTCATACGCTCTGTCTCAGCATAAACAACAGCAATTTGCGGTTTAACATGTCTTGATCAACACCAACCCTTGAGACTTCGTTCACTGGACTCTCAATGGTCCCCCTTGTATGTCCTCGGAAGGATTCAGTATATGAACTACGTGGATCCTCTTCTTTCACCAAAAAAAAACCCCCCGTGCAGTAGTCCGCGATCTAGCTCCCCACATCGTGGATGTGTCTAGCATCCGTTGTGTCGCTTACCACTTGCCATATCTATTTCCTCACAAGTGCCTCGCCCGGAGGCCATAGTGAATACTCTCCCACAACAATAATACCGTGAATTGTCTGCCAAGATTATGCTTCGTGATGCATCTATCAGTCTGGAACAGCGTCTAGCTTGTCCAGACCTGAGGTTAACCTTGCCGTATTCTTGATTTATTCACAGTACGGCAATTGGGGTTTGAATTAGAATCTGGAGAATATTCATGAGGCCTTACTCCTCTTCCTGGAGCTCGCGCAACCTAGATCAATTATCCATTCACCCTAGGCCCGTGCGCAACCCGACTTCAATGATGATCTTTCACCTATCATTCTAGATGCATCAGGGGTAGCGCATCATTGGCCCCTACGGGGAACATAATCTTCGCTCTATATTAAATCGCTTGAGCCAATATTATCATCAACTGCGCTGGCATTAACCGCAACCTCAATTGATTCACTTTCATACCGAGCCGAAATGGAGGCCCGCCACTGTCATCAACGTGGCGAAAAAGGAGACGTATACCCAGAACACGACGAAGACCACGCCGGCACCAGGCAGACCCATGAGGAAAGCTCCAAAGATGACGTCCGGAACAACGGGCAGAAAACCGAGTTGCATGCCAACAGGAACAACAACGCAACTACACCCAGTGACACGAACATTCAGAAAGATATCACCAATAAGTCTATCTCATTAGAAGACTTCACGGCTGCGCTGGTCCCCTACAAATCAGTCATTGACATCAGTGGAGTCCCCTTCATCCTCGAACCCTTTCGATGCACTCTCTGCCACCAACCCACCTCTCTTGCGCCTACCACGAAGTTCTCACAACGGATCTGCGATATCTGCCGAATCGCCCTCGACGCCGACGCCCCACTGCGCTTCCTACACGACATCGTAGGCAAAGTTTACGCATTCTGGCTCACACTGCGGCGCGAAGAACTGTGCGATCGTATCGAGCGAATCGATCTCCCAGGCATGCGTACGTATTTCGGGATTATCGAAGGCATTCCCGGAAACAAGACGACGCTTCCCGCTATCACCAATGTCCGCGTTTACGATGAAGCGGGTATGTCACTAGCATCGCACGCATTGTCCACAGAGCAGCGCGGCCTGCTGGAAGAGGTGCTACTTACCGTGAATCAGTGCCACATCTCGTTGTTGGTACTTGCACCGCTTTTGGAGAAGTTGATGTACGCGGACGTCGACAGCCCCGTGCTGCAGGTTGGGGAATACCGCTACCAACCCAAACACGAATCCTGCTATTCTCACTGCATTCACATCTTTACGCTCAAAGATGGGCGTCACTTCGTGGTTAGCTTCACGGACCGCCAGCTGGGCTGGTACCCTCTGATCGTGCCGTATGCTGAGTACCTCAATCTACGTGTCAAGATTGAGTCAGTGCCTAGCATGTACGGTTTAGGTTACGTGCATACGGAGACCGCCGCTGCACTGGGAGAGCCGGATCTTATATCCGAAGACGAACGTGGGAGCAGTGGGATACTGCAACGAGAGCGTTGGTTGAAGGTGGCAGATGAGGTTGTGCGCAGGTGGGAAGAATGGGCGAAGAAAGAAGAGTGAGTGCACAATGATGGAGGGTTAGTCTTCCAAGGAAAAGCTGGGAATCTCAACAGCGAACTTGTTCAGGCTTTCATAAGCATCATGTAGTTGAGTAGATCCTCAGTCTAAAGGTTATGGTCATGGCAAACGACTGGAATCAAAATTGAACATGGTATTACACTGTTGCTACTCAGTTAGTTTTCCGTACGACCGCTTAACATCAATGACAGTTTCACTAACTCATCCGTTGGGATAAGCGAACTCGCTTCCCTCTCGCAACGGTGATAGTATTGATCTGTTGAGCCGTAAACTCGGTAAGGCAACGAGACTTGCTCATTCCACCATGCGTTGTAACACTTGTCTCATACTAATGATCATCATTAGGGAAGAGAATGCAATTCCCGCAGATGTTCCCATACAGTCCGCTCGTTCCGTAGTTGCGGTCCTTGTAGATTGCTGTACAAGCCGTTACTATAATTGGCACTTCACTCCCACTAATATGGATTCACTCAATGGTCTGTGGGAATACTTTTGTGGAAATTCATTTCCAGTACCTCGATCCCGGCAGGGTCCAGTATGCCACCACATTTCGCAACAGGATCGCAGCGAACACCTAGCTTTTCGCCGCTTACCTGGTCATAGACGAGCTATCAGTCTGTGTGTGTGGTTGGAGAGGGAGCTTGAGTGGGAATTGCCTACGTCGCCTTTCACTAGCCCGCAATCTTGCATCCGCCGTCTAGTCCGAGCAGGCCCAGACGTTACGTAGCAGTCCCACCCACAGGGTGAAAATCATTTCACCAATTTTCCTGGCATCGAAGATACATCACGTGCACCGGTCCGGAATCGACAGCCTGCTACAGATGTAGTGCGCCTGCACAGACACTCGCAGGGTTTCATTATTTCTGTCAATTACATGTACGAGCAACTTCAACTTGTCTCAGCACTACCGGTACCCAGTTACTAGTTGAATTTAAGTGATGTAAATTCATACTTCCACGTCTTTAAGTTCCCGCTGTGACCATGACATATGCTCCCTTCGTATTGTTTCCGATAGCGGCTGAGGTATATGGCAAAAATTAAGCCCCACGCATCAGCTCCCCCCGATATTGCTCAGGTACAGACACCTCGTGCGCCGCTTGAGATGGGAAAGTCGCATAGAACATTCAAGTGCGAACGTGGACGATGCTTGCATGACCACCGCTCCGAAAGACGCACTTCTAGCGTTGGTTTGCGAAACTGACTTCCACCTTCCGACCCTTCGCCTTGAAACCCTCTATCAAAACTTCTTCGAGATTGACAGGCCAATCCGTACGATCGGCTTGGTAGTATTTCTCACTCACGCAGTAAATGTAGACATGTCGTAGCTTCTGCATATCGAATAATCCGTCGAAACACCAGTATTCTCGAAGATTTTCCTTGGTCAGCGGGATGATGTTGCGCTCGCACCAGCTGTACGACGAAGAAAGGTAGCGAAGCTTCTGTGCAGTTATTACAATGCTTGTGATTCCCGGGCATCGGGAGACTAGGTATGCTGGCGAAGAACGAAAATCGGCTTTCACGAGATGTTCCGTGTTCTTGATGGATTTGAAGCTGTTCTCTTCAGTCAAGGTGCGGACCCAACACCAGGAATCCCGACGGTAGCCTATCATGCGAACTGACAGCAGACCATATTCGAACTGCTCCAAAAAGCGGATCAGCTTGTCATGAGAGCCGCCTTGAGATGACGAAAATATAAAGCGCGTCCTCCGTATCCACGCCAAAATGACTTCCGTTCTTAGCATCCGACTGATGAATGTAAAAGGCGGAAGCGTGTCAGGTTGAAAGACAAGTTGATCGATGTAAGTCTCCTCGTCAATACTGAAGCGGCTTGGGAGATCCCGCATCGCATACGTCCAGATCTTCTCCCGGAGCTCGAGAGGTAGCTTCATGAGGCTTTGAGGCGACTGAAGGAGCAGGTCATGGTGAGTGGAGGCTTGCGGACCCTTCTTTTCCAGGTAGCTAGCGTTGTTGTAAAGCCGTCGGTCTGCATTCAACTGGGAAATAAACTTGACGGAAGTGACCGGATCTTCGATGGCGAGGTGCTGCAACGCTCCATTCGAGCCGTCGGTGCCAGATTGGCGAGAAGTACGTGCATCCGAGCTGGCGACCTCAGTGGTGGATGCGGGCGGAGTTGATGCGGCCGAGCTGATAGAGAGATTGCCGTCGGAGACAGCCACGGCGGTAAGCCTTGATTTAGCAGCCACTGCTGCTGTCGTGCTGGTGACGCCGATGTCTGTACCCCTGGTTTCCCGGGTTGCTTTGGCGAGGTCACGTTTCTCCATACGACAATCTTTCCGTTCGTGATATTTCCTACCACAGTATGTGCAGCGAGGCTTGTCTTTGTTCGGACACGGCTTGTCTTTGTTGGTGTTGTGTCCGCGGCATCTGCAGTCATCGCAAAATAAGCTCGCATGGAATGAGGAATTCCAATCGGCCTTTGACACCGGCTTGACGTGCATTGTTCTGCAAAAGCCTTGACTAGGACGCATGTATGCCGAAGTCGTCGAGCTCAAAGGGTAATTGTGCGGAAGTGGGCGGTTATTGTGGAGTCGGGACGCGATGATGAAATCGGGAGCTGGAGCTACAAAATCATCAGGCTCGAAGGAAAATCCCCTTCGAAATGTGGGAGGTCTTTGACGTCAGGAATAGTCGCGCCTGAGTCGGTGGTCGCCTCTGTACGCGTTGGGCAGAAGCCGAGTGATTGCGTATAAAATTCAACGACGCAGGCAAGCTTTTTACGTGCCTAATGGCGTTTTGACAAGTACACTGCCTGCGCAGGGAGGGCTCGGGCGTGAGGGCATGCGAGGGCACGTGCCCTTGAGTCAAAGGTTGGTGCTGAAGGTGAAAGCACGCTTCTGAGGCGCAGCCGTAGAGCGAACTGTGGTCTTCGCGGGAGGGATTGCTTGAGAGAAACAAGGTTGGTCAACACGTTCACCTTCACCCATGGTTGTCACAGCTGGAACCACTCTTTCCACATCCTCCCGCGTTCGTCCATTGGCGGCAGCGGTGCCTCGCCCCGACCCTCACCCCACATGTCCATTGAAAAATAAACCGCAAAGCGTCCGTTTCCATCCATGTCACCTCGAATAACCGTGCCTAAAGACCCCCATCAAAGTCAGCGTAGCTCGCAATCAAGGAAGTGGTACCTGTGCACGTCTTAGGAAGCGGAATCCTGCCTTGTACCTGCAACATGACATGATACCCGGGCTTTGCGTACTCATGACCCTCGAGTTTTCGGTTGGCCATCCAGTGATGGGGTCGACCTCGCTTTCCTCGATTTCGATAAGCCGCCGAGATACGACGGCTTGCTGCTGTGCATCCCAAAGACCTTCGCGTGGTATGTTGCGCTCGAGAAGGGCGACAGCTTCGCGGCGAGTGACTGGACAACGACACCGTGAGGCTGTCAAGTTGAGACAAGGAATGACCATGACCTCGAAGGTAAAATTTGCTGCGGGGGATGTAGCTCCTAGGCGTTGGCTGTAATCCACTACCTGTTTGCAATGATATACCAGAGCCCGAAAACGGGGCAAATGCCGATCGCAAGCAGACTGATTAGGATCTGTAATGGATGCTCCAAGAATGTACGTGGTGTAGTAGCACGCCTTGAGCGAGTGTGCAGTGATTGTTTCGTCCTCTGAGAGGGTCATGCCCCGTTCGAGCTCTTCCAATGCTGCCCACCATTCATCCAATGCAAATAGCAAGCCCTGTTGGTCGAGCAGCTTGTGCTCAGGAGGAGGCGTAATCGGCCGGAAATTCTCGCCCATATGGCGAATGAACAATAAGCCTTGATTGCGAAGCTCGTGCATTGCGAACTGAGCTTCTAATACAGATTTGAACGCAACTCGTGGAGTATTGGGTGGCGTCTGATTAAGAGACATGACGAGCTCAGTAGGTACGCCATATAGGATTCCTGTGGTCAGCAGGCGATGGAAAAGAGGGACCAGTGACTTTTCTATCAGGTCAGAGCCCAGCGTTTTCCTACGACTTTGCCTCTGCTTCCCTCTGAGCGTCTGCAAAATGCGCAGCCCATTGCAGTAATGTAACATGGCTGAGTCATAATTGCCGCGCAAAATTTCTATGCCGATGAAGATGAAGCAAGACACAAGTCCAACATCGGCGCTGTACGAGGGGTCAGAGATTCGTTCCGCAAGAGATCTGATAGCTTTGTTATAGTGTGTCAAGAACGTCTCCTGTCCGGAAGTAGCTACTAGACCGGAGCGAGCGCTCTTCAAGCTTCCAGACTGGGACCTGTTGAGGTAACCTATGGCGATTAAGGCATGCCGAACCGAAGCCTCGGACTGGGCCATTTGTAGACATGCTTGGGACCAGAATCGCGTGTCGAAACCATCAGTAGACATGGAAGGGGCGGCACAGTGAGTATAGAATTCCAGGTAGTGGAGGTCTTTATCGCCCGCCATTGGAGACCTGACAGCACGTTGGATTGTTGATGTTTGGGCCACTGGAAATACAATTGCATGGCTGCCATTTGGGCTTGTTGTGTACCCATCGCATTTGCGCCCTGTGCTTGTGCATCTGTTTCATTAAGCATGCGACACAATGGGGGAAAGCATACTGACCGTTTGCATTGGGGCTTCTCTTCGTCACATTTGACTCGCCGTATTCTGTGGGATTAGCGGAATTATCAGAAGTGGCGCTTCGTCATGCTACAAAGGACGTACTTGCAAGTTTTGCAGCCTGTCTTCACTCTCGGAGCGGCTCTCCTGGTATGTGGCCTACCGACCACGGTAATAGAGGAAGTAGTTGAGGACATGTTGCACGCACTAAAAGGAAATAAAACGCTACAAACAAGCTATAGTAGGTAGTAACATGCAGGTGGCTTGGATTGCCGATGCTGATATGGATTAGGTAGCCATGTTGGCTGACGAGGACACTGGATGGTGTTCGGAGGATTTTGGCCCCAACCCCCAGGAGGAACCCCACAAAAGCTTACTAACCACGGTTTCCTACAACGGATCGACAAAGAGAGCATGACAATGCTTTTTGGATCTGACGACATGCGAAAGGAAAACTTTCGTTCCTGGTGCGATGGACTACTTCTGTTTGCGAACCATTAGTAACGCCCTATTGTTCCTCGTTATCGCGGTTAAAGTAGCCGCGGGAAGCATTGCTGGTCTCGCCGCGGCTGGGTAGACGTGTCTCAGTCTCTGAAGATGAGAGCAAGAGGATGCATGATGTATGCACAGCACCCATCTTCATGTCCGGATGAGCGAGACCTGTTGATGATAGGATACGTTCTGACACACATCAGCGCGCATCTGCTGGGATGTGCTCTATGTTTCTATACTAGGCACCGTGGGATTATTCCCAGACTGCATCTACTCTATCCGGTGTGGCAGCAGGGCTTGGAGACGGGTCTACACTGGCCTAATCACTCCCTCTCGTCGGTTCTAGCCATCTCCTCAAAGAGCCACTCAGCCTCTTTGTTCATGTCTTCCTCACTCCTCGGCTTGCGATGTTCATCTGCATCTACAGCCGGGAACCTACCGCGCTTCACGTCGCCCTCGTCGCGCTTCCTCAACTGCCTGGCTAGATCGCCATCCTCGCTCTCCATCATCTCATATATGGCATCGGGCTCAGGCAGGTCATGCTTCTTCCTGGGGATGATATGGGCATGTACATGGGGCACGCTCTGGCCGGCATCCTGGCCATCCTGTATCGCAATGTTCAGCGCCGAGGCATCGAAGACGCGCTCAATGGTGCGCGAGACGCGCTGGACGGTCAGGAAGAGGTCCTGCACCTCGGCAGCGGACAGGTCATTGAAGCGCGGAACGATGCGGCGTGGCGAGACGAGGACGTGACCAGGAAGCAGCGGCTTGAGGTTTACGAGGGCGTACGACAGCGGGGTGAGGTGGAAGACCTGTGCGGCCGTCAGCCTCATCGAGACTCGGACCAAGACATGGCAACGTCATGGTGCGTGGGCGGGAAGGCGCACCTGGTTGGTTACCACGAAGGCGCCGAACTTGATTGCATCCGTTGTTAGCGGCGGCATGCCAACAATGGGCGAGGTGAATGATGATGGCAAGGCAGAGGGCGTTTGGCTGGAGATATCGGGCTGCGGGCCTTCGGTAGCCGGGGCGCTGGCAGAGGCGGGCAGGCAGAGAAGGCAGAGTGCAAGAGCAAGCGAGGCGACTGGTGCGGCCCAGAAGCGGCGCCCCAACGTCAGCTGGACGCAGCGCCGACAGGCCCTCGAAGCAAGCGACAACAACGCGTGCGCGAGGCCGGCGCAGTAATTCGACTGTCGACACGGTGCAGGCCAACGTCAGGATGCATGCAGCCACCAAGGCCGGGCACGGCGCCTCCAAGGCTTGTGTGTTATCAGCATCTGCTGCCTGCGCACAGTGGCCTCCGCGCGCCGCCGGACGAAGAGTGGGCTGCGTATAAGATCAGAAGATGGCATCCGCCGTGGACCTTCACCTGCACTTGCGCGAGTGGATCCGGCCCTGCGCTAGCGGCTCAACTGCTGGACCCTTTCTTCACGGCCAGAGGCAAGCACGCCGAGCGACCTCACACACGGAAGAAACAAGCTTGGCCGCTGCGTTTTGCAAGAGCCTCAAACCCTCAGAGTCCACCGCGCTGCGACTCCCCGGCACACACGCACCCCTCACTCCGCCGCCTGTGCCTGCATCCGGCGCGGACTTGGCTCGCAGCCTCCGACGCGCAGTCCCACCCCACCATCCCGCGGCAACGCCTCACCGCGTCTGACTTTCTGCCAAACGTCTCGAAGCGGCCGTCTCAGCGCGCTTCCCGCCTGGGCAAACACCAGAACCGCGATTTATAAGGAATTCGCCCCAGCTTCCATTCCACGGACAGCTAAAAAAAACACTTCTTTCGCCGTCGTCTACTGCCGCCGAATTTTGACCGGCACCACCTCGGCCGCCTGCTAGTACTTTACCAGTACCATTCCGGACTTCACTTCACACTTCTGACGCCCACTTCACGGCGCACTCGTACAAAGAGGAGAAAGTGACGACGCAGTCGGACTTCTGACACTCATATACTGCACCCCGCCAACACCTTCCCCGGCATATCCTCACACTCCACATCTACGCGCTGTTCAACCGCCTTCAACACCGGCCGTCACTCAACAACCCACCTCTCAGAACCATGGACATCACTCAATCTTCCCGGGACTACTTCGCCATGCCCTCGCCCTCACCCTCCGATAAACTTAGCCTCGCCGCCTCCTCAACCGTCTACACCTACCACTGCCTCTGCACCCACCTTCTCCTGGCAACCAGCACACCTCTCCACGCCCTCCCCGCGCGTAAAAACTCCTGCGATGGAGCACACATCATGCCCCTCCCGCCGCCACCCGCACCCACCACCAAGAGCCGCCGACCCTCGAACGAACCTGTCCCGGCGCCTACCGATCACTACGGCCTGCTCCTCAGCACGCACCTCGAGAACGCGCCTAGCATCGTGACCAGCGACTCGGGCTTCGAGAAGCGGTACCTGCAGCGGTGCGGCCGGTGCAATCTTGTGGTCGGGTATCAGCTCGATTGGCAGCAGTTTGCGGGCGATCGGGCGGGGCGGAAGGAGGATCTCGTCTATCTCCTGCCTGAAGGCTTCGTCACGACGAGTGAGATGATCATGGGGAAGACGCCGCCGAAGAACGGGGGCATGCAGGTGGTGGCTATGGCGGAGATCAAGACGTGAGAGCCTACGCCTCTGATTCTTGGCTTTTACGAATTTCATATCGACAACTTGTACCATGCACAGCGGATGGGTAGGGTAATGGCGCGCACGATACACAGTCACGGCTCGGGAACAGCTGGACACTGGGAGGCGTTTCTTGCTTTTTCATTTCCTTTTCCATGTTACTGCATTACAGATACCCCCCCATTCGGCGAACGCGCAGGGCTTCTCAAGCTACCACAGAGAGCGCCCAGATAGACATTGCGTTTGGCAAGTGGACCAAAAACAGTTCCATCTGGTATTTTTGAATGATACATCACGATTTGAATGTCGTCACATTTCACAAACGTGTCACACCTAATCTGAGTGATGTCTTTGAGCGATACTGAACGTGAATGCCCATTCAATTCCTTGAATCCCAGAACTACTCCAATCGAAGTGATGAGACTGCCCAATGTACAATCCAACGCCTGTGCCGTGCTGCATGCAGTTGAGACCTTCGAATCATAAAAATCGTGAAGGCCTCATCAAAAGTTACATCCCGAACTGAAACCCCACCTCCACCGTCTACCGCCCTAGTTCTCCGCAATCGTCTTGACAAACTCCCTGTAGTCGACCTCATTGTTACCGGTATCGATTGTCGATTTGAACAGCTCCTCGACCTCCTCCTCGCTCATCTTCTCGCCCAGGTTGGTGAGAATGTACTTGATCTGGCCCTTTCCGACGAAGCCCGAGCGATCTTTGTCAAAGACCTGAAACCCGCGTATGTACTCCTCGATGTCGAAGGGCTCGCGGAAGCCGCCGGGCCGGTTGAGGATCTTGCTGAAGGTTTCGAAATCGACTGTTTGCTCCTGTGTTAGCGGATCGCTTTCTGCTTTCTGTTCATGGGTGCTGGGGCGGGACGCTGCAGCACTGTGGAAGCAGGAGTGGGACTGCGTGGTGGAGGGGGATAGTGTACGTACAGTCTGCGCCAACGCCGCGCTCCAGGTCTGCAATCTCAGCGAGCGTCGGGTTCTGTCCGCAGGCGCGCAGCAGGTCGCCGAGCGCTGCGCGGTCGACACGGCCGTTGCCGCGCTTGTCGAAGAGCTGGAAGGCTTCGCGGTAGTTGGTAGAGGCCTGTTGGTTGTGAGAATGAGACTTGTCCATGGTGTCTTTGTTCGCTTTCGCTTTCGCGGGCAGAGCGTTGTGATGTTTAGGGACTCGGAGGAGGATGTGTTATGCGCGGTGCGAAGGCGAGCGTGGCACAAGCTTCGTGTTTGTGTCGCGTCGTTGCCGTGGAAAGCGCACACTGTTGCTGCTTCCAGTGCAGCGGCGCGGAGGAGGCATGCGCCCCGCGCGCAACGTGATTGGGAACGCAAAGTGCGAAAGGGTCCGCGGCTCGTACTCACCATTGTGGATTCTTTGTGTGAAGGGTGGTACAAAGGGCTAAGTGTGAATGAACGTGGATATTTCTGAGGGCAGTATACTGAGGCGAGAGGGGTGCAGCGGTCAGATTTGAGGCGTGTTTGATAAATGGCGAGCGTGGGCCAAGGGGTGCGCCTGTTGTTGCCAAGCTTTCGTCGTCGTGGAAACGGGATGCCATCTGGCGCTACCCGTCAATCACCTCTCGACCAGTTCAACACGAAGCGAGACTCGGCCTGTGAGGAGCAGAGAAAGATGTCCAGGGGTCTCGCTGTCGAATCTGCTGCATCGACGAGTGTCGCGCTGTCAGATTCGTTTCTGCATCCGCATATGGCGGTGAGCGGATAGCCTCGTCTCGACCTACGACTCCACGCGCGTCCACCACTTCCTTCGGTATTTCGAAAGACACACCGCACTGCCCTAATGGAAAACATACGGCGAGATAGCCATGTCATTACAGAAGTCGGCCGCTTTGGATATTTCTTCGGTTCGCCCCCCAACAAAGCGATCGTCGCACGTTTTGACCTTGAGAGCCACTAGCCTTCTGGCAGCAGAGATCAAGTGCAATTCGGTTGATAATGAGAGAGGAATAACGACGAATTGGGCGTTGGCGGGCATCTATCGAATGCTGGAATGGAGTATTCAGCCGCTGTTCAAGACGGCTTCGTAATCGCCGATTCCCACCTCGCTTTCCTAGAGCAATGCTTTTCTGACCTCTTCCTCCTCATAATCCGGACCCGGAGCTGCCTCTCTTATGCATCCCTTGTCAATTTTGGGGTCTACCCGCACTCTAAAAGTCACGCTCGCCGCGTTCCAGCCTGATCCCAAGTTCTTCCGCAAAGTCTATGCAGGCCTAGTCTCTCCAACCAAGCGCCAGGCGTTTAGATCTCTTCCCAAACCAATGTCTGAGCTCGATTCGCTTGGTGCTCGACGCCACCATATTCCAGCTGAGCCCACCCCTCATGGCATTCGTTCAAGGGCCTGTTGTGGCTGCGCGATGCTGAGCTGAAGCTTACCTAGTTAGGCTAATCCCGCAAGAAGGAATCATACAAGTACCACCAGACCTAATTATCTTTCACGTCGCTTCATACTCTACCATTCCTGTATTTATTACCTCTTAAACATCTACTCGCTGTGCCCCACATCACATCGATATTGCTCACTTGGCTAGCAAAATTACGCTGCAGCACGATGTTCCGGTCCCTCGCTGTATTACTCACCATTACACTCGTCACATACGCATTTGTTGCTGAGACGTATGCGCCGTATGCACTAGCCCATCCCATCTACGCTCTGGAAGTCCATTTAACGAGCACAACGTAGGACGCAAGACTATACTCTAGCTATCTTAGATGCGCCAACCATCGTGTTCCAGAGCAAGGACAACACGATGAATACAGTAGAGCTCAGTCCTGCAGTGGGACGAGTTTTCGAGCCGTGGAACTGGATGATTTTGGGCTTGATCGTCGTGGCAGCGTACAGAGCTGAGGGCTTGGGTGGAAGATGGTTGCTGATACGTTGACGTTAACGGAGTGCAGCACATGGAAATAACGCCATTCAGAACCTTGTCAAGAATTTCGTGAATTTCGTCTAGAGGATGCTTGATTTGAATTTTCAAGGGTCCTAAATCCATCTATAGCTACAGACAGGGTGGATTCCATTCACCTAGCCCTCAGTGAGAGCTCAAGATTGGCTCAATTGCCGAAGGCAAGCGTTATTTGCGACGGCTGCTCAAGCAATGTAAGAGGACCAGCGACAACAGTATCCGTGTAAGGTGCACCAGGTGTATCGGCGATGACAACAAGAATCAAGCCCTTGCTATCGAAAGCTGCTGGGATGGTGGTGCGGTTTGTCTTGACATCGAATGGAACAGACACCTTCTGCAATCCATGGTAGAATACAGCATAGTACTCCTTGTCATTCTGGTACTGCGGATTTTTAGTGAATGTGAACGTGATATCTGCTCCTGGTCTAGCCGTAGTCGAGTCGCTTTCAAAGTTCATCCGCGGCAGGTGTTGACTCGGTCTGGGATAAACAGGATTCTCCTTGGGACAGCTACCCGGCACGACGAACTGGTTTGTTACATCCAAGATCTCGTTCGCGTACGGGAAGATAGTCTCGGCTGGACCGGTGAAGGGATCGGCTCCCCAGACGTCGATCAACGCCCAGGCGCTGTGGCGGGATTCAATTCCGCCGATGGCCACCATGGCGGACTTTGTCTTGTCTAGCTTGGCCTGTAGTACGAGCCCTGTGAGAAAGGCCTCGCTGGTGATTTCGATCACTTGCTGGAGAGCCAGGAAGAATTCGGGGGTTGTGAGGTTGTACTCATATTTGCACGGTCCGGGCTTAACCGAGCTTGAAGATATCGAATCCTGGAAAATACGCAGATGGCCTGCCTCATTGTCTCGGATTTCCGTTATACGTTCGTACGTGTTGTTCGGTAGGCCGATGGCGATGAAGGAGGATGCGTTGAACGTCTCCACGGCGGTCTGGTAGAAGGAGTAGATGACCCATTCGGCAGCCAACAGGTTCTGGAAGAGTAGATCATCTGCTCCTGGATCATCTTCCGGTGTGGTCGACTTGATTGCTCCAGTTGAGTTGCCTGGGAATGGGGCTGCTTTGCCGGCGTAGTCGTTGTATATGTCCGACTCGCCTGGCACTGGACCACAGCTGGTACTTGAGAGGTCGCAAGGGGGTGTTTGGGCATCTGAGATTGGAACTGCTTTGACGGCACTGAGGCCTGCTAATATGATGGAGATGGATCGAAGTTGAATCATGATTTCTGCGACAACGAGGTATACAGACAACGATGAAGTGGTTCGGTTCAAGTCCTGGCCCAGTGCTTAGAAAGGATGCTTGCGATAGTCCATTGTGTCTGCGTCTAGGTTTCTTATATACATTCGTTCCGCAGAGCCGACCATAGCAATGCCTCAGCTTCGTGGAGCATCTTGTTGCCCGTGTTATGTTTCAATCGCCAATCACACACAAGTCGCGAGCATGACCAAAATAGGACAGCAGTTTGAGATAGTATGAGATCGGTTGGACGCGCAAAGCTTATGTTTTCATCATCGTGCCTGAAAGAATGGGGCCGGTCTCCAAGAAATTCATCAGGATAAAAGTGGGCGACCTGACTGTTGGATTAGCTGCGACTAGTTCCGATGCTCTAATATCCAATCGCAACCGAGAGCGTCCTCTATCCCTAGCGTGGCGTGAGTTACAGCTAGCCTTCAGTCAGCATGTAGTGACGAATCTACTAGCTTCCTCCCCGAATTGACGTTCAGTCCTGCACTTTTAGTCGCTCAGCCACAATGAGCTTCGTGTGCAACTCATCAAATAGTCGGAACTAATGAGTTCCCTAAAAATTTCTGTCTACCACAGGTAGTTCGACGTCTTTACATCCTGTTATCGTACGAGGTACGCTTTCAAATACTGTAACGAATAAGCGTACACTTGCATGATGGACTGACGCCTCGATGCAATCTCGGAGGCTCGAAGAGTTGGGCCTGTAGTGGGAGTCGACGAAATACCCAAGTAAAACTTGTCTCATGATCAGTCCCCATAACGCATTCTTGTTTTGCGATCATCAACAAGTTTACTTGTTCCAAGGTTGCCAACTGCAGCAAGGGCCACTTTCACAACGATGCGCAGCTGCTTGAACTAGGTATACGACGGGTGCCTGTGAGACAGAAGGATATTCTAGCCGGATCTTTACGAACGTATCACCTCTACCCCGTTTACTAACCGGTGAACATGGAAAAGCCCTCTTTATAATTCCTGACCAGGATATAGACTGGGATAGAAACAAGTGTAGTGACGCACACCTTATGTTCCAGCTTCCACATACCTTCGGGCCCCCTGTGTTCTCAATCCGGCCGATCCCTTGCCACCGACCAATCAGAGCTTCCCCTACACCACCCTCGTGTGTCTCACCTTGTCCGCATGAGCACATCGCGTGAACGCCAGTTCTCCACCCACCCTCCACAATCATGGACTGAGGGTCGCTGAGCCACACTATGATTCTTCAGCTCTGGGATCGCTGGGTTTCAAGGGTGTTGGTTGTGGATTATATACCAAGGGCGCGCTGGAGATGGCTCGGGGTTAGGTGAGCCTGAAACAACTACCTAAGCCAACTTACTTCTTCCTGGCGTCGCGCGAAGAATCAAACCATCATTATCGTCGAAATCCTGCGCACATCATGGCGCAAATACCTAATGATGTGATAAGATCATTATTGTACAGTGCGGTATTGGTGCTTTTTTTGAGAGCAGCCAGGGTGTATGCCTTTGCGTTCTGGTCTGCGATTTTCTCTGCGAACTTCGGAGTCTTGGTGAGAGCAACGATCCAGATCCATTCTGGTGGTCAGGCTGCGCCGTGGAAGGGTCATAATTTACAGAGAGAAGAAAGGCGTGGGAACGATGAAAGGAACGTGTCGCCGCCTGAACGTCCGAGCAGTGAGTGAACCCGCCTTTATAAAAACTTTAGTGTTTTATTAATGCGTTCACCCAGATCGTTCATCCCCGAAAGTCGTACCAACTGCAAACCTCAATACAGGGCACACGAAGACACCATCGTCACCGTTCCAACACTCGCCATCTCCTCCGCCCTATAGTTCTAATCCACCAAAGTTGGACGACGAACCCCGTTCCAAGTCTATCTTGAAGCTATATGAAGACATCATCGCGTCAGATGCTCAGACCATCCAGGTTCAGCAGAGTACGATGTCTGCGCAACAAGAGACTATTCGTGCACAGGCGCAAATGATCAAGAATATGAGACTTATGCTTGAGAGACAAGATGAGAGGATTGAGGAACTGGAACAGGTATTGGAAGGAGGGGTTCCATGTCAAGAAGACCTTCACTCCTAATCAGAAGAGAGAATCTATTCGCTTCGCTACAATTGTTTTGGATTATACTGAAGATCTCACGACTGTTCTGGTAATCTACCGTTGCAGTAGCCGGGCTTGCAAGGGCTGTAGTTGCGCGGAATGCTGGTGGAAGAGCTGCGGGGCAGACTGCGAATGTATCGTTGCAGCTCGCGGTCGGGTAGGCTGTAAGGCAACGTGTAGCTGTGATTGCTCCGGAGACTGAGGTCGTAATCTGGGAAGCTGCAAACTGGAAGGCTGTGGACTGGGTGGTAACGAAGCAAACAAACCCAGATCCGAGGGTTGCTCGCTGGAATTATATTTCGTGTCCAGAAAGGCGACCAGCGCGATAAGGACAGCACCTTCGACATCGTAAGCCGCAATTTCGAAATGGACCTTAGAAAGGCTTACCTGTTGTCACGACATAGCTTCCTATGGTAAAACCCGTTTGTACACTAGCCTGTATGTCGGCTTCGTATCTCAGTGTGAATACAGCCGACCAAACGACCGACACAGCCAAGCTTATGGAGACTGGGATAGCTACCGTCACACTTGCTGAACGTGGGTTCCAGCTTCTGACTACATTGAGCGCCCGTGTTTGTTCAAGCGGCGAGATCGTGATTGAAATACGCTGAGGGTCATTATGCGTGCCGTGCATGATGCTCTCGTCGAGAGTTCTGTCCCTGATCATGGTACCATTTAGTGTCGAAGGATCGCGGAAGAAGTGTATCTGCCTGTTGTATGGGCCATAGCGCCCGAGATCGAGCGGTGGGCCTACATTTGGGCCAACAGCTGCACCGAACTGAAGCTACACATCGTGAATAAGTCAACACAACACGAATCAAAAGATAGACATACTTGTACTACGTCAATTCTTGCGCTCGTTTCAAAGCCAAAAATCTGTATAACACCTCTTCTTGCCATAGTGAGCTCGTAAAACATACGTAGAAGCCTCACGAGGTCTTTGTCGGTTGTCATTTTCGAGCACGGAATTTGTAACCGATAGCCATTGTCAACGAACATGACGATCTCGGCGTCTGTTTCAGGTTGCTCTCGTAGCGCTTGACAGTAGTCCATAGTGAATGTGTCTAGCGATTCGGCTACGCAGAAGTACGTAGTCCAAAAAACCGTATAAGTGTACTGGTCAAAGTGCCTGTGATAGATTCCTAAACGTAGAATCAGGCTCTGACGATCCGTCAATTAATGTTCAGATGGAGCTGTACAAGGATCTCAAGCTTACAAGAACAATTTCTGATGTGGCTTTCAACGTGATTGAGCTGGCGAACGTCCCGTCTCCCATTCTGCACCAGGAGAGAACTTTGACGATGCCTCTTGTAAACAGCAACAACAGGTATATTGGCATAAGGAAAGGATAAGGGAGGACTGGCGCACTGAATTGGAAAATAGCGCGGGTGCATGTCCAGAACTTCCATGAAGGTCGCTGGAACAGTCCAGGTGCGCGTATGCGCTTACCCGCAGCCTTGTGTGAATTGAGCGCCATGCACCAGAAAACCATGATCTCAGTGGTGGGATTGCCCCGGTTCTTGAGGGTCGACGTAACAATGTGCGAACAAGCGGAACTGTCGCAGCAGGCTACGCTTGGAACTGGCTATCTTAAGTAGTTGAGAAGCATGAAGGTTTCGAGGTCGCGCGAAAGGCTGATGAGTTGGGCGCTTACTGCATGTCGTATCAAGCAGGGGTGTTCAGCCTTCCAGATGCAAGATTTTAACCGAAACACTTTGCTCAATTTGCTATCAGGTGTTCACATCAATACCTCCAGGAATGAATGTTTATTCCTCCAACTCCAGAGAGAGTGATCGCATCGATGAATTTTGACTTCCGGATTTTCGACACCTACACCCTGATAACTTTCATCACATCGAACATATCCACCCTGTCCTTAGCCGGAACGTTATCTTTCAAGATGCCCTTGTCCTCTTCTCCGACGCGTCCTCGTTGATTGCTAACAACTTTGAGGCCGAAGCGTTTAGCTTTGCCCGTTCTTCCGGTTGACCCATGCACCCAGTACCTTACACCATTCCAGTTGTTTCCATTCAACAAATCCGTTCCATGCGCAGCGCACCATGGCGAGTGTACTTGCCAGGGAGGAAGCGTATGATGCAGATCTGGCGTGAACGAAGATATAACGACAAGCTGTTGGGGTTGGGGCGATGTAGAGGTTGCATCATCGCCAACAAATGTCTTGGGATCGTTGATCTCTGCTTGCAGCCAGGCTAGGTCGCGAAAGTGTTCCTCGTTGTGATCCGAAATTTTCCACTGCCGAACGCCTTCATTCACGTCGAATTCTGGCGCCTTTCGAAGCACTGCTGCTTCTGCTGCTTCAGGTACATGGCTCCACAATGTGCATCCCAATAATGTGATATTCGTGCCGGCGACATCGACTCTTGTGCGATTCAGGATTTGCAGCTTCCCCTTCGTTGCTGCTTCTTCTTGCATATGTCGTGCCAACTGTAACCCCTCTTCGTACGTTAGACCTTGGAATTCTAAGGCTCCCAGAACAAGATATACTTTCTCGTAGAGATTACAGCGTCTGACGAGGAATGATAGATAGGCATCGTAGTCTGCAAGCTGGCCGATGTTGCCTGCGAGGATGAGATGGGGTGCTGAGACTGGGATGTGGAATGTGAGGTATTGGGATTCGTAGTTGAGGTAAAGGTCGGAGAGGATTTGGAAGGTGGTTTTGGGGGTAGAGAAGAGGCCGGAGAGACGTTTCATATTTCCCAACTAATGATGAGATATTATATGAAGATGAGGCCGACAAAGCAAAGAGAAGAAAAATCTATAATTGCGTAAGCGCATCTAAATACGTTGTTCTGAGCGATTATCCGCTGACACGGAGCGCTAGGGCCTATGCAGGAATAACTTCGCGGAATGCTGAGCAGCAAGATGACGATTTCCCAGCCAAACAATCCATACAGCTGAGCGGTCAGAAGCAAAGTGCACGTCGTAGTGTCACGGCGTCGAGAGCTGAGCGTGCGGCTGGCTGAGCTTCCCGCTGCGTGCGATAGCTCCCAGCTAAGGAGGAGGCTTCGCAACAAACCTTCAGTAGACCACTTCACGGACATCGAGGTCATAGCAGCTAGTAGGACACCGCGCGGACCTCTTGTTAGCGAAGAAACACGGTGAAGCTTTTGTCGCCCATCGGGTTTCACCAGAGTATAAGCAAACCAACCTCTTACGTATTAGGGCGGCTTACGTGAGACGATCTACCCGTTCGAGTGCCGATGGCACCACCCTTCATCGCGACAAGATCAGCGCATCAATGTATAATCTTTCCAACGTACGTCCTGCAATATATTGAGCTACCAGAAAAAACTATCGTAGGAATTTGAAGGCTACGCAAGCACTTATAAAAAGTCCAATTCTCCGGTTGCCGTCGTTCGCTCTCTCACACTTGCTGCGGCCTTTTGGTTCTGATGAATTACGCTCCCGCTAGCTTCACAGCATTGAGAGCAGATGTGAATAGCTGCGCTCCTGACACCTTTGCGTGGTATCAATGCGCCTACTTGTTCTCAGGCACACCGAGACGAACACGAACCGGACCTACGTACCGTAAGCCGCGCAGGAATTGACATTAGTACTGAAAGAGGATGCCAACAGTGGCCGCTCTACGATACCTGAGGCGGTCTGCATATTGAATATGGAACAGAAAGTCCTAGGATGCCATGTCTCCGTTAGCGGATACGACAACTGCAGCATGCTCGTGTCTTCGACCTCACGTGCTCGATGCAGGGCAATCGTAGTTCTGCACCGGAGCAGCGGAGTCCGACCCTCTTGGCTACAAAGTTTGAACGCTGCAGATCCACCGCGCACATGTGCGGGTTCACCAAACTTCAAATTCCATAACAGTCATAACTCGCGTACAGAGCGCACGGCGCCGCATACTAGAACTGGACGAATTCTCCTGTGCGCAGCTATCCTATCTTGCCATTGAGCAGGGTCACTCATATCGGACTAAGTGAGTAAGATCCCCTTAAAGATAATATCTTCACACACTGCCTTATCCGGCTAAATAGTCACGAGGTTTCTATTCTCCTCACCCTCGCTTGTAGCACGAACCACAACCGCGTCAGGTCCTCACTGCGGCTGACTTTACAATATACTTCTCGCTAGATACGCGGCCATATATTCGTTGACGCAGATCTGCCGCTTCCTAGCCAGGAACAACCCTCAGGTTGGCTAAGAATAGGCTCTTCTTCACACAGCGTCCCGCAGGTTCGCTCGGGCCTACTGCACACTAATGTAACCAGCTCGACCTAGGGCAGCTTTGCAGAATGCCCCGATGCTAAGCGCACATGTCGTTATCAACCACTCGGTCGTCCCGGTGATCCTTCTGGGTCGTACAAAGAAGATCACATTGCTTCGTCAGTATACCCTCTGCTTCCAGTACATAGCAATTGCCTTTCATGTTTAAGGTTCTGTTAAAGAAGTAGAAGCATCTATCTTGGATGAGTCACCTCCCTCGGGACATTGTCGCATTATCTTCCAGATCTGAAAGCTTCCTGCATGAGCAATATATATACGAAAGTACTAGAACCCCGATAACGCCATTCAGGCCGATGAGACCGTACTTCTCGCGCATGCACCACCACCTGGACCAATCGTGATGTTGCTAAAGGGCCTCCTTGGCCGTCAGCTTTTATTACCTTGCGAGCTTAACAGACCAGGCTGCACTTGACGCAAGACTTGTGCGTACGCAATCGAAAACCTGGACAGAGCTTCCTCCGACTAGCTTGTCACGATCTGGTGTGTCTAGATTTTCTCGTATTCATCTACTTTCCTGAATTCCAGACCGACAAACAGACTCGAGTCGGTCCTCACCCGTACTGTCACAATCGTCTTTCGCGTCGCAATGGCACCACAATCTCACGGTGAGCCTAGAAGTATAAATAGTTCAAGCATTCTCCATTGCGGCGCTGAGTCCATATCAATCACACTTGAGTTTCATCATTTCCGATTACTCTTGTGGGTCAATATGAAGATAATAACAGTTTCATGTTATGCTATTTTGTACTCATCCTTCGTTCTCGCATATCCCGGCATGGGCGAGGCGATCAAAGATCTTCGACGTTCAGCCAAGGCCACCCGCGAAGAACCGAAGCAGCTCATTGGAGACCTCAAAAATCTCAAAGACACCCAATTGACCGCCATCGGAAAGGATATCAAGGCCATCCTGCTGGATCAAAAGGACGCACGATCGAGCGAGATCGATGCTGGTGCACCCGCAGGGACACCAGATAGCGCAGCATGCAAGGCTGACCTGTGTTGCGTGTGGAAATGGATTTCATATGAGATGACTGCCAAGTTCAATGGCACCTCCGGGCGTTGCACGAAATTCGCGCGTGGTGCTGTTCGGCTAGGGTTTCATGATGCCGGAGTCTGGTCCAATACAAGCTCATACGGTGGCGCTGATGGAAGCATCCTCCTCACCGATGAAATCAATCGCTCGGACAACAACGGCCTTGCGACAATCGGGGATCAGATGAAAACATGGTATACTAAGTACAACAAGTATGGGGTGTAAGTACAAGTGCGTGACACTCTGTAGTAATCTTCTAATTTGTGTAGAACCATGGCCGATCTGATACAGATGGGTGCCACCGTTGCCACGGTGGTTTGCCCTCTCGGTCCGCGCATTCGATCATTCGTTGGCCGCAAAGATAACGCAAAAGCTGGACCGACTAGTCTTCTACCAGATGTGAACGACTCGGCAGATAAATTGGTCAAGCTGTTTCAAGCGAAAACGATCGACCCACATGACTTGGCTGCTCTGGTCGGAGCACACACGACTTCGCAACAGCACTTCGTTAACACAGCAAGAGACGGCGACCCGCAGGATAGTACTCCTGGTGTATGGGATGTGAAGTTCTATGGAGAGACTGTATCTACTTCGCCACCCAGGGTCTTCAAGTTCGCAAGTGATGTGGTGCTAAGCAAAGATGCTCGGGTGAAGGACGAGTGGCAAGAGTTCATCAATGGACAAGACCATTGGAACGAGGTAGATCTTGAAGTTATTCCAGCAGGCCATGACTAATATTTGCAGGATTATGCGAAAGCCTATACCCGGCTTTCACTGCTTGGCGTCAACAACATCAATGACTTGAAAGAGTGCACAAAGGTTCTACCTCCTGCAAGAAACTCGTTTGTTAGCCAAGACCAGCCGATCTTGGATTTGTGGCTGCAGGGCCAATACAATCAGCTGAACAATCTAGTGGACGACGCTATCATGCTGACTGGTCTTACCTAGGGTAGCAAGGGGTAAAGGCTTTTTTCAAAGTCTACACAGAACCTTTCAAGCACTACAGTTTATGTTTTATATATGCGTGTCTCTCAACTTCTCCATTTTCGCCTATGCTTGTAAAGTGGCGCAAGTGTGACCACCAGCGGGGCGATATGATTGGCGTTCGTATTTGGCATGCATGTCTTCAGCCTGGTTGACGCGCACAGCCGCTGAGCACCAACGTTCTTCGCTCCAAATTCCACAAACTTCGTAACCTACTTTACCCATACCAGCATGAATGCGTCCTTTGGGCCTCGCGAATGGATCCGTAATCCCAGATTGCTCGAGCCGAACGATGGCCATGTATTAGTGTCCATACAGAAGAAGGATGTAGGTGCACAGTTAGAGTAAAGGCAGTCTATGAGCTGATCAACGCAGGGCTTCAGCATGTCACAGTCTCATGTAGATGACAAGCGCCTCCTGTCATTGATAGACTCGAGCTTTTCAATGAGATCAAATTGGACGCTGACTTTGTTAGAATTCTTGCCTTCACCAAAGAAGTGACACTGATGTACAACCAGGGTGATCACTAGGAGTACTCGTTATAGCGGGGATCATAGGAGGATACCATATCCACCCGATATCCTGGAGGCGTTCATTGAGTATTGGAAGATTGCGGATATTTGCTTCCGTGCACAAGCAAGAGCGGGATCCTGCAGCTTCTTGTGTAACCCTGTACCTGGTGATCCATCCTACACCGGTAGGTCACCTTGTCTATGGTTCTTTCGCGTATCTGAAACATGCTCTAGGTCTTGTCATACGGTTTGTCTACGGTCTACCCTTCCGTGGCACGCTAATGATCACGCACGATCGCAACAGAAACAATACCTACGTAATATGCTTTGGTATCGCCTCAGAGCATGCGCACAGACTAATCGCGCGCTTGGAAGAGTCCCAAAGCTATGCTTTGTTCCCGTTGCACGTGGCTTACCTGCTTTCGGATATCGTTCTTGAAGATCTAGAACGGTTCTCTACGACCACTTACTATGACTTCGTTTCTGTTCGGGAAGCCATGGGCACAAATCTTTACTCTCTGTCTGAAGAGCGCATTACGCGCGCCCCTGATCTGTTCGACATGCCAAGGAGACTTACGGCTCTGGCGAACGCGCTGGCAAGCAATTGCTCGTCTTTGAAGGGCGTGAGCGGCATCCTCGATAGCATGGAGTCATATTTGGAGCGCAAGGAGAACGTGACGAACCATAACACCGCTAGTTTCGATGTCTTTGCCGATCAGTTGAGCCTGATGCGTCAAATCGTTAAGAGCGCATTAAGGAGAAATGAGTATGTGGAAGAATCAGTGCAGGCGCAGGTTCAGATGGTGAGGTACCAATCACGAATACCACACAACCCATGACTGATAGCTACAGGTCTACGCTCTTCGGGCCCAGCAAGATAATGAGTTGAGCCACCAGTATGGCGCCGACATGCGGGTCATCTCCATAGTCACGCTCATATTTTTACCTGGAACTTTCGTTGCTACAGTCTTCAGCACCAGTTTCTGGGACTTCGATCCGGCGAACGAAGGACCCATGGTCTCTAAGTGGGTTTGGCTTTATTGGGTCGTTACTGTGGTATTGACGACATGTGTCATTAGTATCTGGACATGGTGGCCTTTGCTCGGGAAATTCAATGAGAGAAAATTGCGGCCCTTGAAGGATATAGGGCAGACGATGCTGGAATGGAAACACAAGAAGTAGTAATGTGGGAAAGATCTTCACGAAGATCAGCGTCTATGGCAACGGCGCTCGGCATCTGCACAACTTGATTTGTGTATTTGGCACAGTTTCGTGTCTTGCACTATTGATTGCTGGGTGGGTTTAAAGAATTGATGCGGAACAAATAGCTATACCTTGCAAAGTTCAATTGTTTTTGTAGCCGTACTTCGCTCCCCGCTTATTCCACCAACCGCCTAATTTTGAGAAAACCCGCTCACGCCAGCTTGGTACTACACAGGTAGGTATGATGGTTAATTGGCGCGTCTTTGACGATGTCTTCATGCTCTCACTCATATTGACGGTGCTAGAATAGCATGTGCAAGTTATATGACATTTCGTGAAAATATCGCAAAATAAATACCTACCAAATGGGCTTATCTGTAAATGAGATCATCATAATAAATTTGTCACTCTTGTGACGCACCCCAACGCTTTGCTCCAAGCCGCAAAACAGTATCAAGATATATACTACCAGTCTCTGAGACTGCTCACATTGTAAAAGTCCTCAAACACGCTGCCATCTTCAATTTGTCACCGTTATTCAACAGCGATGATCGTAGACGTAAGTGAGAAAGCGCTGGACGTGGCGGACTGGAGCTCTTCTTCTTTTGGGGCGGCGGCAAAATTTCAGTGACGAGAGTCTCTGAGCTGTTTGTTTTTAAGACTACCGGTACGCCAGGCTGTTGAATTCCAGACGTATAAGGGCTCCAAATTGCAGTTGATGCTCCAATAGTCGAAGCTTCCATAGCTTGCGGACATTGGTAGAGTGGCATTGTATGCACAGATATCGGAGCCGGGGTTGTGTTTGAGGCCAGTGCGATTGTGCTAGCTGAGATCATTCGTAAGCACTGGCGAAAACATTCCTTGAAAACGCTTACAAGACTGTTGAGGGATAATATTTGTACAATTCAGACCCCGCCTTCGCCGTCGCAATTGCATAATACCAACGACACCAACAACGAGCGATCCGAACGCCAACAGTACCGAGAATACTCCGAAAGTTGTCGTAGACAAGAACTCGGGATCTTTTGCTGCGGCTGTTTGAGCCGCTGAACTGCTGTTGTGGCAGGACGTGTCATTGTGAAACAACCACACCTCATCAACAGCGCTCTGTGGTCCGGGGCTAAGACTCGGCAGGGCCGAGACTGTTCGCCAGTAAGAGATAGTGTGCATCGAGGCGATGATATAGGGAAGACTAATAGAGGAAGTCATCGTGATTGGCGGATTGTAGTCAGGGGTCGAGACTAAAAACAATCGTAATGTGATCGTGTCAAAGGAGCGGTCTAGAGCGCAGATCTTGGATACATATATCATGAAGCACAGGGACAATGCTGCACGTAGAATCAGCCAAAAAGCCCTTGTGACATCATGTTAGTTGTGTAGGGAGGCGCAAATACCATAAGTACATAGAGCGGGTACGCGAACTCAGCCTCCTGCGCATGTCGTCAGTCACGAAACTGTGAGCGAAGCCACGGCCTGTGGCTTTCCAAAGAGGGAAAGAGTGTGTGCAATTGGTTGGATCATGTTTGTGGCTGTTGCAGGCTTTCGCTTAATGCTCGGTGGCTGGCAGGCTGAGCTTCAGCTGAACCTGAGGAATGTAAAACGAAATGACCTGCACGTGAGTCATTACAACATGTCGAAGTCAAACGTGGGATGTAATATCAACAAATGGATTTGAGAAACGCGTCTAGGGTTTGGCACCATAGCCGATGATTTGTATATCTGCACCCGTGTCGAGTCGAAGGTCGGCTGTAAGCTTGCCAGCACACAAGGCATTAGATATTAAGTAGAGTATTGCATATCCGAGGATGGTTCGCTTCTTGGCACGTGTCTGGAGTGTAGAACTGTTGCTGTATGACGACTTTCACTTTGGCGTGAGAGATTCTGAACGTTTGATGTGATGCCGGAATCTGATTCGCTGTCCGAAGCCCCGCTAACTTCATTGCTACGATGACGTAGGTACCCGTGAACATACTCCGGTACCTATATGCTCCTCAACAGACTACCAGACTCACAATCAGAGACATGGATTTTCCTAATAGCAGCTACCCACGGTGGTGGAAGGATCCAGGCCTGCGCAAGCTCAATTTCCTACTTTCAGCATGCTATCTAGGAGCCATTGCAAACGGCTACGCTAGCTCCCTCATCTCCAGCCTAATAGCCAACCCAAGATGGTTTGCAGACCTCGAAGGGATTTCAAATTCCAACTTGCTAGGGCTGGTCGTGGCTGCGCAACCAATAGGCTGCATCGCTGCATTCTTCCCAGCACCCTGGCTCTCAGACAATTTTGGCCGTCGAGCAGGAATAATGTTTGGCAACATCTGCATGGCCAGCGCATTCATCGGACAGATCTTCTGCCACGACTTCGGGCAATTTCTCGCAACACGTTGTCTTGCTGGATTTGGCGCGGTCTTCAACATCATAGCGGCTTCGGCTCTACTTATGGAACTTGCTCATCCTCGACAACGTGCTATTTCTGGCGCGCTATTCAATACCTTCTACTTCATCGGTTCTATGACCGCTGCTTGGACATCGTATGGAGCCTTGCGTTTTTCGAACTCGTGGTCATGGCGTCTACCAGTGACCGCCCAACTTGTCTGGACCGCAGTACAACTTCCCTTGACTTTATTCTGTCCTGAATCGCCTCGGTGGCTCGCATCGCATGGGAAGCTTGAAAAGGCCAAGCTAATCCTTGCTAAATATCACGCTAACGGAAATCTGCAAGATGAAACAGTGACATCAGAGCAAACACAATTCAGCTTGACGACCGGGTCCGAGAATGAAGACTACAGGGCTAGTTGGTCGGCGCTCTGCAGTACGTCAGGAAATCGAAAGCGTCTCATGCTATCTGTAGTCATCGGTGTGACTACTCAATGGTGTGGGAATGGCGTTATCACCTTTTACCTGGCACCTGTATTGCGTACAGTTGGTGTTACCAGCTCTTTCAAACAGCAAGGCATAAACGGATGTTTGCAAATCTATAACTGGTTTCTAGCCTGCGGCGCCGCGCTCCTCGCTGAGAGAGCTGGTAGACGTCGCTTATTTCTAACTTCTGCCGGGACAATGCTGGTTTTTATGATCTTGGTCACCGTTTGCTCTGCCCTGTATTCGACCTTCCAGTCCATCGTAGCAGGCTACGCAGTCATCACATTCCTCTTCTTGTTCCTCGGCGGCTACGTTGTTGGACTGACACCAATTCCCATCCTCTACATCAACGAGATCTGGCCCAGCCGCCTCCGTGCGAAGGGAACGAGCGTCTTCTGGGTTTCTCAGGCTGCTGCTACTTGCTTCAATCAATACATCAATCCCATTGCCTTGGAGAAGATCTTGTGGAAGTATTACCTAGTTTATGTGGGCGTGTTGATCGGTGTTGTTGGTTTCATGTTTCTTTATGTACCGGAGACTAAAGGGCTTTCGCTGGAAGAAATTGATAGGATGTTTGACAGGCGGCAGACGAACGAGATTGTGCTGGACGCAGCGGAGCCCCAGGAGAACAACGAGCGACACATTGTTGATGCTTAACGAGGATAATCCTTGAAGAATGTAGATCTGCATAGGTGTTCTACTAGTAAGAATAATAAGTGTATGGGCCTTGTCTAATTACTCCAAGCGACAGCGAAAGGCTCCGAATCAATATGTACCAAGTCATCCGCCGTTGTCGGACCATTACGCTCCGCGAATCCTCGCAAACTATCAGTCCTGAAGAAATACTCGCCTGCAGAAACTCTGGTGGAACCCGGATTCAACTTGAGGTCACCAAACCAACCGGTCCCCACGATTCCTCCATCAGCTTGCTCGCCATCATCCCATATTGGAACTGGCCATGCCCTGGTACCGTTACCTGCATAATGGAGGTACGTCCTGATCCAATGAGAACCCATGCCCCTAAACCAGATAATACCTTGCGTCTCGCTAGGGAAATTTACAGCTTTCTTCTGGGCTTCGACCCTCCACACCTTAGGACTGCGATCGAGGTCCCCCTTGAAGCCCAGATAGGGAAGGCTGAGGTTGAAGCCATCTGCAGCCTTGAACAAGACCCAGCCGGACCAAATAGGAAGAAGGTCAGCGCCAGGGTCTTTCGGGTCGATGGCAGTGACTTGGATAGTTGCTTTGCCTTTCGCTGGGACAGTCACTTTGGTGCTTGAGAATTGTAAGGTGGCACCGGGCTGCACATAGCCTTTGTTGTAGATGTCATCGTAGTTGGTGATAGGCTCGAAAGCGAGAGGGCCGCTCCAATGTGTTTCCCGAAGTGAATTCACAGTACCGGCTGGTACGTTCAATACTTCGAACTCCAGGGCCTTGTCCCCGATATTGACTATATCGACGTTCTTCGAGGTGCGGTAATTGGTTTGGTTGAATTCCAGGTTTCGAGCGTTGACATAGGCGGTCGCAGAGGCAGCGCGGTCGACTTGGATCATGCCCGCGCCTTGCTGTGCTGTCGAAGCGTATCCGGGACCCCATCCGCCTCCCGCATCGCGATCGAGGAACTTAGTCGTCGAGGTTAACACGTTTGCCACGCGAGCCATATCAGTCGTATTCAATGCCTGGGCCACAAGAGCTACGGCGCCTGCGACCACCGGCGTCGCGAACGAAGTACCTCCGCCGAATCCAAATTTACCGCCAGGAACAAGAAGTGGCATCTCGGTACCAGGTGCAGCGATGCCCACTCCGGTCGAACCATCGAGGGTTGGGCCCCAAGAACTTTGTCTCTCGATACGACCACCTATTCCTTCACCCTTGGGGCTACTACTATAGCTCGCTATTCCGCTGATGTTGATAGTGATATTGCGGCCGCTCTGGAGTAAGGTTACTAGATTTTGCGCTTCATTTCCGGGAAGGAACGCAACCGCCGTGACGTTCGGCACGTTCACATTGATGTCATTCAGCCTATCTACCGCTCCGGTGAAGTCGGACAGCAGGACGTATTTGGCGCCATGGGCACCGGCTTTCTGGATAATGAGCTCATCGCCGCCACACTCGCCCCGGCGAACAAGTACGATGTGCCTGCTCAAGTCGGGAGTGTTTGCTGGATACTCAGCGCATCTAAAAATCATTCCTATTAGCGATCTGGTTCACAGGATTTATATATCGCTTCACTCACCCATCTGCACCGTTCCCAGCCCATCCACCGAGCGTGGGGTTTATCCAAAGGGGGAGACTAACGTTTGTCCAGCCGTACATGCCCGAACCACTGTTGCCGTTACGCCATTTCATCTTTCCAACAGTGCCATCATCTAGTGCATAAGACGCCGTGTTGTTCCATGCCACGTTGTGCGTGTTTTCGACCATGCCCACACACAGATTGGATGGCGACGTACAGGAAATCTTTTCCTTGTAGAGTCCTTTATTCCCATCGTTACCGGCTGACACCACAAGAAGGATGCCTTTTGCGGCTATCTTCTCGAAGAGCCGCACCTCGCTAGAGAAAGCGGTAAAAGCCCAGTAAGAGCCCCAGCCTAGGCTCAGAGAGACTACGTTAACCTTATCTATCGCGGCCTGCTCGAGCGCCTGCATTATTTTGCCAACGGTGCCGCCTTTGCAACCTGAGATGATGTAGTTCCCAAGCTCGACGTCAGGTGCGACGCCTTGCCATTCCGCGGCGATGCTAGGGACAGACGAGATTAGACCTGCGCAAGCTGTTGCATGGCTTCCGCACATTGGGTCCCCGTGGCGGTCATCAGAGTCTCGTAAGTCTGTGCTAAACGCGATTTTGATACCGGGATGAGTCGTATCAGCCTGAGTACTACTATTAGCAAAAGCGGGGGAGGTTGTACAGACCGATCGTACCTTGGCGTCGACAAGTGCCACCTTAATCCCTTTCCCAGTAATTCCTTTCTCGCGCAATGTATCGACCTGCATCATGATCTGATCGTTTGAGTACAGTTGCTTCATTTGAGCGGCCGTGAGACTTGTTTGACCGTGGCTGACTGTGGCGTTTGTGATGCTTTCCGGGGACTCGATGACATTGCTGAGATCAAGCTTAGGTGGTTCCAACTGCTCATTAGGCATCACACTGACGATATCCGACAACTCTTTGATTTTATCGATAGCGGTTGGGATCTCGACTTCGATGCTGAGCTCAATGATTACTCCTTTGAAGATCTGACCACCGCTGAGGTTAGTCGTGAGCGATGCTGAGACACCTGTAGCCTTTTTGATTTCGCTGAGCAGACTTTGTTGCTGTTGTCTATCATCAGCTCAAACGCATATCGACCCCAAGGCTGTGGAGGATACCCACAAAACCAACGCCATCCTTCAATGCAACGAGGTATGAAGAAGATTTCTTGATCTCGAGAGGCACAATGGCTCGCATATCAGATCCTGGGTAGGGTGAGGTAGCGTGACGGCCGCGGGGCTGTCTGGCATGAACGAGTGACAGAAGGAGAGTAAAGAGCGACAAGACCTTGAGAAGCCAGGCCATGATGAACGAAAATACACCCACGAGCGGATGGTCTCAATAGTCGTCCTCGACTGAAGATCTTATACAATCCGCTTTGACTGTGCCTTGATAAGAATGCTCCTCCGCATGGTAAACTGTGCCGTTTGCTAAAGAGGCGATGGAATATATCCGGTCAACGGCACAGCTTTGCGTTTACTTGGCTCCGTAAGGTAGGGAAGTTGGGTGAGCTTAGCGATTCGTCTTGACGTGCGAAGCGATATCATGCCAACAGTTCTCAGGTATAGACGGTTTTCTCCAATGCGGATTAGGGGTTCTCGCGCGATCACAGCATGACAACGGTCGAGTCCAGGTATGAAGTATATCTCCATGTTTCAAACATACTTCTCACGAAGCTGAGGGGCCCGGAAATTATCATTTCGACAAGAACGTGCGCACAGCAGTGAGTCACTAAGGGCGCTCTAATCCTTGAACTGGTCGCGCCGCATCTGGGTAAATTGCGCCCACCCGCTTTATGGAAAGGGGATGGACAACCCTTGGCTATACTCCAACACTGATCAATGGATGTTGGATGCGGCGTGTTGCTGGGAATAGCAGCGCTGAAGGCTCCGTTGCAACCCGCCATCTTGTGCGGCTCATTCAGCCTGCGGCGTTCGATTCAGTTCAATATCTGTTATCGTCCCAGCACCCGTCGTGACTATGCATCGATGTGACCCTAAGAGGAGCTGAGACAACATAGTAGACAGGTTAACGGCAGAGACGTAAAGCCAGAGCGAAGGTGAAGTGACATGATGTTACGGTTTCAGCTGTGGACACGAATCGTAAGCTGCATGATTACGAACAATTACATGTCATCTACATCTCCGACGACATTATGGAGTCTCAACCCAAAAGTAGTGTTTGCCAGACAATCATGTAGCCGTAAACGATGACGAGGGTGGTTGTCGTAATATGGAAGAGGTTAACGCATCGTCGCACCTGCCCCACTTTAACGGAGCCTCGGTGAAACCAACACCCGGCCCCGCTAAAATTTCAGGACGATCTGCTCAAAGTCGCATCCCCACCAGCACGCTTTCATAAGCCTCTGCGCACCCATTGTCGTTCATTCCAGCTCCCAATCATGTTTTCCGTTCCCGGCTGGAATGTCTCTGCGAACCTCGCGACACAGGTCGAGAAGCCGAAGCCGCAAGACCCTGAGAAACAGGGCAAGAAAGCAAAAAAGAGGAAGCAGAAGCAGGAGGAGCAGGTCAATGAGGCAAATGTGGGAGAGCTGTGGGACAGAGTAATTGAGGGGAAGACACCCAAGGCTCCGGGAAAGACAGCGCCGGGAAAACCTGAAGGTGCACAGGCGGAAGAGGGTGCGCAGGAGGTGAGAGGGAAGAAGAGGAAGAGGGGGACGAGAGGCGCAGGGCGTGGTGACAGTGGAAGCAAGGAGGATGAACAAGTGGCAGACATTACACAAGCAGCCGTTGACGTGAAGATTGCTGCGGAAGTCAAGCCAAAGCCCATTGAAGGCGAATCGAAGCGCGACAAGAAGAAGCAAAAAAAGGAGCACAGGGCCGACCAATCTTCGAAACCTGCAGACGCAACCATGCCATCTGCAGGTATAATAGATTCACTCCTCCCACCCGAGCCCAAAGGCCTCACCCCTCTCCAGAAGTCTATGCGCCAGAAACTCGCTGGCGCCCGCTTCCGCCATCTCAACGAGACGCTGTACACCAAGCCGTCCACCGACTCTCTCGCCCTCTTCAAAGAAGATCCCTCCATGTTTGAAGACTACCACCGCGGTTTCGCGATGCAGACCGAGGGCTGGCCCGAGAATCCCGTGGATGGCTACGTGAACGATGTGCTCACGCGTGGCAAGGTGCGAGATCGAAACACTCCCAAAGACAAGAAGCGGAACGAGAAGAAGCCCAGATACAGAGACCCGACTAAGCCAGAGCCAGAGGAACCGACTACAGCAGGGGGGCTAAAACCCTTACCCAGGAATCTTAAGGGCCATTGTACTGTCGCGGATTTGGGCTGTGGCACAGCCTCCCTCTCCTACCGCCTCCAACCGCACCTCAAATCTCTCAACATGCACATCGACTCCTACGACCTTTCCAAACCTTCTGGTCCTTCTCATTCGCTCGTCACCATAGCAGACATCTCCGCATTACCCTGCGTAGATGGGTCAGCCGACGTAGCAGTCTTCTGCCTCGCCCTTATGGGCACAAACTGGCTCGATTTTATCGATGAAGCATACCGCATCCTGCGGTGGCGCGGGGAGCTTTGGGTCGCGGAGATAAAATCGCGCTTTGGACGCGTCGAAAAAGGCAAACCTAGAAAGGGAAACCCTCCCATCAATTCCATCGGTAGCTTGCGAAAAGGCGGTCCCAAGCCACCCAAGAAGAAAGAAGATGATGAAGGCGAAATGAATTCCGACGACGAAGCGGAGCTCGCGACGCGCATTGATGGCGTGGCTGCAAAGGAAGGCACGGATGTATCGTCCTTTGTCGCTGTGCTGCGTGCGCATGGGTTCGTGCTTGATGCGCCGCCGGAGAAGCCGTCTGCCGCGATTGATTTGGGGAACAAAATGTTTGTTAAGATGCAATTTGTGAAGGCTGCGCAGCCTAGCAAAGGGAAGAACGTCAAGGAATCGGTGAACGGGCTTAAGATGGGCATGAAGGGGAAGAAGTTTACGGCAGTGGAAGACGATGATCCTGATGATACGGAGAACGCAAAGGTGCTTAAGCCGTGTTTGTATAAGATTAGGTAGATGTAAAGCCTATTGCCTATCTTCCTATCACACGTTCCTGTATCCAGATCCTCACCTCCCATCCCGTCACTTCTACTCCCTCTCCGACTTTTCTTTACCCAGCTTATCCAGTCCGCCAAGACACTGAAAACTCCCATCTGTTAATTTAGTAGGCAACATATCGTCCAATTTGCTCGTCGCACTAATCGTCCCCGCCATGCCGCCCCTCCAGATCTGCTCCGGCGGATCATCAGGGTTCTTCGACAGATCTTGCACCACATTTTTTGCCCAAGCCTCACGGTCTTCAGCATACTCCTCTGTCTTCTGACCCGTCACCACTTTCATTACTTCTTCTTTGATTGGTTGGTACGGCGAGTCCACCGGTAGCTCGTACGGATTACTCTTGTTCTCCCCAAAATTAGACTCTAATGACCCAGTCTTGAGGTCAACGACGTGGATGCCGAGCGGCGCCAATTCAACTCTTTGGATATCGTTGAACATCGCCATTGCAGCCTTGGAAGCGGAGTACGCGGCGTGGAACGGCGTCCTTAACACACTCGAGATACTCGTGTTGTTAACGATCACGCTCTTCCTTCCTTCCTTCCCCGATGTTGCTGCGGCCAGAAGTAGCGGCAGGAAAGCCTGCGTAACGGCAATATACCCCCATACGTTGACATCAAACAACGCTTTTGCCTTAGAAAGGTCGAGATGCAGGAAAGGCTGGTAGTGTCCGCCGCCCACGCTGTTAATAAGAAGGTTGAGAGTTCCATTCGTCAGGTTGGAAATATCGTTCACCAAGGCGGAGATAGAGTCTGGACTAATGACGTCGAGTGTCAATATTACAATCCCGGCGAAAGATAAGGCTTTCATGTGCGCTTTGTCGCGCGCGGTTGCGAAGACTTGCCAGCCACCGTGGTTGTGTAGAGCGAGGGCGAGCGCAGAGCCCAGGGAGTTGTCCGAACAGCCTGTTATGACGACCGTGCGAGAGTCTGAGGACATTGCGGAGGTGTATGACTTCCAAGACTGAACTCACCAAATTGAAAGTCTTCTGTATTCCTTGTTATGGTTGATATCAAGCCTGATGTAGTTGGTGTCTATGCAAACGAAGTTGTGAGGTCATGACTATTTCGGGCGCCAACGTTGATCAAGTGTATCTTACACTCCGTCTACAGTTGTATGCAATATTAAGACAGTGTACTTGGCAGATGAAGATCTTTTGAGAACGAGTACCGGTGAGGAAAACCCGATAAATAAAGATTACTATGATGTAGTGTGGTGTAAGCGCGTAATTGCCATTGCTCGGACGCGCTGGCACTCTCGAGTCTATCCATGATGCGCACAAAAACTTCATGTAAGCAAAAAGAAAAGCGGCGATGCGCAAACGTGCAGATTCTTGCACGGGTATATATCCGTCCTCCCATGTAACCCTACCTCTGCACTCTAAGCCATAGCAGCCATCTCCGTCTCACTCTCACTCACACTCTTTCCCCCACGCCCCTTCTTATTAAACAACGTCCCACCCAGGGCGGGGAAGAACCAGCCCGGATGGAAAGCTGTCTGTGCAATAACAGTAATAAGAATCATGATACCCTCCAGGACAATGAAGTCAGTTTCATTGCGCATGAGGTCGTTCGCCCAGCCGCCGAACAGCTCGGGAATGCGGTAGATGCATCGAATGAGTATGCCGAAGTAGGCGACGATGACGGCGCCAGCGAAGAGGCGGAACTTGGTAGAGGTCCAAAGGGAGAGGGCGGTAGGAGAGAGTTGGTCGCGGTGGCGGAAGGTGCGGAGGGAGTATTCGAGGACGAAGAGGGCGAAGACAATGAGGACTGGATCGTTATTAGTGACTAGATAAGGAGCATGAGGGGAGCTTGGTACGTACCAACGACCTGGAAGATGATACCGCCGATCATGATGTCCGTACCCGCATCCAGGGTCTTCTGGTCTCCGTCGTCGGCAGTGGCAGCGAGCGCTCCACCAGCGCTTTGGAGCACCAGGGACGTGATGTCGCACGCGATGAAGATGTAAGTGTACCAGTTCGGTCTCAAGCGACTCCACTGCTCGCCAAAGCTGATGACAACGTGCTTAAGCGTGAGGTAGATGCCAGCCGCCAAGAATGCAGGGCTGAAAATGAGCAAGACAATCTGGATCGTGAAGCCGCCATTGTCGTAGGGATTTTTGTGCATCTGGATACGCCCAATGTAGCCAATCGTTTCGCCGAGACAGCCCAATCCAACTCCTATCATGTACGTCCATGTCTTGTAACGGATACCGAGGCCGAGCTGGAGAATGAAGGCGAGAGCAAAGGCCGCTGCGAAGAAAGCATTCCAACCGAGCGACGGGTAGTACCCGTACACTGTGCCCTCAACGGGGCAATCTGGACCAACGCTCTCGCACCAATCTGGGACTAGGACTTTAGGCCCAGTCATCTTGATCGAGGGAAGGTGGAAGCGGAGTCAAAGTGCGTTGTAGAATTCGACTCCGTAAGCTAGGGGGTGATGGGAAGATATAGCTGGCCCAAGGGGATACGAAAGGAGGATGGGTTAAGGTTGTTGGTTATGGGCAAACGTGCCGTTGAGTTGGGGGGTGGTAAGATTTGGGGGTATAAGGTTGGTGTGTGCAGCTTACCGTTATCTCGATTTCCACGTCGGTGCCTTATATCTATAGTCTCTCGGATGAACTTGAGTCCTTACGCAGGCATACAACGCCATGTGGCATGTCATAGACCAAGCCGCAGGATGCAGTGATTCGCGTCCACTTCCCCAACACCGCCCGCGGGCTAACGCGACCGTTGTTCTACGGAAACAAAATCGAAATAAGCGTGGTAAAATTTGCAACCATGCGATTCGCCCACCAGGGCGGAGCCACGGCGCGATTTGTAGTTCCGCGATTCTGTTGCAATCTGATTTGTCCACTCGTCTATGATGGGCGAGGAGCTTGGTTGCTTTCGTCGCAGGGAATTTCTTAACACTGCCCACGCCTGAAACTCAAACATTGCCGTTCACGGACAAAAGCCAGATAAGCGCGGTAAACTCCACTGTGATGCGATTCGTCGATTCGTGTATTGAGCAACGATGAGCCATCGTGTCAGTGCGTAGGAGCCTCAGCCTCTCACGTTTCGGTGGTTTTGGTCGCAAGTCTAACCCCAAAAGGTTTACATTGTAAGCAGCCGCCGCAGGCTAAGCCTCGAGTTTGTGATGCCCGACCGGTCGGAATGACGCGGACACGGCGTGCCTGATGCTCTCCCTCGAGCGGAGAGCTGGCAAGAGAATTGTGCCGTCCTCCGTCCAACCTCACAACAATTCGGATAGAGCACGTTCGGCGATGACGGTCAACCATAAAGTATAACCTTCATTCGCACGGCTCATGTCAATCCCTTTTCGCGCATGTTGAACGAGATGTCCGATTTGTGAGAAAGGAGGTCGGACGATAAGGGAGAAAACCGAATATGCCGAATGCGAAGAAAGCGGAGCGGACGAACAGAGGTTGGTAGCGGTCAGAGAGGAGTGGAGTGGAGGCTCCGCCATGCTCGGCTCTAGCCGGACGAAAATCGTTCCAGGAATTAGGCAAATTCGGGGCTAGTTTGCGACCGACGACCGACTCCTTGGATTGCCACGAGCCTTACCCGTACGCGATCCTCTTGCTGTGCCCTTCGTTGATCGGCCCCCGGCGGCCTTGTCGCCCCAGTAAAGGGTTCTGCGCGACATCTTCGAAATCTAGAAACGTAAATAGCAACCGATGTCGCCTCGCGTAATGCGTACGCTATGAGTCGTTCTTCTCCACGCTAGAGGGCCGTACAGCAGATGTAGCTGTTGGCTCACCCGCAATGCTTACCCCTTCAGGAACTCGATGACGCTGATTGGATTTCTCTTGGCACATTGTTGCTCCCGTCTTGAGTCTGGATTGCGCGAGATGCGAGCTTCGCTAGCATTCATATTGTCGGGCAGCTGTATCATTGACGCGTACTGTGACGTTGTGGTCGGGTATTTCGCGATGTTATTGATGGCGGGCCTGAAAACATTCGCTGCTGGTCGACGAGTTGAACAGAAAACGGACATGTGTAAGTTGCAAATGGTTCTGAAATTGGCACGGGTGGGATGAATTGGGTAAGTACTCAGAGTATTCGATGCCTTCTGTCCCGTTTCAGAGGACTAGAGTGTAGCGAAAGCGCGAGGAGTATACACGAGACTCATGGAAGGGCTTTTTCGCTAATTAACATTAACATAGTAAACCCTTATACCTCATATCCACGTAGACTAGATGGTTGTGTTTTTTTCGCGCCCCTCCAGATCCCAACCCTTCCGAAAACTCCAATTTTGTTCCACGAAGCTCAAGGATAGATGTCTTCATCGTGGCTCACACTGTCAAATTCCATCACCATGTCTATCCAGCCGCCTCCGCCGTACTGGCACACACTCGGCCCAACATTCTTGAACCCCGCGCTTTCGTAGAACTTGATCAGTCGCTCTCTGCAAATCAGTGCAATTCGTTTCCCCAGCCCGGCGTCCTTCATCCGCTGCGTCCACGCCCTCAACAACACACCACCAAGGCCCTTGCCATTGAGATCTGGGTGCACACAGAGCGAGTGCAAACATATCGTGTCGCCTTCCTCATGATGACCGGTTGATGGGCCGAACTGGTAGTTGGTCTTCCAGTCCGAAGGAAAAGCCATGGCGTCATCTGTGACGAGGTTGCTGCCCTTGAACTTGGTGGCTATGATGTGGCCCATTAGTATCCTTTTGCGGTCTGAGTCTGCAGAGTCTACCGACGGGAAGTCCTTGCGAGCTTTTACTAATTTAGAGAGGGGGCCGGAGACAGTGGGGTAGGCAGAGGAGAAGAGACCAGTGCTTAGCTCGCCGCAGACTGTCAGACGGTATGCGATCTGTAGCAGTGTTAGCCGTAATGCAGCGATTGTTTGGTTAATGCATGTTCAACGGGAGGAAACGAAAGGCACGGGACCGCAACAACAATTTTGTCTTGGCGAAGCGAGGCGAGTGCTCGCCTGCTGTGATGTTGTTTTCGTGCAGCGGGTGGCTGAACGGTCAGGCGAGATAGGCGTTGCGCATGGATGAATGGGCGGTATGCTGTACGCTTTGAGGGACAATGCATCCGACTGATGCCTGAAAAATGCCCGACCAAGACGTCGTCGCACAAGCAAGCATTCAGCCATGGAAGTATCGCGAGGTGGACTAGGGTGCACCGGAGGAATAGATATGGAGCATTCCACCCACCTTTTCCCGCGACGCCGCCTCATTCTCGTCAAATGCGGTGTGCTCCAGCCAGTCGCAGTCATCCAGATCGTCCTGGTTGAGCAACGAAGCAAAAGGATGCAAGTCGGTCATGCGCTTGAAGCGGTCCTCGATGAAGCTGGTGGGCACTTGATAGAGCGACGGCATTGGGTTGGGATCTTCGGGGCTGTCTGCGGCAGGTTCCTTTGACAGCGGCGGCATATCCTCCAGCGTCTTCTTATCCGCTATGAGATCCCGTGGCATGCTGACTTGGCGCTGTGGTTGGCTTGCTGGAGACGTTGAGGGGATGCGTGGGAGGTGTGCCCGTGATCGATTGATGCGCTCCGGGAGGTTTGGCCAGACCCTTGCCGCCGTTGTAGATCGTTGTGCCTTAGCTTACCCTGCCTGTACCACAAGCATACACGAACATGACTACTTGGCGTGGGACTCTCTTTGTGTCGACTTCAATCATGCAAAAGGCGTTGGACTTGAGGGGTCTTCGAGCTGGCATTCGCTTGTGTACGCCGACGGATGGCCACGGTGAGAGGGGACAATGGTTCCTTCCTACGGTGCAAAGGGCAGGCAGGTACCGGGCCGCCGCTTCCCATGCTGTGCAAGCAAACAAACCCCGCCAGTGGCCGGCGGCAGGAGCGAACCCGGTCGCTGGACGAGCTCTCAGAGGGAATTCGAGCTCGCCGTAGTCCTGTATATAGGCTCCCAAACCCGCCCAAATGCTGCAGCCAGGATCAGCCTTCTCTGCCCACTATCCATCCAGCTTTCCAGCCTTGTTTCCTGTGTTCCGCCTTGATGATGGCCTCCCGCCGCGCTAGATTGCCCCGCGGTGGCCCCTGCGACTGCAGACACTCACCGCCGCCGTTTCATGACTCCAGGCAGTGTCCGACGTACTGCGTGGTGCCTACAGCCCACAGCAGCCCAACCAGCTTATACCAGTGCCCCAGCGGCCTCATCATAGCCCAGCGCGCTGCTATAATACGCTGACATAGCCGCGCTCGCGACCACCGCGTAACCGCCCATGATGCCTTCACTTCATCACCGCGCTCCCCGCTGATTATTAACAAGCGCAAACGGCCGACCGTCTTCCACCACCTTCTAGCAACCGTTACGCGTGAAGGCAACACGCTCGGGACAAAGCCGTTGTCTTATAAGCCACCGGCCAACGTGCTGAAACCCTTGTACACAACCGCCGAGTGGGAACCCCGCTGTCAACCATCCAGATCCCCCCAAGCTCCTCGCCTTCCGCGTACCGTGCGACCTCATCTTGCCTCTTTTCAGTTTTGCCTGCATATCGCAGAGGGAGCCAGCGCCCCAGCTGACCGCGACCATGTAAGTCGCGCCGAAACCGTCATGTGCGACGTGCCAAACCCGATGGCTAACCGCTCCTCAAATAGGCCACGCGTAACAATTTCCATCACCTCGCCCAGCGAGACGGACCAGCCGCTCATCACCCTCGATTTGCCCGCCGACCTGACCCTGAGAGACCTCAAGGCTTTCATCGAGGCCGAGAACCCAAACTGCCCCGCCGCCGCCCAGATACTGTTCTACAACGGGATGCCTCTGAGCAACGACAGTCAGACATTGGAGCAGGCCGGCGTCAGGGATAACGAGATGATGGCTGTGCACATCCGGCAGCATGGAAATGTGCAGCCACAATCTCGCCCTCGTCAGACGCGCCAACAGGCCGCCGGTGGAGTGCCACCGCCAGATCCAGAGGATGTGCGACAGCAGCTCTTGCGCAGCCCGCCCACTTTGGAACAGCTCACTAGGCAAAAGCCCGAGCTTGCTGCTCTCGTCAACGACCCTGTGCAGTGGAGAACCGCCTACAACCAGATGCAGCGTGAGCAAGAGCAAGCCCGCCGCGAGCAGGAGCGCCAGATCCAGCTACTGAACGAAGATCCCTTCAACATCGAAGCCCAGAGGAAGATCGAGGAAATCATCCGCCAGGACCGGGTTATTGAGAATCTGCACACTGCATACGATCTCAATCCGGAAGGTGAGCATGAGCCCTCATTTATTTGCGCAGATAACATACTAACGACCCAGTCTTTGCCTCGGTCCACATGCTATACATCAGCACGGAGGTGAACGGCGTGCCAGTGAAGGCTTTTGTCGACTCTGGTGCCCAGGCTACCATCATGTCCCCAAGTTGTGCCGAGAGATGTGGCATCATGCGCCTTCTGGACACGCGCTATGCTGGTATTGCTCGTGGAGTCGGCACTGCTGCCATTCTTGGTCGCGTGCACCATGCCGTCATCAAAATTGGTGGTGTCGATATGCCGTGCGCTTTCACCGTCATGGAGGGCAAAGATGTGGATCTTCTTTTTGGCCTCGACATGCTCAAGAAGTACAGAGCCAAGATTGATTTGGAGAAGAACGCGTTGTGTTTCGCAGACACTGAAGTGCCTTTCCTGCCAGAACATGAGATCCCGAAGGGATTTGGCGCAGATGAGCCTACTGTGCCTGGTCCAGGGAATACCGAGATCGGGACGAAGACTGGTGCTGTGAAGCAGGCCGGTGCTGGGGAATCGTCTGTGGCGGTTGGGGAAGCTGAGAAGCAGCCCGCATCTCAATCAGCGGCGCCAGCACAACCTCGACCTGCACCTGCAGCAGCGTCTTCTCCACAATGGCCGGAGGAGCATATCCAGCAGCTTATGAGCATCACTTCGGTTCCTCGCGAAGTCGCCATCAACGCGTTATCGGCAGCCGGCGGAGATCTAGACACGGCAGCCAGTATGCTCTTTGGAAGCTAGGCGCGACCGAGAACATCCTGAAGAGCATACCTGCTATCGAATCACGCAAGCAAGGAAAACGATCGAATATTTTTATGGGAACGGAAAAAGAACCCCAACGGCTGCTCCAATGATTCCCCTTCGCTGAACCTAGATCTGGCATGGACATGAAGTCACGGCAAGGCACGATCGCAACTCTTAGCGCTTGCATTGTATCGCATGTATTATCTAGCCTCTCTATTGCACTCTATACATGAGTTTCCTTTGTTCGCGGAGGCTTTGACTCCCCTGGAGTCATGGGGTTGGTCTAGGTAGAGTGATAGAACTGAACAGAGCCTTCACGAGTGCGAACAAGACGACTGTCTGAGCGTCTTCTGCGAGCATGCAGATATGTTTTTTCCATGCGCAACGTTAATCACACTCGGAACAATTGCCCGTGATTGGGATGCGATCGATCGACGTGCAACAAAATCTCTTGCCATTGCCAGGACAATGCTACCTTGAGGTCGCAATTATCCTAAGTCACACATGCTGTTGCATTGTCGTAGGTGTCTGACGCCCACCTGAAAAGGCGCTTCACTGCATCGCGCCACAGTGGTACCATGTACCATTCCAAGATTCCCGCAAATCCCTCCATTCCCAGTGCGCCGTCCTTGTCTTGTGTCGTCTTGTCTCCGCTCTGAAGCAAATCCGTGGTACAGCAAGAAAGGATAAAGGGATAGTACACTACCGGCGTAGTATAGAATGGCCATCCTACTATAGCATGGGAAATTTGAAGCTAGCCAGTGTGATTTGCGACAGAGAACTTGGAGTATGTACAAGGCTATATGCGATAGCCGTACGTGGTGCGAACAGCCTTTCCAAGATGATGGTGAAGGTCGCACAAAAGTCATTCAGTGACAATGTTTTGCTGTTTTGCTGTTTTGGCTTTATCTTTGTATCTCAACCTCAGTGTTAGCACAAACCAAGATTCACAACTACACGATGCAACTAAGCTTGTCTAGGAAATGTGTACGTACCTGTTCATGCCTGAATGGTGGACACAAAAGCGTTTCGAGGATTGTCATCGATGACCAAATGGGGAGATACGATTACTGTTGCAACGAGGGGGGCGATGCAGCGAGTAGTGCCAAACCTAGAACAAGGGATTCTTAGAAATGTTTCAACGTAGAAGTAAATCATGTCACATCTCCTTCAATGCTCAGACATAATAGTGTAATACTTTGGCATTCGACAGCAAGGAGATCCCTTTACTCCAAGCCGGCAGCTATTTGGCTACAAACAGACCCTTCCACAAGGTCACAAGGTGTATGTATCACGTTAACAGAGCGAGCCTGACAGAGGTGACTAATGTTTAAGGAGAGTTACGAAGCGAAGCTTTCAACAAGTGGGTATCACGTTAGCATGTCCATGGCCTGACATGACAGAGGTGACTGAGTGTTCCGTGTTCACGAGCTCGCCTCGGCAGAGTCGTTGATCTTGAGAGCTTGGAAGCCCTCGGGCGTGATGTTGACGGCGCCAGCTTGTACGAGCTGTTCGACATGAATAACAGTTCCGATGCGAGTTTAGGAAGGGTGACTTACAGCACGGCTAAGATCATCAATCAGATCCTCCGGGTCCTCAATACCTACACACAAGCGGATGATATCCTCAGGCAGCGCCCTCTCCGCGCGCGTCTTCGCATCAATACTAGCGTGGCTCATGCGGCAGGGCATGCTGATCAAGCTGTTTACGCAGCCGAAGCTTACACTGATAGCCCAGAGCCGGGCGCTCTCGACGATCCTCTCGGATACGTTGACATCACCAGTCTCGAAAGACAGGACAGCGCCGGCGCCACGAGCCATGCTCCAATGGAGGTCGTACTGCGGGTGAGACTTCAGACCCGGGTAGCGGACCTTGAAACCATGTGACTCGAGGAAGGTAGCGATGCGCATGGCGTTGGTTTGCTGTTTCTCCATGCGGACGCCAAGGGTCTTGATGCCGCGGAGGAGGAGCCACGAGTCGAAGGGCGAGAGACCGCAGCCCGAGGCGTTGATGGTGAAGTAGAGTTTTTCGCCCAGGGCGGAGTCGTTGATGGCGATGACACCAGCCATGAGGTCGTGGTGGCCAGAGAGGTACTTTGTACCGGACTCGTAGACGATGTCGGCACCGAGGTCGAGGGGGTTCTGGAGGAGGGGAGAGAGCATGGTATTGTCGACGGCGACGACAGCGGCGGGGTTTGCGGCGTGCGCGATGGATGCTATCGAAGGGATGTCGACGATCTTAATGAGCGGGTTGGTGGGTGTTTCCAACAGCACCATGGCCGTCTTGTTATTTACGACACCACGAAGCGTCTCCGGGTCGGTGGTGTCAACGTGGTGTACAACAATGCCTCCGTGCGTGGAGAGGTACTTGAGTAGCCTATTTGTTCCGCCGTAGAGATCGTCTCCAGTAACGACTTCGTCGCCCGGCCGCAGCAGTCGTGTGATCACGTCGAGTGCGCCCATGCCCGACGAGACAACAAGCGCGCGTTCCGCGTTCATGATCTTAGCGAGGTGTCGCTCGAGGTGTGTCCGTGTGGGGTTTCCAGAGCGTGTGTAGTCGTACTCCATCCCGCCACCGGTTGCCGACGTCTGCTTGAAGGTTGCAGACTACTCAAATTAGCATTGTCTTCCTTTTTCGCCTCAGCGACAAGCCTACCTGGTATATGGGAACCGAAGCAGCATTGTACTGATCGCTGCTCTCGGTGTAGACCAGCTCGGTCGCAAGAGCATACTTCCTGCCGCCATTGCGCGGTGTGCTCGGTGCGGGCGAGGGTGGCAGATCGTGACCGTCGAGGTCGTGTGTGTTCAAGGCCTTGCCCGCGCCATTGACTTTGTCCTTGGAGCTCCCAGGGAAAGAGCCTCCAGACATGGCGGCGGTGATGTGCCTTCCGAGTTTGTTTGCGATCCGAGACTGCGTGACGTGGGGTCGAAGATTGCTTCTTGGATCTCGTGTCGAAGTCAATATACGTCGCTGTTGAAGTGATCGATTGCTATGTCTATTCAGGAACAACAGCAAACTAGGAGGTGTGGAGAGGTAGGCAGGAGGAAACGGAAGCGCAATGCTGCAGGTACTTTTGGTCTGACGTGGGGAGTCACCGCTGCTATTGCGCCATCGACAAAGCCCGCCACTGGCTCGGTTGTCATACTTCCGACCATCGGCCCGCTCGCCCTTACCCCAGATCAAACACAATATCCATCACTATCCGCAGCGCATCCACCTCCGCACAGCGAGTCGAAATCAAGAAAGAAAAGGTGCTTTTGCATGCCTAGAATATGAAGGTAGCGGGTATCCATACTACACACCATCACCAAGAGCTTACAGGAAGACTATCGCCGACCGGATCCAACGCCGATGCTCGCACGCCATGCCCGAGAATCCCAACCCCATCTGCGCAACTGCCGTTATGTCCGTAAATTGACCACTTCCGAAACAGCCCAACGAGACATATAAAGTACAGAGAAGCGCTGTGTGAAAACATCAAGTGCGCCGGAGCCGATTAGAATAACAATATATTCATCGCGGTTTGATGGCAGGGAAACCCTTTCGCTGGTGCAGATTCATGCGGAATTCGAATATGCCCTCCTCCGTGCCGCAGTATAGAGTGCGCCCGTCGGGGCTCATGGCGAGGCCTGCTGTCCGTAGTCCAAGCGCCGGGTCGTACAGGTTGCGGCTTGCACGGCGATAGCCCATGCCCCCAAGACTGTACGTCTCTAAGGGGACATGGGCTTCGCGAGCAACGCGCAGGCGCTCCCGCATTTGAGTGAGCTGTCGTAAACGTCGAAGCTCATTGCGCAATTCTGGTGCTGCAGAGGCGCGCCCGCCATCTGTAGCCCGTGCGTTACGTGCCAATGCTTCTTCAATAGTCCGCCACGCTTCGTCGGTCGATGCGATCATTTCGCTATTGTCTCGACGAATCTGAGCTGTAATCGGATTTGGCGACCTTGTTGTAGCGCCACCTGTGATGTTGCCTCGATGGGGCGGTGCATCAGAAGCAACTACTGTACCATCGAACGCTGAATGTGGTTCAGCTGTGAGGTCACGCAGAACGAGAGATGCCCGGCGCTGTGGTGCTGTGCGTTCCGAGCTCTGGTTAGATTGACGAGTGATCTCCGACACAAATTCCGTAAAAGTGTCAGCAAGTCGCGTTTGAGCTGCACTACGTCTTGCGGCTTCTGCTGGTTCTCTATTGATTCGTTAGCGTCGCGCAAGCATGCTATCACGTGCTGCTGTACATACCTCATGCTCTCGGCAGTAGAAGAGGTTATGTAATTGATGCTCCGAGGTGTGATTCCTGACTCCAGCGCCTCGCGCCGCTGCCTCACCGTTCGCAAAGTTTCAAGAACCTGTCTCTCGTGCGCAGTAAGACCATGCGGATCATCATCTGATTCGACGACTCCAAGCTGCCGGTGAAGCCTCCTACGCTCTGACGAGTCGATGTAGTCGTTCGCAAGGTTAGCCGCCGCGCCAGTCCCGTCCGCGTTCAACGTATGGCGATATGTTCGGATGAAGTCTTCTTCTCGTCGCAAGTCACTCAGCTCTTCTACCTCAAAGTTTGCAATCTCTACTCTCTCCGTGTCTTCATTCTTGGGATCCAGAGTGAGGATTTGCTTCACCTTGAGGTTGGAACGGAGGTCCGCTATGCAGACCCTTGCCTGATCTTCGCTCCAGATCAGAAAATCCCAAGGTGCTGGAGAGAACAGCATGGTTCTCACTGCGCCAGCGCCGTAGGATACGGCCGGTCGGGTTGAGCTGATGAGCTTCACAATAGCGTCTTCCCCATATTCACATCTCTTGAGAAGCTCTGTGTCGAAGATGGAAATGTAGCCACATTCTGAGCCTACGGCACACAGGCGGCCTGATGGCGACCAGGCTGTCGTGAAGTAACCCTCTATGGGCGAGCCTGTTGGCACAAACAGGCAAACTTCCTGCAGCAAGGTCCAGTCCGGAGGAGTTGACTCTACTCGCCCCTCCATATTCTTAGCAATATTAGCCTTCTTGTTCTTGTTCCGCTCAAAGAAGAATCCGTTGTGCATGTCGCCCACGGCTACCAATTGTTGTCCGTCCGGCGATATGGTCGCGTGGTTCATGGGAAACGGAAAGTCCAGGACCGTGACCTCTTGCTTCCGTGTAAGCGAGTAGATGCGCACCGTCTTGTCGTTGTTGGTGAGCACTGCTACAACATCCTCCTCCTTGTCCCCATCCGCCGGAAACTTATGTATCGATATCGAGTTCACGATGTCGTCTCCGATCTTCTGATAGTCCGGCCGCTCGAGGGAGCTTAGGCCTGCCGGACGCGGCAGCGTGGGACGGCCGGTGAAGTCCAGCGGAAGCAGGGCGTCTACATGGGTGGAGTTGGCCGGAGGGAAGCCCTTCACCTTGATGGCGGCAAAGTGACCATCGTCGGCGCCGCCCACACAGACAAATCCGTGACCTGCAGTGGTGCAACGGGCTTCCCAATCAAGCTCCGCTATCTTCGTTTGGGTATGCGTGCTCGCATTCAGGCAGTAGACGTCGGACCCCCCGTCGCGGCCGGTAGGGTCGTCGCGATTGCTGGCATAGTATATGAGGTCTGGCTCCGGAGAGCTGATGAAGTGGCGTAATTGGTAGTGACTGCATGCGTCAGAGGTGTTCCAGTGCGAGTGATCTGAAGAGACGTCACGTACGCGATGGGAATCTTAAGCGGATAGAAGGACCTAGGTGGCAGCACGAAAGTGTCGGTGTCTCGACTCCTGATCAGGTCAGTGTCTTGCAAGCATATCAAAGATCACAGGAACGCACAGGAAGTCATCAACGGCCATGCTTCAGGCGCAGGTGGATGGCAGCATGAGGACTTGACGGACAAGGCGGTTATGCGACAAACCGCGATGATGTCAGCCGGGGAAGCTGCAGCAATTCCAGAAAGCTTCAGTAGGTGCACTGCACGCACGAAGGAGATAAGGAGGACGGGCCTTATAGATGGTACGGAGGTAAGTCGTTCGTAGGAGTGATTGAACGCTGCGTGGCACAATTCACAGGCAGCTCCTCCTCAACGCTGCTGCGCGTACAATCACAGCGCGGAGCTTTCCCCACAGCGCAGAGAGCTTGACACGTGAGCTGCCATGCATCGCGCCACGAGCATTGACACCTCACTGCACTGGTCCGACTCGACTGCAATGCGACGCAAGCAAGCCAGACGATAGACTCTCACCATCTCAACTCATCAGCAGCCGTCGACAGCCTCACTCGGGTGCGCTTCCGCCTCCTGGGCGAGCACAGACGCAACCTCGGCGCCCATCGGTCCAAATGCCAAGACGTCTTTCCCTTCTCGAAATTTCTAATTCGACGACTAAAACTTCTCCTGTCAAAGCTCCCTCTCCATCTTGCCATCATATAAACATCCTCCTTCCCATCAACTAATTCTCCTTCTCCATCGCTTTTGTTGTTTGCGCCTTCCTTCCGCAACACACCCACACATACACATCATGTTCTCGTCAAGGATATCACGAAGCGTAAGTATGCGCGCGCGTGCTCATCAAAACGTTTGACTGACCTCATTGAAGGTTTTGCCGCGGGCAACCGCAGGTCTTCGTCGTGTTCAGCCATCCACATTCCGATCGCCTTTCCTGGCGCGAGGATATGCTGAAGGCTCAGATGAGAAGGTCAAGGGTGCCGTCATCGGTATCGATTTGGGTACCACCAACTCGGCCGTCGCCGTCATGGAAGGAAAGCAGCCGCGCATCATCGAAAACTCGGAAGGTACATCATCACAGTATTTCCAATCGTCACGGCGTTAGTTAATCATCTTTCAGGTACTCGAACAACGCCTTCCGTTGTCGGTTTCACCAAGGATGGCGAGCGTCTCGTCGGTGTCGCTGCGAAGCGTCAGGCCGTTGTCAACCCCGAGAACACTCTGTTCGCGACCAAGCGTCTCATTGGTCGCAAGTTCACCGACGCCGAGGTCCAGCGCGATATCCAGCAGGTGCCATACAAGATCGTCCAGCACACCAACGGTGATGCTTGGCTAGAAGCTCAGGGCCAAAAGTACTCGCCTTCGCAGATCGGTGGATTCGTTCTCGGAAAGATGAAGGAGACCGCCGAGGCGTTCATGGGCAAGAATGTTAAGAACGCCGTTGTTACCGTTCCTGCCTACTTCAACGACTCTCAGCGTCAGGCTACCAAGGATGCCGGCCAGATCGCCGGTCTCAATGTCCTCCGTGTCGTCAACGAGCCCACTGCTGCTGCCCTTGCCTACGGTCTTGACAAGTCCACCGACAGCGTCATCGCCGTCTATGATCTTGGAGGTGGTACTTTCGATATCTCCATCCTCGAGATCCAGAATGGTGTCTTTGAGGTCAAGTCTACCAACGGTGACACACATCTTGGTGGCGAGGACTTCGATATCACCCTCGTCCGTCACTTCGTGAACGCCTTCAAGAAGGAGCAGGGCATTGACCTGAGCAACGACCGCATGGCTATCCAGCGTATCCGTGAGGCCGCTGAGAAGGCCAAGATTGAGCTTTCCTCCTCTTCGCAGACCGACGTTAACCTGCCCTTCATCACCGCTGATGCCTCTGGCCCGAAGCACATCAACCAGAAGATGACTCGCGCCCAGCTCGAGAAGCTAGTTGACCCACTCATCTCCAAGACCGTTGAGCCTGTGCGCAAGGCTCTTAAGGACGCCAACCTTCAGGCCAAGGACATCCAGGAGGTCATTCTCGTTGGTGGTATGACTCGTATGCCCAAGGTCACTGAGTCCGTCAAGAGCATCTTTGGTCGCGACCCCGCCAAGTCGGTCAACCCCGACGAGGCTGTTGCCATTGGTGCCGCTATCCAGGGTGCCGTCCTTGCTGGTGAGGTTACTGACATCTTGCTTCTCGATGTCACCCCTCTTTCTCTCGGTATCGAGACTCTCGGTGGTGTCTTCACCCGTTTGATCAACCGCAACACCACCATCCCCACCAAGAAGTCTCAGGTCTTCTCCACCGCCGCCGACTTCCAGAGCGCTGTCGAGATCAAGGTCTACCAGGGTGAGCGTGAGCTTGTCCGTGACAACAAGCTGCTGGGTAACTTCCAGCTCGTCGGCATCCCCCCAGCGCACCGTGGTGTGCCCCAGATTGAGGTCACCTTCGACATTGACGCTGACTCCATTGTCCACGTCCACGCCAAGGATAAGTCCACCAACAAGGACCAGTCCATCACCATCGCTTCCGGCTCCGGTCTCTCTGACTCCGAGATCCAGTCCATGGTTGACGATGCTGAGCGCTATGGTGACCAGGACAAGCAGCGCAAGTCTGCCATTGAGGCTGCCAACCGTGCCGACTCCGTCGTGAACGACACCGAGAAGGCCCTCAAGGAGTTCGAGGACCGTCTTGACAAGACCGAGGCCGAGAAGATCAAGGAGAAGATCAACGATGTCCGCGAGAAGATCGCCAACAGCCAGCAGGGCGAGGGTGACCTCACTGCTGAGCAGATCAAGGAGCTCACCGACGATCTCCAGAACGCCTCCCTGACCCTGTTCGACCAGATGCACAAGGCCCGCAACGAGAGCCAGAACCAGCAGCAGGATCAGCAGCAGCAGCAGCCCGAGGGTGAAGGTGAGAAGAAGCAGTAAAAGCTTTAACTCGCTGTAGCCTTTCGTCATTTCCATTTCGGTCATTTTCCGCGGCAAAAAAAGCAGGCGTCTTGCATTACGGTCCAACTAACTGGGAAGGAATGGGTCTTTAGACGTGTATTTTGCTCTTGTACGTTTTTCACTGTACCTATACCTCGGGCGACTAGCTTCCTCTTCACTTCTCTTTGGCTTGTTTTGGAACAGCAGCATCTTGTTTTACTACTCCCTACTAGCTTTTATTGGAGCGAAAGATGTGTATGAGAGGAAGGAGATATACCTGGAATGTGAAGGAGATGAAGAAGTGTAACAAAACCATCATGATTGCGATAATGTGGAAGGAAGATAAGCCGAAGTGTGTACTATAGTCGAGTTGTGAGATGGTTACGTCAATGTCACTTCTTTCTCCGCTCTCAACCTTGAAGTTTTGATGTGATGTGGTGTGAAGTTCATTCATTCGGCATGGTGAAGGAAGTTCTGCATACAGAATGAGGGCCGAAGTTGAGTAAGGCAAGTTACCCCGCGATAGGGCATGCGGGAGTGTCCAGCATCGCCAACGGATCTCTGATAATTGTCTGAACAATCCCGTCTGCGAAATTAAGTGCGGCGATGGGTTAAGGGGCCAAAGCTGAGCATATTTCCATGCTATGAGTTCTGATTGTTGATGTCATAGTGAACTACGAGTTGGACGTCCAATAGAAGTATGGTCCTCGCCTCTGATGCTTAGCGCATGGACGAGAACGTATAGAGGATATTGCCCATGAGGTTCGCCTTGGAAGGAGATTGTGGGACGTGTTTTCATGCCCCCTCTTCCTAAATATGGGACTTTGATGGTCCTCATCATTATCGGTGTATTTTTAGCCGTTCAGACAAGAATTGCTTGTATTCGCTTGCTCCATATTGACTTTACTCGCTACAGTTGTGCTCTCTTCTAGGGTGCTAAAAATCTTGGAGAAACGCAAATTGAGGGCGTTCTGGAGGGAGACCAACAAAGGGAGAAGAACAACTGAGTATGGGGTGTGCGTGGTGTGCGTGGTGTGCGTGGTGTGCGTGGTGTGCGTGGTGTGAGACTAGGAAATGGCTTTGAGTGTTCTCATGGGTAGTCGTTGTTGTTTTGAGGACTAAAAGCATAGCGAACAACTGTCATGTGCTTTCACGCATGGGGCTCAGTATTCCTAGAGAGTTTACTGTTTCTGGGACCTCAGGTTGTGGCGATGGTCAACTTGAGTGCATGTCCCTTGGGATGAACATAAACTCACCTCAACACCACTTCTAGTTCGCCAGACTCCTATATAGCTACTTCAGGGGATCGAAGAGATGACCAATGGAGAACCGTCTGCTGCCTCGCGGGCAATGAACCAAGAAGCCGATGGTGAACATCGTGTTGTGGGGGACAATAAAGAAAGAAATAGCTCTGGGCATGAGGTCTGTCACTGGTCTCCGTCGAACGCCGACATGCTCCGCTTCACTGCAAACTCATCAATGTTGTCTGCTTCCGGTGAACGATCGAGTAAATCCACGGGCCCCTTTGAAATCAGCGATGAAGCATTCCCTCAGTCAGTTACGGTCAATGATTCGGGACAATGAGTGTAGATACATGCTCGCCTCGCTTGCGACTCCGGAGGTCACCTCGACATTTCTGCTCTGGAGGACTGGAAAGCAGAAGCGTATGTAATTCCTCGCGGAAGGTATCCAGGTTGGGCAGCAGAGACTCCACGCACCGTGACGGTGGAGCTAAAGGATTAGGATTAAAGTGCGAAATGAGGTCAGCAGGCTTGCCAGGTAGTCTGTATGATGACCGTGTATATAAGCTTAACTGGTACCGTTTCTATGCGGTACATTTACAATCAGCTCGTCTAGAGTACTCAAAAGAACAGGCTGCAGCGCATGGGTGTGCTGGTGGTGAAGTAAGAAACGGTGGAGGGTCGATGGACTGGGCTGCGTGAGGTCTAAACCTTGATAAAAACATTAGACTGTAAACTATCTCCTCGTATGAAACTGAGCTAGCGACGAAGATCAGCCATGGAAAGTGCCGCTCTTAGAGGACTACAGCTTATTGGTGAAATCTTGCTTTTATGAAAGGTGCTGAGAATCAGTGCAGCACAGCGCTCAGAAAATTCTTTAGACGACACGCATGGGTAAGATTCCGAGGTCGCCTTGCTCGTGCTCTCGCTCCGCACTTCTACGCTCAGCTTCTTTCGTGGACCCGAAATTGCGACAATGAAGAGATAGGTGCTCCCTCGTTGGATTTTCGAATTGAAACTCAGGAGCAGAAAGGGATCTGACTGCGGTTAATGCCCAATAATCAGGAAGGTAGCCCATTATCGGTCGTGGTTGACCATAGTGCCACATAGTAACTTGACGCGGATCTTATCGCATCCTCAGTGATTGCCACCCTGGTTCCGCGCTAGGCTACCTAGTGCGGTGACCAACCCGAGGTTTCCAATCTTCCACACTATCATCCTCATCCTTAATGCGACCTTTTCTCAATCTAAAGAAGCCATACAAATTCCTGACAGCACTCTCTGACCCAGAGATGCGTTGTTGATGCTCCACTTGTCAGCCTCGTCGCCTTCCCATTGTGTACAAGGATTCTCCACACATGTCGTCTCCACTTTCGCCTACTAGCAACGTGCGACGCAAAAGAACAGTAGAAGGATCCTGTTGGCCTTGTAAACAACGACGTGTAAAATGCGATCTTCAGAAGCCTTCGTGCCGCCGTTGCGTCGCTTCTGGAACTGCCGAGGACTGCAGCTACGACAAGCTGTTACTCAGATGGAAGAAGCGTCCAAGCAAGAGTGTACCTGGATTGCGACAAGAAAGTATAGTGCTACATAGGTCGCTCGATGATTCTCCGCTGGCTACGAACGAAAAGAGAGCCGTAGATTATTTCAAAGGCCGATTATGGCCGTTATTCTCTACAGTTCACGAACCGATACCACCTCCAGTGGCTTTGGCATTACGGTCCCAGCCGGTACTTCAGGCTCTGTGTGTGTTCGCCGAGGAGCACCGCGCATTGCAAGAGAAGGGACAAGCTCAGCACACTCTCGATAACAGACGACTACATTGCTTGACGATTATACGAGGCGAACTGGGCTTAGATCAGACTCAGACAGCCTCACTATCCGCCCTACTGGTCGCCGTTCTACTCCTGTACTTCCTGGAGGGTTACGTAAATTGCACGAATGACGACGCATCGACTCCTTGCCATGCATCGGGAGCTTCGGCTATCCTAGATGCCCTGGGAGGTTTTGAAGCGGCGTACATATCCTGCGATAGGATGACTCGAATGCTTCTCTCTGAATTCGCGTCTACGGATCTTACAGAGGCGATGATGCAGGACCGGAGAGCCCGCTTTCCCGCTGCAATATGGTCCAGAATGGAATCTGGTTCAGTGTGGTGGGAGAGCCCTTTAGGAGATAAATCGCTAGCCACGATACTAGGTACCATGGCCGAGATGACTGCATATCGTCAGAACGTAAGGGAAGGAGAAGAAACCTGCAATGAGAGAGTACAGTCCTTCGAGAGGGCCTTGCAGCCGTCGTATTCAATGCTCGAGCATTCGGTCGAAGAAAAAAAGTCAATGGCATCGAAATGCGATCTCTTCGATGCAGTCACGGCGTCTTCACTGTCCTTGAATCGGTCTTTCCAGCACGCTGGGTTGATATACTTGTACAGTGCTATTCTCCACATACCGAATCACCACTTTCTGGTTCAGCAGCACGTTCACGCTTGCCTGGAATGCGTACAGGGAATGGATACGAAAACTAAAGTACAAAATTGTGCACTTTTCCCGCTCTACGTTGCGGGAGCACACGCGATCTCTGAGCCGCATAGAACAAGCGTTCTGGAGAAGCTGGATATCATCTACAAGAACCTCAGGTTCGAATCTGTCACCTGTGTCCGCCAGATGCTAGAACAAATGTGGAAGACTCCAAGTCACACGAGCACCTGGACCGACTTATTCAAGGATGTTCCTCCATGTACGCTGGTCATATAAACGTTTGATTTATCTCATTCATATTAATCAACCATTTGCAAGTCCTAGTGTCTAGGACTCGATCAGCGCTTCGACCTCAATTTCGACTTGCATTCCTTCAATTCCAAGCTTCCTAATCTCAACGCAGGTGAAGACAGGCCTTCGGTCTGGCGTGAACTTGCGGAAGTTCTCAATGACGTAGTCTGCACTCTCGTCGAGGTCGATGTGGAATGATCGGACGGCGTACACATTCTTCCAGGAGAGTCTCTTGTCTGCGGCTTGCAGAGCCTTTTCAACGTTTAAGAAAGCAAGCTCGACTTGCTTCTTAAGATCTGGAACGACCTTCCCTGAGTCATCCCATCCACCTTGACCCGATGTCTTCACGACATCTCCGATTTTGACTGCCTGCGAGTAGTGGAAAGCCTCGGACTTTTCCTCGGTGCCAGCGTAGTTGTGGACGGAGACGACCATCTTGGATGTAGAGGGTGAAGAAGTTGTGTTTGGAGAAGAAAGGGCCAGGTAAATGTCAGTAAAATGTTGTATAAGTTGAGAAAGTCTGTCGCTCATGTTTCTAGGACAGCACGCCTAAATACACGGCGCGTAGCCGAAGTAGGAACAGGAAATACGCGCCAAGTCGGAAGGGTAGGGTGGTCGCTGCAGGTTCAAGACTCGACAAGCAATGCTATTACGTCTTCTCTAAAGTACGGATCTCGTTTATCTTCTGTAAACGCCAGCAAACATCAAGGTGATCCGTCTGGTGGAGCCTCTTAGAGTGGCCTTTATCTGCTCCGCGGGTTACCCGCTCACTAGCTTCTCGCCCACCAAATTACCTTTTTCAGAAGGCCAAATGAGGGCTGTCACTCAATCACCACTGCCTCACCGACGTCGGCGATGTGCACATCTCCCCGCGTTCCAAGCCTTGGATCATCTCCACATGTTCGAGCCGTCTACATGGACGTCTTGTGACCAAAATCATTCCTTGTCAGGCAGTTTTGACGGCCACGATCGGCTCAGATATGTGGGTCCAAGCTATTTCTTGCACTACGCTCAACGCGGCAGTTTGGAGGTCCACGCTAAATCCGCTACTTCCCATCGGCGAGGCGATAGCCAACCTGGTGGGAAAATGTGTCCCAATTAGTGTCATGCACGATTGACACGCGTCGTTTATCTCCGTCTTGTGCCCATTTATACAACAAAGTCACAGCGGCGACTACGAGACTACCAAAATCTTGACGGACCTCGTTGCACAATGGATCCATTATTGAAATCATCCACCATTACGATCCTCGGGCTCGCGACTTGCGTGCTGGTACTCGCAATTTCGGTGCTGACGAGATTTCGAAGCACGAAGAAGCTTGTGGCGCGGGCGAGTAGTCCTGGTGAGAAAGAGAAAGGTAAGTCGATCGCATCAGTTGGAGAATATTACCCCTAAACCGCGTCCACAGGCGAGCAAGGACCATTTCGAACGCCACTCCCAGAGCCAGCAGAAGGTTACAAGCTCGAGCTTACGGAACCGAAGCTCTATCGCCCATTCCGACATGGCAAAAACTTCGTTACCATGGGTATCCGAAAGATGGACTGGAATGAATGGATCGAGATGGATTCAAACTTCGTCCGGTACCATGATATCAAGGTTCAGCAGCTGGAGAAAGACATCGATGCTCATGTCGGATACGTCGACAATAAGGTCACGCGATTGGCCTGCTTCGAGGTTTACGAAGAATTGACGCAGTACCTCACACATCGCTTTCCAGAAATGTTCTCGCTGAAGGACGGTATTCTGAGGAACTCGGTGACGGAAGAAAAATTCCCGTACCCGGCTACACCAAAGGAGGCTATGGCTACGGCCGCGAAGCTGATTCAAGATGATATAGCACTCATGGTGCTGAATGACGGTAATTGCATAGTTATGAGATTATATGACGGGGCTGGTGCTAAAACTGCTACAGACGGCCAATACCATCTCGATGCCGGCGCAGTCTGCCTCCCAGGATTTTGGCGGCTGAAGGAGAAGTTCAGAATGTCGCTCGACACATTGCACATCGAAGCTGGCGTCCCGCACTACCAAGAAAAGCTCATGAAGTCGATGAACCGCTTCTTCGCACGCATGACACCCGAACAGCCAGTGATCAGAAACAACGTAAGTGCTCTGTCCATAACTTCCCTTTCCAGCACACGTACTCACAATCTCTTGAAGTTCTTCATTCAGCTTGACGACGGCCTCCACTGGTCCCACCGCATGGGCGACGAAAAGAACGTCGACCAAGTGGCATCCTGGGCGACCGCCAACTCGAAGGATCTCACCATCGACGAGATCCACTTCCGCTCGGAGAGGCAATCCCTGCGTCGTCTCCCTAAATCTGGAGCTCTCATGTTTACCATTCGAACCTATTTCGAGCCTATTACAGTCGTTGCGCAGGAACCGCATGTGCCTGGTAGATTGGCAGAAGCAATTCGCGCATGGGACGGGACGGTCAGTCATTATAAAGGGAGGAGCCACTGGGAGGGAATAATGTTGCCTTATTTGGATGAGATGCATCAGAAGCAGGTGGAGAGTGGGGCGCTAGAGACGGAGGAGGGAGAGTTTCCGTTTTAGACAGACAAGGAATTGATAAGACTTTAAATTTGAAATTATCTATATCACATCTAAGATACAAAATACAAATTCAACAAGATGTTATCAATCCTACAATCCATGGGTGATGTTCAAGTCTAAATTTGGCTTAGAAGCATGCCTCATTTGCTTCTCAACGAAGCGACAAAGCTTCTCAGTCGTAATGCAAAGTCTGATCGTGCATCATGTGACAAGGACCCACTGTGAGACAGCCTGTTTGGTGAGGAACCTATGTTATTCCAAGACTACATACGAGCTTGCTCACGCCTTGATACGGCCAATCTTAGTCAGTGTGAGCGAAAGTTAAAAATTATTTGATTCAAAGTCATACTTTGTAGTGGATGATACTGAAAGTGAGCCGATAGGAATACAACTGTTGCGACGAAATATTACATAAACCCAGATTCCCGTGCCCATTGCATGTAAAGCTTGCTTAGTACATCTCGTCGATCTCATCTGGCGGTCCGGTGAAATCTGGCCATAATTAGCATACCGTGCCTGGGTTCTACGACCGATTCAACTTACGTTTTCTTCCAGACATCGCATACCAAATGCCACTCAGTGACACTAGGCCGACCAATACGACCGAAGCATAATTCATCGAAACTTCGCTAACTGGAAGTGCCGTCGGCATGCTGAAAAGAACAAGCTCGAATAATATCCACGCAATAGCAAGGACATTTGCCACTGTGCCTGCGAAGTGGCCGACATTCCAACGCGCGTGTGAGACCTCTTTACGACATGTGCCCAGACTGATGGCAATAGGAACCAGGTATCCGATAGCCAGCGCTATAACCCCCACAGAAGCGAACGCTGTAAATGCCGCACTGCTCCCCAGATTTATGAGTCCAAGAAGCATCTCGATTATTGTAACGAGGGCTAAAGCATAGATGGGCGAGTCGGCGATGGTACGGGTCCAGATGTTAGCGAGTGGCAGTGCGTGATCGCGGGCGAAAGCCCACGTGCAGCGTGAAGCGCCTGTAGTGATACTGATGGAGCAAAAAAGTGTGACCAAAAAGACCATGACCATGAGAAATATGGTGCCGGCCTTTGTTCCCATCACCGTAGCAAGGATGAATGGTAGAGCTTGGCCGTTGGGCGCCGCCAGGATGGCTTCGAGCGGTGGTAGCGTAAAGCAAAGCGGCAGGACGAAAAAAAGCGAGGCAATGCCACCGATCGGTATACAAAGAACGAGCGAGCGCGACACCTCTACCTCGGGGTCTGCGCACTCCTCCGTCATGGAAGTTATCATACCGATGGCCGAGAAAGCGTACGCTGGAGGCAATAGGCCGATGAAGAAAGTGAAACCTTGACCCCAACCTGAGAAGCTGGTGTCGTAATTCCCAAGAGCATAGGACGCTGAGTGTCGGCCTGATTTCGCTTGGACGACGACGCCGATGAAGACGGCAATGATTGTAACGACGCTCCAAATTGCGGCCGCGGCGTCGACGATGGGTAGCATCTTGTCTCCGAACGCACAGATGGTAAACGTCAGGACGCATACAGCGTAGAAGATGAGTAGTAGTTCCCAGCTTGATGCAGTCCACTCCGGGTGATAGACGGAGACGGTCGCCGCAATCAGTGAAGCAAACCCGAAATTGACGGACAGCGTGATGGTCCAATTGCCAATCAGCCAGAACCATCCTGTGATAAACGAAAGTAGTTTTCGCATATTTTTGTGTTCACCGCAGAGCCGGTAGGACCAGTAGTAGACGCCCGAGGAGGTGGGATACCGCGACGCAAGCTCAGCAAGTGAGACAGCCACAGCCCCATCAAGCACAAGGACGACGATGAGGCCGACGAACATTGAGAGCTGACCACCGCCGTAGACGGAACTGATCATAGGCGATCCGAAACCGTAAGGAACTGCGACAATAGCAAGAGCCATGCCGAGAATACTCCAGAAGGAGCGGTTCTTCGTGAGGGTTGTCGAGTATCCAAGTTGCACATGTTGGACGACACCCTCGCCATGGTTCGTCGGTTCGTGTCCCATGGTGTCGTTGAACTGTTTCTTTTCGGTGGTGGACATCTTGGCTGCGATGAAAAGTCTGGAAGATGGCAATAATGATTGAAGTGCGCAGACACTGTCTCAAGAGAGATACGAAGGCGTTTATGGCGTATATGGATGGTGAATAAACGGATCACGAGGGACTCGGTAAAGAAATCAAAAGCAGTGACAATTGTCAGACTGCCTGTTCATGATGGTGACCAATGAAGGGTCATCTGATCGCCGGAGACACGACTCGATGCGGCGCAACAGATAGCCATCTCATGAGGCGTCGTCCGATGCGGTAAGTAGATAGGCATCTTGAGTTATCATGCGGGGCCCCGGACTCTGTGGAGTCGTTTCTCGAAGCCACAAAGATCTGTACGTCGAGCAGTTACCATGATTTTGGGCTGTCTACTCCCAATGTGGCAGTTTGATAGGCATTCTCTAGCGTTCTGTCGGCCAGGGTGGCCGACGAAAATATGGGTTCGGTGGAGCGTGCTAAGCGGCGGCTTCTAACGTGAGGCGCTAGTCTTTATTGGGCAACTTTGAGGGCAAAGAAAGACGATCGGCCCGAATCACGTCCAGCTCCTGCGGCCCTTTAACCTCCCCCTATCGAGCGCTCTCCTACGGAGGCTTTAACCTTTTCGCGTACAGCCATGATGCACTATGAGGGGCGTGGGCTTGTTTTGGTGCGGGGTTGCTTCCGACCCTCGGAAAGCTATGGAAACTGCGTCTGCCGACTGATAGGTTGATAGGGTGTTCATCTACTCATCGCAGCTTCCAACCCATTTCATCCTTTCCTCACTCCTTGCTTAATCTCTTCTGTCGATTTTCTCCTTTGATACCCGTAATGGCAAACTCGATTGAGCTCAAGGCACCTAACGGCGCTACCTGGACTCAACCCACTGGTCTTTTCATCGACAACGAATTTGTAGCAGCGAAGTCTGGTGAGACGCTCGAGACCATCAACCCTTACGATGAGTCCGTGATTGCAAAAGTAGCTTCGGGTGGTTCAGAAGACATCGACATCGCTGTAGCAGCGGCGCGCAAAGCATTCAAGTCGCCCGAATGGACTGACCTGTCCTCGGCTGAGCGTGGTGCGCTGTTGTGGAAGCTCGGAGACCTTTGCGAGAAGAATGCACACGTCATTGCTACCATTGATGCGTGGGATAACGGCAAGCCATACCAACAGGCGCTCGACGAGGATGTGGCCGAGACCATTGCCGTTCTCAGATATTATGCGGGGTGGGCAGACAAGATCTACGGTCAGACTATTGAGACATCTAAGGCGAAGCTGGCATATACCAAGCATGAGCCTCTCGGTAAGTTCAAATGAATAATGTATCGAAGAGTATCACTGACACGCAGCAGGCGTTTGCGGACAGATCATTCCGTGGAATTTTCCAGTCATGGTTCGTTTTGAATAATACCTCCATTCCAATGCTAATGGTTGCAGATGGCTGCTTGGAAGCTCGGTCCTGCGCTCGCGTGCGGTAACACTGTGGTGTTGAAGCCCGCCGAGCAGACACCGCTCAGCGCCCTCTACTTAGCCTCACTAATCAAGGAAGCTGGATTTCCTGCTGGCGTGGTCAATATTGTGAATGGTCTTGGCAGAAGTGCTGGTTCGCGTCTGGCTGAGCATCCCAAAGTTGACAAGATTGCGTTTACTGGAAGCACCCTGACAGGCAAAGCCATCATGAAGGCTGCTGCGGGCAACCTCAAGGCTATCACGCTAGAGACAGGTGGCAAGAGTCCGCTTCTTGTTTTCGAGGATGCCGATCTAGAACAAGCTGTGAAGTGGTCTCATATGGGCATTATGGGTATACCTTTTCTCTATACCTATACATTGTCACAGTACTAACCTTTTCTAGGTGGCGCAGGTCAAGTGTGCACAGCAACATCCCGTCTCTATGTTCAGGACACTATCTGGGACAAATTCCTCGAGGCTTTCAAGAAGCACACCAAAGAGAATACTAACGTTGGCAGCCAATTCGATGCTAACACCAACCACCCACCTCAGATCAATAAGGCTGCGCAGGAAAAGATTCTCGGATACCTTGACTCAGCAAAGTCCGATGGTGCCGAGCTCATTCACGGAGGCAAGCAATCTGGCATCCCTGAGAAGGGGTATTTCGTCGAACCTGCGGTCTTTACAACCTCCAAGAACGATATCAAAATTGTACAGGAGGAGATCTTCGGACCCTTTGTTGTCATCCAGCCTTTCAAGACCGAAGAAGAAGCCGTTGAGAAGGCGAACGATACTGAATACGGGCTTGGCGCTGCTGTCTTCACCAAGGACATCGTGCGTGGGCACAGGGTCGCAGGGAACATTGAGGCGGGCATGGTCTGGGTAAGCGCGGATCTTGGTCTTGGTTGGCATATGTTAACACCAGCTTCAGATCAACAGCTCACAGGACTCACATTTCGGTATTCCGTTTGGTGGATACAAGCAATCTGGAGTCGGTAGGGAACTGGGACAGTACGCTCTCCAGTCGTACACGCAGGTCAAGGCAGTGCATGTCAACTTGGGCACCTGGCTATGAAGCCACATTGTAGTGTTGGTGCACTTGTACGATTTGATATCCCTTCATTGTAGCGTAGCTTGGAATTGATGTATATACATGGACAACCCACGTGAACCCGCAATAATCAACAAATTATTTCCAATGGGAACTTTACCCCGCACTATTTCTTTCCTCGAAGGTGCGGGGTCCATTCAGCTCCCGTTCTTGAAAGTGTGTAGTTGGCTCAACAATTGTTGTCCACTAGCGATCTTTAGACAGAGCAACCCCGGATCGCAAGTCGACGATCGACCGCTTTTTCGACCTATTTATCTCTGTTAGCAAGGTTTCTTTAGCTGTTTGTCAACAATTGACATACATTGCTTCTTTCTCAGCTTCGAACTTTCAACAGAGAGAAGAAACGGCACTTAGACTTGGCTCTCTGATTCTAGACACCACATACCAACCAAGAAGCACATTTATGTGTACAATTGTTCTAGTCTTCCAGAAAGAAAAGATGTCGTATAGAACCTGGCCAGGTAGGTAGAGAATGAGCTTGATAGGTTTACCAACTCCCTTTACTGTCTACGTTACCATGCCGCAGGCTACAGAGCGCGAGCATGACAGAGTGCCACCAATGCTTGATTATCACGGACTAGCGTTGACCTACACATGGCGAGGCGTCTTGTGTCTCTTGTCCTCTGCCATAGTACCACAAGTAGCGCTTTCTCTTTACTATAACTCCTCGCGGAAAAGAAGCACATATCGCTGCATCGAGTTTGTTTCGAGACTCTCCAGAGAAAGCCACCGGTGATCGCAAGCCGAATGATATTTAATTTCCGGAAACGAAAGCCCCACGCCGCCAGCACACTCTTCGACTCTGTTATGTGCGATTTGGATTCCTAGACCAGCAGCACATTCACCTTCTGCCTGTTCTTCTCAGTCCCCTCACACCGAACAGCATCTGGTTCTGGGTGATGCCTTTTTAGTATTTTCCGGAAGGAACAACGGTCCAGGTTTTTGTCCTTCACAAGCCGCGCTGCACATGCATCGTTACTGACGGTATTTAAGTATCTAGAGAGCGAAAAGCACATTGTGTTTCTGTTGCCGAAGTTTGTTCCCCGCAGAGCCGAATGCACATCGGTTCATGTCACTTTGTTTTAGGTCTCCGCAAAGCGAGCAGCAGCACATGGCGCGCAGTTAAGCCCATTTTAGGTCCACGCAAGGCGAGCAGCACATGGATCTCTGGGTCGATCATTTTAGTCTCCACAGAGAAAGCAGCACATAGGATTGTACGGGCTTTACTTTTAGTCCTCGCGAATTGGATGAAAGTTGTGTGATTCATAACTCGGGACATAATGGGAGCTTTCATACCTTAGCTGATGGGGTGCGTATATCAATGGTGATCATCATTACCGAAATATGCCCTCTCACGTAAAAAAAAAAATTTACATCTTGTAACGTTGAAGTTATCTGATCGTACTGTCTAAAACCAGGCCAATTTACATAAAACGCCAAACACCATGCTGATGCCCTTCACTCCACTTCTCTATCCCTACCTTGTCCCTCTTTCCCCCGTTCTTCTTCCTATCTCTCATTGCCCATTTGACTCCTCTCCATTTCCGTTCCCTGCTTTACTCCCCCTTCCCCTGCCTAACCATCCAACTCAAAAGATCAACCTTTGTCACCACCGCCTTCGGCACCAACTCCTCACCTACTCGCTCCGTAACCACAGCCGCCGCATTCCACTCGAAGAACTTCATAAGGTCTGACAGCTTGGTATCAACCGTGATTTCCACAAACTGTCGTCCAATACTCTTATCAGCACCTTCTAGCGACAGCCGTCCAAGGTCCTTGACAACCTCCTCCAGCTTGCGAAAATCGAACATCACCTCCTCCACTTTGGTTTCACCGGTGGCGCGTCCAGAAGAGAGGTATGAGAGGACATTGCCCAAGGTCAGGAGACCGACGAGTTTCGGGTTTCCCCACGGAGGAGTACAGAGAGACGGGCAGCTGGTCGAATCCTTTCTCACGCATAGTCTCGATGGCTTCGGAGCAAGGGGAAGAGGTTGGGATTGTAGTGATGGGTTTGAGGCGGAGAGCGGCGATGGTAGCGCCTGCGAAGGCGTCTTTCTTGGTGATGGAGTTTGTGCGGGAGCGCGGATTGTTGGGGGTGATGGGGGGTGTGGGGGAGAAGGGAGTTTGCGGCGAGCCAGTCGTCGTCGACGAACTGTTGTTACGTTAACATGTGATGGCCTGAGTGATTGAAAAGGGGAGTGTGAGGGAAGGAGGGAGACGTACCTTGCTCAAATAGCTGCGAATCGAGTCAGGGCAGACAACGACAACGACATCGTCCTCTCCCAGCTGCAACTCCTTAATCGCCTTGACCGCCGCATCTAGCGCGCTGCCGCTGCTGCCACCGCACAGGATTCCTTCTTCTGAGATGAGTCGACGCGCATACTGGAACGCCGTCCGATCATCCGTCTTATACCACTTATCCACGACCTTCTGCTCCAACACATCAGGAATGAAATCATACCCAATGCCCTCCACCTTATACGGTTTATCCTTGAACTCGTCGTTCAACTGCGTCGGCAGCGCAAGGATGCTGCCCTGGGGATCCGCCGCCACGATTTTCACGTCCCTCTTGTGCTTGTGGATCCCGCGCGCAATGCCCGTCACTGTGCCTCCCGTTCCCGCGCCGGCTACGATACACGTGACCTTTCCCTCGGTCTGTTCCCAAATCTCCTCAGCCGTGCCGTGTTCATGGGCGAGGGGATTATCCGCGTTCGTGTATTGGTCGAGGATGTGCGCATCCGGCAATTCCTTGACTAGCCTCCTTGCAACCCCAATGTGTGACTCTGGGGAATCCCACGCCGCACTCGTCGGCGTTCTAACCACCTCGGCCCCCAACGCCTTCAACACCGCCACCTTCTCCGGGCTCATCTTCTCCGGCAGCGTAATAACAACCTTGTACCCCTTGACTGCGCCCACGAGCGCAAGTCCAATCCCCGTGTTCCCCGAGGTGGGCTCGATGAGCGTGTCGCCCGGCTTGATACGCCCGCTGCGCTCGGCTTCTTCGACCATGCGGAGCGCGATGCGGTCTTTGACGCTGCCGCCGGCATTGAACATTTCGAGCTTGGCGTAGACTGTGGGTTTGAGGCCGAGGGATTTGGGAATCTTGTTCAGGCGGACGAGAGGCGTGTTGCCGATTTGTTGGGTGATATTGTCCATGACGACCGGGGGGATTGCGGGGCGCGTTTTGGTCGACATGGTGGGCAACTGTTTGCTGCTTGCTGTTGTCGAAGAGATCGCCTGAGGTACGGGTAGGGAAGGTGGTGGAGCGGGGCACAAAGGTAAGATATGAAGTCCGTCGGTATGCTGACCGTCGGTTTCCTGGCGAGGAGGACTTGAGTAGTTGTTGTGAAATGAGAGAACGAAGTGGCCTCAACGTCGCGATACACACCGTCAATAGCGCAAGCTATCGAAAACAAAGTCTTTCGACCTGCAGACGTCTTTGCACGTTGGCCCGCCACTAGCCGGTCCACACGCCTCGGTTCCAGCCCACCAAGCCAGCGGACGCCATTCCATTTACGGAACGCCATCAGCCCTACAAGCACTGTGAAATTCACTGACAACCTTCTTCGTCTCGCAACGTCGCGACTTGATTCAATCACGAACACTATCAACAACCAAAAGATTGATACTTGACCCTGCATAAACGTGCAGCCAATCGCCCCGTCAAATATCGCGATCACGCAACCGGCACTTGTTTCCACCACCGACACCCAACATCCGCTGCCAACGTAGCACGATATGAACCCGCGCTGCAGATTATAAAGCCACTGGTACCCAACCTGCGGAGAGTGTATTGTACCTGAAGATCTGTGATGCAGACGGTGGTTGCACAGCGGCGGAAGAGGCTTTTGCCAGCCCTTGTTTCTACATATAAAGACCTCCTGATACCAGGCTAGAACAGGTATGGTAAACCCGCACCTAATTTCGATGGTGTCTTGCGAATTGCCTAGAGAGGTGTGCCATACGCCGCTCTTGTCCTTGCGCGCGTACCGCGTACCTGCACCCGAAAGGCATCCTGCAGAATGATAGATGAAGTGATGCTCTAGTTGCGCAGGGATGGTGACGAAGTCCGTTGGCGCCCAGCAAGGCTCGAGAAGGCCCGAGAGCAAGCGCAAATCAGACCACTTGTACCCTTTGGGAAGCCATCCGTAGCCTCCGCATCCTTCCCTTCCCGTTGAAGTAGGGGTGGAGCGGAGCGCGCCCTGATCAGTGGCGCACGCATCAGCTTATGACAGGGGCAGCGCAACATGGAGCAGGGGTGCGGCGAAAGAGGGTTTGTTAAGTGCCTGGGGCGTATCTACGTGGCGGTCGATGATGGATGTGAGATCTGAGGTATGTCTGTGCTTGGTTGCAGGGACGGGGTGCTGCGAAGATGAACGGCGATCAACGATCCTCGTATTCGGCATATGTTCCTACCTCACGAACAAGCTTGCGAGTTCGCGGTCAGCATACCACTATCGTCCGGACAGCACCGGTTTTCATTTCGATTCGTTGTCACTAGACAAGGAACCTATCCCGCGAGGGCTGTGCTGGGGTGGAGTGGTTTGCCCTGCTCTCGGGCCTTCCCCAGCCTTGCTGCGCGCTATGCTGTGGATCGAAGACAGAATGTCTTACTGACACGAGGGTCAGGTACCCTGTCATCACCACGCGTCGAGCACGGTGTTTGAGAGGATCTCGAGGAGATGGTGCGGTCAGCTGACTGGCTTCGAAGAGGGTGTGAAGATCCTGTTGCGGTGCTATGAAGGCTTGAATCGTTATCGATGCTGTCGCCAGCGCGAGACACAAGATAGTGTTGCAATGCCCCCGATGTCGAAGAGGCTTCGACGCGGGACAATGGCTTCGGAAACGGGCCGGAGCGCCGACCCAGTCTTTGATTGTAGTCCAGCAATGCCCTATACAAGCAACGACTGTCACCACAAGTTTGAGATGTAAGCTATCAGCCCCATGCCCAAAGCAGACCGAACTGGGTAAGTCAGTGGGGAGAGGGCAGGGTTACTGATTCGTGGCCATAGGGCTGAACACTTGGTCCCACCTGCTTCCTCAGCCCTGTGAACGAAATTGACCGTCATAGGGCAACGCAAAAAAATAGCGCACCGCACGTCAGACACTAGACCTTATCATCATTTGCTGGGCCCGAGTGTTGGGATAACATGCGGTGTAATGAACCCAGCGAAGAGGTGCTGGTTCTTGTCATGATTTGATAGTAGTGTAGGTAGATTTCTTGCATGCAAATCTGTTCTGTCCACCCCAAAGACATGCAATGCGGCGGTGGGTTTGGAGCTTGATGGCTCCTTTACCAGAGACAAATCGGATCAATTGGCCACTTGTCCTCCGGCAGAGAGGAATTGCAACGCATCCGGTTTTCCACACTAATTCAAACAGGTGAGTGGGAGCGGTGATCATGCTTAAGTGCGAAGCAGAATCCCACGGGCCACGGGTAAGGCTGATTCGCAGGACGATTCTCGAACCGAAGCGGTGCCTTCACAGGTGCGAAGCGATCCATTCGTACCAGCTCCTCACATCTGCGCCGTCCCCACGAATAACATGGCCGCCATGCACGGTAACGGAGGTACCCACTTCCTCCATCTGACCAAACTCGAAACTGCCCTCGCCTCCCTCGCCTAGCCATTCCCTCTCCTCATCTAAGCCCTCTTCCTCGCCGCTCAAGGCAGCTCCAGAGTCCTTCAGGCCCTTTGCTCGGCTTTTTCTTACCTCGGAAATGGCCTTCTCCAGCTGTTGCGTGACAAGATGCGGTGGTAGTGCCGTAAATAGATCCATCTTATTCGCAGCTATCAGCACGGGTATTTCCTTAGGCCCCTTGCTGGTGGTAGCCCCTGTATATCGCTTCTGCAAGGCCAGCAAGACGTCGTGTAGGTACTCTGCAGTCTCATTGAGGCCTGCCTCCTCGGCGACCGTCGCCGCATCAAGAACGAAGATGATGCCGCGAACATTGGTAGGATTGGCTAGCTGCGTCGTCGCAAAATGGCGTAGCTTGCCATGGCCAGGGGTATCGTTCAGCAGGAAGCGGCGCGAGCGTTCATACGCGGGGTCGCCCGGCGAGCGGTAGTGCGACGACTGGGGCGTGTGGTCTTCAGGAAGGAGGACCTCGATAGCCGAGGGCGCGGTTGACGTGTGTGTCTGAGCTACGGCTTTGCGTTCCGTCTGGAGTTGAGTCAGTCTTTAAGCCGGGTACCACTAAAACAGGATGCAGGTAAATGACGGATCGAGGGGCGGTTTTCCAGGCAGGGAGGGGAGAAAGACAGGAAGAACGCACCAGAGTGAGAAAGGCCGTCTTGCCTGCGCCGCTGGGGCCAATAAGCAGGAAGCAGGGCAATGTCGTAGGCGTCGCTTTGCGGTAGATGAACTGGTGCAGCAGAATCGGGAGCAGCACGGCGAGGAGGAACGTGATGGCGATGGTTGAACCCTTCGGAGCGAAGGCCGCCGTCGCCCAGCTGTCCTCGTCGTACCACGCCATGTGAGAGGAGTTGCGCGCGTGTATCCGTCAACTGTGTCTGGCGTGGGGGGGCGGTCGAGAGATGACGACAGCGTGTTGTGCCCTGAAGGTTTTCGCGAGCGACGCCGGCCGGCGCGGAACCAAAGCCGCGAGCCGGCGGGAGCTAATCGAAGCTTCCCTTCACCTCAACCACGCCTCATACATCAATAAACTGAGAATAAGGAGAAGGGCCGCCTGCTCGATTTCAAACTACACACGCTTTTGGGACTATAATCATACATAGACAAAGCCACCATCATTAGCACTGGGTGGTCATCCCCTCTTCTCATTGCAGTCTCCAGCTCTCTTGCGCCGTCCGTGATCCGTGACCCGTCATTCATACATTCCATGAGCCGCGCCATGTCCACCGAGCGGCACGGCAGGTACCGCCCACGCCCGGCAGCTATAGCATAACAGAAAGGGGTATGTCCGTCCGCTGATTTTGTTTTACCAATGCTCCATGCGCAGCCTGTGCATACATTCCAGAGACTCCATATATTGCCGTGATAGATTCCAGCCAGCCCACCCGCCGAACACCTTTCGCAGCCGCCTGGATGCGCCAACCCCAATAAGTAATGAGACATTAAGACAATACGAGACAAGGAATAGGGATATAGAAAGGGTCGCTCATGCAAGTCATCAGGTCGTGACATGACGGAAGCGCTTGTGCAGGACTAAAAATGCTTAGAAGAGAAAACCGAACAAGTATAGAATGCCCACTTGGAGCTGTGTAAAGAGTGACGAGCAAGACTGGCCAGTCCCTTGAGTGAAGGCAGGCGCCGTGATGCGCGTGCATAGAACCGCGTACCCATTTCGTTATGCGCGCTTCCCTCACGCCGTATGCCGCGAGAAATGGTGTCCGTGCGTAGTTCGGGCGGTGCGAGGGTGCCATTGGCTGCGGCAAAGTCATCGCTCTTTACTCAATTGAATGAAACTATGGTGTTGTAACATGTCATGGAGACGGGGTTGTTGCTGGGGATGCGGCGGGTTTGCATCCATGCGCTGCGCAGAAGAGATACCGAAATCAGCTGTGCTGCGCTTGAACGAGCCCAGGAGAAGAGTGTTGTTGATGTCCGGTCAGCAGCTATGACAAGTCGCAGCGAGGCTGCCTCGCTCATCAATAGCCTGCAGCATGCGCATGTTGGGCATGTACGTCGGGGTAGTACCCACGACTCGTCTCCATGCCTTGGAAGCGACCGCATCCTCCGACTTGCCAAGAGCCACCTAAACCCGTCGAGACGGGATACTCCTCTTTGATTCTTCGGTCCAGAACAGGAGGTATTGAGCTTTCGACCTTAGGTTGTATAGCCTCAAAGATTGGAGCGGGGTAGTATTGGTAATCGTTGTGCGACTGGATCATCTTATTGTCTTCGTCGTCTGCCATATGATGATCGCCCACGAAGCTCTCCACTGGGCCCCCACTGAGAGAACTTGCAGAGCTCACGGTATGGCTACCCATCGGGCTCGGATCCAGCGAGTAGGTAGTGCCTCTGTACATTCCACCGCCAAGGCCTGATGATCCACCGCCGGATAGACCATTGCGATAGCTGGTGGTATACTGTGCGCCATTTGCGCCATATCCATGGGGCCCTTGGCCTGGGCCACCGGTACCGCCTGCACCGCGCGAAGCACCCGCATTGTGTGGGCCCTCGTTCGAATAGTGGCTGGGTGATCGCCCACGAACCACAACTGGATGAGAGGACCGCGCAGCCACCTTGACCCAGCGAGCTTCTTTATCCCTCGGATTTTGGATGTTCGCCCAGAGCTCGACGATGAGATGGAAGTATTGTTGCTGAGCGCGACGCTTGCCGTTGTTAGCAGTAGCTGACTTGAACTGTATGCGCTCAAAGCCGTGCTGATAGCTATTCTGCGCATGGCTGGTTGGTGAGTACGCCTGCGAAGTGTCCGATTCGCTTTGTAGAGGAAGTAAGAAGCCGGTTGCTTGGCTGGACTGATGAAAGGTACTAAGCCCATAACTTCCGTGTTCATGATTCTTCCCTGGAGGCATTGGGGAGAGTAGCTCCTTCTTCATTTGCAATTGTGGTCCTTTGTCACGTTTGGGCGTATGTTGGATCAACTCAATGCTTTTTCCGCCAGCACCGTCTACCGCCGCGGCCAAAGACACAGCCATGGATTGTATTTGTTCCTGGGGCTTGCCGGGACCTTGGTCCAAGTAAAGGCGACCGTTGTTTATCCACGGCTGTAGGTTGAAGTGGACGGTCACGGCAAAATAGTTCCGTCGATAACAGGTCCAAACGCCGTCACTGGACATGAAAAATCCCTTTTCGATTTTCGCGTCGATGCTTGGAGTGACCTTTGACCCGTCGCACACGAGGCTGCAGTAGTCCTCTTGGGTGTTGAAGGGGGGAGTCCCCTCTCCGGGGCGCTCAGCCTGGCCGTACCCACCCATGGAGAGGCTGGTATATGACGTGGTTAGAGGCATGGTGGCGGCAACAACACTCCGCGGTGTCTCGGGAAGAGAACCGTAACGGGAAACGTCGGAATGGCGAGATGAGAGAGTGTGTGGATGTCGAGACAAGCCTGGTGTAGATGTAGTATAGTTATCCCTGGCCGACGCACCCATGGACGGTGACACGGGGTTGCCCATCCCTGGTGATCGTGCTGGAGGCAGCATAACCGATGGCGAAGGCTCAGTCCTACCGTCCGTTGTCAGCTGTCATGCAATACGATCAAGGTTTTACATGTACAAGGGCGCCACAACAAGGTTACCTACATCATGGATGTTCGTCGAGTTGACGACATGGTACCGGCGTAGTACCCTGTGTTATAGTTCGCTATGGGAAGGGGGTTGTGAAAATAGCTGGAAGGAGCGCCGAGAGATGTGTAGGCTAGCTGCGATGATGAGTTGGAGCTGGGTGAGGCAGAGATAGACCCTGATCCCGTGTCGGAAAGAGCCGCACTAGATTGATACCTTGGAGCAGAGTTAGTCAACCCAACAAAACAACGTTATCGGCCAAAGTGATGCCAACGATAGTGATGTGTAACCGTCGAGTGGGTGGTACGGTGCAAGCTGGCAACCAGGCCAGGGACGATGTGGGCATCGCCGCTAGCCTTGTCGTGTGATCAATGTGACAGACCAGCGTGCTGGAAGAGCTAGGTGCACCATGCGTCCGGGACGTGTGTGACAGGAGACATGACGAAGACGTGTTTGTTTCGGCGGTCGTGGAAGGCAGAGCTTGGGCAGCACCAGCGAAGAGGCGTCGAGGCACGCATGGACTGGGGGCCGCAGGACAAGGCAACACTGCGGAGCCCGGCATGCCGACCGGGACGACAAGGACCAATGAGACGGGATACTTACGAGGCTTCGGGACGATGAGAATTGTAGCTCCTTGTAATGGAGCTTAGAGGGATGCCGGTCGCTGACTGGCCCAGCGTGCTTTCGCGCCTGAGCTGATCGGAAACGCCAGCGGTGAAGGGACTATGATGTGCATGAGCACCAATGTGATCGATGCATTCTTGCTCCGAAGAGAAGGGGTTTTCCGATGCCAATGGCAGAGAAGGTTGAAGGACTGCTTGGTTCGCGGGTCAGCCAATCAAGGAGCGACAGACGGCGCGTCGTTGTGCAAGGTGTAGGACAGAAACGGGCAACGTGCACCCGCCGACAATATGAGTGCACGCGTGGGACGCGGTCGCACAAGGCTCCGCGATCGGGTGCAGAGGTGCCAGAGTGCCACTACAGCAGCGGGCAGAAGGCGAGAACAGCGGCCCCACAGTGTGTAGCGGTAAACAGAAGGGGAAGGAAAACAGGGTGCAGGCTCGTGAGCCAATATAAGAAAGGAGTGGAAGAATGTGGAATTTGTGGAAGAATGCGGAGAAGGGCGCCGGTTTATGGGCAGGCAGTGGGTGTGCCGCGCGTGAAAACCTGAGGCTTTGCTTCTCGCCGGGCAGAGAGATGGATGTGCGGTTAAGGCTGACTTACCTTGGTTCATATTGCAGACGCAGACGCACCAGCAGCGCTCTTAGGACGCCCGTTTTGGGCCTGATGGTCGCTGCGACTCCTTCCAGAGGCCGCCCGGGGGGAAGCGAATCTCACGCCTCAGCTCCTTCGCTCTTTGCGAATCCGATGTGCTGGGACCGCAGTCAACGGCGTCGGTTGTGGCGAGCTTCCTAGTCGCTGACGGCGCTTATGTTGCTGCTGTTGCGGGCTCAAGGTGTGCCGCCGGGCGAGCTCGTCGCGGGACGAATGCGAGTGAGGCGTGGGTGGATAAGGCCGCGGCGGTGCAGTTGCTCGTTCTGGCGCAGAGACGAGCTCTACGGACGTGTCGACTGCCGTTGTTGGTTCGCTTGAAGGGAGATCCGGGGGTTTAGCCGGTACAGTACAGGCTCAGGCACAGGAACAGGGGGTGGATAGGATCCTCGATTAGCTGCCGCTGCCTGTGATGGATGGTGGGCTGCCGAATCCGTCGAGTTTCAATGCTCGGTGGTGGATGTTCAATGCTGGAGTATGCCGCAGAGGACCCCGGCCAGCAAGCTCCGCAATGCGCGCCTCGACCAGCAGATTGGGTTCGTGATGCGCGTCGTTCGCCGTGACCACACCGACTCGTCGACAGCAGAAGATGCTGCCAGGCTTAGTCACGAGGCTGGCGCAGGGCGGTGACGGGAAATGACAAAACGACAATGGACTGCTCTCCTCGAAGCCCAAGCGTGGGGACGGCTGGTGGACCTTAAGCGTCAACGCTCTCGAGGCGACACCTCAGGCCGTCAGGTGCGCTTTGCTTCTTCCCGTCTCCACAGATCTCGAATTACGCGATGCGGACGCACAGACAGGCACTGATCTGCTAGCCGACCCCGGTTCCTGGCGGCTGCGACGTCGGTCGTGAGATGGCGGATGCTGTCGAGACTTTGCTGTGACCTGTCAGTCCCTGGCCTGGCGCAATTTGGTTGAAACTTACAAGGTTGCTCCTGCAGCTGCCCCAAAGGAACACTGTGGCGCCGACTGATTTCGAGAGTGGCTGTTTCGGCGAGCGCGCTGGCTTGTCACTTGTCGTCGAGTCGTTAGCGATCTGCGCGGAGGCCGGGTTTGCGGATCTGCTTGTCGACGTCGTCTGTATGCGCCGGCGCTGTGGTGTAGCCGATACGATGCCTCGCTTCCAAGGCTTGGTGGGAGGCTCGGTGGTGAAGGCAGGCTGGAGGGGGGGAACCAAGTAGATATGCAGCAGAAGACGAGCAGAGTATCTTGGAAGAGCGAGATGAGGACTGAGCTATATGCACTTTGCCTTTTGCTCCCAAACGGCTTAACGGCTTCCTGCTCGTAGCCTGGTTGCACAAGGCCGCCTGGACCAGGAGATCCCGTGATCTTGTTCTCGAAGATTGCTTGGTAGGGAGCCGGGAGCCCAGCACGAGAGGAAAAAAAAACAACGACCCCAGGCTGACAGGTAGGGATGGGGCAGCCACAAACGGGGAATAGATGACGGCGGAGAATTAAGCTGGAGATCAGAGATGAAGCAGGACAGAGGGCCCAGTACAAGTACAGTGTGAAGTGGGCTAGAGCACTCAGGGCTATAGATTGATACAGAATAGACAGGGAAGCTGGGGCTTGGGGGGATGTTGATCGGGTTGTTTGGCTGAAAGAAGAAGTGCCTACCAAGCTGGTAGCTTCAACGCATCTCTTGCGGTGATGGATCAAGATTCAGCCCCAGAGCAAATGGTGCGAATCGCGCGGCTCAGACCAGCGCCGTTCTCTAGCACCACGGTAGCATTGGCGAGCTGCAGCAGCGACCATTTCCCAAAGAGGCGTCTCTATATCTCCGATGTCAGGGAGAGCGGATTTGCCCCAGGGCCCGGGCTCGCATCTTTCTCGAAAGGTCGGCGGCCCACGCAGCGCGTCGCATTCCTTGCACCAGCGACCAAGGCCCGAGAGCGCAGCGGGGACCGGGCATGCAGCGCGGTGGAGAGATTGGCTCGCCTGGGCCGTCACTCTCCCGTGCAGCGACGCAGGAACATTGGCCACGACACGGCGCTCCATGGGGCGACTCGACACGGCAGCACACATCCGGCAGCCTGGGTCCGCGATGTTTCATCTGGGCCGGCACCCATGCAGCGAACAGATGATCGCGCGGCGGGCTAGCAGCGCAGAGGGGACGGCGCTGCTCGGCGGCGGCGGTGGGCGCGCCACGGGCCGCGACGTGACGAGCGACGGCGCGGGCAGCTAGCAGAGCGTTGGGCAGAGGGCCCGCGGTGAGTTATCATCGCCCGGGGAGCGCTCGAGGGGGCGGCGCTCCGTGGAGGCAGCGAGCAGCGGGGCCAGGTGAGCCGCCAGATGCAACCCTTCGCCTGGAGGTTCGAGTTAGAGGAGCTGCGCCATGATCGAAAGTCGCAGCATGGGCGGGCCCGGCAGCACGGTACGCTGCGCAACGCTCCGAAAGCAGCGCCCGCAGGTGGTGTGCGAGCAGCCAGTCGACGCGCAGCGCGGCGGCGGGGGCGTGACGGCCAGCTGCGAGGTGCCTCGGCGGGCGGCAGCCTGGCGGCGAATTGGGCGCGTGAACGCTGAGGGCCACGAAAAGCGAGCCCTTGGCCGCTCCCTTGCGTCTGGTCCGCGGTGAGAGGGGCGGGGGTTGTCGTGAGGAAGGAGCGAGTGGTGACGTGCAGCCCGCGGTTGCTCCTTCCCGCGCCAGCCCCATGCGGCCAAGCGCCCCCGCTACGCCGCCAAACCACCGTATCGCTCGAGTGAATGCCCTCGCGCGCTCACCACCACCATCGCAGTCCCTCCTTGCCTTCGACACGCGCAGGCGTGACCTCGCCGTCCCAGGCCGCCTGCCTCATGTGTCTCGCACGTTGCGGCTGCCCGCTGCCCAGCGCCCGGGGCTGCCTGACCGCTACATGGCAGAGTCGAGACGACCTCTCCAATCCGCTAATCTGCCTGCATTGCATTCCTTGCCTCGACAGAGATGCGCACCTGCGCCGCCAGCCAATCGCCCGCGCGCACCCCAAGGCTGGCGGCAGCGACCTCCACCGCTCTGCCTCCCATGCCAGCAGTCATCTGATGCCGCTCGAAACAGCATGCGAGAGCAGCCCGAGCAGGGCTGCCGCTGTCTCCCGGTGCCTCGCGCGCACTAGCAGCGCCCCCGGCACTTGCCAGCCATTTCACCGCTTCCACCGCATCTACGCACGACAGCCCGTTGGGGCAGATGAGATGGTGGCTGCGCGGGTGCCCAGGAGATCACGGCCCCTTCGAGCTGCCGCAGCGCATCATCAGGTCACAAGATACTATGCTTCTCTGCACGGAATCCGGCTTCGAGGCACACCGGCCTGCAGCCTCCCGTCCGTCCCGTGACCCTCATCCGGGGCGTCCAAACAAATGCCACTGCCCGCGAAATTCATGGCGGCCTGCAGCAGCCTCAATGTACTACGGAAAGATTAGGGACCGCAACTGCGCAGAACTCAATGTCTCAGCCCGCTCCAGATGGCTCCATGAGGCGCTAT